CATACTCTATCATCTTCTTTGAGCCATGTTTTCTGGATTTTTTGGGGCGGAGTCGCCGGTGCGTCAGAGGTTCGGGTCATCCATGAGACAAGCCCGACGCATGGGCTCTTGAAGCCGTTGAGCACAAGAACGAGCTCGAGCAGTAGTAGGAGCAACAACCGATTTCCCACCTTCGTCGCCTTAGCGGCAGTCGCCGATCTCAAGCAGTCTAGATCTGCCCTAACTGCGACCAACAACGCAAAAAACGAGATCTCGACGAGTCAGCCACGGCAGCGTAATCCATGATCGAGAAGTTAGTCGGCTCGAAGTGTCCGTTCTATTTCCCTCTCGATGCGGTGGTCGTTCTGTCGCGGGTTCCCGCTATGTAATCGAATCGATCGGAGCTACACAACAACCAGACATCAAGAAATCGGGGGGCGATACCATATAGGAAGGGTTTCACATCAAGATGCCCTCGGAGAGGCATAAGCTAGATCCCGATTTGGAATTCGATCCCGATACACATATAGGGCTAGGTAATTCAGCAAAGTGGATGGCGGAGGTTACGGCGAGGCCGTCGATTTCGATAATCATGGTGGCTCTTCTCGAGCTGGATTCATGGGAGTGGTGGATTTGGTAGGCAACATAGTGGGAATAATGGAAGAAGATTGTTGAAGAATGGGCGATGCAGAGCTTTTGGGGTGGGTTGCATTCTCGGGGATGGAAATTGGCGCAGGCGACGAGGGTGGGTGGGTCGTGGGTGAGGTTAAAGCAATATTTATTTCCAATAAAAATATTAAGTATTTAATTATTAAAAATAAATTTAAATAGTATTTTCCTACGTGGCGTCTACATGTCGCATATGTGGATGACACATAAGCGCCACTTCATCAATGGTTAGACAAAGGTTGACCACCGTTAAGTCAACTGTTAACTTTAACGGTCAACAAAAATTCGCGTAACACAAATGACGCAAACCCCTAATACGTTGGAATATTTTTATGTTTACTGAAAGTACGTAATATAAATGGCACTTTCGCTAAAGTATGGTATTTCCAGTGGTATTAGCCCTAAAATTTAAGCCATTTACATATGATGATTAGATGGAAGGCACCTTTATAAACCATCAAATGCTCACTCGTTCTGCTGCCAACAGGCCCACACCTGTCTGGATTGATCAAAATTTAGTCCGCAACCTGAGGAGGGTGCCATTTGAAATCGTTCAGGATATAATCATGAGGGGCCTGGAGAGGAATGACGATGTATACATCGAAAGGGCGAGAAACATGTTATTATACAAGTATGGCAATTACAATCTCCCGATCAAACATCTCGACTGGACGCCACACCTTATGTTCCTGAATATATTCTATATACCTCTCGATGAATACTCAGACATGTTGAAGATTGTATATTGTCTCCTTAGACTCATGATCTGTGTCTGTACAATAGGAGTCATAATGCACCAACCTGTTTTGAAGAAATGTGTTCACGAATGGGAAAATTTCCCTGACAAAGTAACACTCCTAGGAAAATGGCTCCGACAGTTTCTATCACTACGCATCTGGGCGTTGCTCCTCGATGAAAGCCATCATGACTATCTTTTCCTCACCTTTCATGTGGAAAGGGAAATAATTATCGTGAAAAATGGGTACGTGGTAGTGGAAAAACCGTCTGCAAAGTATGAACAGGGCTTCGTAGAGAATCCCACTCTGGAACCAATAAAAATGGCTACATCATGGAAAAACATGAAGGATAGACTCTTTGTCCGTAACAACTTGTCACCAAATGATGTGCCAGTGGAATTATGATCCGCCAGAAACTACCACACCGACGGAAGAATCAAAGAGGTCTATTTCCCACCATTCATGAGAGAGAAATACTTTCTGAAGGAAGCTGAATATAATTTGAAGCAGGCAGCAGAAGTGAGTGCTTACATAGGTGAATGCTCCAAGGCACCGGAATATGCAACCCCCAAAGACCTAGAGCCCTCTCGAATGCTGGAATGAAGGTCGGAATCCGTAGTAACTATCGACTACCAGGAATAGGTCAGTTATTTTGACACATTTTGTTCTGAAACTCCCAGAAAAAATGGAGACGAAAAGGAAAGGGAGTTTCGATACCTTCCCTATTTTTCTCAAGGGCCGAAGATGCTCAGGGCATGGTAACCAGTTAGGTAGTCATTCTGTTGTAAAATACCGATGTAACCTTGAATGAAGAAATAAAAGGTTTGGTGTTTTGTGTCTAATGTCTATGTAGATGGCTTAACTTTATTGTGCTCGGTAACCATATCATTGCACGCATGCATTCACACTTAATCTTTAATTTTGATATTTCTAACATGTCATCTCATTAATAGGTTTTGCCACGAGATAACATCCGTGTTGCAAGACTTTATATGAACAACATGGCGGGAATATCACCCATTATTGAAGAAGAGGAAATAGTCATGTTCAATTCAATGAAACGATATAGGGAAAGAGGTGATCGTCTACCAAGAGGTGCAATGATTGATCTACTACTCGTGGGACCAGTTAGGATTCTTGAAAATAGGATCCAATCACTCAAGCAGATGTGGGGAACTTTCACTGAACAGGAGCAGAAGGTGTTCACTCGCAATACGGAAGAATACCTAATATGTGATATGTCCCATTCCCAGCGACATGGTTCAAGAACTGCTCAACTACTGGGATTCGTTTTATCATTGCTACATCCATAAGCCCTATCTTAAGGCAAAAAATGTATTGTCCTAGATATTAGATACAAAAAGTGCGAAGATAGAGCATCTGATAGGATCTGATGGTGAGATTGAATACATTCATGTCGATACACTCATATCTCAGATCAACATCGGACCGACAAATGAGAGGGACTTGAAGATATTCGCGTTGGTACTATACAAATTAATCATATACCCTCGAATCCCAGACCACATTGACAACTTCGCCATGAAAGTGTTTGAACATGATACACATGATGTCAACCCAATATTCGCCATTTTGTCTGAAACATTTGTAGCATTGGGGAGATGTAGAGAAAATCGTGGGGGCATCCTACTTGGTTGTGCCCCATTTCTAGTGGTCTGGATCTTCGGACATCTGAAACCCTCTCCGAGAAGGGGGATCCCGATAATCAGATACTCGTTAGTCTTTGACGAGAGGAGATGCTCAACTAGAGAGTTTGCCTCAGGGGACTCAATCTATATGTCCGCGTCTGAAGAGCATTGGAAGAGTTATTTTGCCACATTCGGGAGTGATGATATCCAATGGAAAGCCCCGTGGATGTACGAGGGAAGTGTATTGTATAGTTGTGGGCCCAACTCATGGGTACCTCTGCAAGGCCCCGAAGGATGTGTGAAGTATGCACCAAATATGTTCAGAAGACAGGTTGGTTGCATGCAGATTGTGCCAGCAACCGAAGGAATGGGCTGGTTTAGTTACCGGTACTTTAATCCCGATTCGAAGGCTAAAAATGAGCAGGTGCTACCATGTTGGAAAAACCCAAGACTAATCAATCGTAGTTTGAGCATTGTAATGACAAAAGGTAATCAAGACCTCCACGATCTCTTGGCTCTCGAATACACACCATGGTATCAGGGACGAGGAAAAGCAGTCACTATAGACAGGAAAGGCAAGAGAAAAATGGACTTTGTACCCAGGTTTTCACCTGCGATGCATCACCAAGTGGGATCTTTGGCTAAAGATATGGCTTTTAGCCAACTACAATGAGAAAATGACGAGATGCGAGCATACACAAGAGGGCATTTCACCCAAATGAAGAGACTTGAAGATGCAAACTATATCCTGAATCAAAGAATTATTCAGTTGGAAGATATTAGCCACGAGCAAAGGTCTGCAATCAACGAACATCAAAGTGCAAATCGGGCAATGCAAGAAAGATTAGAGCATATGGAAGCATGGGGTCAACAAAAGGAGCATCTTATCAGTATACAAAGGAAGGAAGCCACCAAGTACCGTGAAGAGATTGACCGACTAACAGCTGAAAAGAGGCCATCGAGATAGAAAATACGGACTGGCAAATTACAGCGCAGACACTGGAAAACAACAGGCTCAATGAAGAATGGAAATTTAACCGTCTCATGGAATTCATTAGAGGAGCTACCAGAAGGGCATATGAGTTGTCCAATGAAGCTGAAGTGGCCAGACTACGTTTGGCACAAATGGAGAATCTGGATCCCGATCTTCGAACATATCTTGAAAACCTGCACAGGAGCTGATGTATTACTGAAGTTTCTACTAATCATATGATAATGTTTTGTAATATGATCATGTAAGGTAGCAAGGGGATAAACAATGTATTTTGGGTTGTTTTTGCAATCATGGTCTCTTGTGATATATGTACGAGACCATGTAATAAGCGTATAGGGCCTTGAAGCGCAAATATTGTAATAGTAGCCCCAGCTATTGTAAATATAAAGTTTGGAAGCAGAGGTGTTATCTCCTTGGCAAACCCTAGAACCGCATTCATGCGTTAACAAAAACACCACATCATGCATTCACCTCATCTAGCATAAGCATGACATCATATCACTCTGCATCGACTAATTACGAATTATTCCACGAGGAAACAGGAAACAAAGCACCAGGTCTTCTTTAAAATTGGTCGTCCACCAGGAAAGAGTGAAGACTTTACATACTTAACGAGATCTAAGACCGAGTTCGTCATGGAGGCTTTTCAGAAGAAGCTGAGTGACATTGAAGGAAAGATAACAGGGTTTGATGAAAAGCTAGTTGGGTTTAATGAAATGAAGGATCAACTAAACATGATAGTAAAGATGTTGTCGACAAAAGGGAAAGAAATAGCATCCAATGATGAAGAAGTACATTCTGAAGATGATGTTTCTCCAAAAGGGGAAGGCTCGAGCCCCAAAGTCATCATCGTACATTGGGGCATATGTTTTTGTCATGTACGATGATGACTTTGGGACCCGAGCCTTTCCCTTTTGGGGAAACATCATCTAGAATGTAATTCTTCATCATTGGATGCTATGTCTTTCCCTTTTGCCGACAACATCTTTACTATCATGTTTAGCCGATCCTTCATTTTATCAAACCCAACTAGCTTTTCATTAAACCATGTTATCTTTCCTTCAATGTCACTCAACTTCTTCTGAAAAGCCTCCATGACGAACTCAACCTTAGATCTCTTTAAGTATGTAAAGTCTTGACTCTTTCCTGGTAGACGGCCAATTTTAAAGAAAACCTGGTGCTCTGTTTCCTGTTTCCTCGTGGAATAATTTGTAATTAGTCGATGCAAAGTGATATGATGTCACGCTTATGCTAGATGATGTGAATGCATGATGTGGTGTTTTTGTTAACGCATGAATGCAGCTCTAGGGTTTGCTAATGAGATAACACCTCTGCTTCCAAACTTCATATTTACAATAGCTGGGGCTACTATTACAATTTATTTGCGCTTCAAGGCGCTATACGCTTATTACATGGTCTCGTACTTATATCACAAGAGACCATGATTGCAAAAACAACCCAAAATACATTTTTATCCCCCCTGCTACCTTACATGATCATATTACAAAACATTATAATATGATTAGTAGAAACTTCCATAATATATCAGCTCCTGTTACAGGTTTTCAAGATAGGTTCGAAGGTCGGGATCCGAATTCTCTATTTGTGCCAAACGTAGTCTGGCACTTCGGCTTCATTGGACAACTCATATGCCCTTCTGGTAGCTCCTCTAATGACTTACATGAGACGGTTAACTTTCCATTCTTCATTGAGCCTGTTGTTTTCCAGTGTCTGCACTGTAATTTGCCAGTTTGTATTTTCTATCTCGATGGCCTCTTTTTCACCAGTTAGTCGGTCAATCTCTTCACGGTACTTGGTGGCTTCCTTCCTTTGTTTACTGATAAGATGCTCCTTTTGTTGACCCCATGATTCCATATGCTCTAATCTTTCTTGCATTGCCCGATTTGCACTTTGGTGTTCGTTGATTGCAGACCTTTGCTCATGGCTAATATCTTCCAACTGAATAATCCTTTGATTCAGGATATAGTTTGCTTCTTCAAGTCTCTTCATTTGGGTGAAATGCCCTCTTGTGTATGCTCGCATCTCGTCATTTTCTCGTTGTAGTTGGCTTAAAGGCATATCTTTAGCCAAAGATCCCACTTGGTGATGCATCGCAGGTGGCAACCTGGGTTCAAATTCCATTTTTCTCTTGCCTTTCCTGTCTATAGTGACTGATTTTCCTCATCCCAGTAGTTGAGAAGTTCTTGAACCATGTTCGCCGGGAATGGGACATATAACAGATAAGGTATTCTTCCGTATGTGCGAGTGAACACCTTCTGCTCCTGTTCAGTGAAAGTTTCCCACATCTGTTTGAGTGATTGGATCCTGTTTTCAAGAATCCTAACTGGCCCCATGGGTAGCAGATCAATCACTGCGCCTCTTGGTAAACGATCACCTCTTTCCCTATATCGTTTCATTGAATTGAACAAGACTATTTCCTCTTCTTCAATAATGGGTGATATTCTCGCCATGTTGGGCATATAAAGTCTTGCAGCACGAATGTTATCTCGTGGCAAAACCTATTCATGAGATGACATGTTAGAAATATCAAAATTAAAGATTAAGTGTGAATGCATACCTGCAATGATATGGTTACCGCACACAATTAAAGTTAATCCATCCACATAGACATTAGACACAAAACACCAAACCTTTGATTTCTTCATTCACGGTTACATCAGTATTTTACAACAGAATGGCTACCAAACTGGTTACCATGCCCTGAGCTTCTTCGGCCCTTGAGAAACAATGGGAGGGCATCAAAACTCCCTTTCCTTTTCGTCTCCATTTTTTTGTGAGTTTCGGAACAAAATGTGTCAAAATAACCGACCTATTCCTGGTAGTCGATAGTTACTACGGATTCCGACCTTCATTCCAACATTCGTGAGGGCTATAGGTCTTTAGGGTCTACATCTTCCAGTGCCTTGGAAAATTCACCTATGTAAGCCCTCACTTCTGCTGCCTGCTTCAAATTATATTCAGCTTCCTTCAGAAAGTATTTCTCTCTCATGAATGGTGGGAAACAGACCTCTTTGATTCTTCCGTCGGTGTGGTAGTTTCTGGCGGATCTTAATGCCACCGACACGTCATTTGGTGACAAGTTGTTACAGACACAGAGTCTATCCTTCATGCTTTTCCATGATGTAGCCATTTTTATTGGTTCAAGAGTGGGATTCTCTACGAAGCGCTGTTCATACTTTGCAGACGATTTTTCCACTACCACGTACCCATTATTCACGATCATTCTTTCCCTTTCCACGTACCCATTATTCATGATCTGATTTAGGTTTAATTTTGGTTTATGGATCTTATGCGTCCAGATCTTGGATTTGGGTCGAACTCCTTGATTGCTAAGAAGCTAAAACATTTTATTGGGATATTTCTTAAAAAAACATTACTGGTTTATTAATATTTGCTTTCTAAAATGAATATATGGCAAACTCAAAGCCATAGCCCTTGCTTATAGCCGTCCTATTGATTGGAAGCTTCAATCCGAAATTTAGCAGTAGCCACTGCTCATGACTATAGGTGTCAATCGGGCGGGTTCGGGTCGGGTTCAAACGGGTCACGGTTGATCGGATTGAGGGTCAAACGGATTGCGGGTCAAGCGGGTTCGGGTTGATTGGATTGCGGGTCAATCGGGTTGCGGGTTGATCGGGTTGCAGGCTAATCGGGTTCAGGTTGGCCGGGTTGTTGATTAATCGGGTTGCGGGTTGATCGGGTTGTGGGTTAATCGGGTTCGGGTTGATCGGATTGCGGGTTACTCGAATTATGAACAGGTCGAGTTGCGGATTTTTCGGTCCAAACCATCGAGTTATCTTTTTGAATAATTAGTTATTACACAATTAAAAACAAACTCACCAATCACTATTTTGCAATGAAAAAAGTCCATAAGGAAGACAATTTCTTGTTTCAGTTTTGGGAATGTTTTAGCAAGCTTGAGTTAGGCCTTTCTTTTACTTCTCAACTACTGAGTCAATTGATTAAAGAATTAAGAAAACATATATTTATGGTTTATATATATATATATGTTATATCTTCGATGCACTCACTTTATTGGGTGCATTCAATGAACCCGCCACATAATCGTCATTCTGAGCAGGCGATTCATGTGAAAACAATGTCAATCATCCCTTGTGGTATGATGAACAAGAGCCACATGAATTTGTACACAAATCATTTCAAGATTCACTTTAATTTGAATGATTAAGGGTTTAGGAATTTAGGGTTAGGGTTAGGGTTTACAATTTGGGATTTTGGGTTGAAATTCAAAATTGAAGGTTAATAGGGTAGGGTAATGGGTTGATTAGTTCTGATACTGTGTTATATCATCATATGAGACTAATGCTACCCATTAAATTTCAAAATTTGATGTATTATGACCACTTTTAGAGGTGAGTGCACTTAATGCACCCAAAAAAGTGAGTGCACTGAAGTAGCCACCATATATATACTCTTTTGGTAACAGAGGAATTCACAGATTTGAGAATTTGGAGAGGGAAATTTAGACTTGTCAAATCAAAAAAGGAGGGAGCGGGTTTGGGAATTTGGAGAGGGAATGTACTCATGTAGACTTGTAAAAAAAAGAGAGGGAACTTTGGGAAAATATTTGGGGGTTTTCAAAAGTGTTTTTACAGGTTTGGGAGAGAATTTTATAACAAATATTTGGAGGGTTTTCAAGAGTGATGTTTACATTTTAGATTAAAAAAAATCTCTAACTTTTTGGTGAACATCTAATTCTACATTTCTTTAATAATTATTATTATAGATGATAACTAAATCTTATATCGATTAGTTAGTTTGTTGTCTAACCCGTTGGTCGGAATATCATTTGAATATGATATGTTTATGATGTATATTCTAAAGTTTTCAAAATATTTGAAATTTATATTTCTACCCAATAACTAAATTAGTTGTTAAAATCGAATTATATCATAAAAATATGAAAATCGAAAAGTAAAACACCAAACAAATACTAACGGAAGAGTTAGTGGACTAGTTAACCTTAACGAATAGTCATATGTGTTTAAGATTTTAGGTTTCTATGATGAAATTGTTGGTAGAACATATGTTATGTGAAGAATGAAAGTTAAGTCAATTTTATATTAGGTCATTGTGAAGAACATACGTCCTAATCCTCCTACGCCTAAACCATTACCTCTAACCCTGACCTCTTGTTACATGTCATGAAATTGTTGGTAGAACATAGGTTATGTGAAGAACGTAGGTTAAGTCAATTTTAGATGTTATATTACTGTGATTCTATATAAGTCCTAATCCTAAGATTCCTAAGAGATCCACATCAATGCAATTGCAAGGTCAATTACATAAAGTTCTTTTTTCCACTTCAATATTTTTGCAATCCAACTCATATGAATGTCATTGCACCTACATCAATGCAATCCGCTTGCAGTTACATACGAAATTAAATATTATGACTTGAATTTTAGAAAATAAAATTATGTCCCTACCCCTTGTAATGAAATACTACAATCAATAACCCTTACAAGTTACAACCAAACTAGATATTTAAATACAAATAACACACAAATACTACATCCCCTAAAAATGATGAGTTATTTAACTATACGAATACCACATTCGTGCATAACTCATCCAAACGACCCTCAAGTTTAATTTAAGTCAATGTGTTTTGTTTCTCATATTAAGTCAACTTTATATTTTTTATAAAATAAATTTTAAGAATGGTCTTCCTAAGTTGTGAACCATTAATTATAAGTTAATTTTTTTATTTTGAAATTCAGTGTACAAAACGTTAAAAAAATGCTTTGAGTACGTTTTGAGTCTAGAACTTTGAATCGAAAAGACTATCACAAAAGCCAACTAGTTCCAAACCAATTTATCACAATTATAACTTGTTGTTTATATTATCATTTGAGAGAGTTTTAGGTTGTGAAAAATAATAGGTCGACCTACGTGTCTATTAATACTATTATGTGATTTAATTTAATAGGAATTGTCAACCGTCAACGAAAAATAAGAAGGCTTTGTTGCTGGCTGGAAAGATGAAATTCAGTAGCAATTGTCAATAGTATCAACACAATGTAAAACTTTGTTGCTGGCGGGAAAGATAAAAAAAAAGGCAAAGCCCCTTAAATATATATATTTTTTATCACATATAAGATTTATATACTACAATATATTATATAGTATAATTATTATCCATGTCAATCGGGCGGGTTATGGTTGAGTTTATCGGGCTCGGGTTAGTCGGGTTGCGGGCCGAGCGGGTTGTGGGTCAAACGGGTTCTGAGTTAAGCGGGTTCGGGTCAAGCGAGTTCTGAGTTAAGCGGGTTGCGGGTCGGGTGGGTTGCGGGTCGGGCGGGTTGCGGGTCGAGCGGGTTGCGGGTCATTGACTTTTAGTCAAATCGGGTTGCGGACGGGTTGCGGATCGGGTTGGTTGAGGGGGTTACTCGAGTCGGGTCATGTTTTGACACCTATACTCATGACCATCCGATTGATGGGAAACTTACTTCTATATTTGGGCTTTGGTAATAGGATTGATTCTAAAACTAGTGCAGGTTTATTAATATGAAATTTGTTGAATGTATGGTTTTATTGGATATATTGGATTTGGGTATGAGGATTCAAAATATATATAGAAACAGTAAAGACGAAATTTGTGTGTGATTTACGAATTTCGGTAATCGGGTCAAAAAGGGTGCTCTTAAGCACAAAAAGAGGTATTATAAATACCTTCCTAAAGTCTGCTTTGAGTTCTACTTTATGTTTGAATGGATTATGGCATTACCTTCTACTATGTTTTAGGTTGTTTGGATGGTTATATTGTATATAAATAAAAACAACCTAACTAATATAGTAGTAAACTCAGCTAGCATTCATTATTTTTTATATTTCCTACATAAGGTGGGATATAAGCATATTGGAGTAATGATAAGTGATAAATAACAAGATATACACAAATTAACATATAAGTAATGAACATCTCAAACAAGTATTATGGAATAAGAATCATAGTCATACACTTCTCACCAAAATGGTTTTTGCTTCTATGTTGATGTATGAATGAGATATGCATATACATGAATGGTGGGGTGTGGAGCTACCAACCTGGTTTTGTCATTAGATGGTGATGGTGATGGCAATGGATTTTTGTTGTCTGTCCCCCTTTTGTGCTTCTTAATGCTCTTTGTCTGCCTTCTTTAGTGTTTAATGCTCTGTTTGTCCCTTTAGTGTTTTAGTTATTTTCTTTCTCCGTAATGTCCTTCCCTGCCCCCTGTTTGGGGTAAGAGAACCCCTTATATTATCACATTTTATTGTTCATTCTTTTGTCTTGACTGTCTTTCATTGGGCTATGAGGTGGTGGCCTAATCCACTTATTTTGATGGCAAATTCTTGTTGGTTCCTGGAGGAGGTGGCCGCTTTGTTGTTTTTAAAAGTACAACAGTAAAAATCTGTTGTCTCTTAAGATGTGATATGGATCTGCTGCCTCTTGGGATGTGAGGGATCGGTTGACCGGGTCGATCAAAATTGATAGGGTTGACCAGTGTTGACTCTGGTTGATCGGGTTGGTTGACCTGATCAGACTGGGACGAAAATCATGGGCCTGAATTGGGCTGAAATGTGGGCTGCAGGTTTGAAAATTGGGCTCAAATGTGGGCTCCTGGTTTGGGCCAATTTCTATAAAAAAAATTTCTTGCAGGTCATGGGTATGTTTCTGGCCCAAAATTATGATCTATGGAGGCCCAAAACGCTTCAAAGGCTAGGCCTCCAATTCTGATTGGTGCCAAAGATTGAAGAAGTTTATTTTATACTTAATGTTTTTATTTGTTCATCTTCTAAATGTAATAATTAATGTAATAATTATCAAGTGTACATTTGTACTTTGTAATTAGGCATGTAATTGTTTTTTACTTATCATTAGAACGTTGATAAAATTATTGAAATGCAAACATTCCAATGATTCTCTCCAACCCAATTTGGTTGCTTTCTCCAATCGTAACCCAAATCCCAACTTCTAAGTAAGTAGTTGATAACTATGAATTATGACCAATAGTAGTAAGATTACCATTGTCCTCCTATCCCATTCGACCAATTTCAAACCTATGTCACCAATCGTTTACTGAATACAATAATACTAGTATAAGTCGCGACGACATACTATTGCTATTCTAAATAAAGCGAATTTGGTAGCCATTAGCTACTGCTAATCCTACCTAGTACAAATATTCGAACTAAATAAAAAGCGGATTTGGAAATGGTTGGTACTTATTGGTTCGCCACGACTAATCTCAACCAACCTCGTCCAAACTTTCACTTGAGTTTTCTTTTTAAGTTAGATATTCTTCTGAATTTTGAGTAGGATGGTTGCTCCGGACAAAACGTGGTGTCCATATATATTGTACTTCAAATGCATAACAATTAACAAGAACTCAATCAAAAATTAAAGCTGCCCTCATATACAGAGAGCGCCAACTTCATCTCTCTCCCAAGAGACCCAAACACTAAACCCCACTTAACTTTGCCCATATATCCCAAAAAAGACCAACGAGATTGCCATGCAAGAATAATTTATAATCAGTTTTGCTGAATAATATACTATAATCATACTCTTATGAAACGAAACATACAGATTCTGGTTAGTTTGGACATGCAGGAATCAAAACCTCTCTTTTCATGCGACACTCTATATATGTACAATCATAATAAGGAGCATGTAACTTGGATATACCTCATGTATTGTAACTTCCTTGTTGCTCCTCCCTACTTAAAACTCTTCCTCTGGCTATAGCTAAATCGGCAATTTAGCACGGTGAATTTCTATGGCCATAAAGGCAACACAGTCATCTTCTCCTCTCTTATCTCAGGGGGAAGAACAAAAGTGGTAGGTGTCTCTCCTTCTCTTCCCTCCAACTCACTCTTCACTTGACTTATATTATTCTTTTCACCAAGGAGGATATGAGCTACGTGGAATCTGGAGCTAATTGAGGGTGCATGGCTTCATACGTGTAAGAGAAAGGGAAATGAAAGATAAGATGAAGGAAAGGTTTACATCACCCCTTCTTCCCTTGCTTCTCTCCCCTCTATCTTTATTTCTCGGTTTTCACACAGAGCAACCAATAAGGGTGTTGTATGTTGCTGACTCTTCCTCCTGTCCACATAATTAATTTCACCTCTTCACAAGCCTAGTCCTAGTGCTACACGTGTATTGCTAAGTGGCAAAGAGCCAATCTATGTCTTACTAAGACTAACTCCAACCCAAAAGGTTATATTTAGCCTCTCAAGCTCTCAAATGTGCATTTTTACCTTCCAAAAACACATTTTTGCTCCAACCCTAAACATTCTAAATTTGCCTTCCCAACTCATAACCAACCAATCAAAAATTAAGAAAGTAAAAATAAAAATAAAAAAAAAGATGTTGGAAAGTGGAGGGCCCCAACGTGTGGGCTTGGGTTCCATGGTTGGTCCCCCACCTTCTCGTTGCATTTTTCCATATGAGCTTCTATCTATCCACCCCCAAGCCCACTTCTCCAAATTTGCAAGCCAAATAATTGGTGGGTTGGAGATGAAAAAAGCCAAAAACCTCCCTTTCTCCAAATTTGCATGCTTGGGTTGGAGATAGTCTAAGTAAATTGAAAAGGGGAAAAATGACTAAGGGGAGTAATTGCACCCTAATCGATATTTACATAATAAATTAAAAAACACGCATGTTTAAGTAATTTGAGAGGGAGAGGATGTGACACTTTACCAAGGCATTCCATACATGTAACCGTGCACAATCTATCTATCTATCTATACATAATATTATAGCAATTCAAAAGTAGTTTGTTGCCACATAAGCATTTGGAGAATTTACAAGGTGCCATGGTGTACACTTTTTTTTACAACAAAAAAAGTTAGTTAATGATCAATTAATGTAGCTATATCTATCTTCTTTTAATATTTTCTTTTTATTTTAATGATCATTTATGTAGCTATCTATATCTTCTTTTAATATATTTTTTTATTCAATAATTGTTTTTTGCAATATATATGTATAGCAACCGTAATACGTATGTTTGGAGAGTGATATATATTGTAATCTTTTAACAAATATATTTGATTAAATCTGATCAATTAATTTTAATTTTAATATTTATTAGAACTTAATAGAGTGAAGTTTAGATAATCAACATTTAATAATCAATTGAATTTGAAAAACCAACTATATAATTTTATGTTTTGGTTATCAAACACTATCTTTTTCTAATGTTTGTGTCTATTAATGAAAACAAGTATTAAACAGCAAAATGCTTCAAAAGTTGTTTTTCATTTAGATAGAAACTTGGCGAAGTCATAATATAGTACCTGATTGTAGAAATGAAGGCGATAAAGAAAAACAACTTTTCTTCTCTCGTATAATGCATGCTTCCATACCTTATTTTCTCTTACATTTTTTCATATTTCCCCTTATTTTTCTTAATAGTTTACATATTTCGGTCAAAAAAAAGGTGTTAATTACACTTAAAAATACATTAAACTCTTTATATTTATATATGTATATTATGACATACTTTGAGTAAGAAAATGATATCTAGACCTTGAATTGACTGGAGTTTGGCATATGGTATTATTCTCAAACCCTTCAAGATTAAAATCTAGGTCTTAAATTTATAAATCTCATACCCTAAGATCAATTTAATTCTAAACAAAAATCAACGGTCATGCTTCGTCAAAATATATGCAACAAATTACATGCACAATCTTAGGGGTTAAGCTCTATGATTTAGATAACTAAGACATAGGGTTCACTCATCAAGGATTAGGGTATAGTATCATGCCCACAAATCCGGTTAATTCGTGGTCCAGATAGCGTGTTCTTACTTAGAGTATAGTATCATGCTTAAATATTGACGATAGATGTGGCATTACACCAACAAAATGAAGATATTAGTATAAGTTTAAGCAAATGTATATTTGATAAGTTAGAAAATTATATACCAATGGACCGTGTTAAGATTAGAACCCTCGACAATGTGTGAGTATCTTGGATCGAGATTCTAAACCAACATCTAAACAACGATCATTAGTTGAGGGTGAGTCTAAATTAAACTTCAGGAATTAACAATTGGTACATATTGTATAAGATATTAAATTGAGTGTCTTGATCGACAAATATGATCTTACAATAAGACAGTAAACTTTCAATTGGGATGACCAAATTTACCTAATATTGAAGTACCTTTATAAAAACATTCTAACTAAGTTGTCGTCATCTGAGCAACATCATTGGTTGAGAGTCTGTCCAAACTCGAGATTCATTGAATGACATATATTGTATAAGATAAATTTTTTTGAGTATCGTTGTTTTAATTTATAGACGCACCGCATACTCACGCATTTGAGTATCGCGATATATCTTAGTGACATGATTTATTATCAGAGAATTGAAACATCATAAGTGAACGTGCTAAGCATTGAGAATTTTTAATTTACAGATGCACTGCATACTCACGCATGAATGCAAATGTAAAAAATGTAGAAGATCCAAAATAGTTTAAACATATAGATAAATTGGTTAATTGATTAATATAAATGATAAAATGAAACTCACCGGCCAACGGGCCGGGTAAAAAGCTAGTTTGTTTTGTAGACAATCACACACATTGACACACACCCCCCACGCACCAGTACACACATTCATACACACATGATTAATCAGATTACGTGTATTTTTTTAAATTGTCAAGTCATGCACTCCCCCGGGTATATATCCAGTAGATGCATAAAGCACCGCCAATAGATGCATAAAGCATCGGCAATAGATGCATTAAGCATCGGCAATAGATGCATTAAGCCTAGCTCTCCCAGAGAGCTAGGCATAAAGCCGCAGTATCAGATCTCATGGAGTGCATGACAGGGCGTCAATAAGTTTGATTTAGGTGATCAGACAATTCTTTAGTTAGTTACAGAACAAGTACAAAGCAGTATCATCAATTATTTAACACATGTCTATTCACATATTCATAACATTCACGTAGTCACATTCACCATTTCCTATAATCATACCGTCACTTTATAGGCTTCCCAATATCACATTTTTGCCTTATAGGCTTTCCAGTAATCACACAATAGCCAATTAGGCTATCCCAGTATCCTCGTATAGCCATTCAGGCCATTCATTATCCCCCATTGCCTCATAGTCTTTTCAGTACTGTAATATCCCTTTTAGGTCATTTCACATCACATACACATTTAATTTCCCGTTCATAATCATCATCTATCACGTTTCCCATATATCATCAAATAATCATACACACATCACATTCACCCATCATTCATCACATACACATAGTCATAGCCATCTATCAATCGCACATTTCAGGTTCCATATTCGGGTCGATACATTACCCGAATACCATATTTGTATCCATACGATTAATAGGCTAGAATTTACTCACAACACACTTGATATTCCGCTATACCCTTGCCCTTCTTCGCAGCTTGCTCGTTACATTTAATAACCATAAATATAATTTTCATCACCATTATTAAAAAAAAAAGTATTCACTTCTTCGAATGTAAATCTTATTCATATAATCTCTACCGCCTCTCGAGTGATTCCAAATAAAAAAAACTATAATAAATTACAATTTTCTTGGTGCTTCAGTATGTAAAACAAAATATAGAAATTCAAATATCAGGCCAATAATTAAAAGCTGTAATTTTGTTATTAATTGCATGGATGCATGCAAACTATTTATACGTACACTTGGTCAATTTGGATGCATGCAAACTGGCATTTAAATTTACTTACCAGAGAGCAACAAAACTTTATGAGACTCACCAAATGGTATCCAAACTCTAAAATTACCACCATTAATTACTACTAGCTAGCTATATATAGGCTATAGCTACTTCATTCTTGGGTAGTGGTGTTAGTAGTAGCAGCAGCAGAGACGGAAGCACTGTTAAGAATGTTGAATGGAAACGTAGTCGGTAAATATGACGATGAAGATGACAACGACGATGAAGAATAGTACCCCATTCCCAAACTGCTACTCCCTCCATCACGACGTTGTGAAGCAATACCAGTCGTCGCCGGGGAAGAAGACGACGAGGATGCTCCGTTGCTCATCATGGAAGTAAGAGCGGCGGCTATGACGGTGCGGAAGCTTGGGTCGGAAGTTAACGCCTTGGTCAACGTCTCCGTCAAAACAGCCTGTTGGTTGGATCCATTATTATTGCTAGTTACATTGGGGTATGGTGATGAGCTGGCAAAGCTGAGGCTAGGTGGAAAGTACTGTAGTGGTCTCGATGATGAAGGTGGAGCGAATAGAGGAAGGCCGCCGGCACCGGAGGTGGTGGGAGGCGCGGTGAGGTCTAGGGTGATGGTGGGGAACAACGGGGAGGGAGTGGTGTAGTACTGAGACGGCGGAGATGACGTGGAGGAGCCGGAGAGCAACATGGATGCGGCGGCGGAGGTGGTGGAGACCATGGCGGCGGCGGAAGCTGGAACCGGGTGGTTGTGGGTTCCCTCGTATGTGGTGATCAGGATTGACATGTCATCGGCACATCTTTGCACCTGCGTTCCATCGATCAGGTGAACATCATTAGCACTCAGAATAAATTCAATATAATGGTGTACTATATATAATAATTAGTCACGAGGAAAAAAATAAGGAAACGCTCCTGATTAAAACTCTATTGCACTCCATAATATATGCTGCCAAATTGGGATGTGTAGGTTTGGTACTGTGCATTTGGTATTGTTAGATTCGTGATTTTATAATTGTTATGGGAATTGGTTGAGCAAAATATATATAAAAGAAAATATCATTATTTAATTCGATGATGAGAACATATGTACATTGATGTAGCGAGAGAATTGGTCAAGTGAGGTTCAAAAGCAAAATAATTTTTTTGTTCTAACATGTAATAATTGTTGTGATCGCAATAAAAATTAAGTCTGAGTTGTAACTTCCATTAAATTTGGATAAAGAGAAAGAAAAAATAATAATAAAAACCAAGTACTGATAACTAGCTAGATTTTTACTGATTGTCAAATTGATTCGTTCAAAACAAAATTTACGGGATTAGGAAACCAAAATAAAATAAATTATAGTAGCTAATATATCCAATTTCATTCTCCTAAAAATCGAGGATTGTGAAATCGTACCAAAGGTTATATTGACAAATTCGATAATAATGTATTTTGTACTAAAATGTGGTTTAACTATTTTCTAGCGCTAAACCCGATTACTGATTTGGATCTGATGCCCACTATTTCAGGTCTGACCATCTAAAACATTGGTAAAAACATCAAGCTGATGTCCTGATTCATGTAACCAAACTAACCCATGAGAACTGACATTCTAATTTTGTTTGTTTGTTTGTTTCCCCAGCAAATAATAGGTTATCTTGTTCTAGAACTGCTCATGATGATCTCCCTAGCTCTATTCTCGATGAGTACTCAGCATTGCTTGCACATGCTTGGTGCTAATTATTATATGAACTAACTAAATCAGATCAGTGCACGATTTTGATACGATTGACCCCCTAGCTAGGCCAGGCCACCTTGATTTTCTCAACTGTAGTTATGGTAAGCTGTCAATTCCACATTCCAAAGTTCCATAAACTAAACAATTTCGGTATGCATGTGGATCGTGCTTCATTTTCCTAAACCCAAAATATATATCTTTTATGCAATAACAAATTTCAATCAACATCCGATCCCAATATAATTTGAGACATATATAGTTGATCAGTAATCGGTGCAAGTTGACCTGCACACTACAACTAGCTAGTCTGTTTTGGCCAATGAGAAGTTGGTGTGAAAAGCCAAGATTGGTGGAGAAATGTGGTGTCGGTAACAAAAAGAAAGGAGTAAGGGGTCGTTTGGATGGATCAATCTAGAAAGGAGTCAATTTGATCAATTGTCTCGTTTTATAAACGAGACAATTAAAACGAGTCAATTCAAATTACCTGCCCCAGCCCAGGTAATTGAAATTGACTCAAAACGGATCAATTCAAAATACCTCAGACAGATTGATCCATCCAAATTTTTTGCTGACAAACAAGGCAATTTGGTACAATTGTCTCAAAACGAGACAATTGTGTCAAATTCATCCGTTACAATTCCTCATCTAAACGATCCTAAGGCAAATGGGCAATGGTTCAGTATTTTTGTTATGAAAGGTAATGTATAGGAGGATTATACCTGTTTTCTGACGGGGCATGATGGTGCAACGGTGCAACGATAGTAAGCTCGCGGGCAAGGGTTCCCCTTGGCTATTTTCTGCCCATATTTCCTCCATTGGCATCCATCATTCATCTGCACGTACACATTCAGGTCCATAATCAATAACTAGCAACTAAGTAATAACCCCATAAATTAAAGCTCAAGAAACTCAAGGTGATGGGTAGGTATAGGCAGCTGGTAGTAGGTTAGTTAGTTGAAGAAGTTAGTTAGGTACATATATATATACCGTGGGGGTTTGGCATCTGGCTCTAACGCAAACCCTAGCTCTCTTAGCTTGGTTTTGTTGCTGCTGCGACGGCTCATGATCCTGATCAGGATGAGAATCATCCCTACTACTATAAACCCTCTTCGTTGGCGCTTTGCTTGGATCCCACGTTTCATGAACTGCTGCCTTGTCATCCTTCACCGCTTCTTCACCACGTGGGCGGTTAATCTTGGTATTACGATGAGAAGAGGAGCCCAAGTTATCTACAGGGAATTTGGCATCATCATGATCCACGGTCAACCCTCGGCCCAGTGTGAGGCTGCAGCTCCCATCTGCCTTGACCTCTTCTTCCTTATTGTTCCCCGATGAAGAAGTAGTAGTAGTAGTCGTCGTACTTGTGCTGGAAGATTTCTCCTGAATCCGATCATCATTCGTACCAGCGCCACTTCCCAAGCAAAGCGAGAGCTCTTGATCATCACGATCTACTGCTGCTGCCAACATCTTGGAACTAGACGCCGCCGTTGCAGTACCTTGATTACCAAGAAAGTCGAGGAAATTGCGGCGAAGGGAGCTGTAATCCCTCATCATCTTCTCCAACGTCAGCTTTAGCCTCTCGTTCTCTTCCCTCACCTCCCCCATCTCCGCTCTCGCCGATTCAAGCACCACCTCCTGCACAGCTCATCAAATCCCTTAATTAGCTTTCTTTTTATGACAGATACATAGCAGCAACATATACCGACCAAAAAACTATCCACAACTCCATGAATACCCGGCAAACACACGAGGTTGGAGATTCTGTAATATGTAGTACCTTTGGATCGTTGACTTTGGCATCAACTCCACAACTGCTGCGATGAAGATGATGATGAGTATCGTGATCATTAGTAATACGAGGAGGAACAACCATCTTGTCCTCCACGATGGGAGCTGGTGAGGTAGACATGTTACTTTTCTGGAAGAGAGAGCAAAAAAGGGGAACAGGAAAAGTTAGTATTGCTGAACTGGGATCTTGAGCTTTCTTGTACGTGTTTGATTTGTTGTTGCCCGATCGAGATGTGAATTGCTGGTGGCCTCTATATAGAGGGGCTTGTAGAAAGAAGAAGAAGAAGAAAAAAAAGTCGTCTTTTGATTTGATTGAGTTGGGTGTGAAAAGTCGTATGTTGGAAAGTGGCAACTGGCAGCCCAATTCGATCGGCTCATCTTACGCTGCAAACATACAACAAAGGGCCCAAAAAGGTCAACGTATACAGCCTCCTCTGACCCCCCGATATCTACGGTAAGATAACACTCTTCTTTCTTTCTTTCTTTCTTTCTTTCTTTCTTTAAGAAGAAGAAGAAGAATACTTCTTTCCCCACTTGGGCAGTTGGGCCACTTCTCAGTAGTCTCTCACACAGATTTATTTTTAATATATAGAATGGACATCTGTAGACCCTAAAATTAAGAAATCAAGTTCAACGCAGAGAGAGTTAAGGGCACAGATCATTGAATAAGTTGATTCAGCTTTCTTCTGTATAGACCGACTATGAAGAGAGCTGGATTATGAGACTTTAGTTTCCATTTAGTTGAATGTGAATTAAGCACCCATTCCCTGTTGTTATTATTATTATTATTATTATTATTATTATTAGTGTTGGAACTGTATTATTATTGTATTTTCTTGGTTTGTTGGGGGGTGTAATAGCTAGCTAGCTACTGGGTAGATGTTGGTTGTTTAATTTCTCAAGGTTTCTTTCTTACGTCCACACTCAAGAAAGGAAGGAAAGAAGAATGGAGACATACAGGCGAGGCGATGACTTTTGACTTAGGGTTCAGGAAAGGAGAGGAAGAATGCTATAGAGAACGAGAGTCAAAGTTTTGGCCGCCGGTGATCATCATCACTGTTTTGCTTTTTTATATACACATCTGGTGGAAGGAAGCTGTCTTGCTACCTTGATAAGTAGATTAGAAAATTTTGATCTATAGAGAAGCAAATGTTGTTGCAAGCTATCTAGCTTCATTATAGAGGTGTCAAACGGATTGGAACCATGGATTGGTAGATTCATGGATCATCAAATGGATTGGTGGATTCATGGATTAGGATCATATGGATTGGTAATTTGATCTATGGATCCAAATGACATCTAAGTCTTGGATCAAAATGTAGATTTTGAAAAGTTTAGGTACTAAAATGTCATAATGAAAATTTTTAGGTACCAAACATAATTTTCCATTGGCTTTTGAATAAAAAATAAATTTTAAGTACCAAAATGAAAAGTATAGTACTAAACTGTAATATGTCATTTGGATCCATTGATCAATCCATGAATCCACCAATCCAATTGAATTTGGATCAAATGAATTAGATAAATTGGATATTTAAGTAAATTGGTTAATCAGATTGAGAATTGCCACCTCTACTTTATTAACCAACTATTCGGCTTTTGGAAAACATATATTTCACACTCACCTCGGCTTTTTACGTATTGGTTGTAATTTGACCAAATTAAGAGCGGAATTCCTCCATTGCATAAAAACATAAAGGTAAAGACGTTCAGTTTACAGGCCACATAGTGTAACAAAAGATGCAATTATTTTCATTGAATTAAAAATAGATATGTGTAGTAATCATGAATGATTGATGAGATGGGATTAATGGTTGAGAAAATAGTATAAAAACTGACTTAATAAAATTTATGAGATCCTATATATAAAAATTGAAAAGATGTATTGCGAGGAGATAATGGATAAAATGGGTTAATTGGATATTGTGGGAGTCCAATTTTCTTTTAGGGAGAGTTTTGGCTCATTTTTTTTTTATGAGAATAAAAAATTATCATTAAGCGCCAGGACACCCAAATACGACTCAAGATAGGGTGCATTCATGGGTTATGCACCCATCAATAACCAAATCAGGACCCTTCATTTAGAAAACCCAGATCTAAAGATGGAGAATTAAAGACCATTTTTATTTTCCCTAGCTTTTTTAATCGGCTCATATCTTTTTCGTTTTAACTCGGATTTTAATTATTATTTTTTTTTTTGCACAGATGGAACGAGTTCATCGTGCTCTACAAAATGAGATCAATTTTCAATATTTTTTGAGTAAAAAAATTCTGGCCTCTCGGTACCAACTGCATACCATATGATATTTTCTTCGTTGTTAATTCGTTTAAACGTTTGCACAGAAGGGACGAGTTCATCATGATATATTGGATCTACAAATTTCTGGGTGAACAAATTACATGACCAAAAAATACCACACAATACCATACAATACCACCCTGGTACGGGGTGATATATTGTGGTACACAATGATAAAAGTCGTAAATGACAGTTAATATACTTCTACTATCATGTATTCAACCATCCTACAGTCTTGGTTTGTTCATACCACCATGGTACGCTTTTCAAACCATAGGTATGTTCTTATTTCAATACCAGTCAATACCATATGGTATAGACTGGTAAAAAATGACTCAATTTTTTTTGTTCGAAAAATATATCAAAGTGGATATCATTTTGAAGAGCACAATTAATCTGATCTAACTGTGCAAAAAAAAATTAAATTTCGACTTAAAACGAGTGAGGAATCGTCCGTCAAAGATTAAAAAGGAGAAAATTAAATGCTTTCCAGGAGAGAGAGGGATGCTGATATGAGCTGGTTATTCATGGTTACTCACCATAAGGTTACTAACTTGATCCGTTCCTCCCAAATACGAGGGGTCCTCTCAAGAGTACTCTATTACAAACTATGAGAAACCTGCTCAAAACTCATTTATACAGTGGCTATACTTTGTTTGAAAAATCTATCAAAAACCAGATGATCCTTTGTAATCAAGCAATCAACTTCAATTCTTTGAACCAATTGCCTTGTGGTAGCTATGCCGCCATCACCATACCAGTGGTGACATCTCTCCTTCCACACATGCCCATTAACCATCCTCCTTAAGATCCTGCCAGCTCGATCATAATCTGATCCTCCCTGCCACATTCATGATGCCCAAGCAAGATGAGAATCCCAATCACCAAAACAGGGAATGTGTATAGGGAAGACAACCTGCAATATGTAAAGGAAGAAGGGACAGTACTGATAGAAAAGCTGGAACCGGCTCTCAACTCCCCTTGGGCAAAGAACACAGCACCCAGAAGCAATCTTACCCCAATCAGAAGCTTCTCATTTTGGCTCATATTCCATATACTTGGAAAATAAAGAGTTTTCGTAACTTTTTTTTATAAGGGTAGCATAGGTTTATTTTTATATTTATGTGCAACAGAAGAAATTCGAATATGAGACTAATGGTGTTATCATTAGTTTAGGTACTTGTTGGCAGTTTTTGATAAAAATAAGCCAACAATATTTCATGTAGGGATAATCGTCGCTTGCGCCTCATGCTTAAATAAAATTATACATATACATTATCAAAGATAAAAAGAAAATTGAGATGAGATTGTGTGGAAAAATGAATAACGTAAATGAATGTAAATAAATTTAGCATTAGTATGTGAAAAATAAATTATATAAGTGAGTTATGAATTCGATGGTTGGAGCTCCAAAATGGGACGCGTGGGGAAAACAAGAAGATAACTCGATTTTTCATTATCAATTGATCTCAATCATATTGTTTAGTTGATTTATTTTAATTAGTTCATATATATCATGTTATTTTAATTGTTTCTTCACTTTCTTGTGATCTTGTTTATCCCAACAACGTCACATCTTCCAATACACCCCAAAAAATTCTGCCACCTCCCAAACCAGCAGCAACACATCACCTGTCACCCCAGCAAGCATCATATCGTTATCATACATCGTCACATCAACCCTAAGCTTGCGTAGGATCTTTCCCCACAGCCTGCAACCTCCCACAGATTCCTTTCTTAATATAGCAACTCACCAATGAAGATCCTTTCCCATTCCAGCACTATCCTGTTCCTGGCGATGCATGCATTCTGGTTTTATAGAAAGAATATTGCTCCTTTTGAATGAGCAAAGAGAGTCGCAAGTAGCAGTAGTGTACTACTGATATGATGTAGAAAGGAACTGTCTCAAGCACTTTGTGTTTCATTTTCTTCTTATCTCATTCAACTGTGAACCCAATGATTTTCCGGTGTAACTATGTACAGAGGATCCCTAAATGTTACAACAAAGACTGGTGTCTTAAGTCTCAACTCTCAAGCGCCATGTTCCACCACAAGAAAAGAGAGAGAAAAGACCACAAAAGGAAAAGGCTATGGAGGAATATAAAGCAGCAAGACTACAACTAGCAAAAGGATCTGTTCTGTGTGAAACTAAAGCTAGTCTTTCTTCTTTCTATTCATCCATCTGTCAAAGAATCCGCTCTACTAGCTCTTTCATCCAGTATCCTGTAAATTGCTCTCTCTTCTATGTTGATTGGGTAGTACTCTGAGCTTACTTGAAAAAGGGTGGTCCTCTATACAATTCGCCGCGAACAACCAAGTCCGCCGGTCTGTCCCTCTCCTGTAGCCAACCATACCCTTCCTTCTCTTCATCAGGCACTACTACTCCATCGACTGGAAACAGTGTTTTACAAGCATGGTGGAAGTTAGTGGGTTTGATTCTTTAACCCTAACTAAATGAATGGAGGTAGTAGCAGAGCGAAGGAGAGGTACCAGAAAATTGGGACAATGGGAAGTCGAAGTAGTACTGGCAATGCCTGCCTTCGTCATCGTTGTAAGGAGGACCAAGGACATCTAACACTGCACAGGCTGTTACCGCGGTGAAGCAATGCATGTTACCTCCATCTTCAGGGTAGAGTATGGAGGTGTTGCATGGTGCTGTGAGGTCCGAGTTGGTCTTCACCTTCGCCAAACGAACTTTCGGTTGCTGGTTCTTCACTTCTGGCTGCTGCTTACCTTCACAAGCCAGAAGCTGTCAGGCAACATAAGAATGAATGCGAATTCGTTCATTTCTTTCTACTAGACTTACCTTCTTCGTCGAGTACCCAATCATATGATTTTATATGCATTGTCCCGAAGAGGAGCTTGCTAAACACGGTCATTCCAGGATGGTTATGAAGTGGAATGACTCCTGCTGGTGGCAAGCAGAATATCCCAATCTGTTGAAGGGAATTACTTCTCAATTAGTGAGAATCAAGGTTGCAAAACCAAACCTACAATTCACTATCTAGTACCTAGCATCATCATTGCAATGACTTCCACTTACTGAGAACTTGCTGCATTCATGGAGATGGAGGTATCTTATTGCTGGTTTTTTCCCATTGGAAGCAGCTCCATCCAAATTTGCAAGAGTCAGGCAAGCAATTTCTGGGTTAAGCCCAAGATCAGCTGGTTTGATATCATCTACCATAAGCAAAAGAAACCAATGATAAGCAGAAGCATAATTAAGGATATCGAATGGCAACCCACTAAGCAAGTTCAACTCTTTATTCTGAAACACCAATAACTACCAAGCACGCAACACAATCATCCTAGAAAGCTAGCAGCACGCGATAGTGAGTTCAGAGAGACAGCAATTAGAATTATAGGAAACCTCTTACGTACCCAAAACAGCTCTCAGCTTCTCGACATTATCAGGTGAGGGAACAATTCCAGCGCTACCAGATTTAAACACTTCCTTGCAAGTGTCGAACAACCGCTGCACGGGCCTCACCGCCGCAGCGGAGGGCTGCTTCTGTTGTTGGCGTCGCCGGCTCTTCTTCCCCTTGCTATTATTGGCATTCCTAGCCGGAGGAGGGTTTGGCGCCGGGTTCGCGATTGGTTTCTTTCCCTTAGCCAGCTGATCGAATTCTTCGACCCCTATCGCTTTATTATCAATAATAATTCTTGACTCTGCACCCATTCACTTCCCTCCTACTAACCAAACTCTGTAAAAGAAAGAGAGCCAAGCTGAAAGGCCGGCGCTTTAGACACAATTCGCAGCTGGGTCAAAGAATTTCGATGTGGGCGCGGATGAAACTCGTAAACAAACAAAGACAGCTAAGCTGAGAAGTCACGGAGTCATTATCAGATGTTGATGAGGATCTCTCTCTGTTTCGCCATGGATAAGAAGAGAAGATGGATCGATGGAAGAGGGAAGGTGAATTGATAAAAAGGGTGAAGTTGGGTAAAAGGAAAGTAAGGGATTTGTTGAAGAGTTCTAGGGTTGAAGGTAGAAGGAGAAGAGGAATAGAGGAAGAAATACAGTTGGTTTTCATGGACACAGGGGGAAGCAAAACCAGGGGCCATTGTCTTCCGTTTACTATGGGCTGTTGCTAATACCAGTTTTTCATTGTTTAATGTTTATCCATTTCTTTTCTCCCCGTTGTCCCCATTTTGCCCCTGATCTTCAGAGGAAAGTTAGCGAATTGGCCCTCAATAAAATGTTTTCTCTCCGTTTGTACCCTGTTTCAGTGGTAAAGCTCAAAAATTGCAGATTTTTGGTGACCTCAGACTTTGGAAACCTCGGATTTGGGGTGGATTCCAAGTATTTCCAACTGACAAAACAAATATATTGTTTTTCCCCACAACAAGGATTTAACCTCTACGATTTTATATTGTAAAGAGTTTGAATACTTGAGAGAGAGCTGGTTTGGAAACCCCGGGTGATGGTAGAAAACATGAATTTGACCATCAATCTTCCCTATTCAAACAAGTGGACAAGAGCTATGGCACACACAAAAAGAAGAAGAAAAAACAAGTGAAAAAGACCACCCAAATCATGGGCTAAAAGATTTTGGTTTATGGGGCTTTAATATCTGAGTATTGTAAAAAAGTTAGTAGGCAAGAGGATAGCACTAGGTCTATAAAAATGTGAAAGTATGAAATTAGAGAATTAAGAATTTCTTATTCTCCTTGAAAAAACTACGAAATGATTGTTACAATTGTATTATTAGAATGAGATTGGTTCGGTGATTGATAAGATGGGGAGTCAACGAACAAAGTATGTATGTTAGTCCTCATGAAATTCATCTATCGAGTTAGTTCTAGGACTAGGACCACACAATATCTTCTTCCTTTGGAGTTTGTTAATAAGGTTGTTGGATTTGCATTCGGAGTTCGGACTAAAGACTAGAGAAACAAGGGAAAATGACAGTTGAGGTCCTTCTATAAGATGCCCAGAGTAAAACACGAAAGAAAAACAAAGAAAGGGCGTGGACCAAAATATAATTGACGAAATTATGTACAGAATGTTTTTTTGTCGGAAACAACAAAGTGGAAAGGCATGAAAATTAGCAGCAATAATCTGCACCTAAAGGATTGGAACTAAAATAAAACCAGGATCAAAAGGGTAACATGAGGAGCTTCTAGCATATGCATGTGACCCATATGCTCGTTTAAAAGAGGTTTAGACGAAAGAATCGAAAATCTACAGAAGAAAAATAACTGGCTGGATGGACTAGAAGTTTGATAAAAACGATAGCCGAAAACCATACCAAATGGGATAAAAACCATACTCACAAGGGAGGATCTCAACCCACATATCACAAATCAAGCATAAAGAAAATATAAAAATTGGTTACTTTTTGACATATTCCACAAAATTTAATAAACTCTTGCCTCCAAACACATAATATGCATATTAGCTCTCTACAAAGAATGATTGCCCTGACCTCAATTATACAATACGAAGAGTATTTCACAAAAACTTCACAAACTGTATTAAAGAATGACTAGATTCAATAAGGTGAATGTGAAGGAGAGGAGAACGAGTCTCTTCTCCTTCTTGTTTACTTTATTCTTCTTCTTCTCGTGTGTGCTCGAGTACACAATGTTAGCTCTTTTTACATGAATCTCGATTTTCAACTATTAGATTTGTAATGGAACTACTTGGTGCACAAGTTGATAAAAAAAATAGTTGGGTTGAGGCCCCGAGGGTGAGGGAGAATGATCTCAACCTTTACTTTGGAAAATTGTACTAAACTCCAGTATTGTACAAACTCTAAAAAGATATACCAACGAGTAAAAGATCAATCAGTACAGTCGTACTGTCAAAAGAAAAATATGTCATCGCACTTGTCGTTAAGAATTCTATGCATATTGATCCTTCACCAAGATGAACTCTATATCATACCTCAAAGGAAAAATGATAATTTCAAATAAATATGTAGTTGTATCATGCTTTTTCTTTGAAAAAATCGGATATGTGTGATAAAGCCCAGGATTGGGTCTTTTGGCTCAGAATCACGCAGCAAACTAATTGAGCTTAACTCAATTCCAACTCAGCAAACTATGGACGATTAAAATGATGAAGACGACCAATTTTGTGCAATTCTTCACGCGGTGAAAGGCTCGAAACAGATAGGTCGATGCTTGGCCACTATCAAGGTGTTGAATTGATCGATACAAGCTTCCACGCTGCTCGGAATCCACCAAGCAACTCAAGAATTCACAAAGCCAAAGCTCAATGAACCCAAAACACACGTTGTATTCAATTAACTTGATTCTACCTGTTACGATGTAATGGAACGTCCTTAAATAGACCTAGGCTAGCTAACAACTTGATGCGAGAGTCTTAAACAGAATCAAACTAGGAAATCAAAAGCAAACAGGAAAAGGTAAAAGAATCCTAATCCGCAAAGGACTTGGATTGATGGGTTTGCAAGTCAGTTTGGCCAGTCTTCACACGATCTTGCAAAGCTTCGTTGAAAGACTTCAAGGTAGAGGTAGAGTTTTAATCAACCAATCCCACGCCTCTGCACCAAATGATATATATTTTCATGTGGTATAATCCTCAACACTCGAATCATAGCCAAATTCCTCGAATAGGCCTTCAAAGGGAGCTTCTCAAACTGCCTTCCATACTTGGCCAAAAACTGGCAACTTCCCGATTTTGGCAAAGGGTTTTGATGAGCCTGGAACTTGGACTTCTCGACTTCTCCTTGCCAAACCAAACATTCCAGCATGTAAAGGAGCATTTCATGCTTCAAACAAGCCTTCAAAACATCATTTCCATCGAGTCATTGGTAGGGAACAAGCTTGCAAAGTGACCTCCCTCAACCTGTATCAACACTTAGCCAAAATTTATAGTTATTCAAATGGAATGAATTGGATTCTTTGTCACTTAATCCGAGACTTGAGATTGATCTAAAAGAAGATCATATCAATGTGGCATCACCATTGTTCTACATTTGCGAGATGTTACTCAAGGCACAAAAGCCACTTGAGATGATTTGTACTAAAAACAGATAATCTGATCAACAGATAAATTGACCAACGCCAACACAAATTTTCAGATTCTGCAAGCAATGATCATTACTATGCCATTATAAAAAGGATTAAAAAGTTCAAACTCTTGTCAAATGGAGAACATCCCACTCCCATCAAACAAATAAAGCAAATGCAGAGGACAGAAACCAAAAAATTTCCATTGCCGGGAATCGAACCCGGGTCTCCTGGGTGAAAGCCAGATATCCTAACCGCTGGACGACAATGGACTGTATGTTACAAATTTACAATTTACAGTATAATAATAAGCAGCTGTCTGTGGGGTTCCGATGGAACGTGGACAAATCTGTACTATACACAAAATAAATTGAAAACTAAAAATCAACAATTGGGAAAACTGGAGGAACAGATCACAAAAAGTTTCCATCATCGTAGCAGGGAGAAATTCAATCACACAGACTTCAACAGATTTCGCCCATCTTCTTCCTCCTCGCCAGCCCCCCTGGCCTTCGCTGCTTCCCATCGACGGTAGGGTTTCTCCTTCGGAGGGGAGCCACTGGTTCTTCTTCAGATCCCCGGATATTAGAAAGTTGTCAGCTTCCCCCAAAAAATGTACGGATTCGAGGCACTCACCTTCAACATTCACGGTGGCTACCTGGAAGCCATCGTCAGGGGCCACAGATCGGGGCTTCTCACCGCCGCTGATTACAACAATCTCTGCCAGTGCGAGACGCTGGACGACATCAAGATGCACCTCTCTGCAACCGAGTACGGGCCCTATCTTCAGAACGGTGCGTTCCTTTTCTCTCTCTTTCTAACACGATACTGTGGCAATTGGCAACGATCATGGGTTCAGTTCGTTGGTGTTGGGAATCAGAGATGGGAGAGTGGAAATTTTGGATCTTGTGTGCGCTTCCTTTGGCTGGTTATTAGTTAGGTCGCTGGATGTGTACTCGAATTCTGAATCGTGTGTTGCTGCGAAGCTGAATTGCCCCTTCTCTCTCTGAGCTGATTGAAAAATTGTGATGTCGGTGAATCAGTGCTTGGATTGGAAGTTATGGACTTTCTGTTTGAGCCTGCGTGAGAGTGAGATACGTCGTCCCTGTAGCTTCAGTATTCTTAGTTACTTATGAATTTTCCTCGATTCTCTGCCTAACTACAGAACGCCCTTCATTTTAGTTTGAGAATTCTGGATTTTGAGTTGAACTTGAGGTGATTTCTTGAGCATGATCTACTTCGCGTCGGATAGCACCTCATCTTTGATTCAAACCTGTATGTCTAACGAAGGGATCATTCCTATTGTGTTCTCCTCTTTCGCTAGTAAGGTTGGAGCAGAAGAGAATAAGAGATCATTCCTATTGTATCATTATTGTTCGTCAACCATGTTTTCTCCTGCCTTATGGCGTTCTGTGCCCACTGTGTCATATTTGTCAATGTATTAAGTTTGTCTCGAGCTCCAAATTTCTGTTTTTTCTTTTGTTTTACAGCTCTGAAGCTTCTGTTGCTGTGATATTCTGACTTTTGTTATTTGTTTGCAGAGCCTTCCCCCTTGCATACCACAACTATTGTGGAGAAATGCACCCTTAAACTTGTTGATGAATACAAGCACATGTTATGCCAAGCTACGGAGCCTTTATCGACCTTCCTAGAGTATTGCACGTATGTCGAAATTGGTTTTGGGAAATGCTCTTTTTTGTTTCCCCCTTTATGTTTACATTTATTTTTCTTCGTAGGATGGTGGCTTGCATATGAAAATGGACTTCTGTCTTGTGTTCTGTTTTTTTTGTTTTTAATAGATATGATTGGAAATAAAGATTAATCCTTTGCTCACTTCAACAGATATGGCCACATGATAGACAATGTTGTTTTGATTGTGACTGGAACTTTGCATGAGAGAGATGTCCAAGAGCTGTTGGAGAAATGCCATCCTCTTGGCATGTTCGACAGGTATCTGACCTATTCATTCTTGTTTCTCCGATGTTGGTGGTGTTATTTTTTAATTGTTTCTCACTACTTAATGTGGAATCCTTTCAGCATTGCTACTCTTGCTGTTGCCCACAACATGAGAGAACTTTACCGACTAGTGCTGGTTGACACACCATTGGCTCCATACTTCTCTGAGTGCATCACATCAGAGGTATGTTCTTCCTATATGTTTCCCGTACCTTATATCTTGAGGCAAACTAAATGACTTGAATGGTACGTGCATCTTCTTTTTTTATCTTACATCTTTGATGCTGTGATTATCGTGATTAAGTCCTTTGAAAATGGTGGCATGATACTATCAGAAAGGGGAGTATCTCTAAATAATTTAGAAATTGGTGGCTGTTGGTACTGAAGACGTGTTCCAACTCTACCCTTTTCTGAACTTTGAAGCATTGACAGCCTTACATATATGGTCATTTTCCCCTGTTAAATTAGTGACGATCATTTAGTTGTATGTTAAACTCCCAGACTGTTATAGTTCATTTCCATTTTTGTAAAGCTAGCAACAGTTACCTCTACTTATTGGAAACTGAAAAGATCAAACTTGTTTAATGGATGGAGTTCTAAGGGTACAAATTATATTTGAACCCTGTAAACTACCATTGCAGTTGAAGTGATTCGACAATGCAATTTTCTACTCTTGTTGACATACTATTGTCAAATCTCTTCTGGCTTTCCCAGGATTTGGATGACATGAACATTGAGATCATGAGGAATACACTTTACAAGGCATATCTTGAGGATTTCTACAGGTTTTGCCAGGTGAGGTTAGCTTGAGGAATTATGTTAGTAATGTTACAAATGTTATTTCCGCTCCTATTTTATAAATTTTATGTGTTGTATCTAATAGATCAGTTTCGTGTGTTGCAGAAACTTGGTGGTGCCACAGCTGAGATTATGTCTGACCTCCTTGCATTTGAAGCGGATAGGAGAGCTGTTAATATCTCCATAAATAGGTATGATTGGTCCTCTCCCTATCTGTATCAGTAGCGTCTAATTTCGAATATGTTGCTTACTTGATCCATTTTGTTCCTTTTGTTCAGCATTGGCACTGAGCTTACCCGTGATGACCGAAGGAAACTGTATTCTAATTTTGGCTTACTGTAAGATCCTGATATGGTCTCTCTTTGTCAGATGTTAAACATCTTCTTACTCTATGCCTTTTAGTGACATCGTGATGGTTGTGTATTGCAGTTATCCATATGGACACGAGGAACTGGCTGTGTGTGAGGACTTGGATCAGGTTGGATATGAGTTTGATCTTTCAAAGAGGAGCGTCCATATGTTATGTACAAGTTTATCATTTGTCTGCTTCTTACCGGTTCACAGGTCCGTGGTGTCATGGAAAAGTACCCTCCATATCAGGCCATATTCTCCAAGTTGTCCTATGGCGAAAGCCAGCTGCTTGACAAAGCATTCTATGAGGAGGAGGTGAAGAGGCTATGCTTGTCTTTTGAGCAACAGGTTTGATGTTTACTCAATCTTGTGTATGCCTGGTTGCTCATGATCAATCACCCAGTGACTCATTTTTTTGGTATGATTCTTGTGCAGTTCCATTATGGGGTTTTCTTCGCGTACATAAGATTGAGGGAGCAAGAGATCAGGAACCTGATGTGGATATCTGAATGTGTGGCCCAGAACCAGAAGTCGAGAGTTCATGACAGTGTCGTCTTCATATTTTAGATTGCTGTTAGAAGGGGCGCTGGCTTATATCTCCATAGCCACTGGTTTTTGGGTTTCTTTTATGCCATAATGCTGCTGCTGCTGTACATTGTGCCTTCTTGCTTGCTTCCAGATCGTGAACTTGGTTGAGCTTTCTGCCGGGTCTGTGTCGAAAGTGAAGGCTTTTACCAAGTATCTATTATGTTTTCTTTATCCATGCGAGGGGAACTTTCTTGTACTTAATTTAAAATTTTCATACCTAGTATTTGCTGTTGGAAGGAGACTGCTTGGTTGCATTGTTTGCTGCAATGAAGGAAAATAAAAATGTAGGCTTCCCGCCAGTTATTTTGTTTTGATACAAGTGGAACTTCTGCTCTGCCTAGATGTAGAAAATGAAGGTAAAGTCTATAATCTATATCAAATATTTGGCATTGGTTTATCCCAAAAAAAAAAAAAAAATTGCCATTGGAAGAATGTAAAGAGATCCAAGTCATCAGGTTAAACATGATAAAATACCAGACTAGACCAAACATGATAAAATACCTCATGAAAATCACCATCCCAAAAAGGTGCAAACTTGCTGTGATATGGATCGTTGAAAACGCAAAAGTTATGATATGTACCACTGGAAGTCCAATGGGTTACATGGGTTTTAGGCGGTAAAGCTTGAGCATTTCTGCCGCCAAAAGCGACGGTGTCCCTTCTACCGGCGGCGCTCTTTTCGGCTTTTCCCCATTTGGCAGAGATGCTGGGTCAGGAAATCTCCGTTCCCAAATGTTCCGACCGGCGAAGCACAAAACGGATAGGCCCTAACCTGGTAAACAGTCTTTGTAGTTTCTAATCTTCTATGTGTCGGACTTCGGAGGAAGTAGAAGCGTAGCACCTCCCTAATCGGAGAAGAAGATGGCCGAACCTTCTCCTTCCCCTCCACCGCCGGGTTCAACCACGATTACAGACTTGAGCGTGGACTCGCTGGCTCACTGCGCCAATTACCTCACTCTTCACGACCTTTCCAACTTCTCCATCTCTTGCAAGTACCTTAATGGCGTCGCCCACTCCGATTCCGTGTGGCAACGCCTGTTCAGGTTCGCCTTTCCCTTCCCTCTTACTGCCCTCAAAAGTTTATGCATCTCTCTTCGTTTGAGTCATTGTCTTCTGTAAGACGAACTTAAAATCTGATTTCCTGTTGCTGAATTGGATTGGGTTTATGCAGAGAGCAATGGCCGCATGTTGTAAGGCCCAATTTGTCGGATAACTCGCGAGTCAGGGAAGCTTATTTGGCCAGGAAGGCTGCTGTGCGGCAGTTCAGGTTTGCCGATCCTTTGGTTGCAGACTTCTATACAGAGGCCAAACCTTTTGATCATATCCTATTGGATGAGGACGACATTATCTATTCTCAGGTAATTGTGCTTTTGCATTCATGGGTTCCCAGTTTTTCTACTGGAAGTTGAATGTTTTTCCTGGCTGATCAATAACATGATCAGGGTAATGTCATTCAAATGATGGGCATAAGTAGTTTGCTAAGGGGCAGAGATTCCATAACTAGACTGAGTGATCATGGAGCTAGAATCACTTGTATGAGGTGAGTGGTTACATGGATAATGGATTTGTTCTCCATCTTAAATGCTGTGAGCCTATGAGGATTGCCTAGTACTTAGATTTGGGTGACTGATTATTTCAGTACGATCTCAATACTATTCAGAGTTCTGTTTACTTACTGTGTTCTTGTATTGTGTTTCTTCTTGTCCTTCTAGAGTGTTTTCACTTGACTTGCGAAGTGCGGCCCAAAGAAAGCAGAGAGTGTTGGTAACCTCAAGCTGTGACCATTCTATTCGTGTGTGGTGGAAGGTATTGTATCAATTACTTTTCATTTGCCACTTTTTGGTTGCTCAAGATCTTATTTGCCTCGCACAATCGCACATAATGTGCTAAATATGATAATTTGCATTGTGAGATGTTTTATACACCATTCTTTAGTTTCCTGATGTGGATTAGCATTGTGGTTTCATGGTTTAGGGTTCTTGCCAAAGATGTCTTAGAGGGCATAATGGGCCTGTTTCGTGCTTGACGGATAGATTTCTCGGCGATGGCAGTTCAACAGTACTAGTCAGTGGTGGCGAAGATTGCACGGTTCGCCTTTGGTCCCTAGGTTCAAGTGGAAAACGTGGACAACATGCTTTAAAAGCTACTTTGTATGGGCATGAGAAACCTATCAAACAGATGTCAGTTGCAGAGTAAGAGATCATTTCTTGCTATAGCTCCTCCCCTCAAAACCTCGACTTCAGAAGATGCTCTCATTTTTTTCCGTCTTTAACTTTTCTTCGTATCTTCCAAGGAGTGCGGTCTTATGCTTTGTTGTGGCTGATTAGTACGTTGTAGTGTAACCTCTGGAATACTTAGACTGCTGATCTGCGGGTGCTTACTCTTTTTATGGTGACACTAATGCCTTTTCTCTCCCATGTTTCTTCAGGCACAATTCTTCCCTCTTGGTTAGCATCTCAAAAGATTCCAAGGTAACCTACTAGTGGTTTGTATTCACTTCTTATTACCCGGGTGCCTTGAATTTTCTTGATTCAAAGTCGTGAAAAAGTGACTATCGTGGTACTTGTAAAATGTAATAGGTTAGGCTCTGGGATACCACTACATCATCTGCTGCTCGTTCTTCCTGCTGTTTGGGGATGGTTTCTGTGCCTGGTGGTGCACCTGTTGATATGAAGTGCAACGAATCGTTGCTTTATGTAGCCTCTGGATCCTCTGTAGTGACAATCGATTTAAGGACCCTGCGGAAAGTTGCTACGCCAGCAATCTGTCAACCAAACTTACTCTCATTCGCCATGGTGCCTTCAAAACCCTTGATCTGCACTGGTGGAATGGGCAAGTAAGTGTGTATATATATATGGTCATCTATTGCATTTTTGTCATTGTATGAACCAAATGTCTTGGTACGGTACAGGAGCTTGATTTGGGACATCAGGAGAAACCAGGAGACGTTGAAACCACAACCAGTGGTTGAGCTAGAAGGACATAATGGTCCAGTAACAAAGCTACATGCGGACCGATACAAGATTGTTACAGGAGGGCCACATGATAGATTCATACATGTCTGGGAAGCTGGTACTGGAACACGAACGAATTCCGTTGTCTGTTCGGACCATGAGGACGCTGAAGAAACCAGCTCTGGGTGTTTGGGTATGGCTGTTGACAGAGCTCGAATTGCGACTGCTACAACGGGCGAAGGACATGGACTCATCCGGTACAGAGACTTCTTCGATGCTACTTGCCCTGTATCAAGAGTGGACGATCATGATGAGAACTCTTCCAAGTTTTGGGATCAACAATCGTATGGTGACAGCAGTGGAGATGTTGATGGAGCAGTACTCAAATAGGTTGTGGACTTTTGGTTGTTCTTTTGGAGCATACTTTAGTGTTTGTACGAGCTTGGTTCCTTAAATCCTTTGCAGTCTGCTAGCAAGTTTGCTCATCATACTAATTTGTGACATTGTAATTTGTAAGACCACATTGGAGTTTCTAATATATTCTTGATTTATATTTCATCAGAGGACTTGAAAGAACAGTGACATTAGATGTAGAAGCTAATGTGTCTAATATGGATGTAATAGATTAACTATAGAATCACCTAGTTAGTTTTTGCAAATGTAGTGACTATTTTGTTAGCAGCTCAAACAGTAGTGATCGGTTCTGTAAAATCAACAAGGCGGTTGACCGAGGGTGAACTCTTTTCCGTTTTCAACTTTTCACTATGGCGAGCTGAGCAGAGCTTCCTATATCTCCTCCGTCAATTCCTATCTCTCTTCAGTCCAGCATCGTCCACATCAAAATGCCCACCACCGTCTTCTTCCTCCTCCTCTTTCTCTTCTCCGCCGCCGCCGCCGCCCCGGTCCCGGGCCTCGACACCTTCCTAACCCACCAATCCCGCATCGACCCACAAGCCTCCAACGACACCTTCGAATCCCTCCCTTCCACCCTCCGCAAATCCCTCTCTTCCTTCCCTCACGCCGCCGCTGCCGCCGGCAGAACCAATTCCCTAATCTCCTCCCTCCTCTCCCTGTCGCTCCCGCTCTCGATCAACCTCCGCCTCGTCGGCTCTGCCTTCCCGGCCAACTCCGAGGCCGTCCTCTCTTCCTTCTTCTCCTCCACCCACACCTCCGACCACTTCCACGTCATAACCCCCGATCCCGTACCACCTCACAGCGGCTCCCACCGCCTCGCCGTCCGCCACTCCCCTCACCTCGACGTCTCGCACTCCCCGCCTTCCCTCGCTTCCCGACTCTCCGACGCCATCAAATCCGCCATCGCCTCCACCCCTTCCCCTCTCCGATCAACCCTCCTCTCCATCCCTTACGACTCCGTCGACCAAATCATCCGCCAGGAATTCGATAAGGAGAAGCCCGCTCACGGGATCTATGTCTACTTGATCTCATTGGGTGCTCAGTCCAAGAGCTACGCTTATTCGTATTTCCCTGGCGATTCCTCCCCTGGCTTCACTAAATGTTCAGGGACGATTTGGACGGGGAAGGAGAGATATCTCTGGATTGATCTCTCCGCGGGGCCGGTGGATTATGGGCCAGCTCTGTCCGGCGATGGGGTTTTGCCCCGAGGGGAATTTCACCCTCTTGCGACTATGCACGGCCGGCCCAAATCACAGAAGGCTCTGCTCTCTGATTTAGCTTCATTGATTTGGAGTGCTTATCAGGTATTGCTCGTCCCCTCACTGAGAATTCCAGTCCACTTCGATAGCGCCTTGATTGTTCAGTTCATCCATGTTTATGCTTCCAAGAATGGTAAGGATACCACTGGTTTGGACTGGAAAGCAATGGAGAGGTCCTTTAGGGATGGAGCTAGTGAGGATGGTTTATTGCTAGGTGATCAGTCTCTAAGCTTCAAGAGCTATGAAGTGAAATATGAGGAGTGTTCAATTTGTTCTTATGCCATTTCGAGATCGATCAATTCGTACACCTCGAGGTTCTTGTTCGATAACTATACATTGATCGTGAGTGAGTATTTGGATTCCAAGAGATTGCACCAGATATTGTCAGACTCGGCTGAAGAGTTTAAAAGGGTAGCTGGAATTCCAGAGGAAGATTATGCCACAGTGCTCCCTGTTTATGTGTTTGATCTCGATTACAACATGCTGCTGTTGCTCGATCGATACCATCAATCCGTTTCCTTCAGGGACATGGTTGTAGCAGTGAGAACAAAAACTACCCAGACAGTGAGCGATTACAGCTGCAATGGTCGACATGTGTTCACTCATACACGAGACCTCGAGCGACCTCTTGTTGGCTCGATTCTCCAGAGCATGTGGGGAGTTTCTCCAACTCACTTGTCATGGAGTCCACGACACAACACAACTCTAGTTGACTACACTTGGAGCGTGGGGCAGACACCCTTCGGTCCTTTCTCCAAGTCTTCGACCTTGTCCTTTGTGCAGAAGGATGCAGCTAGGAGAAATGTGCTGTTGACGTCGTTGAATTATAGTATAACAAGTGCGATTGAAGTTCTTGGCTCGATGGAAGCTCATGGCGGGGATAGGAGGCTGCTTAAGGATAAGCAGCATGTGGAATTCGTGCAGCGGTGGAACTTGTTCAAGCATAAGATTGATAAGGCAGTTTCTGCTTTGTCGAGATTGGACTTCGAGATGGCTTTGTATTATTTACGGTCTTCAGACCATGATCTGTATGGCATCCACTCGTTGGTGTATCGTGCGTCGCAGGAATTGGAGGCGTCACTTGCTTGCTTCAAAGATCCGCCCTTTCCTTGGGGATCAGTCTCGTTATCCGCAGGAGGGTTCTTTGCTGTGTGTTATTTGTATGTGAAAAGGGAGAGCCTTTTTAGGAACAAGAGGAAGCAGTTTTGAAAGGTTTGGAAGTAGAAGGGGTAGAGTTTTTCTTTGTGCATCTTTTGAAAGCACTATTAGGGTTATGAGGTTTAAGTTGATGCTGACTTTCTTGGCTCTCACTTTGTCATACAAATCTTACTGTAATTCTGGTTTTATTGCCAAGATCAATTGAGAACGTGCAATGGCAGAAAGTCCAATGGAACTCTTGAATCTTGATGCTAGTTTTTGCTGGCTCTGCCTGTTGCTGTTCTGTTTCTCTATAACTTGTTTTATAGCACAATTGATTACTTGCTGTGGATTTCCTTCCATGATGTGCAACAAAGTCGATGATGGCTGTAATAGTGGGGTTGCTCATAAGACACTGCCAAGTGGCATTTTCTTCAACAAAATGTTCACCCACAGCAGAGAAGTGAAAACCAAGTGAACTTCTGGTTACACTTTGCAACAAGCACGATGCACAGAAGGTTTTGAGTGCGTGGGCAGTTAAAAACCAGTGGCAACAAGCATAATCAAACCAAAATGACCAAAACAGCTCTCATTTTTTGGGATGATGAAGAAAATTAAAAAAGAAATTAACCAACTATGCACTCCCCAACTGGTCCTCTTTTCCAATACAGACTTTACATCAAAGAAAACCTGGAACTGGTTAAATAAACAGAAAGGCTGCCAGCCAAACACATCGCCGCTGCAAATAGTCACAGAGCGGCTGTAAGTTTTGCTTAGTCTGATTTCTGAAGCTATACTGCATACTCGAGCCTCATCGCTCCGTCTTCCTGCTTAACCTGCTGCATACAGAACGGATAGACAGACACAATTGCATCATTATCAGCTAACAAAATCAAACACATTGAGCAGAAATTATATCAGTGGCAACGATTTCTTTCGATCTATTCAGAGTTCAAGTGGCGGCGTACCTAAGTCGAAGAAGGAAACGCAGAGGAGAGGAACTCCTCATCTTCCATGAAGATCTGCAGATTATTGGTCTTCATCAGGAAGTCAACGGCTGCTCCTTCGAATTTGACGAGAACAGCCAGCTTGATTATCGCAGAGAGAGCAGTAACTTGTTCCTCTTTCTGCTCCCAAAGGACTCCCTTTGCGATTACTTCAGAGAAACGGCAGGCATACTCAAGAATATTTCTTCCGCTGCTATTGCTCTCCTCTAGCCTCTGTGTGTACAACTTGCCCTCGTCCTTATCCCAGCGGATCATTTGGGTTGATTTCACTCTGATGACTTCCCCTGAAGATAAAGTCAGGCTGTAGGTGACGGTCAAAGGCTCCACTGTCTCCAGGACAGTGAGATTAAGGAGGATCTTCACTTTTTCATGCCTCATCTTCGCTTCCATGTCGAGAGATGGATGAGCTAGAAAGCCAAGTATGATCTTGGCTAAATACTTCCATGTCAAGATACTCAGCTGTTTACACTCGTTGGCTGCTGTGGCTGCTATGGTGTTCTCTTCTTCTTTCTGCACAGACTCGGAAATGCCACGAACTCCGATCCCCCTGTAAACTTCCATCAATTTTGTCCGAGGCAAATACGGAGAACTTGGTTGAGGATACCAGGCAAATATCGAGTGTTCTGAGAAGAGTTCCTTCAATTGAAGGTCATCCGCAATGAAAACGTCGCGCTTGTCCGACATCAGAATTTGTCCTCCAGATACGACTGGCAACTTCGACACCTCTCCAGCGAGAATTTCTTCTTTCTTTGAGCTAAGGCACTTCATAACAGCAAAACGCCAGAATGCACAGCACTCCGAATGCGTCAAACTATGAAGTGATGTTTCCCATGTCTGCCAAAGCTCGCAGTAATCAGTAAGCGACGGATTACTTTTAACACCAAATGTTTCATTTATGAAATCCAGCAATCTGCAGTTGTAGTGTTTCTCCAAAACATATAATTGGGAACCAAAGAGTCCATCTTTATCATGCAGCACGCAATCTTCTGGATTTACCCACTCCCCCGAACGACTCCCACTACCAGGAAACCAAATTCTGCATGCGCTTTGATCATTTGCGGGCTTCCATTTCTGTTGTCTCAAGAACTCATATATCCGAATTATGGCAGTTGTTTCGGAGTGCTCACCAAGTTGTCTGGCAAGTACCTTGCATACCTCTTCTGGGTCAATGCAAACTCCAATCTTCCTCAGCTCTTCCTTGTATGATGCAATTTCGGGGCCGAAAAAGGATTCGTCGATGAAAGGCCCATCACTCCGCTTCAGACCCATCGTCTCCCAACTGGAATCAAACAAGCAGCTATGCTTTGGAGCCCTGTAACCAAAAACAGTTTTCAACCATTCTCCGGAAACTTTGTCAATAAAAGACTTGGGAAATGAATATTCTCTCTCCTCCAGTAAAATCCTGATGCATTCTAACAGTGAACGGACATTTGAGGGAGAGATGGTGGATGGATCCTCAGGGAAATAAAGACAGGAAGGAACAAACTTAGCCCCGTCTTTCAAACTAACAACCACCCCCATAAGCTTGAGCTCTTTAGCATACTCGTCAATAATGTTCTTTCCGTAGCCATTATTGCTGTAACTATCATCGAGGAAAGGAAGGCGGGTAATTGCAAGGAGAGATTCCCATTCAGGGCCGAACAGAATACACTCTGTTGGAGATCTATAAACACCAAGCCTTGTCCGGAGCCACTTCTGGGATCGGATGCAGGTTTTGATATCAGAGAGAGGTCGCTTGATTGCCTTCAGACGTCTGTAGCAGGAGAGAAATGAAATTACATGGTCCTTTGTGATCTTTGACAAAGATGCCTGCTGATTGAAATTACTCACGAAAGCTTTGGAGGCATCCTCGAAGTCAACCTTCACCCCCAGTTGTTTCAGTTCTGGCTTGTAGTCGATGATTCCATCACCATAGAACTTGCTATCAATGATTGGGGAGGAACCCCAAAAAACCTCCAGAAGGCAGCCCCATTCAAGGTCGAACAAGAAGCATTCGCCAGGAGACCTGTAACCAGCATTGGTCTTCAAACATCTAGCTTGCTGTATAGTGGCAACTTTGGAAGCAGCATTCTTGGCTTTACGCATGCATTCAAGAATCAGGATAAGAGCTTCTTTTGTCAAACCACCAGATAAGCAAGCACTCGATTTCAAGTGCTGGACGATAAGATCGTGACTACCTGCCAAGCAAACTTTCACACCAAGACACTCGAGTTCTTTTTCGAAGGAATAAATTTCCAGCCCATAATAAGCATCACTTATGCAGTAAAGTTCACTGATCTGATCTGCAATTGTCCACTGCCCCTTTCGCAGGACACATTCATCAGGAGAATGGTAACCATGTGATGTCGTCAGTAACCACTTCCCTCCTTTTATGCTTGAAATAAATTGATCTGGATCCAAGAATTTTTCCCTTAGAAATCTGATGAACTTAAGTATTGAAAACACGGTGCTTTTTGTCGAAGTGGAGGAATTAACATGTGACATGAGGCGGCGACCTATATATTCACAAGCTTGGTCGTACTCAAACATCACTCCAATTATTTTGAGTGCCGCCTCGTACTTAACAATATCTTCACCATAATAACTCATATCCACTAGAGGAATATCAACTACCACAGATCCATCCTGTAAAATGCTTCCCCATTTAGAGTTTTTCTTCTTCGAGGAAAGCAGGAATGACTGCGATGGTGGCTTATAACCAGAAGACCCATTCATTGTAACCTTCAACCAGCTACCATTGCTTATGCAAGTCAATAACTTATCCGGTATTGGTATTCGATTGGATATGAGATGATTAATCCAATACAACAACCAAATTGCATTACGCTTGGTAAGTGGTCCTGAAACTGTAGGAATCTCCGCATTGGGAGGAGATAAATGTGGAATATCAGAAGCTCCAACATGAGTTTTAAGAAACTCCAATAATGGTTTGCCTCCGGAGGCCTGACCACAAAAACGTGCTTGCTGTAAGTACTCTTCGCCTAACTCAATGAAACCCTCTCGTCTCCATGGATTTGAACCAATCAAATCCAACCATCTACTTTCACTACCAGGAATGAGGACTACATGATCCCGAGCTTTTATTACATTGCCGTAGCTATCAACAAGTGGCATGTCCTTACACAGATTATCCACCTCCTGGTCTGACAGATATTCAGCAGAGTGTGAACGATACAGCAAGTGAGCATATGCCACTGCAAGCTTCTGGTCAGTAGCTAAATGATCCCTAAGCGAACTTGAATATCCATACAAGTTCAACTCATGAAGCCCTGCTACAGATTTCAGCCATTCTAGCACAGTGTTCCTCCTTTCAGATGACCTGAGCGCATCTTGTGTTGCTTTTGGAAAGAAAAAGAAAGGTGTTATGTGCCAAAACTCTTTATTCCAATCAATAAGCAATGCTGCATATTCAGATTCCTTTGACCGACACAGCACCCTCCCACTTTTCTTGTAGGCTGATTCATTGATGCTGCAGATACCCACATCCCCATTAGTAGCAACATGTCTCAGCAGGGGCACACCCCTCAAATTTGCGTTCCTCAAGTTTGTTGACCAATTAGCAGCGATGAAATGAAGAAGCTCTATGTATAAATCATCTGAGATTCCAGTCAAGAGATTAGTGCCCTGGATGCACTTTGTATACCATTCATCCACCACGAATCCCACACCCATGAATTTGAGAACCTTGTCATACTTACTCAGGTCAAATGAAGAAGCAAGGATATAGCATCCGTGGGATGAAAGATTCTGAAAATTGATGTTTTCCTGCCTGGCCTTCTTCAGGATGTTCCAGAAAGCAGGCAAAAGCCGACTAACTTCACGGGGCTTGTGAAAGTACTTTTGAGCCTTATAAGATTCACTCGGCACAATGCTCTCCTCAGCTAACTTCAATTGAATAGACTCCCTCACAACATTTAGGAAGGGATAAGTAGAGGTCTCGACGGGCAAAAACCGAAACATCGGAGGCAAACTAGAAATTGGAGCATCTTCGCTGGTTTTGACCAACGCAGCTAATGCATTAACGAATGCTGCCGGGACACATCCGAGAATCCCTTGATTCCATCTGTTATCAAGCAGCACGGCTTCCCTGGACGACGACAGAATGAAATCAGCTTGAATGATGAAGGGAAAATTAGTAACCATTTCCGTAGGAAGAAATGCATAGATTCCAGGTGAATGCCCTCCTCTGTGAAGACGCTCTCCATAAGGGAAAGCTAAAGTCACCAGCCATTCCTCCACATCCATTCGCTGCTCAACAATATTTTCTCTTTTCACCGGAAACCTCTGCTTCCACATATAGTAGCTGCACTGGCCATCATCACTTTCACCGTTACTCTCAGCCGAAAGATGAAGGGTGTAGGACTCAGCATCAATGTTCTTCCTAGACACGTAATCAACCTCCTTAGTAATAGCAATAGCAGAAACCGTGTTGAGCTTGGGATTTTCATTCTCTTCCCTCACAGAAAGGTGCTTTATCTTTGAGAGAAACAGCAAGACTTCAGGATGAACACTTGACAGTTGCTCCTTCACTGGTTTCACCTTGTCAGGCTTCAATGGCAGTACCAATGTAGTGGTGGGAAGTCTGGAAGAACCATACACTTGTTGTATATCTGCAACAGAAGGCTTGTCATCATCAACCCACTCAGGAACAATATACCCAAGCTTGCAGGGTGGGCGTGGCTTCTCATTGAACCGAATCTTATATCCATTGCTGAATATGTGAGGCCGAGAAGTGATCAAAAACACGCTCTTGAACCCAATTCCTGCAATCAAGTCAGCCAAAACAAGGCCATTAGAAACAGCCCCAAGATTGGTTTACTTCTCCCAATCTTTTCCTGTCCTTTTAAATTACCAAACCTGGAAGGATCGTCAGTATCCAATAAGCAACCGCCAAAGGCAAATCAGAACTGCTGATTACTCCTAGATTTACTTATAGTTAAAATATACAGGAAGAAGAAAACAAAATTTCGTAGTAAACAACAAACACCGAGACGAGCATATATTGAGAGATAGAGCACACGGAGAAAAAAAAAACCTTTCTCCCCAATGTAGCCGCGTTTCCTGTTTCCTTTCTTGGTGGAATTTCCCACACTGCAGATGGACTCGATATTCTTCGCCGAGAATCCCTTCTCGTTGTTGAACACCAGCAGCGTCGCCGGAGCTCCGGTTCCGGTGATGTCCCGCGACGTTATGACGAACTCCAGTGAAGGACCAACTCCCTCCGAGTACTCGTTATCTTCCGCATTCTGCAAAATCAACCATAAATCAATCGTTCAAAAGAATTAAAACTAAATTTTCCAGAAACAATAAACAAAAATCCAACAGACACGGAAGCGAAACCTGAATTAGCTCCATCAGAAAGTGGACGTCCTTAGCGTAGAGTTCAGCGGAGAGGTACTTGACCGCTTGATCGAGCATGGCGGCCAACGGATTTTCCTCGTCCTCTCCGATAGAGAACGTCCGACGACGAAGTTGCTCGATGTGCTCTTTCGGCGTCGCCATTGTTGCAGTGTTTACGAAATCAATCACAGGGATTGTGGAGAAAACCTGAGGGAAAGCAAGAAATCAAATCAACGCAAGTCCTGGTATAACGCGACTGTTAGCTTTCTCTGAGTGACCACTGACCAGTGAAGAAGAAGAAAACTTGCAGAGAAAGGAGAAGAAAACTTGCAGAGTAAGGAGAAGAAACTGAGACGACTGGGGTGTGGGGAAAAGCAGAGTGAGGGGGGATGTGGAAAACTGGAAATTCGAAATTGGAAAATGAAAAGTCAGTCGTGGAGGAGAGAGTGCGGATCCGGTGTAGGGGGCTTAGTCACTTGACTAAGCCCTTCCCAGCCCTTAGATCTGGACACATCAATCTGATGGTTAAAAAGTGGGAAGAGTTATTTAATTAATGACAGGGGTAGTTTGGGTATTATGGAAAATTACAAAGTATACAAACTGGATTTACAATCAGTACAAACCATACAAACATACGAACAGTACAAACTAGAGCGACAAAACATACAAACATTACAAACGTATGAACTGTACAAACAATACAAACTAGACCGACAAACAATACAAACCATACAAAAAGAAAAAACAACCGGGTTGACTTTGGAGGCTCCATCCCTATATAGAGGGGCTCCTTCCCAAAGTCAACCCGGGTGTTTTTTAGACATACAAACAGTATGAACATGGTGGACGAAAATGACAAACTATACCGACAATCCATACGAACTGAAAAAACACCCGGGTTGACTTTGGAGGCTCCATCCCTATATAGAGGGGCTCCTTCCCAAAGTCAACCCGGGTGTTTTTTAGACATACAAACAGTATGAACATGGTGGACGAAAATGACAAACTATACCGACAATCCATACGAACTGAAAAAACACCCGGGTTGACTTTGGAGGCTCCATCCCTATATAGAGGGGCTCCTTCCCAAAGTCAACCCGGGTGTTTTTTAGACATACAAACAGTACGAACATGGTGGACAAAAATGACAAACTATACCGACAATCCATACGAACTGAAAAAACACCCGGGTTGACTTTGGAGGCTCCATCCCTATATAGAGGGGCTCATTCCCAAAGTCAACCCGGGTGTTTTTTAGACATAAAAAACATTACAAACATGGTTGACAAAAATGATAAACACGATACACAAAAATGACAAAGTTTACAAACATTACAAAAAAACCCGACAACATTACAAAATAACAAAGCGTACAAACATTACAAAAAAAACCCGACAAACATTACAAAATAACAAAGCGTACAAACATTACAAAATAAACCGACAAACAATACAAAGCATACTAACAGTACAAAAACTCTCTCTCTCTCTCTCTCTCTCTCTCTCTCTCTCTCTCGTGGGAACTTGGGGAATAAATTCCCATAACAAAAAGTGACCGCACAGAAATTCCCTGGTCGGCGATGGCGGATCCCGACGGGAAAAAAAAAAACGAGACGGGCCGCAGGGAGAGAAGAGCCGAAAAAAATTATTTAATAATTGAAAGTTAAAAATAAATATGGAATGACTACATTACCCTTCATTAAATTGGACTAATAGGAGCCCTTGAATTTTAATGAGGTGGAAGGGTTGAGATTGACTTAGTTGACTAAGGCCTCCCCTTAGTCACCTATCCTAGCCCTCGAGGAGAGGAGTCTTTGTCTTTTCGTTTCCCAATGGTGGGGCGCGTGGGGAAATCAATACGACGTGACGTGGTTTGGGCCTGTAAGTGGAGGGCTGGAGTAGTAATGGCACAATGGGCTGGACGTTATTTTGGTCCAAAACTCTGGTGATCTATTCTCTCAAAATTCATCTTCATGTTTATTACATAATAAAAGCATGACCTTGTCTTTATTGCTTTTCCTTGCAGAAAAACGGACCTTCACAAAGGCCATCATGCATTGCATGCTAATATCTTCCTTTATCTTCTCTACAATTTTCCAACCCAAAATGTCATAGCAAAATCTTCAGCCAACTTTTGTTGCCACTAGGTCCAAGTGCGTGCGTTAGAATGCCACACAACGAAGCGAATGAAGCGGCCCATCTTATGGCTCATATAGAGACTAGGTGGAACGAGAAGGTTGTTTGGGTGGATCGACCACTAATTATTTTTATTGATCAACTGTTGCAGGATCATGTAACCGCTTCGTTTGATTAATAAAGTACTCACAGTTTCCAGTAAAAAAAATGCCACACAACGAAAGTCGGCGTTAGACTCCAAAATTTGTGCATTGAGTTGTCATCAGTCATCACGGTTACATCAACATTCATCTTGAACATGCTGATTGTTGATGTGACTTGAATCGGACTATCAGCCGCTACGACTGGTAATCGGGGGTCTCGCTGTTGGTGTATGGGCTCAATGTTATTTGGGTTCGGGTTCTGGGCCTGGTCTGTAACCGTTTCATTTGCCATATTGGATTAGGTTTAGACCCACATGGAGAAGTATTATAAATACTTATCATACTCCTCTGTAATCTGTAATCTCCTCGATATAGTGAAACTGGCTCTCTCTCGCCCGTGGACGTAGCTAACACACATCGCGTTAGTGAACCACGTAAATCGTGTGTCTGTGTTTTTTCGATTCTCGCTTTCGTATTCTTGTTTTATTGATTCCGGCGATTTCCCGATTCGTAGCAGCACGTTTATAACACTGATCATTGGGATTAGAATGTTCATTTAAAAAACTGTGTGAATAATTAAGAGAGTATTTTATGAATGCCGATTTCCAAAATAATTATTTATTGGATATCATTGTTGTGAAAGACCAGGTGTAAATAAGACCAATGAAATGGCGAGAAATCCTCAGCTTGCACGGTTTGCAGTAGCGGAAGTATAATTTGAAACTATCCATGTCTCCTTTTCAGAATATACATATAAATAATTAATAATTAATAAATTAAAAATAAAAATAAAAGTATCTAATTAATTCATTCGTAATTAAAGAAATAACCGACTATACAATTACTATTTGCATAAACTATCACAATGCTTTTTCATATTTTGAAATAAATTCAAAATATATCCATTGGCTACACTCTTAAGAAAGTCTCTTTCAATGTATCCCACTAAATAATTATTAGCAAATCGATCGCCAATTCAACTTCGAAACTTGTTTTTAATATAGCTCAAGCTAAAAAATGTTTTTATTAAACTTATAGTTGCAATTTGTAGAATCAAAACTACCTTTCAGAAGCAAATAAACTGAAGGAAATGACATACAATTATGTCTCTACCATTACTCGAGATAATTCATCATGAACAAACAATTGGCGAATAATAATGTCATGAATGAAACCAATAAATCAATTAGTGTTTTTGTAAATTAAAGAACAAATAATGAATTGTGGTGTAGTGACAAAACATTCTTATGTTACGTGTAAGTGTGATTTTTTTTTTCGAGCCCCAAGTTTACCCCTGTCCTGGGCAAGAGCAAAAATGGGTTTGGCTCCGCCTATGACTGTTTGGTTTCACTGTTACAACGATAACTTTATTCTAACCGCAACACATGACACACAACCATTCATCCAAAGTACGCTGACTACACTTAAAAAAAATATTAACCGTGGGACAGGTTACAGTGATTACTATTTTATAGTAATCACCGTGGTTACTAAGGGCAAACTGGGTATAACAAAAAATTTATTATGATCTTTTTTTAATAAATTATCTTTTAGGAAATTACATAAATATATTAAATACAATTTTAATCTCTCTCTTTCTCTCACTTCGACAATTTTTCAGCCAGATCTCTCTTCCTTCTTTTTCTCAATCTTTCCTTGATTTCGTTCATCCAAACTAATACCGCTGCAACAATAAATCAATACCAATCCATTAAAAAAATACTACCATTGTACAAAACATCAATACCATTCAAAAAATAAAAACACTATCATTTCACAAAACATCAATACCATTGCAGATTTAATCACTACCAATGCGACAAAATCAATACCAATGCGACAAAAATAATATCAATGCGACAAAAACAATACCAATACGACAATAACACTACCACTACGGGAAAAAATGACTACAATTAAAAAAAAATCACTACGGAAAAAAATGACTACCATTTAAAAAAAAAACATACCAATCCGACCGGAACGACAACCCTACGCGCATGGAACGACGAGTCCAATCGGGGGCGACGGAGATGATGGAACAGACGGCGGAGGATGCGCCGTTAACCATGCCGCAAGAGGAACCGACTAGTGCAGAGGAGATGACGGCAGCCAACGGGGAGGCCTGGCGCGACGTTGAGCCGAGGGAAGAGGTGGTACAAGGCTGCCGATTTGCATTGCAGAGACGATGGTGAGCGCGACGGTGCTGGGATCGCCATCCATCCGACCGGTGGCTCGCCCGTGGCCGGAGAAAGAGGCGCTTGTTCCCAACTCGCTGAACCACAATATCCTATGAATAAACTGACCTTGGAGCACACATCAGAGTGGCCAGAATACTATCAGTCGCAAATACGGTAGCCTTGTCCTCATTTGCCAGCCTGCGAATCACCGGATCATCGGTGGTGGTAACCTTGAAGAAGTTGCGATTCTTGAACCTCTCCAGCCGACGCTCGCTCTTGGGCGTGACCCTATCGTAGGTCCGATCATAGAACTCCAATCCGCCGCAGAGGAGCAGATCTTCCGGCTCTGGAGCGGCGAACGAGAGCTTGGAGAACGTCGAGAATGGGCTCCTCTCTAAAATCAGGTCGCCGCCGAGGAAGAAGCTGGCGGACAGGGTAGAGAGCTTGAGGCTACAGCGAGTTTGACTGTAGAAGTAGGGTTAGGGTAGAATATATAGAATAATCCAGTGTGGTCTTTTTTTTCTTCCAAAATTATCCTGAGGCAATCTTAACCGTAAGATTAAAAAAGGAGGAAAGAGAAGAAAATAAATGGTGGATACTGATGTAGCCATGGTGGCTACTAAAAATTCAATCACCACCCTAACGCATTCCTAATAAAGTAAATTCTCTAACATACCGTTGGTACCAAATGAATCAAGAATTCGTTTCATTGTCCAATGAATTACCGTATAGAATTCATTGTCAAATGAAATCTTGTGTTTGATATGTCATATTCAAATCTTTAAAAATATAATGAATTGTCGTGTAGAATTCATTGTCAAATGAATTCCTATGTTTGGTATGTCATATATATAAGTAATTTAGTGAATAAAGAGGATAATTATGTTATTCTATTATAATTAGTAAATAGTTGTGGAATTCATTTGGAAATTCCATCTCAATTCCTCGGAATTGCTATAACTAGTACCAATTCATAGAATTCAAAATTTGGAATTGAAAATAAATTCTTTTAAATACCAAACACAAAAATGTTTCATTTCAAAATGAAATTCGCAAAACTTATGGAATTCATTTATACCAAATGGTATGTAAGTAAGAAACATAACTTTTAAATTTCCCACGCAAGAATCATTCTTGCGCTTCTCTACCAAACAACTGATGTTGCAGACTCCAGGAATGGCAATGGGGCAGGTCCGGGGTGGGTTTCTTGGTACCCAAACCCGCCCGTGGCAAGTCGGGTTCAGGTCGTGTAATTTATCATGGGTCGGGGAAGGTCGACCCAATGGGTATGCAATTTATATGAAAAATATTAGAAATATTCGTTATTTTTATTATAAGACCAAGAAAACAAACAATATTATGATAAATGTAGTTAATTAATAAGCACCTTGCACAACACATCTTACAATGTTTAAATTTTATACAATTATACATAAATTATCTGGTAAATTGCAAGTTTGGTCACTAGAATTACATAAAAAGTTAAGGTTTGCTACTAAAATTAATTTATTCCATTTATAGTCACTAATATTAGTACCACCGTTCAAGTTTGGTCACTCTCCGTTAGTCTCCGTTAACTTTATCTTACGTGGCAGTCAACTCTGAGAATTGACCGTTTAATAAGCGACATGGCAATTATAAAAAAAAAAATTAAAGACTTTGCTATGGTGGCATGCAAGTGACCATAACTTGCACTTTTAGTCGACCTCATATAGGATTAGGTAGACCTAATCTACCGTTTCAGTCTTGTGCTAGAAGGCAACTTACTTCGTAGCAACTTCGAGCCTTTTGTTTGAAGCCTTCCAGATATCCAATATTTCATCCAATGCCTTGACTTTGTAGACAAACATTACTTTCATGTGGTAGAGGCCTCTGGACTCTAATCTCATCCATGTTTCTCGAATTGAGCTCCAAACTAAACTTCACAAACACTTTCCCAGACTTGGCCATTTTTAGGCGGTTTCCCATTTTTGGCATAGTCTTTTGATCAGGTTCAAAACTTGTCTTCTGGACTTCCTATTGAGCTCCCAAGTACTTCAATGTGTAGAGGGACACTCCAGCTTCAAAACAAACAATTAATCTCCAATTTCCATGGAGCCAATTGTAAGATATCAATCTCCAAAGTAGGTACCATAAAACTGTTTTTACACTGAAACAACATATTAGGTCGACCTAATCCTAACTGAAATCGACCGAAAAATACAAGTTATGATGATATGCATGTCACCATAGGCGCACCAAAAAATTAATCTCTTAAAAAATTCCACCTTCTTATCACAATTAATTGAAAATTTAAAGAATAATAATTGCAATAAAAAAATGCAAAATTGAAAAAACCAAATTCATTCACCCACTGCTTCTTCTAAAAAAAGGGGAGAGCCATGCGTGCAGCTCGTGGAGATCTCCCGACGACCCATCGCAGGGGGCTGGACTTTATTTTGGTCCATGATCCAGGACTCATTATTCTAATTTATGTTCACATTTTATAGTTTTTTAATTTATGATAAAAAAATTACGGATTTTTAAGGTGTATTGCTGTATTTATGGAAGTAGTGTATGAAATCATATTGTACTGGGTGTTCGACTAGAAAAATTTCCTACTATGGTACTAAATCGGTAGATGGGTTTTAGTTTTATGAAATGGTTGAAGACGGTAAAACATGATTTCAGCACAAAATAACTTTCCGCTAATTTTTGCGGTACAAATTTTGGTATAATTTTACAATCTTTATCTAGAAGTAAGAAAGTCAATATTTTTATCGAACAAAATTTTTAGTAACACCTAATTATACAAATCAACTTATGTTATCGAAACAACTGAACAACTATCACATTACAATAGTAGGTTGGTTCATTTATTTGGAAGGTTACTAATGCATCAAACAATTTTTAAAGGTTGCACATGCAACTAGATGAATCGCCTCTATTTTTATATCAGTTCATTATTTTAACCAAAAAGCAGGTTTAGGAAAAGAACATGGACGAAAATGAACAAAATTAAAGTTTCTAATTATTTTTTACTTCATATTCTTCGTTTCCCAACCTTCTTGTCACCCTTACGTCATTCACTACCTACAGCCGCTCTAATTGCTAATTTAAATTAATAAGTTTCTTAGTGAATATAACAATTTTCATAGAATTATTTAAATACTCAGAATCTTTATTCATGATATCAGTGAGTTATAAATGGATTATTTTCTGAATGCTGATACTGAAAATAGTTATTCATAGAATATCATTATCGTCTTCAAGTTTGATAAAATACGCCAGAGACAACTATCGTTTATCAATATGGATCTCGTTGAATTCATTAACAAGAAAAGCACCATATAAATTATACGGGAAAAAAAAGCTAATTAACAAGAGAACAAGGAGCGCCCGATGGCAATCCTCTGTAGATTGATAGTTATTAATTTCTATGAATTACACATGTGGAATTTCGCAGTACTATTCCACAGTAATTATTAGCATATAGAAGTCGTTAATTAACCCTAATTAAGTAGCACTGACCAAATTATCTTCAACAAACTACTACTACAACCTGCGTCGACGTTGCTTCCTACCTCATCATCATCAGTAATCCATCAAATGCCTCCCCATCTTTATTCTTTGTCCAGAAAGAGGCACTCTTAGGAGAGGAAAGAACACGCTAGCTCGCTCCACGTCATCATCAGAATGCTCGTATTGTTCCCATGCATGCACACTAGTCACTACGTACTCATCCCACGACGTCCTTTTTCTTGTTTGCCAAGTAATCCCTAGAAAATGAACTGGAGCTCCCTTTCGTGCAGCTCAATCCCATCATCCTTGGCATTATTGGAAGAGTAAACGAACGGAATATCGCCGATCCCATCGTAAAATATCCCTCCGTAGTCATCCTCATGACCACCGCCGCCGTTCATCACGTGCCCTCCACCGCCGCCGCCGATCCTCCCAACGTCGACGTCCTCCGAGACGACGTTCTTCTCGACCAGCTCCCTGAACATGGTGGACCGCAGCAGGAGCCCCAGCGCCGACGGTGCGCCGCCGCCTCCCGACATGGCGGATGACGTGGACGAACAAGAGCTGCTCTTGTTGTTGTTGATGTTGGCAGCTTCCTGGAAAACTTGCTGCTTTGTCGGCGAGCTGAGGTAGTCCTGGAAAAGCTCCGTCTGCTTGGCCGTCGCGCCACCGAAGTAATCGGCGGTGAACGGAGGAGCGGTGGTGGTGTGGAAGAACGGTGGTGGTGGTGATGATGAGGAGGAGGATTTGTTGCTGTTGTGGTCGTAAGTGTGGAGGAAGTTGTTGGTTATTGTTGTTGGGATGTTGTTGTTGGTGGTGTTGAGTACTAGTTCTTGTGAGTCGATTATTGTGTGTGGTTGGTGGTGTTGTTGTTGTTCTTTGGCGGCGACTTGAGCGGCGACGTCGGGTTTGAGCCAACGGATGTAGCTGCTCAGGTCGAAGTTTGTGACGGCGTTGATCCCTCTGTACTCGATTGCTGCTATGTCGTAAGCCCTGGCGGCCTCCTCCTGAGTGCCTGCACATTCAAAGGAGTATGATAATTATGTTATAAATATGTTGTTCTCTTATCTAAAACCCAAAGTTTCGTGGTGATGATGATTAATGAGTGAGAGTATGGGTAGCAGTAGAATGGAACTTACTGTAAGTGCCGAGGTAAAGATACTTGTTGCCGAAAACTCTCCCGATTCTGGCTTCCCATCTTCCATTGTGATGGTGTCTCGCAACTCCACGATACTTGGATACGCCTCTAGAGAAGCCGCTGCTCTTTCTGTAACCAAAAAATAATGTGTTCAGGCGATTGCTAACAGTAGAGTGAATATAATGTTGATTTGATTGGAGTAATTATTCTAGTTACCTTCTTAAGGAGGCCAGGTACTCTTCTTTAGTTACTGTTTTCATGATCTCGATCTCCGTCTCATAATCCGATATCTATATGTAATTAAACACAAAATATAACATTGTAAGACGATGTATGGTTGTTTCTACTAATTCAAGGAATGTAATTGTATCGATTTTCAACATTTCCCAATCTTGGTACATACCGGGAAGTTGGTGAAAGTTGAGGGTCCCCAGTACTTGAGTGCTGCCAAATCGTAAGCCCTAGCTGCTGCTTCTTCAACGTCATAAGCTCCTGAGAAATTATCCCACAAAAGAAGAAATATATGTTAAAGGAATATTCTTGAAGTAAGAAAAGAAATATGTCAGATATATAGAAGGTTTCATTATATATGAGTGACTGACTCACCAAGATAAACTGTTGATGATAAGGAGATCCCCAAATTGTATAGTTCATGAAGACAAATGAACATGTCAGTTTCTGTGACAAAATACCTACACTATAGTAGCAAGAAAAATGAAAGATGAAACAAATATAACAATATGTTAATTACCTTGTTTTCCTTTCTTCTTCTGGGTGACATTCCATGACAGTTTGTCCCACAAATGTGCTTCAAATCGCCCTGTCCATCTATGTCTGCCCCCAAAAAGGCAACCAAAAAAAAAAAAAAAAAAACAAAGGGTAAGAATAACTGAATAAGACATTTACTCATCCTTCACCATCCTCAGATTTTGATATGGTGTAGTACACGTAGAGAACTTAATAAAGGGGTTTCAAAAAAATTCGAGACAAAAAATGGTCGTGACAACAAATTTTCCACTTTTGGCGACCAACTTTGTGGTCACAAAAAGTTTAATCCTTACAGTAAGGGAGAGGTTTAGTTACGTACCTGCTGACACCGCGGAACCTGGAGCTTCTTTTAACGGTGGAGGCAGGGGAATTAGACGGCTGCTGCTGTTGGCCATCACTACTTTGAGGAGTACTCCCATCACTCTTTTGGCTCCCGGCAGGTGAAGCAGAAGCAGCAGATTGATCTCTCTTCCTCCTCTTCACCGACCGAGTCGCCGCCGTCCGGTGAGCCTGATCAGCGCCAGTACCATCACCCCCTAGCGACAGCCCTCGGCCACCGCCGCCGCCACGGCTCCCCAACAACTCTTCATTCTTCACCAACATCGTCATTTCCATGTGTGAGATCTCAGTTCTCTTGTAGCTAGCTTTTACTCTCTCTCTCTCTCTATATCTTTTAGCTTTCTTCGTCTCCTCTCAATTTCTTCCAAGTAATGTGTTTGGGTTTTTGGCTGTGGCTAGCTAAGGCTAGCGGTGGTAGAAGTTGGAGTTAGGATGGAGAGACAAATGGTGGAACAACCAATGTCCATTATTTATAAACCAATATTCGATGTGGTTTTTATTTTTAATTTTGTCTGAGTGCTGTAAATTAATTTGTTGTTGTTGTTGCTCAAATTAAATGACGTAGCCGGCCATGATTTTTACATTATAAGATGCACTAATAAAAAAATGGTTAATTTGCCAGCTAATTTTCTGTCGGGAAATGCCTGGATTCTATAAGCCTACAATCCTTTTACTTGTCGTGTTATTAGTTTAGTTCACATAATCTAACTCTCCATTAATTGAGAGTTGTACATAATCCAACTTGTTGCAATCACAACAAGAGTTTGGTGATTGATTAAACAAGTCCCAGTTTAAGGTCCTTGAAATTACTAGTACGATTAGTCCAAACTTAAACAGCTGGGAGTGAACAGTTGATTTGAAGCGGGGAGAGAAATTAATTGAGTTTTATTGACAAAGTTTTTAAGCGATCTTTGTACCAATTTTGCTACAATCTTTTTAGATTTTCAAATAGTTCAACCTCTAATACAAAATCAGAGCTTGGGGTTGGGGCAGGACTGGGTATGTGTTACCGATATTTGTAGGGTAATTAATAAAAATGGTCACATAGGTTCCAGTAACAAAATGGTTAGAGACGTTTGAAACGTAATAAAAAGGTCATATACATTATCATCAAATAATAATAAAAAAATTCTTCTTTATTAGCCATATTTCCATCCAAAATAACCAATTAGTTTACTTACACCGTGCAAAATTAACAACAACCGCCTAACCAACCTGTAAAATTACCTCTTATATATATTCAGAGCAAGCAAAGTACTGGACATTCTGGATGAAAATATGGACGGAAAGACATAGAATAGATTTGTTATATCATTATACTTGTGTGACCTTTATGTTACGTTTTCAACGCTTGTAGCTATTTTGTTGCTGACTCAGAGTTATGTTACCGTTTTGATCAATTGCTCGATAATTTTATATGAATTTGGGTAATGCGCGACATGTTCATATGTTTGAGTGGGACAGGAAAAATCACGGGGGGGTGTTAATGCAATGATGGTAATTTGCATTCTTTAGTGTACATGTAATATTTTTGTCAGTTAAAAATCAAATATTAAGTGAACCCTGTATAAGTAACGTCAAACTTAGGTGACCATTTGTATGTAATTAAGCCAAGGTTTAATTAGCTCAGTAATTCAACCCATACTACCAATCGAACCATTGGTCAGTATGCCGATTCCCTAATTTGGCAACAGCATTTTCGCAACTCCCTCGAGTCAGAAGTGGTAGCTAGTAACATGGAGACTTTCGAAAAATACCAGATTAGAAGAAGAAGAAGAGATTATTGAAACGAAAATGTGCCGTTGGTTGTTGCTTAATGCTTGGGTAGACCCATGACCATGAAAATAGAAGAATATGCTACTTAATTAATTTCAAGCCCCCTAATAAGTGAAGTATAAAATACGTTGTACAGTACATTGATTCCAGTATATTGAGTGCATGTGCATATAAAACTTTATTTATGTTGTTGGTAAATAATAAGTAACATGAAATAAGTTTTTTAGTTCATGGGAGTGACCAGATATATCTCTATTTACATCATAAATTAAACTAATTTTGAGTTATGATTATTATACTCCTTCAATAATAGAATACTCCAGGTACTCATAATGATATATCTCTATTTGAGCCGTGAATTGAATCGAGTCTGAAATATGATACCGCGCACCGACCTCTAATGAATAGAACGCATACTTTGATTTTTGAAATCTAAACCCAAAAAGTATTTTTTTAATAAAATATAATAATCGATGATTTCGATTTGTTGAAGTACAACAAAATACGTCAACAACCATATCAATCACTTGGAGTATATCCGTTGTTACTGATACAAAGTCCTAAAATTTAATTTCAAATGTGATAATTAAAGCTTTGAAGTGGGTCAGTCATACTACTTTTATATACGTATTGAAAGAGATTTGGTACGTATTTAGATTTGACAGTCGAATTATAATGACAAAATTAAGGTGTGAATGTAATGGAGCTGCATGCCCCCTACTTAAGGCGCAACCAGTATACACTCTACAGCTTTCGTAACAGTGACTCTTCTTTGGACCAATCGATATATACACTTGCGGCTGCATGCGTCCATCCCAGTTGAAATTAGAAATCTTCATAATAAACTTTTGTAATTATCAATATAATTAATTATTTGCTGATTAGTGTTACTATTTTAATTCCCAATTACAGTTGGTGGTTTTGTGTGTTTTCTGTGGTGGGGATGGAGATGGAAGGAAGGATAGAGTCGGATTTGGTGTCATCGATTTTTCAGAAAATTTTATCCCACGCCACCTCCCCACTGAAGATGATGACAAAACAGGAGAACTTGGTCGTTTTTATTTAATGTAATTTTCCCCGCTACAGGATTTGTTTGGGATAGGCTGTCCTTTGATAGAAGGAATCGCCTCTGATACCAAGTAACTTCACTAGTTTAATACTGAAACAAAGCTTAAAACAGTTTTAATTACCTTTTCTTTTAACTGCAGTAACGGTATTGTAACTGCCTATATATATGGTGTTCTTAAGCTGCTAAACTTGATTAGGGTTATTGGACTTCTCGGGTACCATCAGTAGACATTAGGGGTTGTGTTATACAGTATAAATGCTGTTTGCAGACATTCATATTCATGTTAAGCCATGTCCTTTGTCGGAATAAATTTGGTCGTAGGCTTTTGGAGGTCACAATATTATAGGACATATGATGGGGGTTCTCATTAACGGGTCTAGCTACTTGTCGTTACGATCATTAGCGGACACTTTAATAAATACTAATAAATGTTAGTAGACTACACAATCAAATGTCGTTATAGATATTAGCAAATTCATTAGTAAACATTGAAATGTTTGGTTACGGAGTCCGGTGTTACATTGTACTAGCCAGCGGCGGATCCAGAACACAGAAGAGCACTGGGCCGCATTTCATTAGAAAATTAGAACCGTAAAAAAAAAAAAAATAATGATTATAGTTTTTTGCAATGTAAACTGTACACTACTGTATTTTAATTTGGGGAATGCATCAAGGAGTCTACATACATACCAATAATATACACTGTTTCAAATAAAATACTTGAGCAATCGGCGAGAAATTCATCGCTCATTTTGTTGAGCAAATCAGTTCTCACATGTTTCATTGTTGAAAAAGGTTCTCTTCATAGTAGCTGTTGAAACGAGCAACATCAACACTAGATAAATCAATCGACTAATCAATTTGCATTGTGTGTCCATCCCTGCACACCACCTGCTCTAGTAAATTTTTAAGGGAACAAACCTCATATTTCTTTAGTCTTTTACGTTTTAAACTTTTTAGAATTTTAGGTTTCTTTGTTTTTTTTTAGATGCATAATCTTTGGGGCTAAAATTTCTAGGCTAAATTTAGAGTAGTGATTTGAATATGTTCAACTTGATAATTTTTCTAGTTAAACCCAATCATATCATAAAATAACACTGGGTTGAATGTCTAAAATCAAAAATTTCATAAGTACTATACTAACTACGGATCCAGAGGAGGGCTGGGCCGGGGCCCGGGGTGGCCACCCCCTGAATCCGCCAGTGGTACTAGCATTAGAGGGTGCAATAACTAGGTGGAACACTTCTACTATGCTATATAGTATTGGTGCTTTAATGTACAACTTGAAGTTGTATCATAACATTAAATGTATAAGTTTAGGTTGTATCGTAAAGGAATTTGTATCATTATGTTATGGTACAACTTTACAACTTCAAGTTGTACCATCATATAAGGTACAAGTTTAAGTTGTACCATAAATGAATTTGTACAAAATGTATAGATACAATCTGAAGTTGTACCATAAAGGTAAAAACCTATAGCACCAATACTATATAGCATTGTAAAATTCCTCTAGCTAGGTGATGATTCACTTGACTTGTAGTTTTTGTAGACTTAGTCATATTCTTCAACAAGGGCATTCCAAAAATAAATAATTACGAAGAAACCAAATTAAGCCAAGTGTTTAACAATGCCTAAATAATCTCAGCCTACAATGGGTAAAGTAGAGTGGTTGTCTTTCACACGCCACATTCATCCACAAAACAGTAGCCTCAAAGCAATGCCATAATATGCCATATCAAAATCATCGAATTTAAAAGTGAGAAAAAAAAAATCATCAAATTGAATAATATTCCTTGTGTTGTCCCTATATGTCTCAATTAAGTTTGTTGATTAAGTCAAATTGACAACTAAATTTGTATTTTGCTTGATTACGTTGGGGCTTTTTCCCAATAAAATGGATATTATTGACTTGGTCAATTTTTTTCCATTGATTTTCCATTTTTCTAAAATTATTTGATATATGTACATATTTGGCTATATGGCATAAAACATTAGAATGTCCTAATCATGAGTAATTTACCAATCTGCTAAGTGTGTAAATGATGAGTCACTAACATATATATGATCATATCACCTAATATTGGTTGGGAATGTTGAGGCAAGCTTTGGTGTTAAGGAAAGTGTCTCTTGGTTTTCTTGGCAAGTGTTTGTAAAATTTGTCTCTTTCTCTCTTCCTTTGTTGATGGATGTACCCTCTTTTGTTGATGAAAGTGTCTCTTATTTTTCTAAAAATATCTCATTTCTAAATATGAATATAACAATATAGTAGCATATAATTTGTATTCTGTTATTCGAGTTTACAAGCCGAACTTATTTAAAAAGCTAAGCAGATCGTTAACAAAAAATATTCAATTTTTAAGACAAATAGATTTCAATTTTAGTATTAAATTATTAAAACGTCGGGTTCACAATAAACTCTAATATGTATTCAGTAAAAGCAATCAAGTACTGGTACTTACATGTCAGACCGAACTGATTTTGGTAAGATAGATATTTACATATATTTAAATTTATTTTTGGATGAACAGTTTTGAAAATTCACATTTGGATGCTGTTACATGAGCTTATGATAGGATGAATTGCAAGTTTGGTCACTCATATTACAAATTTGTTTCACATTTGTCACTCGAAAAAAAATTCCTTCAAATTTGCCATCAAAACTACACACTTATATCAATTGTGGTCACTCTCGTCTAGTTCCATTAAATGTGTCATATGTGGCGGTCAATAGTTATTTTTAGACTTAAAATGGTGATATGGCAATTAAAAATAAATAATTAATAAGTTTAAATATTTTATACTTTTACAACAGGAAATTGTCAATTAAATAATATATTTTTAATAGTAATTTAATGTTCATAAATATTTTCTATGTGAATAAAATAATAGCAGGGATTGCAAAAAAATACATTTGATAAAAAATTTGCTAGCTTGACAGATAGGATCACTCTGGACTCTAAAATATTTAATGTTAAACATAATTTGATACGTGAATTCACCTGTCAACTTGATTTTTTTAATGATAATTTTGGATATGAAGAGATTTAAACATGCCAACTAGAGATAATAAAATAAGTGTTATTCATGGCAAGATAGTGTTTTCCAAAATTTCCGATTGAATGAACGAATGGAGTTTGATTTGTGCCTAATCAAATTTGGAACATGAAAGAATTAAGTACGACTTGATATTGAACGAAAGAATTGAGTACGATAAGAACACACATGCTAGCTAGTTTTAATAAGGGCACTTCATAAATGGCTTTGGTATTAAAGTGACGATCATATGAAATATTATTCATCATTCTTGGGAAACAAAAAGGATTGTTTGATTCTAGAACATAAAATAACATGTATACCTTTTCATTGTTTTCCTATGATTTGTATGATCATATCAACCCACTCCCAACAACAGCAAAATCACAACAAGATATATAGAAAAATGAATTTCGAATACAACACGAAAATAAACAACAACAACAACGAAATAAAAATAAAAAAAACAATCTGGCCTTTGGAGCCTCCACGTCACCAATCACAAATAGAGTATCTATCTATATCTATCTATCTATATCTATATCTAAACTATATATTATGGCAATTCAAAAACAATATCTTGCCACATAAGCACTTGGAGGATCCACAATTTGCCAAGTTGGACATTTTTTTTCAAACAAAAAAATTACTTATTAATGTATTTATGGAGATACCTCTCTCTTCTTTAATATTTCCATTTCTTTTATCCAATTATTCTTTTTCATTTATCCATGTATTCTTTTTCTTTGCTTTAATAATAAGTTATATGTTGATAAACTTAACCAAACACACATAAATAATAATTTTTTTGTCCAGAAAACAAAATATAAATAAGAAAACAGAGAGTCACATATACCGTATTTGTTTAAATAAAAAATATCTGATTAAACCTTATGAAGAAAATTTTCTACTCTTTTTTACTAAAATTGAATGATAATTTACATTTTGATGAAAAAATTAAACAAACATAAACATAAAAAACAATGTTTTTATCGATTAAACAAAATATATATGAAAAGAGAGAAAATAAACACTTAACATTCAATTACCTTTGAAAAATAAATTATATTACTTTACTTTATCCTTATCCTTACTTAATATTATAGGAATTCAAAACTAAATCTTTGCCACATAAGCACATGGATGACTCTAATTCTTCCATGGTGGACAAGTTCTAATTATAAAATTTTTCCTTACACTTAAAATCATCATTATTATCATTAAAATGTGCATTAAGTTAATAACAATTAATGCAATCTTTTGGTTTGTTACTATTGATTTTCCGGTGTAGATGATCTAAATAAAATTGGAAAAATCAAAGATAGAAATTGGGTCAACCCCTATAAAACAAACAAAACTCTTTTCTTATTTACTCAAAATTTTTAGATTTCTAGCATTTCTGTTTTCTTCTCTACTATTTTATGCATAGATACATCAACATGTAAGGAAAATGGTAAGACATATAGAGTTTTTTTTCATTGCGTCAGTTACAAGAGGCAGCAATTAGATGAGAAATAATTGAGTAGTTGTAATATATTGTTCCTATTGGCAAAAAAGTTCTTATCATTGCGAATACGAAGTAAACCAAGCCAAGTATTATCGACAACTCCCTATTCTCCCGTGATCCGCAGCTGATGACTGACCTCTCTTCTCCAACGGTATTTGGTTGCTTGTGATTAACTGGTCGGGTTCTACTCTTCTTTCCATTTCTTAAGTACTTTCATATTATGGTGGCAGGGTTGTAAATTGCCCTACTTGATCTACCATTGTCTTTCATCTTCGCTTTAGGTATTATTCAAAACTAAATTACTACCACATCAACACATGGATAGCTCTCATCCTTTCATGGTGGGCAAGTTTTAATTATAAATGACGTACCTTATGTTAACACTTTCAATCGTCATTATCATTAATAACACATAAATTTAAGTTAATAACAATGAATGCAACCTTTTAGTTTGTTTCTATACGTTTTTTTTTTCTGTATAAATTAGCTCTCTAAAAATAAAACCCATCATTAGAAAGAATACAATTAATTGAGTGGGTCAAGCCCTGTAAAAACAAACAAAAATCTTTTCTTCTTTGCTCAAAAGTTCGAGATTTCTAGCATTTCTCTTTTATATTATTCATCAAATGCTAAAATGGAAAACAAATTGTGAGGATTGTCACCTTACCATGTTCCATTAGAGGATGTTTTTATATTTATTATGTTCATGAGTGGCTTGCTACTAGCTAGCTTTACAATGATGATATAGTCAGTAAGTAGTAAGTAGCAGGGGGTATAAGTAGAAGGGATGTGGAGTTTTATAAAGGTCACAAATAAAGTGGTAGTGGTGGTCATTGGATTGTCTATGTCGATGTTCTTTCAATTTATTAAAGTGTGCAATGTCATTTGTTTGTTTTCTTAGCGTGGATTGATGCATCAATCCAGTTCATGATTGAGGATTTCATAAGATGGAACGAATTGAGTTGTACTGAAGTTTGCAACTTTCACTATTCGTCTATGTTGTTATTAGGTATAAAAAATATTCGTTTTGCATAGGATATTTAGCCCTCTACTAAATATCAATTATATTTATATGCGGTTAAATTTGCTGAAAATATTATTGTAATAAATTAATAATAGTTGATAGTTCTATTTCTGGTTGGTTATGCTAGAACATTGCTAAGGTAAACTAAAATGGATAAGCAGAAGATTGATTATGTGGATGCTAATGAGATTTCTTGCTCTATCAAAATTACATGGATAACTTATACTGCATGATATTCATAGGATCTAAAATAATAATAATAAATAGTAGACACAAAATAGTTTACATAAAATAATTTAATAAAATTAGTGTTTCATTAATAAATGGAAGATACAAAGGGTCTAACAATATCTTCTTATGAAATAAGGTAAAGGAGATTGAAATTTTCATGTATAATAGTGTAACATACATGAATCATAATAAAATAAAATAATATAATGAAAAATAAATCAATTTGCACCGCCCAACGGGCGGATTAAAAAACTAGTTTTTCTTAATGTACAAATCATGTATCCATCACATCCTTCTTTTAAAGGCTTCTTTCTCTTGTTTTGATTGCTTCAACTTGCCTAACACGGTTGCCTAGCTCTGCACTCAAGTGCTCCAGCATATCTTGTCATCCTCGTCGCTAACACTGCTGGTTTTGGCGTGAGCATGAACTTCTTAGCTGGTCTTGGCTTCAAACTTGGATTCCCTGATTCAATGAAGTATGCTCCATTCATGAACAAGTCACCCTCTGATCTCCATATCCAATTCCTCCATTCAGATTCTGCTGCATAGTCTCTCTTGGTCACCTACATGTCGTGCAAAATTAACTCGTTCATAACATCACTCGAGGATTAATTCATTGCAAGAGAACCCCATAAATTAAAAGAGCTTCATTTCCAAACTTTGACCTCACAGTTATATATTAGTTACCTGCTTCAGCTCCTTCTCCGGCGGGGCGATGAAGCGATTGCCCTGGCTGATAATGGTGGGATGTTGGCTTCCTCCAATAGCATACAAACGCCAATGGGTGTAATCATTGTTGACCACATGGAAGAAACCCCATCTGCACCTTGGCATTCTCTGCACCAGCCCTTGTCCAAAATGATTGTATGCAACTGTGATCTGCATGAATTGATCTCCTGAAAAGCTATCACTTGCCCCCAACAAGATCGCCTGTTCAAGAATGAGAAAATTGCTTGAGCTTGTCATAAAGTGTGGGTGGGTGAAATTCATTCGGAACTTATAAGCGTGAAAGAACTAGTTGGTCTCAATAACTCAGCTTGTTGGAAGAGGTTCAATTATCGATCATATATCATTTACTGACACGTCCGTTCAAGCGAAAACCAACTCATATGGGCTTGAAGTTTGCAAAGTTCCGAATACCATGTGCTTAACCCAATAACTCGAGTTGTTGGAAGAAAGTTCAATTCTGGATCATTTATCATTTACTAACAAGCCTCCTCGAAAGAAAGCCAACTCATATAGGGCTTGAAGTTTGCACATATTTGAATACCATTTTCTTAACAAATGGCGGTCCTCGATATTGAAATACGAGACTTTTTCTGTCATCAAAGGCTACGATACCATGCCAAGAATCATTTGATCTCAATGACTCGCGAGTTGTTGTGAGAAAATTTTTCAATCCCGAATCATATATAATTAATTTACCAATAATAAAGATTTCACTTACATCATTGTGGTGGGTGAAATGACAGTTCGAGAGGGTGACGGCGGTAGATCCTTGAATTGCATCAATCAAACCATCTGTACAATTCGACATCGAGACATGATCGATCCAAACGTTAGTGGACCCAAAAATCGAGATCCCGTCGCCGTCACTTTGAGTTCTAAACCCAAAATGATCGACCGAATCCCTGATCAAGCCCCCGCTCGTGGGCACAACGTGATGGACGTGAATCCCATGGATGATAACATTACTAACAAATTGTATCGTAATGCCTGCGCCATAAGCGATGTGGATGTTTGCTCCACGACCATCGATGGTCTTGTTTCCGGCCATGATAAGCTCTTTGTTCAGCTTGATGTTCATATCATGCGCGAATATGATCCACAATGGTTCCCTTTGAATCACTGCATAGCGCAAAGTCCCCGGCCTAGGGTTCAGGAAGTCGTCGTCACTGTTATCGGTGACGACGTAGAGCCTCCCATCTGCCCCTCCGGTGGTTTTGCGGCCAAACCCAAGTGCACATTGGGCCAGACGACGTCGGTCGGTTGACCAGTTCCTCCTGCACCTCCAACATTTGTCGATGGGATTGGTCTTCTCGCATGGCCCTCTGTACATGGTCTTGCCTTGCCTCAAACCTCTCCTCGTAGTGTTGCTATCTCCACCGCCGCTATTCTCTACTTCACTTTCAGGGACGGTTTGGTCGGTGCTGCTATTATTATTATTGTCGCCACCTTTGATCACTACAACACCCGTACTCGATGACGGACCCATTGATGTAGGTGGAGGGGAGCCACTAGAATTAACAAAGCAACCCAAGAGAAAGAAGAAAAACATTAGACGTATTCGTCATTGAGTAAATACAAAGTTAAAATTTAGTGAAGAGAATAAGATGCTAGGTACCATAAGAAAAATAGTTTTCTTTTTAATCAACGAAGAAAGCAAAAGAGATTTGTGATGGAAAAAAAGGGTATATGCTAAAAGCAACAAAATAATTGCCATAAGATTTAGCAACTATTTTGTTGTCTTTGGCGACACTGGTTTTTCAGTCGCAAAATATTTTTCTTTTGTTGTTTGCGTGATTCAAAGAAGTTGAGAGATAACATTTGTAAAAGAAAGCTCACATATGCATAGATTGAGAGTCTGCATCTTCATCTGTTTCTAGTGGATTCGGAACGTAAGCCTCCAAGGTGTTCTTCTTAGCCTCCTCCGCCCTCTTTTGCCACACGTCATCATAATATGCAATATTTGCAAGCAAACACGGAACTATCGTCGCGAAAGAGAAGAACAGGATGAACACATATTTCACCATAATTTTATCTCTTTCACCACAACTTGCCTATAATTTTTTTTCTTTTTATTTCCCTTTTTTACAAAAACTCCACCTCTTCCTCAATTTTTTCTTTTATGACTTTTTTAATTTTTAATTTAATTTTATAAATCTCATGGATGAACGAATGAATTAAAGCTTAAAAGAAAAGGAACAAAATCTGGGAATATCAAAGTAATCCTGGAGGTACCCAGAAAGATGACATGAGAAAGGGGATATGTTTCTGGGGGTGCATGCAAGATGATAAAAGTTTAAGATAGCACCACAACCATATCCACAAAAAATAAGGGTTAAATAGGAATAATAATAGATCAAGCACAAGATATGAAAAACAATTTAAAATTTCCATGTGGATATTAGTTAAGCAACAAGAGTGGCCTAATTTAGAAGGCGGAGAGAGCTTGGTGGGCTACCATTTGTTTTCTCTTTTCACAGTTGAAACCTTGTGGAAATAATTGGTCATATTGTGGTAGAATCATTTTCAAAGCCTCAAAGGAACCACTAACCGAATCCAATTTAAGTACTTGTTGAAATTTAATTAAAGTAAATCTTATTTTTAGATTTTGTTTATCATTGGTTTCAATTTCCCATTGATTTCCTGTTGATCCTTTCCTTCCCGTTTTTCGTTGATGAGTTTTCGTTCTTTTTTTTTTAACATAGACGAACGAATAATCATTCAATCACATAGTTAGAGTACATAAACCATGGAAAAAGAGTCCTTGCTCCTCTCATTAGGGAGCACCACCACGGTTCAAGTCCCGACACATGGGGGATTAATTCAGCTGCAAGGATCGTGAATCGAGAGAAGGGAAAAATGAGACCAGAATTATGAAGTCACCCCCACCTCGCATGCATAGAAGGAATTAGTCTTGGCTAATATTAATTAGGGCAATGGAGATATCAATCTTCTTAAGTGAAGAGAGAACTCAACTCTAGAAAGTTCAGTGAGTCGTCAAAATGCCTATCATCAATAGAATTCTACTACTAGGTTAGTACCCATTCTGACTCTTGTCAGTCTCCGAGGGACATCGAAGACTTGGAACTAAATCAAAAGACAGACAATATTCATTGCCTCACTACCATCTCTCTCGTTAGGTCATTACCGAGTATATTCGTTCCTCTCCCTTCTCTACCCTAGCTAGAAGAAAGAAAGGGTATGCCTACGCGTAGAAGACCTAAAAAGCCTAAGGTCTCGCCCAGATGTATTCTATAGCGAAGGTCTGAAAGCGCGTAAATAGCTTCTGAGAGAATCCAGCAGCTATACTTAGGGTAAACAATCACGGGAGGCTATCAACCAATAGTCGAACTACAAATGAAAGAACCTCTTTAGCCACAAGATGGGCAGCTCTATTAAAACTCCAAGGAGGCCAAAACGAAAAACAGAAGTCGACTTGTCGAGCAAGTCAACTGACCTCTTCTAGTATAGCTCCTCCAACACTCGGCACACCCCAATTGTGAGTCATCATACAAGTCGACAATAAAAGCGTGGGTTAAATACCAAATCGTAGCGTCTTACAACTATTAATTCAATAAGTAAATGGTCATAGATATATAGGTTTTCTCTTAGAGCAAACTTGGTGCTTACTAACCTTTGCATAACTATTCTCCTATTATGTTTCATTCATTTTAATTTGGATTTCAATTTTTTTTGTTTCATATAAAAAATAAATTACATCTATTTTAAAAAATGACATCCACTTTGATATATTTTGAAAAAAAAATTGATAAAGAATTTTTTGTCAACATATTATAGTGTACAAAAAATTATATCATGACGGTGTGGAAACTGGAAACATACCATATATAGTGTGGTAGTATAGTAGTACACAACTATAAATGGCAAGATATATATCTCATAACCACATCGTAAAAGAAGGTGTTGCTATTACAAAAGGAGTTAATAAATGACGCCCTAAATATCTAATACAAGAGCACTTCTACTATGCTATATAGCATTGGTGCTTTAATGTACAACTCAAAGTTGTACCATAACATTAAATGTATAAGTTTAAGTTGTACCATAAAGCAATTTGTACCATTATGTTATGGTACAACTTTACAACTTGAAGTTGTACCATCACATAAAGGTACAAGTTCAAGTTGTACCATAAATGAATTTGTACAAAAAGTATAGGTACAATCTAAAGTTGTACCATAACGTAAATGTACAATTTTAAGTTGTACCATAAAATGAAAAACCTATAGTATCAATACTATATAGCATTGTAAAATTTCTCTTAATACAAAATTGGTTGTTTACAAATGTCCAAGCTGTGGAACCCGAACCTAGAATACAATCGTGTACCCGACCATGTTCAGTATACTACAGTCTTTTATACGATCATTTAGTATCCTAGTCTTAGTGCTTGTGTTTCTTCTTTGTACACGAGCTGGCGAGCATGTCTAAACACCTCATCGCAGTGACCTTGCAAGGCTACGATTTGGTTTGAATCGTTTTGGACATGTTTTGACGTGAACAAAGGACCAAAGTACGTTTGGTGCCACCATCAAGTATAAGCCTCTCTCCAACTCCAAGCTAATGGAATCGTAGCGATCTAGACAATTGGAATTGTTGGGAGTTGGGACAGATCGATCCATGCATAATACTTAACTACTTACTTACACGTCTCCTCAAACGAAAGCTAATTCATGGGTTTGAAGTTTGCACAACCTCAGACATGCCATGTTATTTAAGAAAATGATTAATATTGGGAGTCGTGAGGACTGATGACTTGAACGTGTGACCTCATGGGCAAACCAGCTCTGATATTATGTCATAAACCAACTGGTCCAATGACTCGAGTTGTTGGGGAGGTCCATATATGGTACTTAACCACTTTCTTACATATCATTTCAATTTTATCGCATGTTTTTGAGAAAAAAATGATCCTCTTCTCTTATGTGATAGTCTATGCATTTATAATAGAATTCAATATTGAACCAAAAAAGTTAGTGATTTATGCTTCAAAGGTTAATCGTTGTGAAACAGTTGATTACCGTTGTCGGAACATTTGGTGCATTATGACATTAAATACATATATGATACACTAATTTTGAATGAATTTATTATTAACCATAAACAATTTCAAAAGAATATCATCCATCAAGAAGAGTTCTAACAAATCATCCAAAATGCCTCACAAAAAATATTTTTATTAAATTAAAGTTACTAATTAGGGTGGCAATCAGTAATGGACCATGTAATGCCGACAAGAAGATTAAGAAACAAGAAAATGAAGCATAAATAAAATTAACAATTCAAGTTATATGGTCTTAGTTTACGTTAAAGTATTTTTTGTGTAGTTAAAATGGTAAATCAAAGTACTGGACCATTCAAATTGTGATGTTTCATATGGTTTCAACCGCTCATTCGGTTTCGTTCTTGTAACAATTAACAAGGTGTTGATATGTAGAACTATATATATCTGGAGACGTGCATGCAAAAGCACATACTATAGACAACGGAAGCAGGTAATAAAATGGAATCATGGAACTTTTCTTCTTCTTCTTCTTTGAAGAACATGGAAACTAAGAGCAAATCTTCAGATCACAGAACATTCAAATTAAAACAAAGCTTTGATTAGGTAATGGAATTAGTTCACCATTTCAAGTTTTTTTTTTCTTTTTTCTTTTACAAGGCGTGTCATCATTAAACAAACATTAATTGCCACTAACTTTCTTGTCGCCTGTTGGCTCCGCGACTGCAGGAGCGGGGCTGGTGGCGGCACCTCCGGCGACAGCTGCAAGCGGAGCCTGTCCGGCAGCGGACTCGACGACGACGGTGGTGTCGCCGGCGTTCTTGTCGTTGCTGACTTCCATGACGTCCGGTATGTAAGCATTCATGGTGTTCTTCTTGGCTTCCTCGGCGCGCTTCTGCCAAACGGGGTCGTACACGGCCGGGTCCGCGTTCAACGTCTGGATCATGGCGGCGGCTAAGCACACGGCCAGAACCAGAGCCATCTTTGCTGACGCCATCTTCTCCGTCGTCTGTCTGTCTGTCTGTCTTCCCCTTTCGTCTGGAAGTCGCGCAACGAAAAAGGAAATTTATTTATTTATTTGAAAGCCACAAAAGAAGTAGAAAATTTTATTGTTATGGTTTTTTTTCTGGGTGATGAAGAGATAATTTATTTATATGAGAATATGATGCACTAAAAATAAATCGTGAGCTATATTTAGCTCTGCTGCTAATTTTCTGATTAACGAGAATTAACGAACTGAAAATACTAAACATGGAGTTAAGCGGAGATGGTGGAACACCGTTGCTTTCTAATGGTTGATATACCGTCTCGTTGTATATGTGCATGTAGGGTTGCAAACGAGTTGAGTCGAGTTTTTCTTAACTTATGCTCGGCTTGTTTGTAAATTTTTCAGTTCGAACTCGAATTTTGATAATCCACAACTCGAGTTTGAGTTCGGCTCAATTAAAAATAATACAACTCGATCTTGATTCGGTATAGCTCGGTAAATGCTCATTAACATAGGTTGTCAAGCTGAGTACAAACTCGGCTCAAGATGAGCTCGATCTGAAATCATTCTTGCTGAAAAATGTGTACACATAAGAGTTTAAATGATAAAAAGAACACTAAAAACTAAAAATAACAGTTAACTTCCATAAAGATTCGTATTAACAAGATAATGTTCATGTTCAAAAGAGTAATTAATCATTCTAATAGCTCTAAATAAGCCAGCTCGTGAGCTTAGCTCAACAAGCCACCGAATCAAGCTAGCTCAAGCTTGGCTCGTTTAGTAACGAGTCGAATCGCGAGCCGAGTGTTGAACGAGTTATTTTCCGATTCGAACGCCGAGTTGCTCACGAGCGGCTTGGCTCATTTGCAGCCCTATGGACATGCTATAAGAGTATATTAACGGGTGTTGGGCTTATGGAGTCGTTTTGTAGTTCTGGGCTAGGATTGATGTGTTGGGCTTCCATGATGGGCTGTGCTCATTGCCATATTTTGCAAGCCTTTTTGGCCCACCACCTTAGTCTTCTTTACAAACAAGAGACGCTTAAAGCACATCATTACCTTGTATTTGTGCAATTTGAATATTTGTTAATATTCAATAAATTAGTTATTATCTTATCTACATTTGATTCCTAATTTGTTAATTGTGGAGTTTGATCAACAAGAATGATTGCGTCGCTCATCTATCATCTGAAATTGATAAGATAGAATTAACAAGAGATTGCAACAAGAAGATGATTGAGAGGGAACCGAACCGATAAAGTTGTTGTCTATGATCATCTCATGTATTCATGATTGTAAAACTTGTCGATGAATATGCACAAAGTTGTTTGTCCAATTTACGAACAATCGTGTCCCACAGAATTGAGTCATGAGGTCATTATTCCTCTTTCCAAAGAACACGACACATCTTCGAGGCCGACCAATATAAGCTTGACATAAACATGAATACAAAGTTTGCAGAAATCACATGCAAAGAACATGTAAGTAGTACTATAGCTATAAGCATAGACTAAAGTTTGCAGTTGCATCGCCTCTCACGAAATTGCAGTTTGAGGTAACAAAAGACATGCTTCAAGAGAGAGCCAGGATGTGTTTATGGCAAAAACCTCCAGACACACATTTCGTCAAAGTGCAGCAGTTGAAATCCCCACCACCAGCATGCATGCACTTAATTATATTCTCTCGTTACTTTTGACCACATTTGGTAAAAAATTCCCACTCACACACTCCCCATATAAACTCTTTTCTGTACTTCCCCAATTACTTCCCTTGCAATTCACTACTTTATTCCCTCTTCCTTAGTAGCACACCCTATGCCTCAGTAAGTTATCATAGCCAACCTTTTATGGGTGGTGTGAAAGAAAATCAACACATATTTCGCCTACTTCTGAATCAGGTCTAAACATTATAGTTGCAGCTTTTAAAATATCGTATTCGTGAAAAAGAAAATCATACAATTAAAATACATATATATGTGATGCATGTGCACGAATTACAATCATCTGATACCCTTACTCGCAAATTTCTTTCATAAGATGATGATTGCTCGATCATAAACATTCATTTGATTGAAAGAGTAAGGAAATATAAACACAATGTTTAATTACAACCAGATTTTCAACAATCAGTGGCACAACTAGGTTATAGGTGGAGGGGTTATGGCCCCTCTGACCCTCTCAATCTATCACAAATAGTTTTGGAAAAAGCAGTTTAATGGAAACCTGATGATTGATGAACAAGATTCAGCAAATAGAGTTCTTTCTGTCAACCTGCCTATATGTCTAGCTAGCAATGCTGTGCTTTGCCTAAAGAAAGTCCCATTAGCCAAAAAGACATATCAACAAGAAGCTAACAATGGAGGAATCTGTACTTTCGACTCATTTTATGATGATGAGACTAGACAATGTGTAACTTAATTTTGGATGATCCATAGCCACTCAACCGAAATAAATATGATACCTAAACCATCTTAGCAGGAAAAAGCATATGACCTGGAGGAAAGTATTATAGACTATATAGTATATAGCATACCTTCTGTATATGAATCAAGCACATAAAAGGTCATTATATCTGGACATTATTGAAAAATCGGTCAATAAATTTTGACTTTTTAACTTATTTGTTCTCGAAGTTTAGAATAGCCGACAAAAAAACCACTTGATCTCCAAATTCGATGGTATTTATGTTCGACAAGTCAATATCATGGTTCCTGTCATCATTATTACTAGTAAAAAAGACACATAGAACCTCTAAGTATCGATTAAGTGAACGGACTATGGAGGAAGAGATTATTATGGTTATTTTGAGTAATTTTGGTTGAAATAGGATCACATTATGAGTTTGATTTAGTTCAAACATGAATGAAAATGTCAAGTAAAGGGAGGGAGAAGTTATTAGGGTGATTTTGAGACAAACTGACTAGCTAAAATTTGATTTAAGTTATGAGTCTATCAAATAAAGTCACAAATTGCTCACCATTTATCCTTATAAGCCAATCAATGTTGGAATTTTTACTACTTTTTGGGTGATTTGGCGCCCGCCAATATATATGGACATTTTGTATGGAAAACCTAACGTTACTACTTGACATAATCAGTTAACCCCTCTTGTAAAATACTTATTCCAAACTTCAGTGTCAAGTTTGTGAAGAATCAAAGTTCAATGTTGGATAAGTCAATAACCTCAACGTTTAGTGATCATTTTGTACAATCCACCCTTTTGTTGGCTGATAAGTAATAAGTCAATCGTTAGAAGTAAGTGTTAGTGTTGTGGTATATGATCTACGATTGAACATTTCTCAAGAACTCGAGTTATTGGGATCAACTGGTTCATGACATGGTATCAGAGCCTTCTGTGATCGAGAGGTCTTGTGTTCGATTCCCGGTGACCCCCATTTGTTAAGTACATGGTATTCCTGTCTTCAGACCTGTGCAAACTTCAAGCTTTCAAGCCCTTGTGAGTGGCTTTCGTTTAAGGGGGCGTGTTAGTGTTGTGGTATATGATCTACGATTGAACCTTTCCCAACAACTCGAGTGATTGGGACCAACTGGTTCATGACAGTAATAACCAGAAGATTTTTTTTAATAATAGAATAACAAAAAGAGAATAAGAACAAAAAGGTAAATTAAAAAACAACCAGGTTGATGTCTTAATATTAGCACCTTTTGTCAAGGAAACCAATCTTGGGATTCATCAGCACAAACTTTTGAAAACCTTTCCCTTTTTTAGATAGCTTCTCACGAGTCATTCCACGTACAAATTTTCTCAAAATCCCCCACCAATATATCCAATAACCATCATCATAGTCATCATCATCATCACAAAAGAGAAACATTCTTAAAGAGAGCAAAAACTACCAACCCAAATGATATCTTCAAAGGATGTCTACCATGTGGTTGCAGCCACAATCCCACTATATGTCGCCATGATACTTTCCTACACATCAGTGAAATGGTGGAAGCTGTTCACCCCAGAGCAATGTGGTGGGATCAACAAGTTCGTGGCCAAGTTCTCCATCCCATTGCTCTCCTTCCAGATCATCTCGGCCAACAACCCTTACAACATGAGCCTGAGGCTCTTACTCGCGGATTCAGTTCAGAAACTGCTGGCGATTGTGTTGATTGGAGTGGTCACCAGGTTCTGGTTCAGAGGTTGGAGGCTGAGTTTGGTCATTACAGGGCTGTCTCTGTCGACATTGCCCAACACGTTGATCCTCGGGGTCCCGGTTTTGAAGGCTATGTATGGTGGTGAGGCAGAGTCACTGCTGTCTCAGATTGTGTTCCTGCAGAGCATTGTTTGGTACAATTTTCTGCTGTTTCTGTTTGAAGTGAATGCTGCCATGGCTGTAACTGCTAACCCCTCTCCAGAAGTTGCAGGTTAGAAGGTTTTGAATGCTCTTTTTAGCCACGTTTATTGTAGTAAGCAAGTCCTTAACAAATACATCTCTATATTGTGTGCCTTCAATTAATTTTTAGTCCCCTTGTCAAGTACACATTTTGCTATAACAATGCAATCATGGGTTGAGTAATTAAGAAACTGATTATTAAATTTGGGTCAACCTCACTAGTAATGACATATTACATAATGTATTTGTTAAGGATAATCTTTCTGTGACTAAACATGACCCTAACCTTCTTTTTCTTTGCATCTTCTTTAATTACATACTATATCTCTAAGGTGGGAACCATAGGGATGGCTCTGATCAAGGAGAATCGAAGGATGGAGCAGCAGAACATGAACAGGAAGCTTCTGAGAACAGAGGAAGGGAAGTGAAGAAGACAGTAATGTCCATTCTCATCATAGTTGGAAGCAAGCTGATCAGGAATCCCAACTTTTATGCTACTTCGATTGGCTTTATCTGGGCTTGCATTCATTTCAGGTATCTTTGCATAGCTAGCCGTTCATCATTGGTCAGAATCAGCTTCATCAGTTGACTGACCACCATTGTTTGCTACAAATTTTTGTCTGCAAAAGGTGGGGGATAAAGCTGCCAGATGTTATTGATAACTCCATCATGATACTGGCAACAGGTGGACTTGGCATGGCAATGTTCAGCTTAGGTAATGACACCAACATTTAGCTTCCAATTAAGGCATAGAAAACGGAAACCATTTGGCTGTGCCTTCTAATCCTGGTCTTGATCACAGGGCTGTTCATGGCATCAAGGGCGACTGCAACTGCTTGCAGAATCCGAATGGTAGACGTGGCAGCCATGGCGATGAAGTTCGTTGCAGGACCGGCTCTAATGGCACTCTCTTCTGTCGTTGTAGGATTGAGGGGCAGAGTGCTTCGAGTTGCCATTGTTCAGGTCTAAACTCAAATTCCACCACTGGTTTTATCATACATATTTCAGGCTGAATAACTAGCTAGTCGTTTTGGCTGTTGCAGGCTGCTCTGCCACAAGGGATAGTGCCATTTGTGTTTGCTAAAGAGTACAATGTTCATCCGGATGTTTTGAGCACATCAGTCATATTTGGGATGCTCATTGGGTTGCCAATCTCTCTTGTCTATTACTCACTGCTTGCATTCTGAAAATCTCAAGATCATCCCTCTCAAATGTTGATGTATGAATTTGCTTTAGTTAACTTATGTTCTCTTAGCCATGCACCCCTCGGATCTGCTTTGATAGGCAGTGCAGTTGTGGTATTGACAATCTCACACAAATAACAATATGTTGGCCATGATTGGTGTTCAATTAAACTCTTGGATTATATGGTTATGATTTTGTTAGCAAAAGTCAATGTTTGGAGTTTGATCCTGCAAAAGCTTATCCTCTGGACACAATCTTTGTCTCATACTCTGAAATTGCTCGCGGCATAATCTCTAGGGGTGTACAACGGGTTGGTCGGTATAGGATCGCACTGGACCAAACCGACGTTTGTATTGGTTCACACTGAATCGAACATAATATGATATGATCCTTGGTACTCATGAATTTTATAAATATTGAAGAAAAATCGATCCAATTGACATTTGGATCGGACCAAATCGAACCAAATGTACTGTTTATTCGGTCTTTAATTCTAAGATGTCTTTCACTATTGAACTGCAATTCACTTAAGTTTGGTCTAGTTCGAAAGGGATCGTACCGTTATACACTTCTAATAATTTCTTACATGTTTATGATCTTATCCAAAGAAACTCTTCATCATCACTTACTTGAATACTCATCCTCCCATGCAACTTGCTCAAGATCCAGAAGCAACATTCTCCAAGTATTAATGTTAGCCTTCCATCTCCTGTTAGGAATTAGCATCAAAATCATGATCCCAACCATTTCACAATGTGTGATGTCTGTTCCACATGATCTCTATCTAAGAAGCAGTTTTTAGCACCATCATCGAAAAACGATATATAATAAATCAGCAATTCGTTGATTTGAAGAAGAAGAAAATTTTCTTTATCAATCACCACATATAATGAAAATGTATGACTTTATTAGGCTGAAATATTTATAGCCAAGGGTCAAGAACTCTTTTTTTTTTTAATTAAGGGTCAAGAACTCTCTATTTTTTTTGTTAATTTTTATTATCAAATCCATGAATTGAATGTAAAATGATTTGTAATTAATGTCATACTACGTGACCTACTTGTTCTTAAATAAGGATTATCAATTACGCGCAAACAACAATTTAACTAACCACTTCAATAAAACACATCTAATATTTCTTGGAGAATAAAAAAACAATAGTTTATTCAATTTATATTTCCCGAAATTAAATAAATAACAACTGCTACTATCTATGTATTATCTAAACCAAAAGCCTTGGGCAAAGGGTCAGTCACTGGACTCTCACTAGTCACTACCACGCCTCCTTGGCAAATAAGACAGAAAAAAAAATTAAAATCTTTTCTGGCAAAATAAATAAATGCCTCCCAAATTAATAATCTACGGCCTAACCTTCTCCTTCTCTTCATCCGACGGCTAGTATCGCTGAACACCGAAACAAATTCGATAAAAAAATAAAAAGTCCAACCGATTAAAAATAAAATAAAAACCCCGAAATTAGGTCTCCCGGACTAGCTATATAAGATCCCAAACCAACCGGCAACCGAGCCGTAGAATTCCCACTGCTCCGAGCTCCACACACACGAAGAAACACTCTCTCCATTGCTCGGTGATCCTTTTTCTGGGTTTTCGAAGGTCAGGGTTCATAGCTCGCGAGATCAACCATGGTGAAAGGTCCGGGACTCTACTCCGAAATCGGAAAGAAGACCAGAGGTATTCGTATTCGTTTCTCTCTCTCAGCTTTAATCGGTGTTCTTCTATAATCGGTGACGGGACTTCTCCGATTTGTGGATTCTGAGGAGTGGGAGATATGACTAGTTTTTCCCGTACTTGTGTAATTTGTAGATCTGTTGTACAAGGATCATCACGGCGACCTGAAGTTCAGTGTCGCCACCGACTCTCCCACCGGAGTTGTGAGTTTCGCTTCTTAATTTTTATACGATATTTCTTAGGTTGCCTTCGTGTCTGGGTTAGTTAATCCGTTCGCGGAGTAGCTGTTTGGTAGAGGGGATTCCATTCCCGATTTTCTGTAACCTGTTGGAGCTCGAATTCGCATGTTTCATTAGGGAAACCATGGATGTTTGGATTGGTGTAACTAGACCGATTTCATGGTTGCTCTTTTGCTTCTATCATTTGTTTGGCTTCGCTAATTAGGCCTCCCGTTTTCCGCTTGTGATGGATCCTATCCTATAATTGATTGTTTAGTTATGGCTGTGGGATTCGTCATGGTACGATTAGGCGTAAGATTGATTGATAGGGTTGTCAAAAATTTGTTCTGCTTCTTGTGTCTGTAACTCAGTGGGCTGTGCATTGCCATTTACATGGCTAGCTAGTGCTGATTGAGCCTTACTGGTAATACCTTGGTGCGCAGACGGTTACCTGTTCTGGAACGAAGAAAGGAGAGCTGTTTCTGGCTGATGTCAATACTCAGCTGAAGAACAAGAATGTGACGACTGATATCAAAGTGGACACTGGATCCAACGTAAGCTGTCCGACTCACTCTCCTTTTGTGTGAATTTGCTTGCATTGATTATATACCAGACCAAATTGTTTTTGCTTCTCTGGTTCCCTGTATATCACCTGCCTTAATTTGCGTGAACTGGGTACGATCTAGCTTGGTATTGATAGTTCCCCATCTAAAGTTTTCAAAAGATGTCAACTCCATCGCTGGCAGTCCTTTTACAATATTGAAAGTTGTTGAACTATTGTTTCTCTGCCAAATGAATAGCTGGGTAGAAATTACAATGAAAAAGAGGCCACATGGGCTGTGAATTCTGTTGTGCATCTGTATCACATCAATGCTCTGTAGATTATTATTGTTAGTTCTGCTAAGATTGAAGGTTCTCCAATTGCAGATACTTCTTGACAGTTTGACTTGAACCTTTCTATAATTTGGTCTGTTTTTATCTGAATTTCATTACTGTACCTCGTTCCAGTCTGCTCTTCTGAATAGAAATGGTATATTGGTTTAGGGTCAACTAGTGAACATCTGTTCTATCTGCGTACTCATGTTCTGTTTTTTTTGTACATCTCAGCTTCATACCACTATCACTGTTGACGAACCTGCTCCTGGGCTAAAGGCAATCTTTAGCTTCAAAGTTCCAGATCCAAGGTCTGGAAAGGTAAATCATCAACTATGGTTTTCAATGCCCTCCTTAAAATCTTTCTACTTTGCTTTATTGTGTAATGTCATGTTCATTTATTCATGTTTCATTTGCTGTAACAGATGGAGCTTCAGTACAAGCATGAGTATGCTGCTGTAACTTCAAGCATTGGCTTGACAGCAAACCCTACTGTCAACTTCTCTGGTGTTGTTGGAAGTGATGCCTTGGGCCTTGGTGCGGATGTTTCCTTTGACACCAAGTCTGGAAACGTCACTAAGTGCAATGCAGCATTGACCTATGCCAATGCTGATCTTGTTGGTGCTCTGAGTTTGTGAGTAGCCATAATCTCTTTCCCTTTTTTTATGTCGTCGTTGTTGTTATGTGCTTCTCTACTGATCAATCAAATTGCCATTTCCCTGAAACTTCTCCAATTCAGGAACGACAAGGGTGATTCTCTGATTGCTTCCTACTACCACTACGTGAACAATTTCACTGCTATTGGTGCTGAGGTGGGCCACAGCTTCTCTTCTAATCAGAACAGCATCACCATCGGCACCCAGCACGCTTGGGACCCATTGACATCAGTGAAGCTCCGCTTGAACAACAGTGGCAGGGCAAATGCTCTGATCCAGCACGAGTGGCGGCCAAAATCTTTCTTCACTCTCACTGGAGAGGTAGACTCCAAGAACATTGAAAAGAGTGCCAAGGTCGGATTGTCTCTTGCTCTCAAGCCATGAGCAAGCATTACATGCCCCTTTTTTGCTGGAAGGGAAGTCCTTTTAATTTTAGGAATCTGCAGTATAGTTTCACTTCTCGGTTTAGCTCTTAGAGCTCGGTTGTTGACTTATTCTGAAGGTGTTTTGTGATATGCCTTTATTTCCATGTTCATCGATGTGCAAATAAGAATAGAGTTTTGTGGAATCCCGTTACCTATTTCCATTGTTTCGGTTCACTGAACAGAAGTTTTGCAGAGGTTGGATGCTGTTGATTCTGACAGTTTATAATCTATGATTTGGTTTATCGTCATAGACATGATCGATGGTACATTGTTCATGATTCATCTTTAATTTTGAAGTTTATATATCTCAACATCACGAATTCTAAAACCAATGTTTCTTCATGGTTCATTCTTGATTTTGAAGTGCATATCTCTACATCATGAATTCTAAACTAATGTTTCTTTCGCGATGAATTCAAGAGTAGATGATAGCTGCCAACATACTCAAACAAGAGTGTCGAGCAAAAGCCTTTTCTGGTGGATTTCACACCCACATTCTAACACCTCAAACCAAAACAAACTGGAGAAACCAGTTAAAAAAATAGTTGCTATTACCATTAGTTTAGTACCCATTTGGGTAATGGTGGCTTGGGGGGATAACATAAGCTCCTGAACCACACTTTTCCATCATACACATACTATACTCTTATCCCACTACAATATTATGGAAATCAAGTTCGACGCTTTCCATACTGTTACCGCCATAGATGCTAAAGCTTAAACACATAATGGATGGATAGATAGAAGCTTATGGGATATTTCACTGAGGAGGGTTTGCCTGAAGGAGACCATCTCGAACCTGTGCAGCGATGTCGTTGACAGCACCGGGACCATGAGGGATGAACACTGCGGTAGACTTGCTGGCAGCTCCGATCTCCTTCATGGTGTCGAAGTACTGGGTTATGAGGACCATGTCCAGCACATCCTTGGCCGATGTCCCCGGGACGTTGCCGGAGAAGCCCAGCACGCTGTCCCTCAGGCCGTCGACGATCGCCTGGCGCTGGCGCGCGATGCCCAGACCGGACAGGAACTTGGACTCTGCATCTCCCTCTGCTCGCTTGATCTGCACGATCTTCTCCGCCTCTGCTTTCTCGTTCGCCGCCAGCCTCAATCTCGCAGCTGCAGTAAGGAAAGTTTGTAGTAAGAGCAGAGCTTAGTGGTGGCTTATTACAGAAACAACTTTGATTTGTCAAACTACTTATTTAAAACAACTTACTATTTTTTTGTTCATGATTATCAAAACAAATTTGTACAAATTGTTAATGAATGTTTTAAAGCCGTTCAAACTGACGATGAGTAAAGATTATCTAGACCTTTTAATTAGTAGCTGTAGAACATAGCATGTATACGAGGTTTTAGGAAATCAATCTAGTTTAGATTTGGCAAAACTATCTGTGTAAGCTTTGTATTTGGGTGTTAACATACTAATTTTGAACCACCAAGATGAAAAAATCCAACAAAAATGTACGAAATGGCTATAATGTTAGACCTTACTCCGAACTTGAGCTACTAGAGTGTAAAAAATCAACAAATTGCAGGGCCTGATTTATAGTGACCACAAAATTTCAGTGACCATTTATGCAGTAATTGACCATCTGAATAATGTGTAAACTGTAAGTAAAAGCTCATTCTTTCTCACCAGCATTGATCTCGTTCATCGCCCTCTTCACACGCTCGTCGGGCTCGATATCAACGATCAGCGTCTGAACGATCTCATACCCATATGCAGACATGGCCTTCTCCAGCTCGTCTTCAACTGCCTTGGCTATCTCGTTCTTCTGCTCGAAAGCTGCATCCAGGTTCAGTTTGGGGACACTTGCTCTGATCACTGCAAAATATGAGATCATGTTCATTTTCTCTGGGTGGGTTTTGATTCCGAAGATTGTTGTGTTAATGTCGTTTACCGTCGAAAACGTAGGCCTGGATTTGGGACCTGGTGTTGGTGAGCTTGTAGAAAGCATCGTTTGCCTTGTTGGCCAGGGCCCTGTACTGAACTGAAGCCACAACGTTCACAAACACATTGTCCTGTGCCACGTGTCGTGAACCCACAACGCAGAGGATTAGTGATCTGAAGCCAGAGGAGAGGAGGGTAAGAGTAAAGAAGAGTGGAGACATTAACCTTGGTCTTGGTTTCACAGCGAACATCAAGCTGCTGCAGGCGAAGGGAGAGGCTGCCGGCGACACTGCTTCCGAGGAACCATGGCATGCAATGGCAGCCAGGCTCAAGAACATCCTCAAACTTGCCAAACCTTTCCTTCATGGCAACTGTGGACTGATCCACTTTCACACAGCAAGACAGGTTCCCCATCTTTGTTTCTCTTAGCTTCTTTGCTCTCTCACAGTGGGAAGAAGAAGAAGTTGTAATGGAGAAACTGCTTTGTGTATCTTGTGAATTGGATCTACAGTATGGGAAGCAGATTTATACAGGTGAAGAAGCTAAAGACAGGAAACTTGACCTAACCCTTTTCTCACCGTAGGATTGCGCAGTTCCCCATTTTCCATAGATGTGCAAAGATTGCAGGATAAGTAATTGCAGTTGCATGTGACTATCAGCAAGAAATGAGAAATGCAACATTTCCGAGTAGAGGACAAGCAGCAGCAAATAGGCATCTTTGGGAAATTTTCCAGTTTGGGAAAACGGTTCATTGAGTGATGCTGACTTTTTTTGGTTCTCCATGGAGCCCAACACGGCACACAGTATTGAGCTCCCCACATGATAAATATCTAGATTGGGTTGGTGCTTTTGATGGGATTCGAATTATTGGTTTCTCCATTATTGCTCTTAGTTTGTACAGTTTCTCTACTGGCCGAGGTTTAACCACAGCCAAAAGAGAAACTAATGGTACATGTGAGGACCCAAATGCATAAAGTTTGAAACTTTGAAGGAAAAACTGGTAAAATATAGCTGATCGTTTCATGGTATTAGTAATGTCATCAAATTTCAAGGTCCACATTTTCTATGGTTACATTAAGAAAGCCTAGTTAAACCCAGTTACTGACTGTCTAGGGGGGAATGTTGAATCAATCAGTTTTCTTTCTCTGAAGAAGACCATCGCAAATCTGCGAACAGACGTCTTTGACATCACCTGGGCCATGTGGGATGAACACAGAAGAGGACTTAGAGTGAGCTCCAATGGTGTCAAAGTACTGAGTCAGCAGGACCATGTCCATGACATACTTGGCAGTTGTCTCGGAGACACTCTAGGAGAATGCCATCACGACTGTCTCTCAGCCCAATGACGATTGCTTGGCACTGGTGTGCAATGCCGATACCATTGTACGATGTGAACATAAAGATGGGGGATAAGAAATTGAATATGCAGATGGCAAGTGTACTAATTTACAGTCAGTGGATGCAACTGTAGCCAACAGTCAAGAGTGATTTGGAGAAAAAGAGGATAACTTTACAGCACCAACTTGTCTGCTTCTTTCCTCTTTACAGATGGATAGTGTCTATAATTTTCCTCCCAACAATAAAAATGGCACCAGTTAGCTCCAGGGGAGAAGAAAGCAACAACAGAAGCTTAACAGAAATGGAGAAGGCTAATAGCAGGACTGATGACCAAGTTAATGAAACATCATTGAATGACTACATTCAGAAAAGGGGGGAAAAGATATCGAAAAAGAAGCACATTTACTTTCTGTTCCATGTACTTACCATGTCCAGCAGCTGTTAATCACACTACTAATTCCAACTCTCTAATACCCATTTCTTTGATTCCAATATCACCCCCTGTTGACTTCTGATACCAAGGCTCCACACTTTTGAAGGCCAGGAGAAGAAAGAGGCTATCTTTGTCATTTTACTTACACAGATACACAAAGAAGATGCATTCACCAAAGATCCCAATGGGGGGCCACCTATGGTTCTAATTCCTGATACTTAACCATGGAAGTGGCAAATCCACACCCAATAGGACCTAAAATTTCAATATATAAACAACACATGCTCTGATCCCACCCAACCACTGCTATGACTTCTTCCCATTAGGTTTTGGTGACTGGCAAGGCTGGTTATATGGAGAAGCCGCACGTGCATCGCTTAAGCTCGATAAGCTCCTCAGAGTTTGACCGTTCCTCGTCATAAATCCACCCTGAGTTCTAACCCCATTCTTGGAATTCAAGTTCGACTTGTTGCGCTCCGCTTGCATAGTCTGGAAGAAGTAAGAAGAGCTGGCCATGTCTTTCAAGCTTGGTAGAGGCTTTAATGTGTCAACTACCTCACTCATTCTAGGCCTGGCTTTTGGATCGCGGCTGAGACACTGCCCTGCTAGTTGTATAGCCTTCTGAGCACCTTTGATCGAGAAATGGCCTTCGAGACGAGGGTCTAATAATCTGTAGAACCTTTTTCTGTCGGCAAAATGCGGCCTTGCCCATTCCACTAGGTTTTGCTCCCCGTTAGGTCGGTTCTTGTCCATGGACCTCCGACCAGTTAACATTTCTAGCAAAACTACTCCGAAGCTGTATACATCACTCTTTGACGTCAAGTGTCCTGAACCAGTAAGGAAACTTGTTAGAGTAACATCAGGTGGAGACTGGAGTATAAGCTCTTGTCTCATCTAACTCTTACAATAACACCAATAAACATATTCAAGCATAATATAGTTTCAAGTTTAAGAATGTTGCTTTAAGGATATTATAATTTCAAAAGTTTCGACACATATTTTACAGCATAATTTTTAGCAAGGAGGTAGGTATCTTGGTAAACAGTAAAACTAATTCGTGACCAATTTCACACAGATGCAAGAACAAATTGTCCAAGGGAAAAGCAGTTCAAAATCCAACTCACCAGTCATCACATACTCTGGGGCAGCATAGCCATATGTCCCCATAACTCGTGTAGATACATGAGTCTTATCTCCCTCGGGACCATCCTTTGCAAGGCCAAAGTCGGAAAGTTTGGAGTTGTAGTCCTAACAAAACGAATATGAATGGTTGTTAGCATTTGCAGGAAATATAAGGAAATACATTTCATACCAGTTGAAATAATCACATACCGCATCCAATAAGATGTTTGATGTTTTGAAATCACGATATATTACTGGTCTTTCAGCTTCTTCATGAAGAAATGCAAGACCTCTAGCAGCACCAAGTGCGATTTTCATTCTGATTGACCAAGGAAGTGGCAAGGACCCTGCTGCATCGAAAATGGTTGTTACCAGAAAAACATTACAAATCTTCCAAGAATCAACTTAACAGACAGCAACACTTTGGAACTTAATATTTGCCTTGCCCCCGAACAATTCAGTCTGTAGATTTAAAATACAAATATTTCTAACTAAAGAATCTAAAGATATTCTGATTTCCATGATTATGACAGTCCAATCAACAAAATCACTAAGGCCACCAGATGCATGCTCTCCATTTAGGGATCTTGCAAACATGCTACAGTTATTAGCTCATATGACTAAAGAAACCTAAATCTACCATCCATTTAGTTGTTTAGCTGCTGAACACTAGTAGCCATTAAAATCTACAGTAACTAATGTTAAATCCTTACAACATACCTTGCTGACCTAAAATTCTAGCAATCAAAACTCTGCCTGAACATTGTTAATTACTGCTTGATTATAACTTTTGACATAAGCATGAATAACATAAAAGATTTTAGACCCCAAGCAAAACAAAGCAAGCTCAAAAAGACTTCACAGTAGTTTCCAAGGCCACATACTCCTGAAGAGGTGGTTCTCCAAGCTTCCACGAGGCATAAACTCGTACGCCAGCAGCCTTTGGTCGTCTTCAATGCAGTAACCAATCAACTTGACCAAATTCGGATGGAGAAGGTTCCCAAGAAAATTAACTTCAGCCTGAAATATAGAGGATTACATACATCAACAATTCAACAAATGAAAAAACAAAAGAATCAAAGAACAAGATAAAAAGATCCCATACAAGCCACTCTTTATGACCCTGAAGGCCATCATGGTTCAGGGTTTTCACTGCGACAGTGAGACCAGTTCCTGGTTTAACTGGAGCAGTCCCATTCTCCTCAATCCACCCTTTGAAGACGCATCCAAAACCACCCTCCCCTAGCAGACTTTCGGGCCTGAAGTTCCTAGTCGCTAGTTTAAGGTCATTGAACGTGAACTTCCGCAGCTGAGAAGCAAGCCTTAGTTCCTCGCTGAATTTAGGTGTTGATGCTGTACTCTCAGCATTACTAGTAGTCGTAGACGACAATACTGGGACAACTGGTTGGTCTTTGATTTTCTCATTTGCAGACTGGCTTTCAGCTGAAAGGGGAAAGAAACATTAGCAGAACAATTCAGTTGTACTAGATCAACCATGAAGATGAAGCATAAACATCAAGTAAACTCTTTAAAAGAAGACTTCGGCCCAAAAAGAGGGTTCCATCTATTTGACTACGATAATATCCCAATCGGCTCTTCTCAATAAGGGTTTCATCTATTCCAGTCAACACTCCTACGTACCTTTCCAAAATTAAGCAAACCTATGACAGTTTGACCAGCTTAACAACCAGGCATCTTATGCATAATCCAAACCATAAACATAGAGCACATTAAATTCACCCGCTTTCTCCTTTCCAAGCCTTGTACTTGCGATCTCAGGCAAGACAAAAATGGCAAAAAGGACGAAACACCGGTATTAAGTTAAGCATCCTTAATTACCAAAGAGAGCAAAAAATCTGATCATGCAGCACAAAATTACACCGCCTATCGTAAACTCAGCCCAAAGATGTTAACCAGAATCAATTTGACTTTTTATTCCATATCTAATTTGAGATATAAAGTAATTAATCCACATGAATAACATCAGCAAAACAAAAGAAAACAATTAAAGCGCGATTTATTTACCATATTGATTAGTGATTCCACTCAAGGAGCTATCTACTTTTGATCTTGAAGGCATGCAACCACCGATCAGCCTCAATCGAATCCAGCAGCCAAAATCTTCTTCTGACCTATTCTTAGCCACCACAACATCTCTCTGCTTCTTCTTCTTCTTCTTCTGCTTGTTGTTGACCTTTGATTTCACCTCAAACTGTAACTTGGGTTTGGAAGAATCAGGACCCATACCCATCTCCAGAAAATAATGAAAGGTAGAAAATACAAATCTTTGCCCACAGCCTCAACCTAAAACTATGGAAGAAAGGGAACCCATTTCATAAACAAGTCTTATTTGCCCATTATAATCAAAAGTCAGAAAGAAAAGGGGGTGGTGAAATGGATTAGAGATTAGAACAAGTGATACCCAGCTCCCAGTTGTGAAGTTCTTTTAGTCAAAAGGAGGTTTGATAGATAGGTAGGTAGAGAGAGAGGGGAGGGGACTGCTTGTGAAAGAGGAAAAGTGAGAAGTTGGGGCAGGGAGGGTGGGCAAGGATTGAAACCAGGCAGGTTGGGGCAAGAAAGAGAAAAGAAGAGGGAGGAAAACTGAAAAAGGGAGGAGAGGGATTGGTCATACTCATACCATACCAACAGTAAACCTTGGCATATTCCAGACAAGAAGAAAGAAAGAAAACAAAAACTGAAAATTCATCATATTGATTAATCAATAAATAAAATACACACCATGTACAAAATAATATTGGATAATAGTATTCTAAGTACAGAGCTACAGAGGCACAGCAGCACCATTTGATCTCATTCCCCCAAAGACTTGATTTTTATTTCTTCCCATTATTTATTTTTAGCAATTAAATAAAGGGTGGGAGGTTCATGAACTGGTCCATTCATAGAGTGCCACATTTGGGTTTTTGCTGGTGGTGTGATGAGTTCCCTTACCTTCTCCCCAAATCCTCTCAAAGTCAAATAATGCAAGCTGCAAATGCTGCAGCAGAGAGAGCCCCCCCAAAAGGCTGAGTTAGTTGCTTACTTGCTGGCTGCACAAAAAAATGGCTGTAACTATCAAAAACCTCTGCTGTTTCTCTGGGACATCCTTTTTCTCTTTTGGTAATTTGGTTTGCTCGCTGGGTTTGTAAGGTTTGTGTCACTTTCAGATTGGTGCAATCAGTTGTTTTTCTCCATGGGGATACTAGGGAAATGAAATGACAGTAATGTTTGACAGATAAAGGATGTCTGTAAGAAACAGTTTTTTTAAGTTTGGTGGAAATAAGGTAAAGTTTTTGGAATGCCATGCTCACTCAGTATATTGGCTAGGGATGTGTATGGGTATGGAAAAGGTAATTTAGGGTGTGGGTAATGGTGCAACTCTTAATCTGGCAGTTTATAACCATACAAAATAAGGTATTCGTCATATTTAATTTTATCTTATAAGTAATCATTTTTAGTAGTATTGAAGGTTCAATAATAGCAACTCACTGTGTGAGCTTCCATCCTACTTAAAAGCTAATGCTTTTTTTCAAATAAACATATCAAAGAAGGATAAGTAGTCGCGAGGAAAATACTCATCATCATGAATGTAAGTACACAAGTATAAGAAAGAAGTCTAAACAATTATTTCCCTTCGGGAGAGAATGGTAACTATTCACAAGCTAGGGCAGCCCTGATTAGCTTGATCTTCCAAGTTTTTCACATCAAAATGAAATGTTTTTCTACAATTAAAATGTAATTTTTTAGTTGTAAGAAACAAAACAAAAAAACTCAACCATTTTGTTCATCATACTAGAAAGTATAGATTATATATTAGTAGTCCAATAGCAAGCTAAAAACATTATATTTGACAATCTAATTTCAAATACTTGTTATATTAAGGTCTAACATATGCTTGAAATACATATTGTCATAATAATTAGAATTAGAGAATTCATTTAGAAAAGCATCTATTCCTTTTTGTATGACTGAACCTTTTTGTCACAATCAAGTGGGGAAAACTCATTCATAAGTTCAACTTGGTGGTTGAAGTTTTGTGAGGCCTCATTGAAAACTAAAATGCAATAATTAACTAAGTAAAAATTAAATTAATTAAAGTCATCCGATATCCGAACATTCATTATTATGTAGTCCTGTTTTTCCCCTGAAACAAAACAATTGTTTGGTCTTCCATTGATGGCTACGTGGCAAATGAAATTGTCCACGTTTTTATTTTATTAAAAATTGACATTATGTATTTGGGTGGGATACTAGTTATCTCCACTAACTTACACATCTTCTAATCTATGAAGAAAATGGACACCCAACAAAAAAAAAAAAAAATCTACAAACTGGTCGATGCAAACTGTAAGTTTGTTTACCCAGTCACTGAGATTACAAAAAAGTTCAAGTTTGATCACTCGAAATATTTAAATCCAATGGTGATACTTCAGTTTACTCATACCGTTCACGTTTGGTCACTCTTCACGTCGACATCAACCTATCAAACGTCGCGATGCTGCGTTGCGCATCCCATTTCCCGGAGATGACGGAGGAATTCGCCGACAAGAATCTCGAATCTCGAGCCGAGTCCTACCTCACCCACGTCGTTCTCACCAGCATCCCCAACTCCATCGCCGTCCTCCACACATGTGACACCCTAATCTCGTCCCCGGAAGAAATCACCAATCTCGTCCCCCGCCTCATCAACTCCATCGCCAACAATGCCTGCAAAGAGCAGCTCGCCTCCGGGCTACCCAAGCTCAACCACACCTACCCGTCCAAGCTCCCAATCCCTACCTCCGACCCGAACACACCGTCCAATTGGTGGGGGAAATCGCTTGTTGTTTTAAGCCTCGATTTCTTCCACCGGGTTTTGACCACCGTCAAATCCAAAGGCTTGAAGCAGGACGTGATTAGCAACATCTTGATCAATTACGCCCACAATTCGCTGTAGGGGATCGTGATTAGGGATCCGCAGTTTGCCAAGGGGATCCTGCTCGTGTATTTCGAGCTTCAGAAGCGGCAGAGGGTGATTGTGGAAACGATTGTCGGTCTGCTGCCGACTCAGTCCAGGAAGAGCCATGTCCCCATGGCGTTCCTCTCCAGTTTGCTCAAGACGGCCATTGATGCGTCGGCGACTAATTCCTGTAGGTCCGATTTGGAGAGGAGGATTGGGCTTCAGCTTGACCAGGCCATGTGGAAAGGATTGAAGCCGGCGCCGGGGATTGGGCAGGAGTCAGAGTCGGGTGGTGGTGGTGGGGGGAGTGTTGCTACGGTGGTCGGGTTCCGCGACGGTGGTGGAGGTTGGGTCGGGTATGGGGGTTTGTAGAAAATAAATTAGGTTTTTTATATTTTTATATTTTAATGAATGTAATATTGAGGTGGAAAATATAAAAAATTATTTTTTTTATTTTTAATAATTTTTTAGTTGCCACATCACTAAGTTAACAGTCAACTTTGAGAGTTGACTGCCACATCAGTTAAAGGGAATGGAGTTGGACGGAGAGTTACCAAACATGAACGATTTGAATAAACTGAAGCACCACCAATGGATTTAAATATTTCTAAGTGACCAAACTTGAACATTTTTTGTAATCTCGTGACCATGGAATTAACCCAAAAAAATTCTAAAAAGTTGTCAATGCAAACTTTAAGTTTGTTTATACTGAAATAAGGTTCGAGATGGAAATCTGTCATGGAGGATTTGAAAGTATCCATTGGACAACCTAATCCATTTTTATACAAGGACTCCAAACAAGAAATTTGTTTGATTGAGATCCAAAGTGGACATCAAAAGGGTGTCTATCATAGAAACAATTAAAAGAAATCATACTTTACTCTGTTTTTGAGTTTTACAGCTTAAAAAATCACTAAGGAATATAGATTGACCAGAAGCTATGAGCCTATGACTACTCAGGTATGTTGAACTTGCCAAGAATAAGATCTGCTATGGAATCTAGTCAATTGAGATATACGACTGAACGATGTTCGTCATAAAACCAACTCAAACGAAATCAGGTTATACTCTTTTATTCCTTTTAAGACCACAAAATCACAAGGAAAATATAAATTGGCTACAAGCTCAACGCAATAGAACTTGTAAGACCTTTCAGAGTGGCCAATGGACCATGCCATAGAACCGCTCAAACTTCCAGCCACCTTCTAACCATAGGACCTCAATCCTCGACAGCTTATCTTCAAGAGAACAAGCATAGGTCGTACGCATACACAAGGTCCCCTACATAGCAATTGGAACCAAAGCTGAAGGTCTTCTTAAGGCGAGATTACATGGTGCTTGTGACATACGCATGAATGAAATTGTCAGTCCACGTTACAAAGAACTAGGAGGTTTGAAGCTCGATGGACTATGTTTGTCACAAGTTCGTAGCATTTAGGATCACATCTGACATTTCAGAAGCGTAATTCGCATTTTTCCATCACACAGGCCACAATGACCAATCCATCATCAGATTGATGGATGAGGACGCACCCACGGTGGTTACCATTCAATACCAATCCCACCACGATGCCGTCTCACTAAAGCTTAGAAGAAGTGTTTAATCCTTTGCATATACTGTTCACATTCATCAAACCACACATTCAACAATCAAAAGGAGACAGGCAACTAACTCACAGATCTGACAAATGGTGCCACCCTGCGTTCATCATAGACATGGAAGAAAAGTTTAGTATTGAGGGCCTCCAGCCGAGTTAAACCGAGGAGGTTCGCTTTAGGTCTCAAGCCAAGTCAAGGTTCCCATCACCAAATACTTGCTCGGTAGTTCACCCGCAGTCGGTGACAGGTATGTCATTTTCCTTCTGCAACATGTTTGTACATACCACTTCAGATATATAGGCATAATCCAGAACTTTGGATAACAGAGGTTTCAAGTAGTAGAAAGCAGATAAAGCTCTCACCTCTGAAGATCAATGTCAGTCACGTAGATGAACCCAGCAACATTACTGTGAACCAAAACAATTAAGTACAGTACCTCTGAAACCCAACTGGGCAAAAAGAAAAGAGAAGAAAAAAAAAAGAGCTACTCTTTCTTGAGAATTTTATTGATTTACCTAGAGGCAATTTGATCTGGTTCTTGTGCATATGAAACAGCTAGGACAACATGGAGCAAATCACCATCAATAGTTACAGGTGCAACTCTCAGAGGGTTGGCAACTGGGTCAGCACCAATTGGGAGAGCAGATCTAGGGGCTTGTGGTCCTCCACCAACTCGGTATACGAACAGATCATTGAAGTTTGCTATATTGGAGTGCGGGGACAGATCATTTGAAATGCCATAATAGTATTCCTGGAAAAGATGAAAGCTTTCATTTTCTCAGCAGTGTTTGGAAGAAAGAAGGAAGCATGTTTGGCAGAATTCCAAAGAGCTTACCCTAATCCTGAAACTCCTGGATCTCTGGCGGAGTTTCTGAGTTCTGGATACTACACCACCTGACTTTTGAAGTTTGACGACATCCACGTTAGGCTTATTCCTTAACACATCCCTCAGCATGCTGAAAAGTTTTTCCTGCATTAAGTTTAAAGCATCAAAAGCTCAAAATTTTAGAACTTTTGAGGTTAATTGCAGAAGCGTAAATTCGGTCATTGAAAATATGCATAAGGCAGCAACAAAAGCAAATGACAAAGAGCTAGATGATAGGCAGCCAATTCCAAAGGCACTGATATTTTACCTGGCCTAAAACCAAGACAACATTTGCTTGAAATGTATCAATGGCATGAAGAAGCAGCTGCAGAAAACAACAAAACCATTGAAGTAGTTTCACTTGCTTGATAGAAAATTATCAGCCTTTTGAAAACATATGTATTCCTCTCTTACGGCATGTAGACCTTGGTTACCTCATAGCCTACGCCTTCTATCCATCCCATTGTATTGATCACCATGCCTGCAGCACGAGATTCAGCATTTCCAGTAAATTGTTTCTCCAGTACTTCGGCTAGCTCCTTAACAAGTGTTCTATATAACTCCACATTTTGACTACAACAGTGGAAAATCATATCAAACAGAATAAAGTAGTGAGCAGTCTATTGCAGCATTACTAACCGAGACTCAATTGTAAGCCACAGCCAGATGGTTAGTTACCTGGGAGTTGTGTGACCATAAAAATAAACTAGAGGCATGTCCAAGGGAATGCCTTCAACAGGGTCAATAGGCAACTCTATGGGGGTAGCAGCAATGCATCCAGGAATTGTGATTGCCCCTTGACCCACATCCAAGTCGACGAAAGTAGGTTTCCAGCCTTGTTTGGCTGCCCAACTGAGCAGCATCCTAGACAAAGAGCTCTTTCCAGAATCCGTAGGTCCGACAACAATCACCCTAGGACCCTATACTCGGCACAAATCAAGTCAATAATCAAAGCCTGATAACTTCATTAGCAAGGCAAGTACTTCCTAAGCTCGACAACAAATTGTAGTTATTGTTGCTTATGATGACATTTGATAGCCACGATAGTTCTGCGCTTGGCCTCCAAGAACTGATAAACACACAGAGATGGCCTAGCCCAACACAAGGTGGATGATAATATATACCTGAGTGGGTTCAGAGTCACCTGAAGAAGAAGCTTTAGCTTGGATCCTTCTCCCCTCAAGTATAGCATGAACATTGACATAACTAACCATAGGTGTCTGAGAAACCAAGAATAGGGATTGAATTTGCTAATTTCAACAGAAACCCAGAAGGCCTAAAGAAGTAAACATGTAGTATATTCAAACCTCATCAGCTGTGTAGTCGGTTTCCGTGGCGCCATCCAGCTCAATTGTAGCTCCGTACCAAGTAAACACCTTTAGAATCAATGAGACCCAGTCAATGAACTTGAAAAGGGATAATCCAGTTCCCAAATTTACTTGCAATGAAGGTTCGAAATTTTACAGCGAACTTCAAGCGAGGAGGGAATGTGAGCCAGATTTCACGTGGAAGCTCAGTGCCAAAGATTTCAGCTGTACCGTTTAGGAGCCTCAATCGAAGCGGCGTCTCGTGGGCGGCTTCAATTCTAAGTTCACTCTCCTTTTCCAATTTCACTTGCCTTATTGCCGGCGCCGGCCCCGCTCCGGCGGTCATCGCCGAGCCCGCACCACCGTATGCCATGTCCTCCCCTTTCCCAACTGTAAACAGTCTTCCGTTGCACCCTTCTTCCACCCTCTGCTTGAAAGCTTCGGGCAAGCCGTTGCCGCGACTGGAAGTCAACAAACTGAACTGGCGATTTTGGAATTTAGGATTGAAGCCAGAAATGGAACGGACCGATTGAATTAACGACAGGGCAATGGGGTTTAGGGTTTTGGTAAGCCGCGAGACAGGAAGTGCTGTGTTACGTTGGTTTCGTTTCCGGATGAACAAAAAAATTCACATGCAAGCCGGCACCGTTTTCACATCGTTCAAATTAAGGGCTATACTGTTATACACTATACATTGGTCGGTTTGGTCAGATTTGACCCTTTTCGATAAATTGATCTATATGTGCCGCTTTAAAAAGGTAAAACTTTAATTTTGTCGACGTCCAATTCAGTTTGATTAATCATGTTCGAATAATAACTACCAAAATGGATATCATTGTCAAAATATTCTACAATATAATTACGAATAGTAATGTTCGATAAATTGATCTATATGTGCCGCTTTAAAAAGGTAAAACTTTAATTTTGTCGACGTCCAATTCAGTTTGATCAATCATGTTCTAATAATAACTACCAAAATGGATATCATTGTCAAAATATTCTACAATATAATTACGAATAGTAATGTTCGGATAATTATTCCACTCGAATCATGGCCAATAGTCCTAAACATTTGGAAGCTAAAGAACAGGATGAAACACACACTCCCTCAACTACATGGCTAGCTATAAACAAAAAGCTCAATCAAACGTCAAAAACCCTCTCTTAACCAACAAAATAGAAAACAACCGCCGTATGCAGCAGTAAGAGCACTCTATCAGTTCAATGCAGCAGCAGCAGCTGATTCCACAGCAACACCTTTTTCATCTTTGGTCGAAGATATCGCCTCCCAGTTCACTTCCCTCAACTGCTTAAACCTCTCTTCCAATCTCAAAAATCCAACTTGAGGGCAAACTAGACCCTCACTCCCAGCTCTATGAAGCAACACCATGCTCCCACCGATGTCAGGACCATGCAGCTTCCCAGTTAGCAGCACCCTCAGCGGCATAAACAAAGATTTCCCCTGCCAAACCACAAAACCGAAAAACAAAACGAGATCTGTTAGGATCAATGGCTTCAATTAGTTTTAGAGACTTGGGGGCAGGCACAAAGGTGTTACCTTGCGCTTTGTAGATTTACCAAAGTCCTTCACCCAACTCTTCCACCCGGAATGACCTCCTTCTAGCGCGGTAATAAGCTCCCCGCTGTCAAATGCTGCCAACAGCTTCTCTGCTACTTCAGAAAGTTTGTCTTCTATAACAGCTTTACCTTCAGCACTGCAAACATCGCAATTCATCAGCTGAATAAGAAACCATTTCTTAATAATGTGTTGATTTATTTTAATGCAAGTTTAGACAATTCATCAGCACCATTCCGGTTACAAGAAAAGGGAATTTTTGTTGCCAATAAGTCAATACTAACTAAGGATATTGTTACCAGAACTTTTTTTAACACTAAAGTATCGAGAATTCAGTGCGTGTAAAAGGGGTTTGAGCTTGAGGATCACCTCATTAACGTCTCTTGTAAGGGATATGACAACAGATTCAACATCACTTTGTCTGCATCAGGTACCAAATCTATGCCATCCTTAAGCAGGTTAACAGCCTCCTGTTTGTAGAAGGTGGAACATTTAAGCAGTAAGAATTCAGATGAAAATGACAGCCACAAGCGGCTAAACTTCAAATAAATTGACCATTCAGCAGTCAAGTGTAAACCAAGTGCTTCAGTAGCAAGTGTGGACATTTGGTAAAGTTAATGTACAAGTAGAATGGACCTACAGGTGCAGAGATATTCTTACTTCTATAAAAGAACCCTGGGACTCCATTAGGATTCCAATGTTCTTCCACCGTTCACCTATAAGCTTTGTCAATTTCTCATATGGAAGCGCTTTTAAATGCTGACCATTCATCCACCTTTAAGAAACCAATTTAAGTTAACTATGCTTTGCAGGGTAAAGAAAATAACAGTTAAGTAGCTTGATAATATGCCATCCATCTCAAGGAAGCATCAAACATGCACTATAACAAGCAACATGAAGGGATAAATACAGCCTACAGAAGATATTCCAGCAATATACAATGCAATTTTTCCACCTAATCCAATAATTGGATGGACTAAAAAACAGAGCCAGTGGTTGAATATTCTTAATTACCTCAACTTAGTAGAATCAAACACGGCACCACTTTTGTTAACACGATCAATTGTGAACTTTTCAACTGCAAATGAAATTAGAAGTTAAGCTACATCCACTAGCTTACATCAAAATTCTAATAAATGATGAAGGAACAGACCTAGTTGTTCAAGGCTGTAAAATTCATTTTCAGTGCCATCCCCCCAACCTAAAAGTGCCAGGTAATTTATCATTGCTTGGGGAAGGTAGCCCATCTCCTTGAACTGTGAAAAAAGTAATTGTCATATAACTGTTAGAAGACCCGAAAGAAATCACCTTAAGGAGTCTGCGGACAAAAATGTCCATGCCTCAAATGACTTGCAATAAAGTAAAGCCATTCTTTCCAAGCAAGATGTAAAAGGATTCATTAACTACCTGACCAACTGAAGTTGCACCATGCCTTTTCGATAGCTTGCTACGATCAGGTGCTAGAATTAGGGATACGTGTGCAAACTGAGGCATCGGAAATCCAAGAGCCTGAAACAGAATGAAAGTAATTCCTCAATCGGTAATGAAGGACAATGTGACTAACTTTTGAGGAGTATGCACATTAATACCTGATATATTAATGCTTGCCTCAGAGTATTTGGCAAATGCTCTTCAGCCCTGAAATGCAGATGTTGAGCATGAAATAAACAGTTTGTGTCTGTTTGTACTTATATTATATCATCCCTACCAAAGTATCAAGTTACTAGGTCAGTTACCTAATAACATGTGAGATAGCCATGGTAGCATCATCCACTGTGACACAAAAGTTGTAAACAGGTTGTCCATTGCTCCTCATTATTACAAAATCGCCAAGTGTGTCCAGATTCCAACTAACCTTCAGAACACTATCCAGCACACTTAGAAACTCATAAAAATCAAGATGGTAAGTTGAAAAATCAAGCTCAGAGGAAAAAGACCTACTCTAAACCTAACTACAAAGTTTTTCTTGGCAAGATTCTCCAATGCAGAACAAAGTCAAGAAGGCTAAATTGACCAATTATAATGAATAATACAGTTCTTTTTCTAGTTGGCAATAGGATGTAAATGGCAGAGACAGATGCCTAGTTGATTGCAACTTACTTCACCCCGAATGAGATCATTAATTTTCAGATTCCCGTGCTTTGGAACACGGAAACGGTAGGTATATGGGGTTCCCTTTTCTATCTCATGCATTACTTCAGCATCTGTTGCAGTAGCCCACTTTCCAGAATATACAGGAGGTAGTTGTTTCAATTGTGCTACTTCCTTCATTTTCTCAAGTTCCTGGAAAGAATGTGACACCAAATTTTAGGTTAGAGAAACGCCCTAAGATCAGCCAATGACTTATATAACCTGAACATCAAATAAACCAGCTACATAGGCAGAACTCGGGGTCAGAAGAGTCTAGGAAGATTTAGGAAAATACTTCGCACTCTTGAAACTTAACCAATCCAAAGAAATTATAAAACATCTCTGGACTTCGTTTGGCTAAACAGACCATATACAAGCAATACCTCTTGGATTTCTTATCAACCTTTTTTAATATTACCAAACTCTGGTTTTTCCTCTTTAGTAGAGGATCATTTCTCATGTGAACTACATTGGTGGCAATTTCATCACTAAAACGAAGGCAGATGACGCAAGTCATGGCTTGAAGACAATTCTACCTCGCTGGAACAGAAGCAACGGTAAACATGACCAGACTCCAAGAGCCTCTCAGCGTGTTGTTTATAAAGAGAATTCCTTTCAGATTGCCGATACGGGCCATAGTCTCCATCAATCCCAGGACCTTAGACCACAATAACGAACAAGAGAAACTTTCACAATCATAATCAAGAAAATCAAATCATTTCAGGTAAGTCTAACAGGTAAGGTGATGATTTCTAATGCATAATTCAGCAGCTAAGAGGTATGCACATAGAGAATAACTGCCTTCTTTAGGAAACTGTAGATCACAGTAAGCCACAAACTTTCATAACTGGGAAGTTCCTATTTGAAGTTGAATTATCTAAAATTGGTCATTTCATAAAGTGGCATTGGGAAAGAATGAATGAAGGAGTTGGAACAGACCTTCATCCCAATCAAGACCAAGCCAAGCAAGATCCTGGAGCACGGCATCTTCTGATTCTCTAGTCGACCTCTCCAAGTCGGTATCTTCGATCCTCAGCACAAATTTACCACCTTTGGACCTGGATGGAGAAGTTTCTAATGTAACTATGACAAGAAAGTAACGATGCACGAAATGTGGAGTGAGGGGCAGAGCGCAAAACCTTGCAAAGAGATAATTGAAGAGAGCAGTCCGAGCACCCCCAACATGGAGATTCCCAGTCGGGGAAGGAGCGAAACGAACCCGTACTTGCTGGTGTTGATCAGCAGTGGACTTGGAGGCACAAACAGAGAACTTCCTCGCGCTCCACGACCGAGAGGGGGAAGGAGCAAATGAAGAGAATCGCAAGGTAAGAGGTTTTAGAAGAAGGGATCGAGTAGCGGAATGGAGGGGCAGGTGGCAGAAATCAGGGATTACCCTGCTGCCCATCCTCATCCATGACGCCGTTCCAGTAGCGGCTGCTATCGAACTTGCCATTGTCGTCCCCCCAAACTCCCTATACCTGTACCATGTCAATTCCAAACCAGAGATATTCCTATTAAGACTCTAGAATGGAAAACCGAAATTTGGGGCTCAAAGCGGAATTCTATCGTTCTGGAACGGAAAATAAAACGAAGATTGCATTGAGGGTAAAGTGGTTAGAGTTGCGACACCTTCAATTCCCTTCACTTCACGTCAGCGGAGGCGGCGGCGGATGAGCGAGCCAGTTCTGGTAGAGAAGGGGACGGAGAACAGAGAAGGGTCAGAACTCAAAAGATAAAATCCATTCCAAGCGGGAACCAGCGATATGGCCCGCAGTAGAAGTTGGGGTTTACATGTGAGTAACTAAATATGGACCTTTAGAATTAAGTATGGTTAAAAAAATTTAGATCTAAGGGTTGTCAATTAAAAACATTTTATTTCACTAGTTTTCATAATCGGCTCTTATCTTCTTCGTTCTAACTCGGATTTCAATTTTTTTTTTCGCACACATGGAACGAGTTCGTTGTGCTCTACAAAATGAGATCAGTTTTCAATATATTTCGAGAAACTTTTTTTTTTACCAACTACATACCATATGGTAACTTCTTCATTTTTAAGTCGTTTTTGAAAATGTTTGCTCAGAAGGAACGAGTTCATCATTATCTATTGGATTTACAAATTTCTGGGTGAAAAAAATACTGACAAAAAATTACCATACTTTACCACTATTGTATGTGGGTGGTAACTTGTGGTAAACAATGATGAAAGTCGTAAATGACAGTTAGTATACTTCTACTATCATGTATTCAACCTTCTTACCATATTGGTATGTTCATACCATCATGGTACGCTTTCTTACCATATGGTATTAAATATGGGAGGTACTAATTAACGCCCTAAATTTTTAAATTTATCGCCCTAACATAGACAAGTTGACGTTTTTGCCCCCAGCCGTCGCCCTAACCTAATTACGCTATGCTCAGCCGTTCCCGTCACCGTCGTTCGCTGGAACAAGTGAAAACGAGACTTAAACGTATGAAATTCTGCAATCGATTAACGTGATTGAATGGGAACCAAAATTCACTTATGGCGCCGCTGGGAACTGCCGTTGAGGACTATTTTACAAGGGCAATTGAGGTCTTGAGAATCAGAGCCTTTCTCGCACCGCAGAAACCTTGGATTTGGAGAGGATTTCCACTGCGGCGGCGAAGAAGCTCGAAACAACGTGAATCAAGGAGAATAAGGAAGGGATGCATAGAGCATAGTGTTCCATTTTCGTGGGGGAGTGCAATTGAAAATTTTGCAGGGAGTAATTGAGATCGTGGGCCGTCCGCTCGTGGACGAAGAAGAAAAGACGTCCCGTCGCGTCCTTCGCCCTGCGATTAATCTTCCCCCGCCGCCGCCGTTCGCCTGGAAGTCCTCGCCCCGGGCAGCAGAACAGCGGAAGATTCTCGCAGCGGTGACTCGCCATTCTGCCCTCTTCCTCTTCCTTCCTCGAACGCGAGCAAGGGAAGGCAGTGGGGGGCTTGACGTCGCCGAAAGGGCAACGGGGCAGCAGAAGATTGTCGTGGCGACAACTCTCGAGCGGAAGGAAGTTGCAGGGCACAGTGTCGGCGACGGGGGAAGGATCCAAGGGGAATGACGTTGACAGGGCAGCGGAGCAGAGGAAACGCCCTGAGAATTCTGTTTTAGGGGTTTAGGGCGAGGAGGGGTAAATTCGTCTGTTTTGTTAATTTAGGGTGAAAATTTTAAAAAGTTAGGGCGTTAAATAGGAATCCAGTTAAATATGAGCATACCATATGGAAATGACTGTTAAAAATTATTCAAATTATTTTGTACTAAAAATATATCAAAGTGGATATCATTTTAAAGAGCACATTTAATCTGATTTATCTGTGCAAAAAAAATTAAATTTCGATCTAAAACGAGAGAGAAATCGTCCATTAAAGATTAAAAGAGAAAGGATAAAAAGACTTTTCAGGAGAGAGGGCATGCTGATGTCATGCGGATGTGGACAGGTTACTAATGGTTACTCACCATATGGGTTACTTACCTGATCCGCCCCCTTAAACTTCGATACTTCCTCAAGTAAAGCGTGCAAACTTTATGTTTTACTAAAAAGGCCTTGAATGTTGTTTCTTCCCTGTCCACATCGTCATTAAAAATGATAGAATTTGACATTCAATGTGACCTCTCACATCGTCGAAGTTTAATTACTCAAGGATAGAGGGTGTGCAATGTCCAGTTTGGTCAAAACATGATAAATGTAGTGCAATAGGATTATTAATTTATTATTGCATTCATTACATGCTCTTTCATCAATAGTTTATTTGCTTACGAACTACCGCGGTTTTTCTGTTTTAGTCTTGTTATTGAGTCTTAAGTCGAGTCTTTGTCCCATGTCCTTTGAGCTTTCCTTGGGAAATAATTGTCTTTAATTCGAAGCAAGAAATTATTCAATAATGTTTTACTCTTGGAGTACCAATTTGTTAATTAACTCAAGGATAAGTTAGGCATATTTCTCGGTCAAAGTCATTTATGATATAATTTTTCTCCCGATACAAACTAGCTTAATTAGAGCTTACGATCGAATACGAAAAGTATCAAAGTATAAGTGCAAAAACTTATAGGCAAAATACACCTGTATAGCCATAACTTTCACACTTTTGACAAATATAGCCATTTCTATTCGAAAACCACAAATAGCCCAAAAAACTGAGGGTAGTGTGACAAATCTAGCCAAATCCGTTAGAAACTTTAACACCGTCTGCGACTCCGTTAAATCGTTTGACGGAACGCTGACGAGGACGAAAACCAACCTACACATCATTGACACATCAGCAAAACGTACACGTGGAATGCCACGTAAATAATAAAAAAAATAAAAATAATTATATATGTTTACTTCCCTTTCTCCTTCTTCCCTGTCCCCGAAATTCTAAACTCCAGTTTCTAATTAGGTTGGAATGTAATTACATGAAAAAAAAAGGAAATGAAAGATAAGAGAACGGAAGATGAGCAGAGGCATTAGTGCAAGATTTCCTCTCATCAATCCTCGTTTCAATCCAAATCTATTTTCATCCCCAATAGTTAATAATCCGCTTCCGACTCTTTCAGCTCCTCCGACTCCAACGATTCCTCCGCGCCGGAAAATCCACTTCCGTCCTCGTCCTCTCTCCGCCACCACCGCTGATAACCTAATTCTCCTCTTCCATCCCGACGACTTGCTTCCCCGCCGCCTCCGCACTGGCCATCTGGTCCAGGTACCGAGTTAGGATGAGCTCCATGGACGGATTTGCTCCCCGGAATCCCAATTTTCATCTCTCGTTCGAGGCTCGTCTGCTTTTTTTTTTTTTTTGAATTTACTGTCTGGATCTGACGTAGCGCTAGCCGCCGAACGACGATGATGCCAAGCAGCGAAGGACGGGAAGGAGGCGCCGACAGTTGTGAATCTGTATCTGACAGAAGCTCGACGACGATTCCAAGCGGCGGCCGGAAGGCAGATCTATAATGGGTTACTCATCTGCATCGGCTACATGAGGTGGAAGAACAAATCCACTATGTTTCTCATCTTTCAAATGCAAATTCCAGTCCCCGTCGACCGTCGAACTTCCAAATCCATATGTCCCTTCCAATCGCAAAGCCTCCATCGTCTGAAGGGATAAGGTTGGAATGGAAGAGTCGCGAGTGGTGGTGGGCAGCTGTTCACTTTCATATTTTTTTAAGTCTGATTTCCACGTCGGAAAGTGGGGTAACTCAGTTGCCAACTCAGCGCAAGCCGTTAGTACAGTCATAACGTCTGCTAACACCGTTACCAAAATGGACGGAATTGGTTATTTGTTGTTTTCGAATAGAAATGGCTATATTTGTCAAAAGTGTGAAAGTTATGGCTATACAGCTGTATTTTGCCAAACTTATATAGATCCTTGATTAGTTAACTAGATTGTAGTCTCAAAACAAGGGGTGGAGGCATCAATCTCTCATCGGCTGACAAGTGAAGGAATAAATATAAAACATAGTTTTCCTTCATTATGAATAAAAGTGACAACTTAAATGGGATGAATTTCTAATTCTTTAACCCTCGATTCTTTCATCTCCATTCTACAAGCTAAGATTTATCAATTCCATCGTTGAAAATGAAAATTTAACACGACATATTGTCTAAAATTATATGTCAAACAATAATGTTTCAATGGTTTCATCTATTCACATTTCGTGGTTCTAAATTCCACATATTTCAACATTCCACTAGAGGTCAATATTCTTTTCATTCAAAGGACTCCAAATAATCATACAACAATTCAACGAAAAAAAAATAATAATCATACAACTGAAACCAACACACTCACAACCATATAACAATAAATAACATGTATTTGTTCATCACCATTGTGGAACCACCTTTAACGATTGACATCTCGTCGATACTTACACCAAACAACACCAAACACTTTGAATAATAATCCATCTTAAAAATGTTTGGTCTACATAATAACATAAACTTCAAACTTTTGCATTAATGTAGAATTGTGTTTGGTTTTGCATCCATGTTGATTAAAAATTGGTCAATATGTCATTTTGGGAGAAGAAATTCATGCAACATCCCATCTCGTATTATCAACTGCCTAGTAGTAGGCTTGGCCATTGACGTTAGCAAGCTAACGTCATCTCTGGCATGGTATAATGCTCTTCCTCTTCTTCTCGTCAGAGATCACACTATTAGAACATTGAAGCTTGAAATGCATGGTAACAATCATCACAACAATTCCCTTTCCTGGAGAACAACCCATCAAACTCACTCTCATTGTTTTCCTCCCCTTCTATTCCCTGTGAGTTCCCCATATAAACACCTCCTTCAACGTGTTGTTCTCAAATCTCAATCACCAAGCCCGAAAAGCAAAAAGCAAAAAGAAAAAAAAAAGGCTTTGTTTTCTCATCCTATCCCCCAACGATGGAGCTATTCGGCATCAACATAGGTTCCACAATGGCGGCACTAATGTTAGGGTGGACAATGTTCCAGCAATTCTTCCCTTACCACCTTAGCTGCTTGCTTGAATTGTACACCCTACAGATCGCCGCTTTCTTCTACCCTTACATCCAGATTACCTTCCCGGAGTTCACCTTCGACCGCCTGACACGGAGCGAGGCATACGTCACCATCCCGAACTATCTCGCTGCGATTTCCTCTGCCACCGCCAGGCGACTCAAGGTCGACTTCGTTAAAGAGAATTGCGACTCTGTCCTCCTCGCCATGGATGACTACGAGGAAGTCACCGGCGTGTTCCACGACGTCAAGGTCAAATGGTCTTCCATGAAGACTGTTCGTCCCTCGCAGTCGGTGTCGTTCTACCCTGCTGCCGACGAGCGACGGTCCTTAACCCTCACTGTTCACAGTCGCCACCGTGAGTTAGTGACCAGCGGTTACATAGCTCATGTGTTGAAGGAAGGGAAGGCAATTCCGTCGAGGAATAGGCAGCGGAAGCTTTATACTAACAATTCGAGCAGCGAATGGTCTATGTGTAACGCTACGAAGTGGAGCCATGCTGCTTTCGACCACCCTGCGAGTTTCGATACTCTGGCTATGGCGACGGGGCTCAAGGAAGGGATTAAGAAGGATCTGGTCAAGTTCAGTCAAGGGAAGGACTACTACAATAGTATAGGCAAGACATGGAAGCGCGGGTGAGGTTTTCGTCTCTATGCTTTCCCAATTTTTCTTGCCGATTTCAGAGTGCTGATTTCCTGAACTACGACATCTACGATCTGGAGCTGACGACGGTGAGGGACAACTTCAAGCTAAGAAAGCTGTTGATCGAGAATACGAGAAAGTCGATCATTGTGATCGAAGACATAGATTGCTCGCTCGATCTCACTGGCTAGCGAAAGAAGGGCACAAATGGGGAGAAATGCAAAGAAGAAGAAGAAGTAAAAGCAGAGGAAAATGACCCTTTGGCCAGAATTAGGAAGGGAATGGGAATGACGGGACGAGGGAGATCAAGGTGACACTCTCGGGCCTTCTGAACTTCATCGATGGAATATGGTCGGCTTGTGGCAGAGAGAGGATCATTGTGTTCAGCACCAACTACATCGACAGCTTCGACCCGACATTGATTCGGAGAGGGAGGATGGACATGCACATCAAGATGTCTTACTGTTGCTTCCAGGCCTTCAAGTTGCTGGCAAGGAATTATCTGAATTTGGAATCACATGAGCTGTTTGGAGAAATTGAGGTGCTCTTGGAGGAGACGAAGATGACTCTCGCGGATGTTGCAGAGAATTTGATGCTGAAATCGGAGGACAAAGGGGCCGAGAGTTGTCTGAGAAACTTGATTGAAGCTCTTGAAGTTGCCAAGTTGTAAGAATAAGCAGCAAAGTTGAAGGCCATGAATTCAGATTTGGGGGAAATGGTAGCAAAGTTGCAAAAACGAAGCTGCTAAGTTGGAAGAAGTTGTCAAGTTAGAAGAAGCAACAACAAAGCTGAAGGCCACAAAATCGGAGGAAAACGTAGCGAAGATGGAGAGCACAGTGCAAGTGAAGGAGGAGGAAATGGGTGAAGACAGTGAGAAATGTGTTGCGGCGCCAACACCATGATCGCAAGGGAAGTAGAACGGTAGTAGTAGTTGCATTTCTAGACTCGTAGTTTAACTGTAGTAGTTGAAACTTGAAAGAGTGATTCAAGAGATGATTTGTAGTCGACACTTCAAATAGTAACATGTTATGGGAAATGAAAAAAGTGGAGATGCGAGTAAAGATCGCCGTACTTCTCGTGGATTTTATATAAAAGGAATAAATTGCAAATTCGGTGACTAGAATTACTTAAAAAGTTCACATTTATCATTAAAATTAATTAATCCCATTTATAGTCACTAAATTGGTTCAGAAGTTTAAGTTTGGTTACTCTTCGTTAGTTTTTGTTAACTTTATTTGATATGACAGTCCACTCTGAAAGATAATCGTTAAATAAGTGACGTGACAATAAAAAATAAATAAAAAATTTAATCTTTTAAAAATTCTACCTCATTATCATAATAATTTTAAAAATAAATCAAACATAAAAAACATTATAATTATGAATTACCAAATAATGAAGCAAAAAACAAAACAAAAAAATGAATATAAAACTAGGTTTGAAGGCAAGTGGTGGACGAATATAGCAACCGCCTCCGCCGTATGTAGAAATCCTAGCCATTGTCGCCGATCAACCCCTCCCGTTACACCACCATGCTTCTATATCCGATCCACTCCCCGAGGCATATCTCGTTGCGTCTTTGATCTCGGATGATGCTCTACTCCTCTTCAAACCCGGCGGCGCTTCCTCGTTGAGGGCACAAACGTCGCCGGAATTGAACAAGATCATCGTGTGGGATTACTTCTCTGACATCTCCAAGCTCTGCGGCCGACTCGATTGCCGACGCCACCGTTTTAGTGCCACCAAACATCACATCCTGTAACCATGCTCTCGCTCTACACCTCCCATGCTGCTTCCGCCGTGGGTTCAACCAGTCGACGATCTCGCTCTGTCTAGGCCTCTAAAATCGAGAGCGCTCAAAGATTGCAACCAAGCATTGGAAATCGAGCCTATCGATTACATTTTTTTGCTCAACAAAGGCAGGATCTTATTTGTTGGGACTTTTAGGGGCGATGGTACACGTACGATAGCCCGAGACCGAGTGACCATGATTATGATAGAGTCGTGAACAACGTTCACTTTCCGAAAAGAATATTTCCACCCTCTACAAAGCCTTGGGTTACATGAAATTTCTCCCGAGGATAAAACTATCACCACTTTAGGTTCTAGGCTCAATAACACTAAAGCATACTTAGAAATTTTTGGAAGAAAGTAGAAGAATATGTTTGATGGTATGTGGCACCATCCACCCCACACATATATTTATAAGGGCCGAATCCATGCATTGTTTCATGAACGGTTGCCTTTATCCATACGAAAGATTGTCTTTATCCATATGAAAGGTTGCATTTATCCATATGAAGGGTTGCCTTTATCCATAAGGTTGTCCTTATGGATAAGGTCGTCCTTATCCATAAAATAATGCAACCTCCACTAGCCCAAAGGGATGTGTCCCTTCATGAAATTAGAATATTGGTTCGGTCAGTCTAATCCCAAACCAGTTGATCGGTCCAATCCAAAACTGGTTTGACTTGGTTAGTCCGGTTCAGCCAAATTTCCAACATTCCTCCCCCATTTTAGTGTATTCTTAGAATCACTAAATCACAACATTCTTCCAACAAAACTTAAGCATAAATGAAAATGTCGTGACGATTGAATTTTCACCTTAGTATTACACTTGACGAATACTCGAACACAAAGGGTGTCGGTAACGATTGAACCCATTGACTCATATGAATATTCGAAGATAATATACACTTAAGTTTTCAAAACTTCTAAGTGCCTTGACACTATTATCCGCCATGTGTCCAATCCTTCTCATAAGCGCACACGAAATCAAAGTCCGGGTTTCTTGAAGCGGCTACACTTCATGCTTACGTAGGTTGGATCTCTATTCGTGTAACCGCATAATACACTTTTTCAAAGATTCAATTAAGAATTTTTAAACTTCATCCTCTTCTCTCATGCAGGATAACAAGCACATACCTCGGGATGACAAATTTTGTGCTTCAATTTCTGATAATAAGTTTTCCACATTGAATTCAGCCTCTAACGTTGTATTAGAGGGGAATTGGGTGTCCCATTACCAGAAATTATATGGACTTTAATCCATCCCTTTTACAGACTTAATCACCAAGTCACTAGTTAACCACTTCGTCAAATGATCAACCAAATTAATTCGAGTTTGGTCATACTGTCTAGACACAACACTATGAATGATCAGTTCACAACTTTTACCGTGCCATACTCCCACATGATCGTACTTATCATTTTCACTTGACTATATGCCTTAGCCAAATTAGCATTACTATCACAAAAGATAGTAATAGGTGAGATTGGTTTAGGCCATAAATATATGTCATAGACCAAACCTCTCAACAATTATGTCTCTTCTCTAAGAGAAATCAAGGCCACACAAACTTTGATTCCATAGTGAAACTTAGTGATGCAAGTTTGCTTTATAGAGGCCCAAATTATGGCACCTCTCCCAAGCAAGAGGACCCATCTCAATGTTGAAGTTAACATGAGAAATCCAACTAAGATCAACAAATCCTTTCCAAAATTGATGGAAAGCCACTATAAGTCAATACAGTGTGCCTTTGACATATCCTAGTACACGCCTCATTTCATTTCAAATGATGAGAACTAGGATTCATCACGTACCAACTTAATTGTTCTATCGCATATCATTTCAAATGATGAGAACTAGGATTCATCACGTACCAACTTAATTGTTCTATCGCATATATGCGATAGAACAATTAAGTTGGTACGTGATGAATCCTAGTTCTCATCATTTGAAATGAAATGAGGCGTGTACTATGCGATATCTAGCATCATGTAAGTCATGCATACATCTCCAATTGTAAAACTGATTTTCAGTATTTACCATAAGTTCCATACTTGGATCCATTGGGGTCTTTAACTCACTTCAATTCCTACTATGGAATTTATGCAAGTACCTTCTCATGCAGAAAAATTGAGAGAAGGACTCTTCTTTGTCGTTCCGCTTGATTCAATACACAGAATCACATTTGCCTACCCCATGTCCTACATGGAGAATTGAAATAACAACTTTTTATCAAAGTTCACTTATCTTTTATTGGTTCAAAAGATAAGCATATCTTATACATACAAATGTACGATGACTTCATTACCAGAATCATCATAAGCTGTGTACACATTTTGTCTCTTTGGTTTAAAATAACATAAACCACTTGACAAAATCACTTATCTTTGATTGGTCCAAAAGATAAATATGTCATCTACATACAAACACAACGACTCTATTACCAGAATCATCAAACATTGTATATACAACTTTGTCTCCTTGGTTTAAAATAACATAAACCACTAGACAAAATCACACCACCAAACCACTAGACAAATCCAAGTTTATCTAGAACTTCGTAAATGTCGAATAGAGAATTAGACTAATTAACCATTGAGTATGTGACCTACCCAAAGGCAATTTTCATTCTTCTATTTCTCCATTTTACGAATCATTCTCCTTCTTCCTCATCTTCGAATCATCCCTCTTCCAAGTTACCTTCCGGATATGGAATAGGCCATGAGACAAGTACGAAGAAAACCCATCTTCTACTGCCATCGATGAAAAACCCATCATCGAAGATTCTCATTATTCCGTAGACCGAAACCGGTTTCTTGTAAAGATCGGTTCGAGCCATCATACCGGAAAATATTCTTTTCGATTGTTGGGACTTTTAGGGGCGAGGGTACACGTACGATAGCCCGAGACGGGGTGACCAGGATTATGATAGAGTCGCAGTTTCCGAAAAGAATATTTCCACCCTCTACAAAGCCTTGGGTTATAGGAAATTTCTCCCGAGGATAGAACTATCACCACTTTAGGTTCTAGGCTCAAGAACACTAAAGCATACTTAGAAATTTTTGGAAGAAAGTAGAAGAATATGTTTGATGGTATGTGGCACCATCCACCCCACACATATATTTATAGGGGTCGAATCTATGCATTGTTTCATGAACGGTTGCCTTTATCCATACGAAATGTTGCCTTTATCCATAAAATAATGTAACCTCCACTAACCCAAAGGGATGCGTCCCTTCATGAAATTAGAATATTGGTTCGGTCGGTCTAATCACAAACAGATTGATCGGTCCAACCTAAACCGATTTGACTTGATTAATCCGGTTCAATCAAATTTCCAACATTATTCGCCTTAAAAACGTACTCCAACGCTTTGCCACTAAAATTAATTTAGTTCATCGAAAACAAAACCTCTTCCTAAGCTCGGCTGTTGAAGGCAAGCTGGGACTTGGGAGCAGAAGCAGAAAATGCTAGTCAGGAAAGTGCTGTTGCGGGGAGCTTCGGCGTCCCGGCTTCTCATTTCCAATAAGTCTCCGCCAGCGTCGCTAATACCTCTGGCTTCCGGATGTACGCGATTCTTCTCTTCTTCTACGCAATCGGAGGGGCCGAATGATGGTTTTGTGGCCGGTCAGGAAGGCGGCGATGAGCAGCCGGCTGCTACCATCACTGTCGATCGTTCCGGCCTCTACCATCCACCTGGTTGGTTTTTACTTCTCTCTACGACAGTCTAAAAATGTGGCAGCGTTTAGGTAGAGGGGAATCATGTTTGGTTAAAGCACTTTCCTTTTCTTTGGTGTGTGGCTGTTGCAGAGCTTTCTCATGAACCCACCATGGAGAGTGAGCTGACTAAGCACCTTAAAGGCATTATCAAGGTTTCGTTCTCGGATTCCTTGACGCTACTACGCTTTTGTTGAGTTACTGGTGGTTGTATTGGTTTGTTCTTGTTTATGTAGTTGTCTTGCGTAGTGAGCAGAATGTGTTTGTCGAAATGTCTGTGTGAATAGGAGGGTAAGGTTTAATGAAAGCATAACAAATGTATGTTTTTATTCTGTTTTTGCATTCTTATTGCACCTTTAAACCTTAGACAAATATCATCTGGAGAAAGAAATGTTGGGTGCCATAATCTGGAAAGTTGAAAGCTTTACTCCAGCCTAGAGTCTAATGAGTAATGCTGTGGAAGGCATAATGTTGGTAAACTGTTGGTTTAATTGATGGGAGTTAGGAGATCAGTGAGCATTAGCTCATGAGAGAAAAATAATTATACTTTCCCCCCGCATTTTGCTAAAATGGCTTTCATGATCTTGAAAAGATTAGTAAAAGGGAGAAAGAGGGGGAGGGGAGTTGTATATGTGCTACTCTTTCCGATCCATTTGTCTGTTGGGTTTCTTGTGCCATGACTTGTATGGGTTTGATTCTGTTTATGTTAATCTCAACATTTCACATACTGCTTGCTTCTTCGACGACTTATGGCTTTCAGTTTAGAGGCGGACCAATCTCAGTGGCAGAGTATATGGAAGAAGTTTTGACGAACCCTAAATTTGGCTTCTATATCAACCGAGATGTATTTGGATCAGAGGGTGATTTCATAACCTCTCCTGAAGTCAGCCAGATGTTTGGGGAGGTAGTACTTCCTTAAGTTTGGGTCCTAATATTCTAGTTCATGTCGTTCAATGTTGGTATTGTTCATTGGTTTGACATGGGTTAGTTGGCTACCTCTGTGGCTAAAGCCTTTGCTTATTTGCTTCTCTGATGAGATATTAGATGATTGGTGTCTGGGTTATGTGTTTGTGGGAACAAATGGGACAACCCAAGAAAGTGAACTTAGTTGAACTGGGACCAGGAAGAGGAACTCTCATGGCTGATCTTTTGCGGGTATGCTATTCATTTTCAAATCATGTAAACTGGTGGACTCTTTTTTTTTTTAACGAAGGAAACATGCAGAAAGAACCAACATATTGTTCTAAATGGGATAGTCTTATTAAATACCTCTCAGGGCACAGCAAAATTCAAGAGCTTCACGGACTCGATGCATATTCACATGGTAGAGTGCAGTCCAGTGTTACAGAAGCTTCAGCATCAGAACCTAAAATGTGAGAAAGTTTGCAATGCAGATGAAAATGGAGAAAAAAACTCAGTTACATCGATCACAGGAAGTCCTGTAACATGGTATTCTTCACTGGAGCAGGTGCCATCTGGATGTATGAACTTATCTTATAGTACTAAGTTCCGTTTCAATTGCCACCGGCAGCATAAAAATATGATCTACCTCGGTCTTCCACGGAAAGCTTTGATTGCCGATTATATTTGCTTTATTTGGTAATGTTCCAGCACCAACAATCATCCTTGCACACGAGTTCTATGATGCTCTACCTATTCACCAGTTTCAGGTTTGTAAATTTGGCTGCTCCCTTGTTCAACTGAGCATTTGGATGGTTTTGGAGGATAAAAATACTTTTCTGATCATCCGATAATTTGATGTTTTGCAGAGGTCTTCTCGTGGCTGGTCTGAGAAAATGGTTGACGTGGGAGAAGATTCAAAGTAAGCTTTCCTCTTTAGTTGCATCCAGAAGCACTGTTAGGCTTTCTGAACTGTGTGATTACAGCTTGATGATTCCTAATTTCTACTGCACTCAATTAGGTTGCGGTTTGTTCTGTCCCCTCAGCCAACACCAGCCACTCTTTACCTAATGAAGCGATGCAAGTGGGCCACTGAGAAAGAAGTAGAGAGTCTTAAACAAATTGAGATTTGCCCGAAGGCAATTGATCTGACTCATTCAATTGCACAGAGAATAAGTTCTGATGGAGGTGGTGCCCTCATAATTGACTACGGCCTCAACGGAGTGGTCTCAGATAGTCTGCAGGTGTGTTCTCTCACCGTTGCTATTTCAATTATCTCTAAGAACTTGTCCAGCTTGTTTGTCCAAATCTCGTTCAATTTTTTGCATGTAGGCGATCCGGAAGCATAAGTTTGTCAGCATCCTTGACGACCCTGGGTCTGCTGATCTCAGTGCTTATGTCGATTTTCCTTCCCTCAAGCACACCGCAGAGGAAGCTTCAGGTATTCCCGCCTTTTGTTATTCTCGTGTTAAGCTTGTCATCAGTAACTCGAACTAATAAGTTAGATCGTTGCCAGACAATGTAGCTGTCCATGGCCCTCTTACTCAGTCTCAGTTACTTGGTTTACTGGGGATAAACTTCCGAGTGGAAGCATTACTAGAGAACTGCACAGACGAACAAGCTGATTCCTTAAGGACAGGATACTGGCGCCTTGTCGGTGAAGGGGAAGCCCCGTTCTGGGAAGGGCCAGATGAACTAGCACCAGTCGGGATGGGTACGAGGTACCTGGCAATGGCAATAGTGAACAAGAAGCAAGGCGCGCCTGTTCCATTCCAGTAGCTTTCTCAAAGCGCTTTTACAATTGAATAGTGTGGAATTCACGAACTTTATCAGCAGGATTGGAGAAGAACTCAGACATTTTGCAGTCCTTGTGGGAGAAGGATTGAAGAAGAAGAAGAAGAGGGTTTACCCGCCTGAACGTTTCGAGTTTCGTTTGTTTGTTTTGCTTCCGCTTTTGACAAGAACAATGTCGTTTGTGAATGGAGGGTTAGCCGTTAAGCTACAGCGATTAGCATTTGTAATAGCCAGTGAAACTTGGAGACTCTGTAATCTTGTTAAGCTATTTCTAACACAGAATAAATAGAAAAAAAAACTCTTAAATTTGTCGATGATTGTGTGTTAGTCTTTTGTAATTCACACACACCACAACCGCTCATTTTTCTCACCTCGAGCATATTTGACAATCATTCATCACAGTCACATACCCTTCTCTCTGATTGCAGCCTTCTGCATCACATTCTCGAACTATAGAGAGGAATGGAAGGACTAGGGGGAGATCGGAGTAGTGGGGTTCCAACTTCCAAGCCACCATCATTGTTTTTCCACTCTTCTTCTTCTTCTTCTTCTTCTTCTTGTCAACTAATTAAATGGCTCCAACTTATCCTTTGTGAGGTTGGACAAACCTATACGTATGGTGTACATATATAGGAGTAGACTAAATTGAATGGATCGTATGTATTTGCAAATGTGTATGGTCACTGCTATATGTCAAGTGGGGGGAAAGAAATGGAATGGATGCATACCCAAAAGCATAGCTATGCCAAAGTGCCAGAGTTTCATAACTAACGCATAAGTGTTATTAAGGTACGTGTACCCTTTACTTACGTATTTAATGAATAGAAATTGTTAACTTTGCCATTGTTAATTTTACAATTGTTCATATATTTAATGAATGGAAATCGTTAACATGTTTAAAATCCGTATAACACGTTTAATACCGTATTTAATGAATAGAAATTGTTAATTTTACAATTTTTTATATAATTATTTATTTTTAAATAATTAATTATATATATTTTTATTACTATTAACGTAATATTAAAAGTAACATTAGGTTAGAGAAAAAAATAAAATACCCTTATGTATTTTCTATGTAACTTTTATGTACCATATTTTATTAACTATGTTTCGAGTATGCTATGATCCCCGTAATATTTTTTTTATTGGTAGAAACCCCGTAGTATTTTAATATCATATATTCATAAGACAGTTGTGTGATATCGGACACCTTTTCTGATACACATTGAGATTTGGCTGCCAAACCTTAATATTTATCAGGAAAAACCCAAGTTGGGTATGTGTAATATGTAAGCCAAACCTCAATGTTTATCAGAAAAGACCCAAGTTAGGTATATGTAATATATTAATCAATTGACTATTCAACCTCTCAAGTCTCAACAATAGATTCCCAGTTACTATTACCAGAGCACAAATTGCCCATCATCAATGGAGCACCTGCCCTAAGAAGAAAGCTGGTTCTTCTTCCTTTCCTCAGCACACCACACCCCCAAATCTTACTACACCACCGCCGAGTACTCATGACTTTGAGATACACTGTGACGGATCGTTCTTTGGCGATTCCCAGGAGGCGGCGTATGGCGTCGTAGTGACGAATAGCCATGGTCAAGTTTGCAATGGGAGAGCTGAGACTCTGCACTGTTTTTCCCCACTTGAAGCTGAAGCTAAAGCACTTTGGGAAGGTTTTCGCCTTGCTGCGGAGCTCTCAGCACCTTGCCTGGTGAGAACGGATTGCCTTTCACTGATCAAAGCTTTTCAACTTCCGACTGAAATTTGGCCATGGAGAGCAGCGGGTTGGATCGACCGCATCAAGAACCTCAGCATGTCCCACCCCTGGGTCAAATATGACTTCATCAACAGGCAACGCAACGCCAAAGCTAACTGGGTGGCTAGATCGTGTGCTAAAAAAACTCTCCCTGTTGAATGGATTCAAATTCTTGATGTAATCTCCCCACTCTTGTAATGTCTGGCTTTAACCTCAAGTAATGGAATTTCGTTGCCCTTTGTCAAAAAAAAAAAAAAAATCCCATAATCTGTCACTGCTACAACTATAATCAAATAATAAAATTTAACAATAATAATCATTAATTTATTACTGTTAGCACATACGTGTACATCTTGGGTTCATTTATTTACTATAATGCTCCGTTTAACGTCTGCCGGCAATATGATTGGTTAATTGGCATATTAGGCGGCAGGCGTCATGCATAGATGCTCACCGAGTCAATGTTTACTGTTATCTCGCCAATGGAGGAGACCAGGAACAGGAAGAAAGAGGATGAGGAGGAGTTCTCAAATGGCCATCACCACAAAGAAGAAGATGAGGAGCCAGCAGTCAACTACAGAGGAATTAAGGCTATGCCTTACATCATTGGTATGATATCCTTCCCACCATATCAAATCTGGAGTTGCCTTAATTAATACTGCTCGCCCTTGGTTAACTCGTTTTTTCCAATCTAGATTTTCTTTCGGTTGCTTGGTTTTTGCTCTCTGTGATTTGGTTGATCCAAAAAGGAAAAAAATTTAGTGCGTAGGATGATTAACAAATACGTTAATTTTACACTATATTGTGAATTCCAACAATAAAGTTTGTGTATAGTCTCATTTATCTATTTTTAGTCTTCAAATTGAAATAATGGTTCAAATTGATTATTAAGAGAGTTAATACATAATCGGTAAAGCGCATCTTCTGCTGAAAGAAGCATCTTTTTTTGGGTTCATCTCCTGTTTAGGATAAATTAAGTCAAACCGAAAAAGAGTAGACCAAAATTTGTTTTGAGTTGCAAGTTGAGTTTGATGAGACAAATTATGCTACCCGAAAGAGAGCAATGGTCAGAGCTTTGTCGACGAGAAAACAGATTGCAATTTCTCAACTAAAATTGGATATACGTACAGAAAGATATATAAATCATCTTTAGTTTAGAGTACAATTTCAGGAGGTGTTGGATAAAACAACATATTACAAGGACTAGAAATGCAAAAATATTCGTCAGTTGGTTCTTGTCAATTCACTATTTAACTTTAATTTATTCCCTGGTGTTTCATACGGTATTATTATATGGTGGTGAAGGAAACGAGACGTTCGAGAAGCTGGGGACGGTGGGGTCGGCGTCGAACCTGATAGTGTACTTGACCTCCGTCTTCAACCTGAGCAGCGTCTCCGCCACCACGCTCATCAACGTCTTCAACGGAACCTGCAACTTGGCCACTCTCGTCGGCGCTTTCCTCTGCGACACTTACTTCGGCAGATACAACTGCCTCGCCTTCGCTTCTGTGTCCTCCGTCTTGGTAATTAACCACTTCTACTTAATTACGTACGCCCAAATCGATCTAATTAATTACGTTGATCAATCTGCATTTTGCTAGTTGGTGACTAGGGACAAAAAAACATCGGTTGGCAAATCGGTCAAACGATCCCATGCATGAGGGGCCATGGCCCATGGCAACTTGATCACCGTTCTACAATAATTATATGTGAATTTTGTCCCTAGCGATCCTAGTTGTTGATTTATGAGCTCAATAGTCAAAGGAGGATAACGTTGATTGATGGGTTTGGTGCCATAGTATAATGCTTTCTCTTTATATGGTAGTTCCAGTTTCAGACCTGTCTGATTAAGGTTTTTTTTTTTTGTCTATAACTATTTTGTCTGGGGACTACTAGCTAGTAGTCTTTGTTAAGGTTGTAAAAGTCGAGTCGAGCCAATCCGAGTTTTGATTTAGGTTAAGTTCAACTTATTAATATTTGAGTCGAACTTGAGTTCAACTTGTTTTACTGATACATTAATTAGTTTGAGTTTGGCTCGAACAACTCCACTCATGAATGAGCTCATAAGCTCCACTAGAAATTGTAAATCATCAATCAACTCAGTTTGAGCTCAAATGTTATATTATTATATAAATTTTAATTGTTCGTATCATATTATTTAATAATAATTAGTATTTTAAGCAATCTATACAATATTTAGTTTCTCTTATATTCTATGTTTTTTTTTTTTACTTCTCATGGTAATTAACACTTTTTTGCTTTTGGGCTTAATTACAGGGAATGCTAGTTCTAATGCTAACAGCCGCAATCCCCGTCCTCCACCCACCAAAATGCGTCCCCGGCCAACAATGCTCCAAGCCAACCGCCGGCCAGTTCACCTTCCTAATAAGCTCCTTCATATTCCTAGTCATCGGCGCCGGCGGCATCCGCCCATGCAACCTAACCTTCGGCGCCGACCAATTCAACCCGAAAACCGAATCGGGCCGAAAAGGAACCAACAGCTTCTTCAACTGGTACTACTTCACCTACACCTTCGCCGTCATGGTCTCCGTCACCGGCATCGTCTACGTCCAATCCGACGTCAGCTGGGCCATCGGACTCGGAATCCCAGCCTTCCTCATGTTCCTCTCGTGTGCAGTATTCTTCTGGGGCACGAAAATGTACGTCGTCGTCAAACCTCAGGGCAGCCCGTTGACCAGCGTGGCTCGGGTCCTCGTCGCTGCTTCCAGAAAGCGAACCTTGAAATCGCCTGAAAATCCCCACGACGAACTCTTCAAGTATTTGCCGGCCAAGTCATTGAACTCCAAGCTAGGGCATACCACGCAATTCAAGTGTCTCGACAAAGCAGCAATCGTCACGGGACGTGACGAGTTCAACCCCGAGGGCTCACCGAAACAACCGTGGAGGCTCTGCAGCGTGCAACAAGTCGAGGAAGTGAAATGCGTGGTTAGAATTATACCCGTGTGGTCGACTGCCATTGTGTTTCACATCGCCATAATGCAACAGCAGACCTATGGAGTCTTCCAAGCGTTGCAATCCGACCGGCGGTTGTCGACCTCAGGGACGTTCCGTGTACCGGCGGCCACGTACATCATCTTCACCATGCTGGCTCTGACCTTGTGGATTCCGGTATACGACCGGATCATCGTCCCTTACCTCGAAAAGATCACCGGCAAGGAAGGCGGCATCACGATGCTTCAGCGCATGGGGATCGGTCTCATCCTCGGCATCTTTTGCATGGTGAGCAATCCAAACTTTGATATAATAACTTATTGACTTGGGCTATAATTTCAAGTTAGATAACATGCTTGTCTATGTTATTGAAAATATATTAAAATCAATTTAGACCGATAATGGTGATCAATGCTACCGGTCATTGCTTATTGACGTTTTACAATTTTGCTTTTACGTAAAATACACATACATTATATAAATATTACAGAACTATATATAATTGTTTCTTACGTAACAGTTAATTACTAGCGTTATGTAATGCTTACATAATGACTTAGCATTTTACGTAACACGAGGTTAACATTCTTTATGTAAAAGGAACGTCCACTACATAAGAGTTTCGTAATGACATTTTACAACTGTTATATAAGATAAGAATACGTCATATAAACATTACGTAACTTCTATTGTATTTTATGTAATGCGTCATGTAAACATGATACAACAAGTAACCAAAAAAAAAAATTAATTTGCGACACTGTAGGAAATATCTAAACTGATATACTTTATGTGTCTTATTACTGAAACTACAATACGGTACTTGTACAGATTGTATCGGGGTTGGTGGAAGAGTACAGAAAGCACATAGCAGCGACGAAGCCAGGGCTCGGGATCGCTCCAAAGGGCGGCACGATCTCATCCATGTCGGCGATGTGGCTGGTCCCGCAGCTGGTGCTGACTGGACTGGCGGAAGGGTTCAACTACATTGCGCAGGTCGAATTTTTCTACAAGCAGTTCCCGGAGGGAATGAGGAGCGTGGCTCAGGCGTGCTTCTTTGCCGGGAATGCGCTGGCGAGTTATCTTAGTGGGTTTTTGGTGTCTCTTGTTCATCATATTACGAAAGGGAGCAGGCGTGGGGATTGGTTGCCGGATGATTTGAATGAAGGGAAGTTGGATTACTTCTATTTCATGTTGGCTGGTTTAGGTGTACTGAATTTGGGGTATTTTCTGGTTTGTGCTCGGTGGTATAATTATAAAGGGGATGCAGGGGAGGTGGAGATGAATGGGAAGGAAGGCCAGACAAATGTTCATCTTGTTTAAGATAAAAGGTAAAGGATATTACTTCATATTGTGCTTCATTTAAAAATAATCAAGCAATTGTCGGAGAGGGAGAGAAAACATATAGTATAAACTTCTATTTTAGACCTCTTCCAACGTTAATTAATTAATTATTATTAATTACTAACTAGTTTTTTGGCCCGCGCTTCGCGGCGGTAAGACTTTTGTAATATGTTTGTTTAAATGATACGTAAAAATAATTATCACTCTAAATTTTTTATGTAATTTATTCATAATTTATGAAACTTTTCAGAATAGTGTTACTTAAATTTTCCGTACTGTGTGGTCTAATAATAAAATCAAATTAAAAAAATCACATTTGATTAAATTATAATGTAAAAGTTGGCTTATCTTATGGATTTGCGTAATGCAAATTAATGACATAGTATAATGAAAATTCAAATTAGTAATATAATAATTAAAATTAGAAAAGTATCGCATTTGATTAAATTATTATGTAAAATATAACTAACCTTATAGAACCTTTGTATAATGCAAATTAATGAGATGATCAACCATTTGGTTAGTAATATTGACATTTTCGTTAAAAATTGATGTACGGAAGCATGATGTAATATTTTTTTTAATTTATACATAATAAATGACTATCCACTATCTATAAGATTTATGTATTGTCTTAATTATTAAGAAGACTTAGCACATTATGTTTTGATTATTTGATACATAATAAATAACTACCTCTATATAAGTTTGACATAACATATTTGTAATTTACGTAACTTTTAAAGAATATTGTTACGTAAAATTTTCATAATTTGTGGTCCAATAATAAATAAAATTATGGAAATATCACATTTGATTAAACTATTGGACTTTGCTATAGTGACATGGTAAAAATTATAGTTAACAATAAAAGTTTACGCTATGAACTAATGAAAGGTTTGTGTAATACAAATTGATTAAGCACAATTGATCATGTAAAATGTAAAAACTCAATCAGTTATATTTATAGTTGCATGGCAATGGGAATGGGAATATAATAGTACACCTCGCTGCATCTTTGTGTGTAAATCCTTTTATGCTTGTGTGCACTATACATCCGGCCGTAGGTTAGAACTACAATTAAAAAATACAATAAATACCTATGAACAGTGTTTTCGATAAAGAGCTTGGGTTTACCGGGTTTTTCGTGAGGAACAGTAAAAGTAATTAGAGGTAATTTGTGCTTTTAATTAATTAATTAATTTTACTGTTCCTTACGGAAAATAACGCTAAACCGGCAAACCAACCCCTTTGGTGAATTCACTGTTCACTGGCCAATTTATTGTGTTTTTTAATCAAAATTCTAACCTAGGACCGGCTGTATGCAAAAGTAGGTGAGGAATTACACACAAAGGGCACTCTTTATGATTGGAGTACTCTCACAGAACCCTGATCATCCAACTAAACATATCTAATTGCATTTTTGTATGATCAATTGCATAGATCTGCTGAATCTGTAATAAATTCCTTTGTTACTAACTACAATATTTATCATATTATCGAATCACATCAGGTTAAATACAATTTATTAGGCAAACCTTTTAATATTTTTGAATTATTAGCCAAATCTTTCAAAATACAAAATATTAGTCATGTGTTACCCTTTGCGTTAGCAGTTTTGTTAATAACATTGACTTGACCACATGATACTGACTTGGAAGAGACACGCGAAAGTCAACATTCCAAATTTTAGTATTTTAATTAAGAAATGATTTATAAAATTACTAACGGTAATAGACAAATTGCTAATGTAATAACTACCATCTATTTGCATTACACAAAGCCTTTGTAATATAAGTTCGTAACTTAGCACTATTCTTCAACAGAATTAAACTTTTTGAGAGATAGTGTATCAGTTAAACAAACGTATTACATAAGTCTTGCCGCTTAATAATTATTCAAATTACTAAATACATCATTTTTTTTAAAGTCATAATTATTTCGTATGTATCAATAAAACAAGTGTATTACGTAAGTTTAAGCGCGGGCTAAAAAACTAGTTTAAGTTAATGGAAACAACACCCCTGACAAAGCCTAGCCTATCATCAATTTCCCAAGACATAGAATCAAAGATTCCCAAAACTATGAAAAGTTAGTGATACCCCACACTGCTTGATTTTGCAAAGCTTTATATCTTCACTCTTTGCATGTGTGCAGAATCGAAATGTAACATCAAGCCCAGAGTATCTCAAATACCAAGCTGCTTCTTCTTCTTCTTCTTCTTCTTGATCTCCAGATGACGGAGTGGCCTCGGGTTTATGAGCAACAAATAGAAAGACATGATCTGTAGAGACAGAGTCATGCAAATCGCTCATACAAATATTCCATGATGTTACAGCGGCACTAGAGCTATCGTCGTGGCCACCATCAGAGTTGGAGAAACATGCACATTTCATGTGTATATGCATGTCCGTCGTCTGTTTGGCGACAATATTCTTGCTGGACGGTCCTACAGAATACACGATTGCCAACGCAATTCCCTTCAGTCGCCTGCAGTTTCTCGGCAAAGGAACTGTTACCTCATCTCCCATCTTCTTATAAGGAAACCATTCTGGAATTTCACTCCCGGGATATACAATTGTTGTAGGGTGCCTCTCCCTACCACTCCCACCATACTGTCACAACATAAAAAAAAATAAAAATATTATTGATCACATAAATTTAATTTCAATTTGTTATATATGTATATCTTATGTGATAAAATATTGTATTTACATAACATGCATGATCCGTAAAAAAATAAATAGGAAAACGACTCATGTGGCGTTAGATGACAAAACATCTAATACCAATTTATTCACGTTTTTTTTTGGTGCTCATTCACGTCATTTGGTGTGTATTCACGTAAGAGTGTAAGTTATTCACGTAAATGAAAATTCAAACTTTTCCCCTCTAATAATTTGTATTGGCTATATTTTATGGAATTAAATTTGGATTCTCAATTAGTCTGTACGCGTAAAAATAAGTTGCATTGATCATAATCTACACAATGACATTCATTTTGATATATTTTAACGTCTAAAATCTGACTTTACAATGACGTGAATAAATAATAATATGCGTGAATAAACACCAAGTTGCGTGACTAAACAATATTGGTTGCGTGAATAAGCAACACTGTTACGTGAATAATGTTAATATAGCGTGAATAACACAAATATGACATGAAAAAAATGCGTGAATTAGATGTTGTTGTTAGAAACTTGATTAAAAAAAATATATTATGAGTGCACCTACCTGAGTTTGAAGCGATGACGTCGTCGTCCCATCATGAAGTGGCAATTTGGCCAGCAACCGACCAAGCAACTTGTGGTCCAGTTGGAGACAACTCACGAAGCTGAGGTGGCGAAAACGCAGCTTCCCGAAGTTGTTGCTCGAAACAGCTTGTAAAGACTTGCAACACCCTGCTGCTAAAGTCTTCACATTCTCTGGAAGTTGAGGTAAAGAGCGAATGCTCTCGCAGCCCACCAAGTAAATTTGGGCTAGCTTCTGAAGCCTACTAATGCCACTCGGAATGGACTCCAAACTCTTGCAATGAGACACGTCCAACGTACGAAGTTGGTCCAATTCTTGTATCGATGAAGGCAACACTCTGATTGCTGCACCGATTAACGCTAGGGCCTCCAGTGACTTGAGACGGTTGATGTTGGAGGGTACGCGCTTGAAAGCCGCGCAGTTTTCCACCAGTAGCAGCCTTAACCCGTCCATAACGGCCAAATCTGTAAGCACAGACAATATATAACAAAGCCAAGGTATTTGGAGTCGGTGAGTTGAAGAAAAACAATGCTAAACCTTATTCAATGATATTCTACAACTTCCTAGCTAATATATATGGTTATGTCTTCGGTGCACTCATTTTTTTGTGCATTCAATGCACCCACTTCATAATCGACATTTTGAGCAGACGATTCATGTGAAAACGATGTCAATCATCCCTTGTAGTATGATGAACAAGAACCACATGAATTTGTACAAAAATCATTCAAGATTCAGTTTAATTTGAATGATTCAGGGTTTAGGAATTTAGGATTGGTTAGGGTTTACAATTTGGGATTTTGGGTTTAGATTCAAAATTGAATGTTAATAGGTTAGGGTAATGGGTTGATTAGTTGTGATTCTGTGTTATATCATCATATGAGACTAATGCTACCCATTAAATTTCAAAATTTGATGTATTATGACCACTTTTAGAGGTGGATATACCGAATGCACACAAAAAAGTGAGTGCACCGAAGTAGCCACCATATATATTCTCAACCTATGCAAAATTGTATTGTAATTAATCGATTTCACACCAAACTGAGAGAGTTTAAAGTCCACGTACCTCCACTTCTAAGCTCTGGGAGTGTTTCCAGCATGGGAGAACCTACAATGATGAGCTCGCTCGAGACCAACTTCCATATGGTTCTAGAGAGAACACCTAGCTTTGAATTTTCAACGAGCACTAGTTGAGCAAACCTAGGGAGGGAATCAAGATATTTGCAATGTTCTGGTGGCATTTTTTCTATTAACGTGTGACACAAACGAAACTCCTTTATATTTGTAGAGAACTCGGGGAAATTGGTAATGTTTTTACCATGGAGGTAAAGCTTTCGGGCTTCTTTGACTTTGTGGATTGCAGTGGGCAAGGTTGTAACCGGGGTGCCATGCAAGTCTAAGGTTTCCCATTTGCTTGAAAAATGTGGGCATTGGTTGATCTTCTTACAATTGTAGAGGATGATGTGCTTGAGTTGTTTGGAGCCAAGTTTGTGCGGGAGGATCTCGAGGTTTTCACAATACCCTAGGTCTAATAAGACTAACTTGTCAAGGTATTCGATGAAGGCAGGCAGCTCAACTATGCTTTTGCATCCCGTAAGTTTGAGTGATTCCAGATGTGTGGCCTTCGACAGATCTGGGACGATTGCAAGATTTACGCAATATGATAAGTCGAACCACCTTAGGTTCACAAATTCCTGCCGAGCAATATTAAAAACATTCATAAGTAACGGTAGATATATAAGAGTTTCCAATCAAACAGACTTCGATATCATGTAAAGAACAGAAGATAATAAATTATGAGATTATTTATTGAAAATGAGATTTTGTGGAATGAGAAAGGATTACCCATGACAACAAAATAATGGATATTGGTGAACCACGTAAACCAAGTTGTTGGTGTAAGAAAAGTTATACGTACCAGAACTCCATCCCAAGTTTGCACCAGAGGGCTGTGTCGAATACGAAGTTCAACGAGGTTGTGGGGAGAGAACTTTGATGGGAGACTTTCTGAAGGATATCCATCCCACCACAACATCCTTAACTCGGGGGGAAGCAAGTCCAGACCACTGTCTGGCAGATGGATTTTGCATGGATGTATCGGTTGATTCGAAGACGATGATGATGATGATGATGAAGCCAACTCTGGCCATGAGAATTTAAGAAATCTAAGACGATCCATCCCAACAAATGCATCCGATCCTAAATGCATCTCTTCTGCTTTTGAAAGGTCCAAGTTTACACCTTCTGTCGCTCTTGTACCCTAATAAAAAAATTCAAAGAAAATTTGACATAAACCAACTAGTCCCAATTACTTCGGTTGTTGGAAGAGGTTTAATTATGGACCTTATATCATTTACTTATATATATGTCCACACAAATGAAACCAACTCATATGAGTTTGAAATTTACACAAATCTAAATACCATGTGTTTAACATTTGAGAACATCCGTATTCAGACACAAACCTCTCGGTTAACGAAGACTTTAATACTATGTCATAAACCTAGTTGTTGGAAAAAGTTCTGAGTATTGATTTTATACAATTTACTAAGATAAATTAAACTAGCTAGAAAGTAAGGATTACCTTCCAAGTGGTGAATAACTTGCGCAGGTCATCCGCATTCTCAATTCGACTACGGTTTCCTAGCTCAGCTTCCTCTCCAATGATGATCCAAGCCGTCTCGTGCAACAAATCATGAACCTCAATCATCTCATCATCATCATCATCACTAGACGAGTGATCGCATATCAACAATGCCTTATCGATCAAGTCCTCCACTCGACTGTAAGCAGAGTAATAGCTACACGCCATCATCTTAATCAAATGTGACTTGGAATAATTCCTTCTGAAAAAGCAAGCAATGTCAAGAAACATCCTTTTCTCGTCACTTCCAAGCTCATCGTAGCTTCTTCTCAGAACACCGTGAATCTCCTGTTTAGGAATCTTCCTTAATCCATCCAGGAAACTCTGCCAATAATTCTTGCTCTTCCTGAACAACGTACACCCCAACACCCTAAGTGCAAGGGGGTTCCCTTGGCAATATCCCACTGCGGTAACCGATTGGTACCTACTCAAAACACATGCATGTTCATTTATCTAAGAGATCAATTTGAGTACTAATACTTTAATATATAAAAATATTATTGTAAAAAATAGTTCTGAAAGATTTATATACCAACGCTATGTAATAACAAACAAGTCGATCGTCTATAAATCGAGAAAATAAAATGTTATAGTTATTTACGTGATTTACTAACACATGTCATGTCATCAAGCTACATTCACTAATATTAGGATATATTATAAATTATAGAATATAATATTATAATATATTTATACTACACTTCTCTTTATCCTAAAAAAAAAGAAGCAAAAGAGGGTCTCAAACCCAAAACTAGATGTTTAAAACTCATACCCAGTAGCATTAGACTCCTTATATGATCAACTGTGACGCTTAACGAACAGATTCAATCTATTCCAACACAGTATTAATTATAAAATAGCATAAGTTTGAAGAACAACACATACCTTCTGTCCTCTGGCGGTAACTCTCGTCTAAAAGAGTATAAACTGAAAAGACGAAGAGAATCCTGAGGGTTGAGCCTCTCCACATGGTAGATCCTAGCCATTGCAAACTCCAACACTTTCCTATTCCTCGTCGTAACGATAATTCTGCTCCCTAGGGCAAACAACTTCGCGAGGTTCAACACATCTCCAAGCAATAACTGCTCGAGCTGAGACCAGTATTCAACATCATCAAGGACAATGAACACTTTCAGGCGAGAAAGGCGAGCCCTACGGTAGCTAGTATCCAAATCGCGACAAGTGATGTTTTGGTCTTGCTCAGAGAGGAGTGTGGAGTAGAGTTCCTTCTGGAGGCCTTCCAAGTCGTTGTCCTCCTGCCCTCCTTTCCACTTGGCATTGATGTTTGGGACGAAGTAATGTTTACTACCATCTTCTTTTGAGATATTTGTGAGTCTTTGGTATAGGGCTCTGGCTAGAGTGGTCTTGCCGATACCTGGCATTCCCCAAAGTCCGATGATGCGAATGTCGTCGGATCGATTCATGTCGAGCAATCGCTCTACCTCCCATACTCGGGAATCTATGCCGATTAAATTTTTGGGTTTTAGACTTGGGGACATCTCGACTAGTTCTTTCAACACATTGTCGACTATTGCCTTTATTAGTTGTGAGTCCAACCTGCATATAAATAGAGAGTGAGGGAAGTATATGCGAAGTTAGGGTGGCTAATCACAATTCGATTCATCTACTAAATATCCACTAGATCATTTGGCCCAACTGATTTGTGGGTAATCAGATAAATCAGATTACTCTCTCGTTTTTTTAATCTTTAACGGATGATTACTCTCTCGTTTTAAGTCAAAATTTAATTTTTTTGCACAGATAAATCAGATTAAATGTGCTCTTTAAAATGATATTCACTTTGATATATTTGTAGTACAAAAAAATTGAATAATTTTTTACCAGTCATTATCATATGGTATGCTCCTATTTAATACCATATGGTAAGAAAACGTACCATGATGGTATGTTTTCTTACGGCTAGGACTACTGGGGTATCTAATCCCATTCGCTCCCCTAGCTTTCGTCTCTCAGTGTCAGTGTCGGCCCAGCAGAGTGCTTTCGCCGTTGGTGTTCTTTCCGATCTCTACGCATTTCACCGCTCCACCGGAAATTCCCTCTGCCCCTACCGTACTCCAGCTTGGCAGTTTCCACCGCCTGTCCAGGGTTGAGCCCTGGGATTTGACGGCGGACTTAAAAAGCCACCTACAGACGCTTTACGCCAAATCATTCCCGCAGGAGATCCGGACCCATTTTTTTCTGATCCTTCGATAAAAAGATTCATTCTCTTCATAAAAAATAGGAGGTAGAACCCATAAAGATTTCTTTTTCGATTCATCCCTGGAGTTGAATACCTCATTCAAGAATTGTTTTTGATCCAATCCGTAGGAATCAATAAAAAAGGCAAATCCCTTATGATACACCAGATCCGGCTCGGTTATTGATAGAGTGAATAGATCTGCCATTTCTTGAAATCTCTCTTCTGATTCAAAATCGTGGTGTAACGTGTATCCCCCCACGTTCCGATCATGGAATAGATGAAAGAAATCAAAAAATGGGTTTTTGTTCAAGAAAGAAATCTTATTGGAACTGTCCATATCCAGTTCATCCTTCAGAACCATATCACATCCCGGATCTGATGAAATAGAATGAATTGAGACAGTATTTTGTGATCTATAGTCAAAGAAAGATAGAGGGAGTCTACTTTGCTTTCTTCTCGCGCGCTTGCTTGCGCGAAGGCTGAAAGTCCTTTTCGCTAGGTCCAAAAGGACCTTTATGAGACTCTAAAATATCTTTTATACCGTGACCAATGCCCCAGTTAGTCCTATACATGTGACCTGCAATAAGGAAAAGAATTGCAATAGCTAAATGATGGTGTGCAATATCGGTTAGCCATAGACCCCCAGTTACTGGATCTAATCCTCCACGAAAAGTAAGAAATTCCGAATATTTTGACCAATTCAAGGTGAAAAAGGGAGTTGCTCCCTCAGCAAAACTGGGATACAGTTGAGCCAAAAGATCCCGGTTCAAGATAAATTCATGAGGAAGTGGGATCTCTTTAGGATCTACTCCGACGGAGGGATCGTACCATTCGAGCCTTTTTTTTCATGATAGCAAGATGCTCCCCTTTATTTGAATACTCACCTACGGCTTTGATTGTTATTACTTTTGCAGGAGCTATGACGTCATACCAATATGGTAAGAAGGTTGAATACATGATAGTAAGAGTATACTAACTGGCATTTACGACTTTCATCATTGTTTACTACAAGTTACCACCCACATACCATAGTGGTAAAGTATGATAATGTTTTATCCAGTATTTTTTTCACCCCATAAATTTATAGATCCAATAGATTATGATGAACTCGTTCCTTCTGAGCAAACGTTTTCAAAAACGACTTAAAAATTAAGAAGTTATCATATGGTATGTAGTTGGTAAAAATAAAGTTTCTCGAAATATATTGAAAATTGATATCATTTTGTAGAGCACAACGAACTCGTTCCATCTATGCAAAAAAAATCAAAATCCGAGTTAAAACGAAGAAGATAAGAGCCGATTAAGAAAATAGGAAAAATAAAATGTCTTTAATTGATAACCCTTAGATCTGAATTTTCTGGATCCACTTAGATTTAAATGTCTGGATTTAGTTACTTATAAGTCAGTAACTAATGGTTACTGATCCTATCATAAGTCTGGAAATTTGTACTATGAACTTTTCCTTCAGGTACGATGACAATAATTATAAACTAAATAAAGGCATGTTCTATATATGATCAGATATAATTAGGGATGACAATTTTGCCCATACCCATGGGTTTTTTACTATCCAACCCAATTGGGTTGGGTATGAAATCCAAATAGATGGATATGAGTAGAGTTTGATGGATTTGTACCCATACCCGTTTTCTTTGGGTTGGGTTGGGTTTATAACAAATGGATTTGGTTTTGTACCCATGCCCAAATACAAATTACAGTTTGGTACCTAAACTTAATAAATATGCATATTTAGTACCTAATATTTTTTTGCATATAAGTCCTCAAAATGTGGATGGAAAATTACGTTTTGATACCTAAATTTTTTTGGTACCTAAACTTTTCAAGTTTTACAAATAGGTCTAATTTTTGCATGTGTAGTTAAAACACCTTCAAGTAAATGGATATTCATATCCAACCCATACCCATTTAGATTATGGAAGCAATATTCATACTTTACCCAAACCCATCTACAAACCCCCAAATCCATATGCACTTCACCCATATCGAACCCATTATCAATGAATCTACTTGGGTTTGGGTATAATTACCCATGGGTAGGTAATTGCCATCCCTAGATATAATGTTATAAATGGAGTATATTAAAGGGAAAGGGGCCAAGTGGACTACTAATTAAAGAGCGTGGAAAGAAGTTTGGCAGAGTTTTAATTTTTTTTTTAATTTACATATAGGTTCAAGTTTATGAGGTTTATGATTTATTTTAAAAAATATTTCATGACATTTTTGGTTTGCTTAAAAAAATTGTGGTATGCTTTATGAGGTTTCTATACTGCTGTAATAAATTTGTAGTATTCTTTATGAGGTTTTTAGTCTGTTTCGAGAAACTTGTGATATGTTTTAAGAAACTTGCGGTCTGCTTTACTAAATTTGTGATATGCTTTATGAGATTTATAATTTATTTGAGGAAACTCGTGGTTTGCTTTATAAGGTTTTTGGTATGCTTTGGGGAATTTTGATTGGTTTAAGTTTTTCTTGTATATATGCTGAATTTTGTGGTGTGCTGAGGTTCTGATCCACGTTATGGTATGTATGGTGTTGTTGTGTTTCTGATATGGATTTGGTCATCTGTTTCATGATACTTGTGGTGTGACACGTGACGAGGAATTAAAACACTTCGCAACACGTGTGTGCCCCACTAATTTTGAGTGTTCAACCCATTTTAAATCCACATGAATTATTATCAACTTGTTGTAATAAAAAATTATCAAAACAAAATATTCATATTGTTAACTTAACTGTAGTTAGTTTAAGCATCATGTTACAAATTATATAAGTATTAGCAACCTAACATCTACCCATTAAATTAAGTATTAGCAACCTAACACCTACGGAGGAAGAAAAAAATCCATCCAATGATATATTTAAACCAACCCTTCATTTACGTTGAAATGGGAATTTCATAAATTTAATTTTCGATAAATTGGGTAATTACGCACCTAAACTCGTGGGAAGTAAGGCCGGCCTTATCGACGACTTCCTTGAGCGCATCCCTCCACTTCAACTTCACCTTCGTACCGGCGACGTCGTCCTTCTCGATCATGGCGGCGTAGCTTCCGGTGTCGCCGTCGACCTCCGAGGGGTCAACGTTGTAGAAAACGGGGATGACACGGTGGCCGAATTCCTTGATGCTCCGGGCGATTGTGGCCACCTCGTCGAGGCACCAGGGCGAGTCGGCGAACCTCTCGGAGAATATAATCACCGACACCGCCGACCGCTTCAAAACGGAAAGAAGCTCCGCTATGCTCTCACCTTTGCCGAGCATGGTGTCGATGAAGGTCCGGATCTTCTTCTCCGACAGCGCGGCCATGACGTGGCTGGTGAAGGAGCCACGCGTCTCGCCACGGAAGCACAGGAACACGTCGTACTCCCATGGCCCGTAGTACACGCAGTTACTACTGAAAGAAGAAGAAGAAGAAGAAGAAGAAGAAGAAGTAATTGAAGCCATTTATCTATGGTGGCAGAGATGCTATATATATTCTCGATCACTTTCAGTTCAGGGAGCTCTAACGGAGGGAAAGGGGGTGGAATGGAATCCAGGTAATTAATCAATTAACTTCAAATATATATAGTAGTGGGTTTATGAGTATTACATACGACTAAGTCATTTTCTAATCCCCACGGCCCCACCCCTAATATGATAAATTATGACTTTGGTTTGGTAACTAAAATAAAAAAAGGTACTAAAACGCTCAGCTGATTCGAGTGATAAGATTATGACATGTTTGGTTGTGGGAAAATATACCCTAGTAGTCAAATTAAAGGTCATCTACAATGAAACTGGATGTCTGATTAGTCTCCTCTCCTCACTCGATCAGATGCCCACATGTAATCACTGTTGATAGATGGAAAGAGTCGTATTGGCATTTGGTCAATGGTCAGGACCTTCTAATTGGTTTACACCGGCCCGATTGATCAAAGAAGAAACAAAAGATTAATTCTTTGAAGAATAATCAACTGTACTGAAGCAATGGCGATAGGAGTCTTTGACCCTGACCCGGCCGAAGCTCCAAAATTCCAACCGCGGGCCTACCGGAGCCCCTGCCACCCAGTGCAGTCTAAGCTCTCGGCCATACTCGAGTCGAGCCTTCACCCGGCCGGACTTTGAACTGGTATATATCTCCGGCCATCTAGATATATATGTTCTTTTCTGGGTACGTAGTTTCATTATTTTGTTTCCTTCCAACGTAACACACGAAGCCTCCCGGAATAATAATTTCGGAAAAGAGGCACGATAGAATACTTAACTTATTTCTGGGATTCACTTTGGATTATATGTGGTCCAAAAACCAAAAGTGATAGATAAAATCAAATAAAAAACGAAAAGACTTGAGAAATGTCTTAAATTAAATATATGAGACAGGTCTATGTGAGGTGCAGTTGGTTCTAAATTCTCACTAGCGTATGTAGCGTGCGATCTAAGTCAAGCTTAAATAGCTAGAGCCGAGAGCGACGTAACACGGCATTTCACCATCATTAACGTACGTACAAAAGTGAGTCAATTAGTCGTGGTTGATTAGTTAGAGTTGTATCTACAACGACGGTGCAACAACTCTATATCATCCTAACAAAAAACACTTGTTTCTGGCGAAATCCTTACTATCAAAATTCGTATAATGTCTACAACGTCAAAACCTCATATCAAAGAAAGTTATATAAGAACTACGAGAATAAATCTTATACCACATACAATTTTAAGTCACTAACCTAACCGCAAGGCCTCTCCGTTTAAACTTACAAAACATACATGGGAACTTCATGTCCATACAGACCTCAATTGTGTACCCATTATAGCTAAATGGAACTTTAAATCACAGATGATCTTCAAGCTAGCACTAAGGGGTCAATAATTATTATCAACATTCCAACACAATTATCGATGTAATAATCAAAGATTTCCAAAATTAGTATGAAACACAAGGGAAACGCCACACCTCTTGATCTGGCAGGGCTTCATCTCTCCACGTTTCAGTTGAAGGCTGAAACGGAACGAAACGTCTCGTCCAGCATGCTTCAGATACCAAGCTTTCCCTTCCTCTTCCTCGTCTTCTCGATCTTCTCCAGCTCTGTGGTGAAGCCACAGAAAGACATGGTCGGTGGCCACACCGCCGTTGAAGCTTCCCATCACATTCATACATATATTCCACGACGCCACCGCATCAGTACTAGTACTCGAGCCACCGCCAACAACCAATTCATCGCTCCCACCACACCCGTGGCCGCCACCACCGCAGGGTTTCGTGAAGCATTCGCTTGAAATGTGCATGTGCATATCGGTCTTCTCTTCGTCGCCGGAAACAGGCGGCTCCAGAGAATAGACTACGGCGAACGCAAATAGCTTCAGTCTCTTGCAGTTTCTCGGCAGAGGAACCGTCACGAAATGTCCCATGCTTTTATTCGGGAACCATTCTGGAAGCTCGCTCCCTGGGTATAATACCGTTGACGGAGGTATCTCACCTCCAGCACCACCACCATACTGTAATGACAATCATCATTAGTTTTGACATATCATCTTTACGTAAAATATTTTATACGTAACTTATTCATAACTTACTCGTACAATACTTTATTAACGATGTCATAGTATATGTGTACGTACCAAAGTTCGTTGAGAGACATCCTGGAGCGGCAATTTCGCCAGCATTCTCCGGAGCAACTTGCGGTCTAACTGGAGACAACCCACCAAGTTGAGGTTCAAGAAATGGAGCTTGCTAAAGTTGTTGCTCGAAACTGTTTGCAACGACTTGCAATTACTGGCGACTAAAAGCTTCACTTTGAGCGGAAGTTCGGGCAAAGAACGAAGGCTCTCGCAGCCCAGTAGATAGAGTTGAGAGAGCCGATCGAGCCTGCTGATCGCACCGGGTATAGACTCCAACATTTTGCAATTAGTCAAGTCCAGCGTGCGAAGCTGGTCCAGTTCTTGTATAGACGAAGGCAACATTCTGACAGCTGCACCAATCAAAGCTAGTACCTCCAACGACTTGAGGTTGCTGATGCTGGAAGGAAGGCGCCTGAAAGCTCTGCAGTCTTCTACTACAAGCACCTTCAAGCTCGAGTCGACGATCGAGATTTCTGGAATTGTTTTCAACATTTGGGAGTCCATAATGAGGAGCTCTTTTGTCACCATTTTCCAGAGGTTTTTGGATAAGGTGGCAAGGTTCGAGTTCCCGACCAGCTCCAAACGAGAGATTCTCGGAAGAAGAAAATCATGATGATCGCTTGGCAATATCTTTTGTATGACGGTGTGGCACAGTCGAAACTCCTTGATGGATGCAGAGAATCCATCTGGCAAGCTGGTTATGCTTTCACCGTGGAGGCTTAGCTTTCGGGCTTCTTTGACTTTGTGGATTGCAATAGGGAGGGTTGTGATTGGGGTGCCACGCAAATCTAGGGTGTCCCAGTTGCTTGTGAACTCGGGGCACTGGTTGATTTTCCTGCAATCATAGAGAATTATGTGTTTGAGGTGTTTGGAGTCTAGTTTAGGTGGGATGATCTCTAGGTTTTCGCAGGCTCCGAGGTCTAATAAGGTTAACTTGTCCAGGTATTCGACAAAGGAGGGTAGCTCAACTATGGTCTTGCATCCTGTGAGTTTGAGAGATTCCAGATGTGTGGCTTTCGATAGATCAGGGACGATGATGAGGTTGGCACAATAAGATAGGTCAAACCACCTCAAATTCACAAAGTCCTGTAAAACAATATTGAGTAGGAAAAAGTTAAGTATTCAATTTCCTTGATGCAAAGACACAACCACTACGATGACAACAACAAAAAATGAAAAGCATTTTGAAACCAAACCAAGGGTCACTATTTTTTTTAATAATATTGACCTCATCTATTAAGAAAAGTGCTAAATATATATAGAGCAAACAAACACCCTCCTAACCAATGAATGGAAAAAAGAGGTTGAACACCTACAAGTGCAAAAAGAAACAAGACAAAAGTGGAGCCAACGAGTGAGAAAAAGAGGCCATGCACCAAAAGCTCATTTTTTAGTGAGATCAAAAGTTCTTTTGCTTATAGTGAATTGTCATTATTGATGAGATGTAGCTATAGTACCTGTTGGAAATTAAGAGTAAAAGATGATAAGTTAGTACCTGAACTCCATCCCAACATTGTACAAGAGGGCTATGGCGAATACAAAGTTCAACCAAGCTGTTAGGGGAGAAGTTTGAAGGCAAAGATGACGAAGGAAATCCATCCCACCATAGCATCCTTAACTCATGAGGGAGTAAGTCCAGGCCAGATTCCGAAAGATGGATCTTGCAAGTACGTGCATTATTTTTGGATGAAGACGACGAAGAATCTGGCCATGAGAATTTGAGAAATCTAAGTCGATCCATCCCCAAAAATGCATCGGGTCCCAAGTGCATCTCTTCTGCTTTAGACAAGTCCAAGTTTATGCCTTCTGTAGCTCTCGCTCCCTAATTAGCAAATGTGCATTAAAAGAATGGTTTACCATTATTAAGTGAAATTGAAATTGAGAAGTAGTATGTACCTTCCGTGCAGTGAGTAACTTGCGAACATCCTCTGCATTCTCAAGACGACTGCGGTTCCCAAGATCGGATTCCTCACTAATAATGTTCCAAGCCATTTCGTGTAGCAAATCATGAATCTCAATTATCAACTCGTCGTCGTTGCTATTGGACTGGTGTTCACATATCAACAATGCCTTATCAATAAGATCCTCCACTCGACTATACGCCGAGTAATAGCTACATGCCATCATCTTAATCAAATGTGACTTGGAGTAATTCCTACGGAAGAAACAAGCAATATCAAGAAACATCCTCTTCTCATCCCCTCCGAGCTCATCGTAGCTCCTCCTTAGAACATCGTGAATCTCCCGCTTTGGATTCTTCCGTAACCCATCCAAGAAACTTTGCCAGTAACTCTCGCTCTTCCTAAAGAGTGTGCACCCTAATACCCTAAGAGCCAAAGGGTTTCCTTGGCAATATCCCACTGCTGTAACTGACTGGTACCTGTTAAAAAAATATCAGTACTAGGACATAATAAGGCTAGCAGTTCTATGATGGCTTAAACTAGTGTTAAACACTAGCTAATTTGAATATTTACCTTCGGCTGGTTGGTGGTGTCTCGTGTCTGAAAGAGTACATGCTAAACAATCGAAGCGACTCTTGAGGGCTTAGCTGCTCCACATGGTATATCCTAGCCATTGCAACTTCAAGCACTTTCCTGTTCCTCGTCGTGACGATAATTCTGCTCCCTAGCGCAAACAACTTCGTGAGATTCAACACATCACCGAGGAGTAAGTTTTCTAGTTGGGACAAAACTTCAACGTCGTCCAGGACAATGAAAACCTTCAGCCGGGATAGTCGAGCCCTACGATAACTTGTTTCCAAGTCTCGGCTGGTGATGTTTTGGTCCTGCTCGGAGAGAAGGGTTGAGTAAAGCTCCTTTTGTAGTCCTTCCAAGCCATCTCGTTGCCCTTTCCATTTGGCATTGATATTTGGGACGAAATAGTGCTTGTAGCCATCTTCTTTGGAGAAATTGGTAAGTCGTCTGTATAAGGCTCGAGCTAGAGTGGTCTTGCCAATACCGGGCATCCCCCAAAGCCCGACAATTCGAATGTCGTCGGAGCGGTTGACATCGAGCAGTCGCTCCACCTCCCACACACGAGAATCAATGCCCACTAAATTTATGGGCTCGAGGCTTGGAGACATGTTGATTAGCTCTTTCAGCACGTTGTCTACAATGGCCTTTATTAATTGCGAGTCTAACCTGTACATAAGAATATATTCAAAGAAAAATATATAAGTTCAATAATAAAATATACATATAAATGGCAATTTCTAAGTGTTGTTTTTTACTCAATACAAAATAAAGAGAGAGAAATTGAAACAATATTTAATGGGTTCAGTTAATAAAAAAATTATTAAGATATCTTATGATATCGGTTCGGCTTCAAGAAATCAAACAAGTTTTGCTATGTTTTTCCTTGAGATATCCTATCTCTTATTTTTAAAGATGTTTTGTTTTCATTTTTTTATTGATTTTTCAATTTCAAGAAATGGATTCATTAAAATAGCTTAACGATTTTCAGTTCGATTTAAGCTATGACAAGCCACGCCTCTATAGACTTCCATGTGCGAGTTTTTACCTATACTCAAATACTAAGAAAATTAAATTTTATTTTATGAATTAAATTCAAATTTTACGAATTGTATTTTTCATAATTAACAATTAAGCCAGATAAACACCTATGTTTAAAAGAAAAAGTCAGGCAAACACATGCCTCTAAAGACATCCACGTGCTAGAAGATACATTATGTACTATTACTACTTCCTTTATTAACAAGTGGTCCTATCTAGCAAAGTAACGTGATTTGAAAAGGTTGGCACGTTGTCGGAGATGCTCTAACTTTACTTTTTCCTTATAATTAGTTAATTACTACTTTAATCCACAGTCAATTATTCGAAGAAAATAATTAGTAGGTAATTAATTACGCACCTGATCTCGTGAGAAGTAAGGCCGGCCTTATCAACGATCTCCTTCAACGCATCCCTCCACTTCAACTTCACCTTCGGGTCACCGTACCGACCGCCGGAGTGCTTCTCGATCATGGCGGCGTAGCTTCCCGTGTCGCCGTCGACCTCCGACGGGTCGACGTTGTAGAAAACCGGGATCACGCGGTGGCCGAACTCCTTCATGCTCCGGGCGATGGTGGCCACCTCGTCGAGGCACCAGGGCGAGTCGGCGAACCTCTCGGAGAATATAATCACCGACACCGCCGATCTTTTGAGGACGGAAAGAAGCTCCGCTATGCTCTCACCTTTGCCGAGCATGGTGTCGATGAAGGTCCGGATCTTCTTCTCCGACAGCGCGGCCATGACGTGGCTGGTGAAGGAGCCGCGCGTCTCGCCACGGAAGCACAGGAACACGTCGTACTCCCATGGCCCGTAGTAGACGCAGCTGCCGGAAGAGGCCGCCATGGGATCAATCGAAGAAGAAGTGGTTGAAGAGCAATTAGTACTAGCTAGAGGAAGAAGAAAATGGTGAAGACATGGCTTGAGGACTAAAGTTAAATTTCTTATGCCTTTGTTTTATTTTTCTTTGGTAGGTATAGAGAGAGATGATGAATTAATTAAGCTTTACACTAGTGGCCAACAACGACAAAGTCTGTTCGGATTATGTATAATAAATTAATAATATGACTTTGACTGGTCATGACAATTATTTAAGGACCTGGGGTCCTAACTTGGGAAATGGTTTGCTAGCGTGTATTAAGGTATGATGTGAGATCTATTTTTGAGTATGTTTTAATTATTTGAAGAACGGAATTTTTATAGATGTAGAGTAGAGGAGTAAATAGGATGCTAACAGCAGTACTTAGTGCATCATATTAACATAATTATTAATTAGCAGTATTACGATAATTATTGTACATAGCTGTTCCATTCGTGTTTTTTTCGCCTCTCGTCTTTCATTTCCCACCCTCCACTCTATCTGCGCAAAAAAATCAGCAGCGTACTTGTAAATAAATATTTTATCATTATAAAAAATTATATCATTAATATATATATATATATATATATATATTTCTTTTTACTTGTGTCATTTATAATGTTTTTGTCTTCTTGATCTGCTTTAAAAAAGATGTTTAATTTGGGGGTCACTAAAAGAAAAACCGACCATGCATGATACAGTAGACAAAAGACAATAAGATAAGGTGTAGAGGATATAGAAGGAGACCAACTTTGCATTTGTTCTTTTGGATGACAACAAAAAAGAAAGTTGAGTTATTTATTCTTTTGTCTGTCCATTTCTCTTTACCGCTTGCTGAGAGCAACGCAACCAGACAAGTCAATTCCTGAAACAGTATCATCTTTTTCTACCAAAAACAAAGAATATATTTGGAATGTGGTTCGATTGAATTGAAGTAGATGTATTGTGCCGTTAGAAGTGAAGAAGAGTAGATTTCTTCGATAATATAGGTTGAATATTGTATTTTTTATGAAACAAGACAGAAATTAAGAGCGTAACAAATGATTAACTATTCCGAACAAATAATAGGATATTTACACGAAAAACATATATGATTATATACGAAGCCAAACAAAAAATATACCACATAATATCTCCTCTAACAATCTGCTAATGGGTCAAAATGATCCTAGCTATATAAATATAATTTTTGAATTCAAGACTTTCAAATTCTAACCAAGGACACTCTTAATCCATTGCCATTGTTTCTCCTTTTTCTCGATCTTCAACTTCCCATCTTCCTCCTCCTTAATCTTCTCAAGTGCTTCGACTAAGTTCCTCAAACACTTCTCCTCGCTATCCTCGACCGACTTTGGTAGTAAATTCTCTGCAACATTGGCGGGAGTCATCTTAATCTCTGCCAACAACTCCTTAACTCTACCAAACAAACTATGCTCTTCTATGTCCAAGTAGTTCTTGGCTAAAACCTTAAATGCCTCGAAGCAACAGTACGACATCTCAATGTGCATGTCCATTCTTCCTCTCCTTATCAACGCAGGGTCGAGCTTGTCCACATAGTTGGTCGTGAACACAATGATTCGTTCCCCTCCACAAGCCGACCATATACCATCGATGAAGTTCAGAAGACCCGACAACGTGACTCTGCTATCGCTTTTGTTCTCTTTCTCTTTCTCCTTCAATGATTTGGAAACAATATTATTGCTCTTTCCGCCTGAATCATCGTCGGAGTCGGATTCATCTTCACTGTTCTCCTTCTTTTTCGACTTTCTTTGTCCAGTGAGATCTAGCGAGCAATCGATGTCCTCGATCACGATGATGGACTTTCCCGTAGTCTCGAGGAGTAGCTTTATCAGCTCCGAATTGTCTTTTACAGTAGTCAACTCCAAATTGTAAATGTCATAGTTCAAGAAGTTGGCTATAGCCGCTATCATTGTTGACTTTCCGGTTCCCGGAGGTCCATAAAGAAGATACCTGTTGAAATAGAAAACAAAATATACAAGATAAATTAAATAATGTCTTACTAATCAATGATTGTTCCACCCTTGAAAAAAGTTATTATGCACATCATTGATGAAACTGAAGATTGAATCAATTGGCAAATAATTCAATTAATAATGACAAAAATTCTTATTGAAATCTTTATAATTTCTAAATCATGATATTTGATATATAATCATATAATATATAGCAAAATCATGATAAAATTGTATTGATATACTCTCCCCGATCCACTCGTACAGTTGACAAAACATTGACTTAAACTTCAATAACCCAATTTGCAAGTTGAGACTAATCATTTTGTTATTGTTGAAACTTGAAATTGATACTAATAAATAATACTTATTCTAATGAAAAATGAAAACATCAAGTCAACTAGATCTATATAGAATTCAACAAATCAACCACTTGAGAGTTGAGAGTTGAGAGTTGAGACTACTAAAAATCCCATAGAGAAAATTATTGAAGTACATAAAGAAATAAGTTGAACATCGATATAAATTGTTTTTTTTACTTTAAAAATGTAATTAAAAATATTGCCGGAATAAAAGTAAAAACGTACCCTCGCTTCCATGGCTTTCCAATCTTAGCGTAATAGCTCTTCCCCTGACTAAACTTAACCAAATCCTTCTTAATCCCTTCCTTCACCTTCACCGGCATCGCCAGCGTGTCAAAGCTCGCCGGGTGCTCAAACGCCACCGAGCTCCACCCGCACCAGTTCCGGGTCGGGTTATTCGAGTAAAGCTTTCTCTGCCTATTACCCGCCACGATCGCCCTCCCTTCGCCCAACACGTGTCCCATATACTCCCCAACAACCAACTCCCTATCCCTCTTGTGAAAAGTCAGCACGTAGAACCTCTTCTCGTCGTCCTCCGGGTACAGGCTGATCGACTGGGCCTTCGGCGACGTCTTCCGCGAGGCCCACCACACTTTAACGCCGCGAAACACGTGGGAAACTTCCTCGTCCTCGTCCATGGAGAGGACGAGGGAGCGCCCGTCTTTCGAGGTGTCGGAGGCCTTGAGGGATTTCGCCGCCGGGGAGGTGTGGGCGGTGAGGTAGGCGTGGATCATGACGTAGGCCTCGCTGCGGCGGTACCGGCTGGTTCCGGAGAGTTCCGGGAAGCGGATCTTGATGTAGGGGTTGAAGAAGGCGAGGAGCTTGTGGGTGTGTCGGGTGAAGATGCCGCGGAGTTGCTCCGGGAGGTATTTTTCGAGCATTGTCCAGGCGGCCATCAGGGCGATCAGCGAGGAGCCGAGGTTGGTCCAGAGCTTTAGGGCTTCCATTTCCCTTCTCTTCTTGATTAGCATCATGGTGGGAATTTTTGTTTGGTTAGTTGTTTGTTGTCGAGTTGTGGGTGAGAGGTAGATAGGAAGGAAATGTTTAGGAAGAAGGTAATAGTACTTAAGCAAGTTTGGGAAGTAGTTAGTGAAGGGAGATGAAGTTAAGGTGGCAATTTCAGGGGGGTTTCGAGGAATGTGTGTTGAGGTTAATGTATACCATATCATGCTTCTAACCGCAGGGGATGTTAATAAACTATGGCAGCTATAGAAGCCTCATTCTTTAATGAGAAAGACTTAGACTTCTTACACCAAAGATTCCTTCATTTTTTTGACAAAGAAAAGAAAACGGAAACGCGCCTAGCCACTAATGCAAAAGCGGGAACAAACGGGGAGAAAGGCTATGATTTCAGAAGTGGAGTGTCACCCTCAATCGCAACAGCACGTATTTACAGGACCGCCAAGAGCGATTGATCACATGATAAGATATGGAGTTGTGACGACTGACGACTACTTATGAGTCTTTAGAGTATGCATGATTAGGGCCGGTGTAACGGTTAAAACTTAATGAAAAATTAGGCAAGAAAGCAAAGAGCATATAGGTTCATATATAATTAACACGATTTTAGTTCATTCACGGACAAGAGAGACTATTTTCACTATACTTTAGGAGATACAAATTATAGAAATTGAGAAGGTATATATAATATATATTTTCCATTCGACCTAACCCTAATTCAACTTAAATCGGAAATGTTGTCCCCGAATTCTATCGTGGGTCGCCTTGCAGCTCCAAACCAAACACTTCATTCCTAAACGCCGACTCATTGACTAGACAACGAGACCCTCGTAACTAACTACTGGACAGTGGACACGTACAATTTGAAGCAGAGTACGTTATGCTTTGGCCAGGGCCCAAGCTGACCCTTTCCTTCTTTTAGAGCCGTGGCGAATGAGGCCATTGAATTGGGTCAGTCAGTACGTACTCTTTTTGCTTGGTGGGACATGCAGCTTACCGTGTTGAACAATAGCCATAGTTATAGGAAAGGTTCAGTCGCCCAAACGGAAGTAAATGAAGGATTGGGCTGGGGAAAAGAATACTCTTGGACACGCACACTTGATTAGCCATTGAAAAGATCCCCCTGATGAACAATATTTGCAAAATTAGGTCAAGGAAAAGAATTTTCTCGTTTTGGGATTCTGATGTCTTGTGTTCGAATTTCGATAGGTGTTTGATCATGTACAAACTTCAATAGTATAGAATTTTGAGGCTGCGAAAAGAACTATGATTGGTTTCCAATAGTAATGGCAAATTTAGTTGTGTTATCATCACGATTTATTAAACAATTATTAAAATTCATTCCAACATTAGTAACAAATTTAGTTATGCCATATTTTGCGTTGTTCGTGCAATATCTTTAATTGACAATACACAGAACTATTCAGTTCAACCAAACCAATCAATACAATAGGCCGCATAGCATGAATCATTACATCTCTATTCTTTGAGGATTTACTACTTACAGAGAAGGGGAAAGTTAATTTGCTAACTTGAAAATTCGTTAGCAGATACTAACTAATATCCAAAATACATAAACTAATATCCAAGTACTAAAGTATCTAGAGAGCATAGACTAGTATTCAAGGTTTGTCAACTGATATCCACCATGAATAAACTATTATCCCAAATTCACAAACTAATATCTTGACAACACATAATAGTATCCAAACAGCACATAATTAGTATCCAGATAACACATAAGAGTATCCAGATAACCCATAAGAGTATCCATATTGAATACTAGTTGGTTGATTGTGGATATTAGTTGGTATCTGCTATCTGGATACTAGTTTGTGATGTTTTGAATACTAGTCTGTGCTATTTAAATACTTAGCAGACTTAAATATTAGTTCATACATTTTGAATATTAGTTAGTATATACTAATGAATATTCAAGTTAGCAGAATAATTAGACGGCATAGAGGAGGTATCTTACTATCTCTTCTCTGGTGCACAAAATTTAATTATGGCCTGGATAATGAACATAAGATGGGCCGTGGCTTGCGTAAGAACGCACTGGGCCTATGATTGGGTTTGGTTATCTCTTGGGCTAAACCGGCATCCAGTTCCTTTTATTTCCATTTTTTCCGCGTCTTCTATAATCTATAGACAATCATTTAGCCGAAAAAACCAAATTGCGCATCATTCCAATTTCACAGCTGCGGAAAGAAGAGCGAGAAATTCCCCTTGTTTTTTTTTTCCGAACCTCTGAAAACCGACGACGATGGGCTCAGTACTCTCTTACATGCTTGGAGGAGGCGAAGGCGCCGCCGCTACCGGTGAAGACGACTCATCGTCGGGCGATCACTCCGGCGTCACAAAGTTCCACTCCGCTGCCCGCTGGCAGCTCCACTTCAACTCCATCAAAGATTCCAACCAGCTGGTAAACCCCCTTCCCTCTCTCTCTCTCTTCAACCAATCTCAAATTTCTTCTATCCTCTTCCCTAAATTCAGCTCCGAATTGATTTTTCTGGTTTGGCTTTGGTGAGAGCAGCTGGTGATCGATTTCGCGGCGTCTTGGTGCGGCCCGTGCCGGTTCATCGAGCCTGCGGTGAACGCCATGTCTGCGAAATTCACCGACGTCTCCTTCGCCAAGATCGATGTGGATGAATTGCCCGTACGTATTCCTTTTAGTATGCTGTTTAATTTTGACTTCCATTTGACCGATTAGAAGACCTAAGGGTTTCTAATTTTGACTTCGTCTATAATCTGATCAATAGCTTTGAATGATTTGGTTTGGCCGGGTTGGTGGATGGGGGAAATACAACAGGAAGTGTCGCAGGAATTCGGGGTGCAGGCGATGCCGACGTTTGTGCTGGTGAAGAGAGGGAAGGAAGTGGACCGAGTGGTGGGAGCTAAGCAGGATGAGCTGGAGAAGAAGGTCTCCAAATACAGGTCTGCTTGAGTAAACAAAGCCCCTCTCTGTTCTCCTTATACCACTGAATAGGGCTGGCTTACTCTTCAGTCTATCTGATCTTGGGATTAAATGTTCATAGAGGTCTCGGTGTTCTTATTTCATGACATACTTTGTGATTGCTGAAGAGGAATGGTGACAAGTGACTGTAGTGTTTGTGTTACTGCTCTCTGATTCTGGTTGGGAATGTGTGTTAACTATGGTGATTGGCTCAGGCAGGATTATGAATGGGGAGATTTGGTATGCTATTTTCATTGTGGGTAGCTTCTGATTGAGCATGATCTTGTTTCTATTGATTGGTGGTTGTAAACAAAATAGTATTATGTCATCTATCGCCTTTGATCATTGAAATTTGAAGGAGTAGCTTTCTGTTGCTGGCATATTGAAGGTCAGACCTCTAGATTGGGCCGTGGAAGCCCAATAACAAGTTTGCTCCTTGGCTAGGAAGGCTGTGTCAAAGGCCTCCAACCTGACCCAATAGATTGGGCCTGGCAATGCTTGTTCATCCTCTCACCTCTGAGCAGTCTCGTCGGATATTCGTCTCTCTTTGTAGTTTATTCGGCCATAAAAGGACAAGTATACCTCTAGCAGTGGATACAGAATTACAGATGCAGTAATACAATCAACTTGAATTGAAGGGTCCAAAATTAAGTATTACCAAATCCAGCTCAGTCCAAAGGGTTCTTCCCTCTGCAATTTTTATGATTATATGGTAGTGAGATGGATCGTTGACCATTTAAATCGACTGTCAAAATACGCATCCAACCAATTGAGTTAATATGGTATACAATTGAGACAAGTACAACGATATGAGAAATCACGCTTTAAATGTAGTTATTTGGATATAGTTCGGATAAAGTATTAACCCAAATAATTTCGTGGAAACATTTCCAACAAATTATACAATATTGAAGATTATTTCAATCCCACTAATCAAACAATACATATATGATATATTATATACACAAATTGTAAAAGAATTAATATACTCTAAAGTAGGGGTGGGTGTGGTTACTCGCCCCACATTTTGCGGGTACCCACACCCACAAATTTACAATTATGCTACCCACAACCCGCACCGTAGTGGTTGGTGGGTAACCACTACCCATTGTGGGTTTGTGCGAGTTGGGTGTGGTTACCCGCAAAAATCCATCTTTGTAAGCATAGAGTTCTAGTCGCCACTAAAGTATTAGTTGTTCGTAACTAGACTATAGTGATATACACTTGTTTTGTTCGTGGAGATACAATTTTGTACATCGATCTTACTCAACGTGAAGATTTTTTCTTTTTGAGTTTGGTATTCAACTTTTGTGTTAGAGAGCTGTGATTTCATATTTCCCTGATTAAGGGTGAAATATGACGTTTAAATATGATCTTGTATTTTTTCACACAAAATCAAAATCATACTGATAAAAGTTACAAAAGGTGTTCACTTGTAATGAATTGATTATTATCCATCATAGTGTTTTATAAACTAAAAAATTCTTACATAAAACTGATTAGGTGTGTCTTTTTTATTTGGTGGCTAATTTAATTTTAATCCTCACACTTTTCACATACTATTATATTATAAAGTTAATTCACTAAATAAACATAATTAGTGTGGTTATTGTGGATTTTGTGGGTTAACCGCGGTGGGTAGTGGATAACCACTAACCACAAAAATATTATTTTACTACCCACACCCAACCCACCACCCACAACTTATGGGTATGGTTACCCATAATAAGTGCGGGTTGGTGCGGTTTGCGGATTATCCACAACCCCGCAACTCAAACTTCCACCCCTACTCTAAAAAATATAAATACGACAACAATTTACTAAAAACGATCATGGAATTTCTAGTGAACCCTACGTCTAATCGTCTATCCTCCAATAATAGTAGTAGAGTTTTGTCTACTTTTCTCCATTTCAAATTTTCTGCAACGAGAGTGAAAGTAGGAAGGGTATTTTTGTATTTACAATTAATTATTTATTTCATATAAAAAATGTCAATATCAAGATTTAAACCCGGGTCTCTTCAAACAAAGACTACAATCACAACCAATTACACTAAACAAATTTGTTATGTCCTTTTTTATACAAAACATACATGAAGTGACACTCTGAAAATCGGTGGACTATTCCATCATGATTAGCAAGCCCACTAAGTCTATAGTATGTATTTTTATGGTGCTTGAAGTTGATACTGCAATTTTCATAGCAGAGTTTCATGTATTTTTATGGAAGAGACTAATTCTATTACTACATGTTGTTTTCTTGCATTTTTCAATTTATATTTAAATTTAGTACTTTTTTTAATCTTTGCTCTTAACTCTTTCTAACTTCCTCTGAAATTTTCTCCATCGTGCAATAGTTTGCTCCCCTTTCACTTTACAAATCTGCCTTTGAAAATCAATCTTCCGGTATCTCTTGGCACTACGATTTTATTGTTAGGGATTTAAACTGGGCAAGTAGAAGATTTAAAATCCGATATCAATCCATGGCGAATAGAATGGAGTTCAATAAATGGAGTTGCAAAAGGAGGATTAGAAATTGAATTTTTGGTTGAAACATACGCCTCTTGAGATTGAAGATAAAGTTGATAAAAATTTGATTGTACAACTAAGGGTGGTGGCTATTAGATCTTTAGTTCTATGGTTTTTGAAGATATCACAACTTATTTCTATCTTAAAACGACGAATCATTAATTGATTTACTGAAGTAGGTCGGTCTATTCTTTATTCAACCTACTGGGACTGATAGATGAGGAGTGTCTAATTTTGTTCCTTATACTTTGATAGAGTCTATTAGTATATTGGAGGTAACCCTATTTTTGGCGTTTGCTCTCAAGTTTTTATGGTCCCCTCTTAGCTGAATTGTTAGTATATAGTTGACTTGAATCAACAACTTTCCGTTTCTTTTTGATTAGTGGAATATTGTTCATAAAATGAGAGCATTGAACCTTTATGTAGGAATGCCAAGTTTAAGATTTAGTTTCAACCTATCTATGGTTTGTGTGGGAATTTCAGTGAGCTTTTCTACTCTATCTTTCTTGACAAATGACAATCAATTAACCAATAGCATTTTACCAGGGACTTAATTATCATTATGAAAATGAGATCAATGATACATTTTTTATATTTTATACTCTTAAATGATGATAAAATTTCTCCAAATATTTTACCTATATACTCTTTCTTTATGTATCATCTCGATAGAAAGATTGTCAATATATATGGGTTGATAGATATAAATATAACATAAAAATATAAATAATCAAATATGAATATTCTGGCCAACGGGCTGGGTTATAAGCTAGTTACTATAAGGACAAAAATTTGTCGCTATTCAGATTTTTGTTGAGAAAGGAAAAATTTACTAACTCCAGGCACAAATCCATCTAGTGCCGACTCTCACATCACACGCTACGGTGGCGCCCCTCATCCCTGCTCCCGCATCTAACCGCCACAACTCTTATCAATACCTCTCTCTCTCTCTTCCTCTCCCGCCACGTGACTTCGTCGGCTGTTAATCATACCAATCGCCGGTCACTCTCTCCGCCTCTTTTCAATCACGCCGGCGCAATAATTACAACTACTAGGGACACGCCTACACTTTTCCAACTCCACCTGCTGCTTTTGCTTCTCTGCACCTCTCCCCATCGCCGCTTCTCGTCCTATACAGGCCAGCGATATAACCAGGAAAGACGACAAAATTAGAAGGCAAGGTGACGGCAATGGAAACTACTCTGCTGCTGTGGCCGGCGTTTCTCTAGCGTTTTTGCTTGTTTTGGTGACTTGAGCTTCAGTAGGAAGAGGAGAAGGCAAATCGCTTTGCTGTTGAGTTCGTGTTTAGGGCGCTTAAAATGGCGGTGGAGTACGCTTGCTGTAGCTCCGAATTCTTCATTCACATTCTGATAATCGTGATGCTGGTGCTGTTCGCCGGCATGATGTCTGGGCTCACTCTCGGCCTCATGTCTCTGAGTCTCGTCGATCTCGAAGTCCTGGCTAAATCCGGCACGCCTCAGGACCGTAAATACGCCGGTAATTTACTCCATTCCTCCCTTTCCCTTTTCGACTCGTCTTCCGTTAATGTGTTGCTTGGAAGCTGAGAAAATCTGAGAATAAGGGGGGAATTTTCCGAACGAAAGAGCCGGTGTAGCTATAGGCTATTCCTTTTTCTGTGTTAATGTTACTTTATGTGTTCTTTTTAGGGTTCACCATCAATAGAATAAGGAATTGGAAGTGGGAACTAACGATTCCCTTCTGATGTCGCTTGGCCAAATTGGGGGTCGTCTTTATTTTGGTTTCTTTTTCTATGTCTGGTCCCTGGTGGAAGCTGCATGATACTATTGTCAATGTTCTCTTGCGATTCTTTGTCCTGCTTCTGTGAAAGCCCTCAGTATAAAATTCCCTGTGATGGTAACCTAACCTTTCCCAGTATTGTTTTCACGTGTAGTCCACTTGTAATAGTGGCATTAACTTTGATAGTTTATTTCCAAACATGCCTAGAGTTGGCATATATTATAGGTCCTGGTTTGTCAAGTCATTCTGAGCAATCTAGCAGTCTGGCTAATATGCTGAAAACCTTACTCAGCTTTCCATTAGGCCTGCCGGGATAAGTTTTAGATGCAAAGACTTGCATCCTGAATATGGGGTTAATGAAATCTGAATAAGTGCATGTTTGGAGCTCATTCTCTGGGGGCAAGGGAAAAGTTGGGGATTTAGAATGAGTGGTCTTTTTGTGTTTGTTGTTAGGGGTATTGGGAGGATGAGTTCTATGTTACAATTTCATTGGTATTTTGCCATAACAGGTTTTTTTATTTATGATTATATAGGCTGGTCTCATCTATATGGTTTGACTCCTAAATGAACCTGGGTAGTTAAGTACTATGCTCTGGACAATTGAGGTGGTACCAGCCAGGTTCAGATTATGATGCATCTGTTACTTGTTCGTTAGCGTTAATCTGTTTCTATTTAACTGAACTCGTTAGTAGAGGAAGATCCATTTATGTTGTTTTCCCATCTGCTTCTCAAGGTGATAGTGTCTGAAACAGTTACTGTATACACTAGTCAATATGAAAACAGCAACTCGCATCGAAATGACTCTCTTTCGTTCATATGCCTATGCATTATGCTGCTTGTGTGATATACATATGAGTCCCTCATATTCTTCAGATTTTAGCTTATATAGGGTGATAATATGCTGATTACTTTGTATTTGTTTAAACAGCAAAGATACTGCCAGTTGTAAAAAATCAGCATTGGTTACTCTGCACGCTGCTGATTTGCAATGCTGCTGCCATGGAGGTACATAAATGGGCTCTTTCTAATCTTTCGGCCAGGCTGTCGAATTGTACTTGATTCTGCAATGATTATTTCTTTTATTTTTTCCAGGCACTCCCTATTTTCCTCGACAGCTTGATTACAGCATGGGGTGCGATCCTCATTTCTGTTACACTGATTCTGCTGTTTGGCGAGGTCAGAAATCAATTTATTCGATTTTGGTCTCTGAATCAGAAAAAGAGATAAATGCACTAGTTGTTTTTATTTGTACTATCATAAGCTGATGTATGAGACATATATTCCACTCACCATGTGAGCAGCATGCTTGACTATTATTAAGAATAAGGCTCTTCTATGATGAGAGTGAGACATACTTTTCCTTTGAATCTGGAACTGTTATAGGGAGAATTGGAAGAATACAATTCAAGGGCAAGTTTGGGTGCTTGATAAAGTTATTTTTGAAGAATAAATGAACTCTGTTAAGCAGGAGAGTTGTCATTGTTGTCTTTCCTGTTAAAAGGGATAGGCCACTAAGTTGATAGTCCAACTGATTAATAAACTTAAAACGATATAGGAAAACAGGGTACTGTTGGATATCACTAAATCTCTGAATTTTTATGTAGATTATACTGCAAGCTGTATGCACCAGATATGGTCTGGCAATTGGTGCAACAGTGCCCCCCTTAGTCCAACTGATTAATAAACTTAAAACGATATACGAAAACAGGGTACTGTTGGATATCACTAAATCTATGAATTTTTATGTAGATTATACCGCAAGCTGTATGCACCAGATATGGTCTGGCAATTGGTGCAACAGTGGCCCCCTTTGTCCGTGTGCTGGTGTGGATATGCTCTCCCATTGCCTACCCGATAAGCAAGGTTAGTTGTGCAAGTTTAAGCCTTGCTTGTAATCTCTGGTCTCACTTAATGATGGTGACTCATGTTTTATGCTCACGTCAGCTTCTGGATTATCTACTGGGTCATGGGCATGTCGCTCTTTTCCGCAGAGCTGAGTTGAAAACACTTGTGAATTTCCATGGTAATGAGGTGAGTCGATAAGATGTTATTCTGTGTTCTCAACATGCCATATTCGATGTTCTTTTTTAGGGATGCTCAATTACTGAAAGCACCGTACCTCTGTCTCTTTAGGCTGGAAAAGGTGGAGAGCTGACTCATGATGAGACAACAATTATTGCTGGAGCGCTTGAGCTCTCAGAAAAAACTGCTGGTGATGCAATGACACCTCTCGCTGAAACTTTTGCCATTGATATCAATGGCAAGCTTGACCGGTAAGAAAACTTGAATGAGTTGCTTCTGTTGCATAATGTCCAGATGGTTTAGAATTTTTTTGGCCTCTTCTTTGCAGTGATCTGATGAATATGATACTGGAGAACGGACACAGCAGAGTGCCTGTTTATTATGAGCAACCAAACAACATTATTGGCCTTGTTCTGGTAAACCAATTATTCGTTCTATATGTTTGGATCAGGACTTAGTTTTGTTCTTTTGGTTGCTATTTTTATGTGTATTCGTTATGGTAAAGGACCGGAAGTAGAATAATTCTCAAGGTGCTACCTAAATCTTAGCATTTCTGGCTTCACCTTTGAATCAAGTCTCTTCTTGTGATTTTACAAGTACATATGGTGTCTGCCTTCGTCGCAGAAGTTGAAATAATGTAATGGGTTCTGTATTGTTGACTGCTGAAGTACCAAACAGGTTCTCTAGTTCTATTTTATTCTTCCATATGTCGATCCATTTTTCCATGTTATTTATACCGGATCGATCATGTTGTTGGTGTCTTTGACAAATATGCATGCATGATATGGTGACTCTTTGTTTCCCTCGAGGAGTGATTTGTTACAGCAGACATTATGGTATCTATGCTTGTTTAACTGCCTTTCCCCATTCCCTTAGGTCAAGAATTTGTTGACAATCCACCCTGAAGATGCTACACCTGTAAAGAATGTGACCGTACGGAGAATCCCCAGGTGCATTACTTCAGTATAGACATTTATTACATGAAATAGATTGGTTAAATTTTGACTGTACCTTTTCTTGTTTAATTTTCATCATCAACTGATGCTTGGTTTATGTCCTCAGGGTTCAAGAAAACTTGCCCTTGTATGACATACTGAATGAGTTTCAGAAAGGCCACAGTCACATGGCTGTTGTCGTGAGGAAGTGCAACATAACCGAACAGCTGCCCACTGATGGTTCAGCTAATAGTAAGTGCTACCATCTTTCCCAAAAGCACTAGTTCTATATCTCATAATTATGTCACTGTAAGAAGTTTTGTACTCTGTTCTTGCCATTGAATGAAAACAGTTCCAGTTAAAGAAGTGAGAGTAGATGTAGACGGGGAGAAGCCACAGGAGAGGTCATTAAGAAGCCACAAGTCTTTCAAGAAATGGAAAAGCTTCCCCAACAGGAATGACTCATTTAGGGCGTCAAGGAGCAGAAAGTGGAACAAAGAAGTCGACTCCGACATCCTGGAAATAGATGGCAAGCCACTCCCGACGCTTCCTGAAGAAGAAGAGGCTGTTGGCATCATAACCATGGAAGATGTCATTGAAGAACTGTTACAGGTATTGACACTTCTTTTCCCCTGCTTCCCTTTTTCGGCTCAATTCTCAGATCCTGACAATTTTTCATTTTGTTGTCACTCAATTAGGAGGAGATTTACGATGAAACAGACCATCATCACGAGTAGCATTGGTTCAAATTCATAATCGAAGCGGTTTACATTTATGTATATGATCAGGAGAAATGTATTCGTTGAGACTGTTAGGAGGGTTTGATCCTCAAAGCTTTTGGCCAGAATATGTTTCTGCGAAATGTCAAGTGTAATCATGTTTTAGTGTTTTGTAATAGATCGGATGAGCTGAGACGGATGGGGAAGTTCATGACTTCATGTATTGCCCTGAAAACGAAGTGCATATATAGTACTATTAGGATGGATATATACAGGCTTCATTTGGATGGGTATTTCAATGTTTTCATCACAATTTCTAATTATATTGGATTTTAACTAAATAACTCTTTTGAGAGTACGATAGATTTCAAATTTCAAATTTCTAAAAATCTACAATTGAAGATTTTTGAAACAGCCAATTCCCATCAGTTATTTTAAAATTTACCATTGTCTAATTTATTCTATCAATTATTCTTCTTTTAATTTTTAGAAATTTCAGAAGTACTCTCACTAGTCACTCCCATTGTTCTTCCTCAACGAAAAAGAGACCCTTCCTCTTCTGTCCTCCCACCGTAGTCGCTTCTCCATCTCTTCGCTTTCTTTTATTCCTCCCACCTCCGGTTAATTTTCCCCAACTCCACCACCGAAACCCCTCTCCTCTTCGCATTCGCCACTAATAGTGACTTCTTGATTCCCCGTCCTCATCGGTGACCCCCAAATCCCGAAGAACAAAATGATTTAGGTTGTCCATTAATGAAGCTTTACTCACTAATTTTTCATCAAAAAGGAAATTAATGTTCTTGTTTGTGTTCTCAAACTTGAGTGGTTGTTTATCAACTAATTGACCACACCATTAACTGAGATTTGTGTGTTGTTGTTTAGGTTCAATACGAGTTAGGCATGTTGTTGTTTAGGTTGGACATAAGTTTCGCATGTTGCCTTACTATAAAATGATATGTTTACTTTTCATATTTGATATATAATGTGTGTTGCTGTTGTTAGGTTGGACATTAGCTTTCTCTTTCTTACTGTAAAAGAAACACTTTACTTACTTCAGTTGCATGATTGAGGCTGCCTTTGATGATAAAGCGTAGGAGTAGAAGATCGTGTAGATCAAGCGGGCATAGGGATTATGGGCAAGTTTGAAGCAAAGTTTTGAGCTTGTTTGCCTCAACATTATCGGCCTTATTCTGGTAAACTGATTGTCCATTCTATATGTTTGGATAGGACTTAGTTTGTTCTTTGGGTTACTATTCTCTACGTGTATTGGTTATGATTAAGGACTTGAGGTATATTACATGATCGTGCTAAAATAATTCTCAGTTCTAACCAAAATTTTAGCATTTCTTCGCTAACGTTGAAATCATGTTTAGGGCAATATATTGTTGATTGTTCAAGTACCAAATAGATTCTTTAGTTCTATTTTGTTCTTTCAAATGTCGATCCAGTTTTTCATGTTGTTTATACTTGATCGAGCATTTGCTCGTGTCTTTGACAAATATGCATGCATGATATGGTGCCTCTTTGTTTCCTCGAGGAATGATTTGTTACTATTTACCCATTGTAGCAGACGTTACGGTATCGATGCTTGTTTAACTGCCTTTCCCCATTCTTTCAGGTCAAGAATTTATTGACAATACACTCTGAAGATGCCACGCCCGTAAAGAACGTGACCGTACGGAGAATCCCTGATATGATCCAAATCCGAAGAGAACCCTCGAACTCGGATTATATGACCAAAGTACGCAGCCTTCCTTCTTTTTACGGAATTTTCGAAGCTTTTCTTGACAACTTGAAAATAAAGGATAGATATGGAACACGATCAAACAGATTCCAACTCGTGTGAAGGGCCAATTGGTATATGAAACCAATCAAACAATCACCCACTCGTGAATAAGGCCCATCGCTATTGGGTAGAAGCTCGCCACAACTAGACGCGTTCTCTAGTTGATAAGAGACACGTGAAACTCCTGGAGCACTCTCAACAGAAGCTTGCACAAAGAACTAGTTCGTATGAACTTGTAACTTGAAAGTTGATTGATAATTGAATGAGTTACAATGAGGAACTCAGCCTCTTATTTATAGACTAACTAACACAAATCCAAAGCTTAAAATGAAAAACAAATCCTACAAGTAAAAGGAAAAAAACACAATCCTTAAAAGACAAGTAAAAAGAAAACACAATCCTTAAAAGACAAGTAAAAGACTTGGTCAACAACTCCCTAGGTTCTAGCCTTCCCTTGTGTTCCCACCTTGATCCTTTTCACACTTGAGACTCCCCTCCTCTTCCTTAGCTGAATCCTCTTCTCCTTCCAAGCCCATTCTTCCTTCATGCTGGGCCACGAGTTGCAATGTAATGGTCTTCCCATGATGATGATCCACGTCCATTTGACCAAAGTGACGATCCAAATAGGCAGCAAACTCCTCCCTTAACCTCTTTGTTTGTAGACGTGTAATTGGCCCTTCTTGTGACGAAATGGACTTGGTTTTGATGACCTCATCAATCCCCAGGTGATTACTTTAGTATAGACATTCATTAAATGAAATATATTGGCAAAATTTTGACGGAATCTTTTCTTATTTTATTTTCATAATCAACTGATGCTTGGTTTATGTCCCCAGGGTTCAAGAAAACTTGCCCTTGTACGACTTACTGAATGGGTTTCAGAAAGGCCATAGTCACATGGTTGTTGTGGTGAGGAAGCGCAATAAAATCGAACAACTGCCTGTTGAGGGGTCAACTAATAGTAAGTGTTGTCATCTTCCCAACAAGTACCATATTTTATCTTCAGATTTTAGTTTGTGTGATATATACATAAGTCCCTCATCTGGCCGTTGAAATAATGTTTTGGTTCATATGACTATGGCATATACATTGTGTTGCTTGTGTGATACACACATAACTCCCTCATCTTCATATTTTAGCTTTATATCGGGTGATAATATGCTGATTACTATGTATTTGTTTAAACAGCAAAAGATACTGCCAGTTGTAAGAAATCAGTTGTCTGTCTGCTGATGTGGATATGCTCTTCCAGTGCGTACCCGATAAGCAAGGTTAGTTGTGCTAGTTTAAGCATTGGTTGCCATCTACGGTCTCACTCAAACAATGGTGACTCATCTTTTATGTCCACATCAGCTTCTGGATTATCTACTCGGTCATGGGCATGTCGCTCTTTTCTACCGAGTTGAGTTCAAAACACCTGTGAATTTTCATGGTAATGAGGTGAGTTGATAAGATGGTATTTTGTATTTCCCTCAAGTTATATTCCATATTCTTTGTTTAGAGATGCAAAACTACTGAAAGCATCATGCCTTAGTCTTTTTAGGCTGGAAAAGGTGGAGAGCTGACTCGTGATGAGAGACAACAATTACTGCTGGAGCACTTGAGCTCTCAGAAAAAACAGCTGGTATGGTGATGCTCAAAGCTTTTGACTGGTCTTTGTTTCGGCGGAATATCAAATGTAATCAATCCATATATGGAGAATTTGTAATAGATCAGATTGAGCATAGACGGATGATCAGATTGTGCCCAAAATCTCGTTGTTCACCATGGTTTTGGGACTAGATTGTTTAAAAAATCGAAAACATGAGATTCAACCGCTATTGATCGTTCCTCAATCCATTTATTTCTTAAAATCCATGAGAAAAGCTACGGACAGGATAGTCATTTCTCAAGTAAGTTCCCTTGAAAATGGCAGAACAGGGACAACCATGATAAATTGTAATATAAGCTACTGCAGCATATTTAGCCCTGTATATTCTTAACGATCATAGTTCTAAATTTTGAAGCGACTTCTTTACATTTTATGTGCAAGCGAATCTACAACTCTGCCTAACATGGCCAATTCGCTGGCTTATACTACTACCGGTAAAGCCATACCATCATGCAATGCAAGTTCGTCTCCCTGTGAAGCCGAACGACAACAGTAATCCGACGCTTAGTTATCTGAAGTGTCATAATATCTACCTCAACACGCTACAAACCGAAGGCTTACCTACCATGAATATGAAGGCACTTCATTCAGCTCAGCTTTCCAGCAAAAACATTCACACTCCCACCTGGCCTACGGCCTGCAACCAAATGTACAACAAACAAAGAAGAATGCTACTGAGCATCTGGACAAGAATCTTGGTTCTGGAATCTAGAAGGAACCAACACGCCTTGGTTTTTTCCACTTACGAGAACAAGTTAGAGTGGTTACGAGACATCTGAGGCCGCTTGATCGGCGAGAAGATGAGGTTCTTCAGTTTCATCGCCGGGTTGCTTGGTGCAACTCCGAAACCAGCGTTACCGCCGGCAACACTTCGGTTTCCAAGGTCGAGTTTGGCTGCTGTGTTGGCTGGTGAGGCGCTGCGGGGACGGCTGCCGCCGGAGATACCAAAACCAGAAGTTCCAGGGTTCTGTCTCGGGAACCATACGTCCTCTCTGGGTCCTGGAGTTCGAGGAGTTATATCCGACCAATCTGTAAAGAGTCAGTCAATCCAGCTTCCGAGATCATTTTAAACAAAGAACGAGTTGTGGATGGGAGTTGAAAGGCATGGAAGTAAAATTACCATTTCGCAGCGGTTCTCTGGTATCCATCATTGTAGCTGCAGGGTTTGAGAAGATATCAGCATCGTTTCTTGCATAGAAGTTGCTTGCCGGTTGAATGGCTGATCTTTTCACCGACTCGTACTCTCTTTTCAGTTGATCGTACATATCTTCGAGTTTCCTCTTTTGCCTGCGCTCACCAAGTCCAAACCAATAGAACATCGTAAGCAACAGGTTTATTCTGACAATGGAAATGAGATAAGTTAACAGTGTTGCTCTCTATTCAACTGACCTTGATTGCTCGGAGAACTTTTCTTGGAGCTCTGCTTTATCCCTTTGAAGCTCTTCTCTATCCTTCCTCAGCCTCTCGTTCTCCTGTTCCATCATCTGGCATCGTTTTGCCGCTTTCTGATATGCAGCATAGACCTGCTCTAGTTTCTCGTTGAACTTCTCCTGCGTGGCCTCAAATTTCTGTCGATACTGTGCTGCTAGTCTGCTCAGCTTGAACTGCATCTCTAATTCCTTCTGTCCAATATAGAACATCACACTCTTGAATGTGCTCTTCATCACTGTGCTATTTTTAAGGAACATTCATGGGCGTTAGGCTTTCCACGAATAAATTTTAGCAAATATTCCAGCGATTCCATGACAGCCCTCGTTTTATTTCGATTTGGCAAGACAGTACAACAGGGTTACCAGAGTCAAAATATCACTGCATAACATCATGATAGTTTGGCAATTTAAGAAACAAGCATAAATTGTTTAACATCATAAGCAAGGATACATATCTGTGGAGATAGCCCATTCGTGACCATCTACAGCAAAGTAGGGTTCAATAAATGCACAGTAAGCAAATGCATGAAAAATACACTAGCATGACAAAGGAGTGGAGAAGCAAAAGAATCTGCCATAAGAAGCTGTTGATAACTTCACAATCATTTGCTTACATTTACCCATTCGTCATTTGGATTTATGTCCACAGGTTTCATTTGGCTGACAAAACAGACAACTAAAAGTGAGTGATTCGGAACAACTAGGAAAACAAGAACCAGCAAGCCTCCATATAACTTCTTCATATGCAATTTTTCTAGTGACCTGGACAAGGGCTAAGCAATCTGGAGACGCTCCACCAACAAACTCTACCATCTAACTGAAGTGAAAATACAATGTGCTTCCGACAATCTAAACGAATGAAGGACCAGGATGGACTGTTTAGCAGGACAAAGAAATAACCTCTTAGGAAGGACTTGATCACAGACTGGGCATCCCCCATCGTTGCTAAGTATCTTGCTGGCATCCTCAGTACCTGTTCAAGCTGTTAAGAGAAACTTTGTGCAAGAACAGATGTCGGTGACACATATTAGATACCATGAGAATGGCTAAGGCATGATAAATCAGACTCAGAAATATGAAATCACAATCCGGTGTAGGATACAGAGGAGGTGACCACAAGTAGTCACGACAGCACTCCCTTCCAACTCTTGCCAACACGCGTTGCACCTCATCTTAAACTTGATTGAATGATTCTGTTTTGCTATATGTACCTGCTTATGATGATGTTAGATGAGGGACAACAAGGCTAGACCGCTTATGCAGACAACTATTAGCATTTGAACCAAGATCCATCGGCTGCTAGTTCCAGGTTATGCTCCACCAAAAATTACTGGAATCGAGTTCCTACTTCATAGCAATGACACATTTTCAGAAAGGTCCTATCAATTTACGCTACTATCATTTCATCATTTGGCAACACGCAGTCACAAGTCACCAAATTCAGAAATAACTGTCCAGTTGAAAAAAATTAGGTCACTCCTTAAATTGAAAGGAGGAAAGCAACGAACATATTAAATTCCATAGCACAATCGCGCTTTTCACGACCAAGAGCAGTGAAGCAATCAATAATTGGGATTATTAGCATATTAATCAATTCATGGCACCCGGATCAGGACGAGTTTCTACATCTACGTTCCATCCATCGCCACTCCAAATCTAAGGAACGATTCAGAACAGTATGACTCTAAAATGCTGAGCTTGCACGAGCCCTAAGTATTGGAAACCGGTCGCTCTGTTTGGCAAATCGGACTAAGAAGCTAGATACGACAGCAGAATTCAAGGAAACTAGCAGTGGCATTTAGTTCCAGAACAACGATTTTTCTAAGAGAAACGAGACAGATAGAGAGGCTAACCTGGTAGTAAGCCAACAGATACGCACATTGAGCTTCCTGAGCTGCAGGATCTCCCGAGCAAATCGCACGATAAACTGCTAACGCGGTGAAAATCTGATGTTCACTTTCCTGCAAATAGACGAGAAGAAACTCAGAGAAATCGCAGCGTATGGCGGTTGTTCGAATTTTTTGGAAGCACGATTCGTAACACGAACAGTAGAAAGCGCCGACGATCCGCGAGCGCATCCGAGAAAAGTTCCGTAGAGATCTCTGAAATCGCTAGAGTAAACGAGGCTGAAATCGCTAGATTGAACGAGAAAGAAGTGAAGTGAAGGCCCCCCTAACCTGAGGTGGAGCTTGATCGGTCTGCGGTGTAGCTTGAGCGCTGAGCCGCTCACTGTCTCCTTCCACAGTCGCCGAACTTGTGTTTGAAATGAGCGGAGGAAATGGCGGCAACATACGTTCCATTTCTCCGGCAACAGGGATATATAAAGCGTCGTTGGTTTTTCTTTATTTATTTACTTTTCCGAAAAGTTTTTGGGTGGAGTTCTACTTGGGCCGAACAAGCAGCAAATGGACTGGGCTGGTTTTCTTCTCAAGCCCATCTAGAAAGAAGGGGCGGTGAAAACGTTGTCGGTTTATTGCAACCAGAGACCCAAATAAAAAGTATAAATTAAGCGGCGAGGAGAAGAAATCAAGGGTTTTAGCTGGACGCGGGAAGTAATTTTCCACTGTGTTGTCCCCTGCACCGATTCCTGCCGCTAAAGCAGCCGCCAATCATCTCAACCTTCTTTCCCGTCAGCTTCCCGGTCGTGAAAATGATAGTGGCTGTTTCGTGGTTGCCGAAAGGAGTGGCAAAGGCTGTTCCAGTGGTGGCAGAGCTTCCTTCAAAAGAAGAGATTGAAGAGCTATTGAAGTCCGGTGCTTTGGAAGATGGGTAAATTTCCTGTACCCTTCCTCTTCCTTGGGGTTTAGCCAATCATTGATTCTTTCATGTTGGGTTTTGTGCAATTTACTTGCTTCAATTTGAATTCATGGCAAAGTTGAGGGGGACGATTTGGTTTGTGCAGAGAAGAAAGTGGGAGTGAGGCTGAGGATGGAGATACGGAGGTGGATGCTGAGATGGAAACTAACGAAGCAAGTCAAGCACTAGCTGTGGCAGAAGCACTCGGTGCAAAATCGAAAACCAACAAGTCATCTTCCGGAGTTGATCATATAGCTGATGGGTTGAAGGAACTTGACATGGACAATTATGATGACGACGAAGATGAAGGTTAGTATGGCTTTTCCAAGCAACCTTTTTTGCTTCCTATTTCAATGGCTAGGAAGATGCTGTAGTTGATACTATACTCGTTCGTTATTGCTGATATACCATTTGAAATCTGCAGAGATTGAGCTTTTCAGCTCTGGGCGTGGAGACGTTTATTATCCTAGTAATGACCTGGATCCTTATCTCAAGGGTGTGGATGTAGGTTTTGCTACTTTCATGCTTTCTTTTGTGGTGCGAATTTGCTCGCATTGCATTTTGACTGCATTTCGTACGATGAATTGTTTTTGTATATGTGCATTCCTAAGGTCGATGACTCTGATGAAGAGGAGAATCTGATTATTCAGCCAAAAGATTCAGTCATAGTTTGCGCACGGAATGAAGATGACATATGTTCGCTTGAGGCAAGTAATGTTGAATTCAACAACTCTCCCTGACGCCCCCCCCCCCCCCCCCCCCCCCCCCCCCCCCCCCCCCCCCCGCCCCCGCCATCTGACAATCACTGATGTTGTGTGAGACCAGGTTTTGGTATGTGAGGACTCTGGTGATGGTAATCTAAATATCTTCCCTCACCATGATATTATTGTGGCAGCATTCCCCCTTTGCACAGCATGGCTTGATTGTCCACTTAAAGGAGGGGAAAAGGGTAGGGTTGTGTATCCAGTGTTTGATATTACTCCATTGCTTAGCCTTTGTTTTTTATTTTTTTAATTGTTTCTTTTCTATCCTGCTAATCGACTGGGGAATTACTCTTTTTGCAGGAAATTTTATTGCTGTCGGTTCAATGGAACCAGCTATTGAAATATGGGATCTTGACATTGTACGTGATAGATGGATGTCAAAGCTCTGAAAATGCGTTCATTTTGTCTTTCTGATAAACAGATTGTTGTGAATCTCTGCCACTTTTTTTTTTATCTCCAGATTGAGCAAGTAGAGCCATCTGCAGTGTTAGGAGGTGTTGCTGAGGTTCAGAAGAAGAAGAAGAAAAACAAGAAGAAAAGTAAGAAGAAGGTGCGTAAACATGTAATGAAAGACTAAGGACTATTGTCTCACCTTGACTATACTAAACTTTGTTATAAAATTTTCCCATGTTGGCCTAGCTCTGAAAGCTTTCTGTTTGATCAGCTATCTCTTATCTTCTCCTTTAAAAGGGCATTGGACCGCAATTAACCTGATATACTTGAGGTTGATCCTCGGTCTGGTCATCTCGTGTTTAAGACGAGGCATATTTGTACCACCAGTGCAAGAGTTCCCGGAATTCGTCTTTCTTCATCTGGTATCTTTCTGTACAAATTTCCAGGCCCCAATTCAATACAAAGAAGGAAGTCACACTGACTCTGTACTAGGACTCGCTTGGAACAAGCAGTATAGGTTTGTTGAATATATTCTTTGGTGGCCTTCATCCTCGATTCCTTGAAATTTATCATCAATTTATCCTCGTTTAGCTTAACCAGGTCTACCAAAAAATCTACAGGAATATCCTTGCCAGTGCCAGTTCTGACAGACAAGTTAAAATCTGGGATGTTACTACTCAACAATGTAATACTACATCGGAGCATCATACAGACAAGGCAAGAATGTTTTCTTTCAATAATTATGCTGCCATGCGGGAAGGATGATGTATTATTGATTAGTATAAACCTGCTTCAAGTTTCTTTGTATTTAACAGTTGTGCTTCTGTGGGTTTTGGACTACAATCTTTCTGTCCCTACAGGTCCAATCAGTTGCATGGAATCATCATGAGGCACAAGTTCTTCTCAGTGGATCTTTTGATCACTCAATTGTGATGGTATATAAATACCCTGTGCACTTTAAGATTCTTGGTATTAGTGATGCAAAGTTAAGGCATGTCCCAAAGATGAACGATGCATGGCCAAGACTCTAGCAATGAACTACACGATGACATGTTAATGACTGTTGCATACTGCAGAAAGATGCTAGGATACCTACACACCCAGGTTTTAGGTGGTCAGTTGCAGCTGATGTGGAAAGCTTGGCATGGGATCCCCACAGTAGTCACTCCTTTGTGGTGAGTGTTATAGGCAAGTTTGTTTCTCGAATTGCTGAGTTCCCTTTTTAGGTTGGGCATTAAAGTGGGGAAAAATATCATTTTTCAGGCGAGCCTTGAAAATGGTACAGTCCAAGGTTTTGATATCCGCACAGCCAAGTCTGGTGAAGCTTCTGATCTAAAGCCAAGTTACACAATCCATGCACATGACAAAGCTGTTAGCGCAGTTATCTATAACCCCTCGATTCCTAATGTAAGCTAGATTTCCATTCATTCATTTGTTCAGAGAGTTTTCTTTCTCAAGTGTATACACTGACTTGCCTGTGACTGCCTGCAGCTTATTGCAACTGGATCAATGGATAAAACGGTAACTTTGCCATCATCCTTATCTCTTTCATTAAAGTTGTGCACTAAGACTTGTTTCGTAGACCTAATTGTCCATCCATGTATGACGCTACAGGTTAAAATCTGGGATTTATCAAACAACCAACCTTCATGTGTTGCATCAAAGAACCCAAAAGCGGTATGTCACCTTTCACCAAACCACAGATTGAATGTCACCCTTACCGGACATCAATGCCATTTACTATATAAATAATTTAAAAGTGATCTTAACTTGTGCTGGTGACAACATTGAAATGTGATTATTATATCCAGGGGGCCGTATTCTCGACCGTCTTCTCAGACGACAGTCCATTTATTCTAGCTATTGGAGGATCAAAGGGAACCCTGGAAGTAAGTGTACTTCAAACATACATCTCAACCATTCGCTTCAATGCAGTGTTGTGAAAGTTATTTTCGTAAATGAAGATTGAATGTGTATTGTGCTCGAAATGTTGCAGATATGGAACACAGAATCAGATGCAGCTGTTTCGAAGAGATTCGGAGGCTATAAGGACAGCAAGCCATCTACCTCATCTTGAGACGAGATTCAACAGAGTTCTGACGAAGCAGTACCATCGGAAGTCGCACTGTGGAGAAGTTATGAGTCTTCAAATTTTTGCAAAATGTTAGAATCTAGGGTTTGATTAATTTAGCATGTTTGGAACTGTGTAGTGCGGAAAAAACTCTGTTACCCTATCCATACATTTTGAGATGAAGTTTTGTGTAAAGTTTCGTTCTTTTTGGTAAGGTATTGCAAAACTCTGTTACCCTATCTTGTATGGTAAGCTATTGCAAATTTTATTTGGCTCCATGATTTGCAAGTCTGTCCAGCTCCATGTGGAATTATGGATTGCTAATTTGCTATGAAAATGAAACACAAAAGCCATGGATCCACAATTTTACAGTCCAAATCGAAACACAACTAGATGGGATGGGAATACATAGGTCGACCAACTTTTGTCCATGTCCCACTGTCCGGTTCCAATACCAAACCCGCCCAACAACCACTGCCAAACTCCCTCCCTCGCCTCTCTTCCTTCCTCCGATGGCCATCACCGCCGTCTGCTCCCTCAAATCCGCCCTCCTTTACCTGATCTCCGCCGCCCCCGTCGACTACGCCTTCTCCCTCGAGCTTTCCCCACCCTCCACCCACGTCTTCCACTACCACGGCTCCGGCGGATTCCTCCACGAGTGTGCCAACAGGGATCCCCCGCCGGCCGGTTCATCGTCTCCTTTAAAGGCGGCATAATCCGCTTCCTCGACGACTAATCCTCCGGACACGTCCTCCGCGAGGTCCAACTGGCCAAGCACACCGATATGACTGGCAATGGCGTCACTCGGCTTGGCCGTCGATGAGGAACAGGGTGCTGGTGGCGGCCGCCGATGCTCTGTTGAACAAGTACGGTTTCCTCGGGTTGGTGCACGTACGTCTTGTATATCCTTTCCATTATACGATTGAAAAAAGAAACAACAACACATCAATTTGGAAGAATTCGGCAGATTTTCCAACAAGCCAGACAGAGGACGACAAATTAAAAAGCTTTTTTACGCGACTTGGAAAACTTCTCTTGATGTTCAATACAATGTCCACAGGATCTGCCGCGGAGACATATGGTGAACAACTAGGAGACGCCAAACAATATTACGTGTCATTGAAGACACTGGATTTCCACTGATGTTACGAAGACAAAATGCGAGATAAACGCTGTCTTCCATTAGACACATGAACGGTAGTACTCTTGCCTGCATTTTCTGTTTGCAGATTAACCAATCACCATGAACTCATTGTCGACTGTTGCTATGGCATTATTAGTTTCAGTGATTTGGATGGGTCTATGGGATGGAACTCTTGGTGCAGGCTGCAGTGCTGATGAAAGGGAAGCCCTTTTGAAGTTCAAGGCTGATCTTGAAGACCCTTCTAGCTGGCTAACATCTTGGGTTGGCCAAGAGGATTGTTGTACATGGTCTCATGTCGTCTGTGACAACTACACTGGCCATGTCACCGAGCTCCATCTCGGATTGCCGCAGCCTTCTAACTGGTCAAATTATGTGCTTAGTGGTAAGCTCAACCCTTCCTTGCTTGAGTTGAAGTATCTAGGTTATTTGGACCTGTCTAACAACGACTTTCATGGTATTCAAGTTCCAAGCTTTCTTTGCTTGATGACTAGTTTGAATACCCTTTACCTGGATGAAGCTGGGTTTGGAGGATTGATTCCTCACCAGTTGGGAAATCTCTCGAATCTGCAACAACTTGGCCTTCAGGCCTCTAAACATTATGGACTGTATGCAGATAGTTTGAGGTGGCTTTCTGGTCTCTCTTCACTAAAATTCCTTGATTTGAGTAATGTTGATCTTAGTAATGCTTCCGACTGGTTGAACATGATAAACGCACTCCCATCCCTTTCAAAATTATATCTGGCTAACTGTCAAATCCTCCATACCCCGGCCCTCGCCAATGTTAACTTGTCTTCGTTGTCTTCTTTAAGTTTGTACCACAATCAATTTGATCAAACTTCAGTTCCAAGTTGGGTTTTTCAACTTAAGAGCCTTACTTTCTTGAATCTAGCATACAACACTTTTCGTGGCCCAATTCCTCTGCAACTTCAAAACCTTACTTCGCTCAGGACCCTTGAATTAGCTTCCAATCATTTCAATCATTCGGTGCCAAACTGGCTATACAGTTTACATCATCTGGAGTACCTTGATCTATACAGTAATAAATTGAATGGCAGAGTCTCAACAATTGGGATTGGAAACTTGTCTTCTCTTGTTCATCTTGATATGTCTGTCAATCATGGCCTCGAATTTGAAAGGGGGATTCCTGAATCATTCAAAAGCTTATGCCGCTTGAGGTCACTTTCTCTGGGATATGTAAAGCTGAATCAAAATGTATCAGAGGTTCTTGAAATTCTTGGAGAATGTGCTTCTAATACTTTGCAGGAGTTGTATCTGGATACTTGCCAACTGCATGGTCAGTTGACCGATCAGATTGGCTTGTTCAAGAGACTTAACCGTCTCATTCTTCCTAACAATTCTATTTCTGGTCCACTTCCGAGTTCATTTGGAGAAATGACATCTTTGAATCATTTAGACCTTTCAAGAAACAAGATAAATGGGAGCTTTCCAACAAGTTTTGGGTCACTGACAGGGTTGGCCTATGTGGATATCTCTCGGAATGCAATGCATGGTGTTGTACTCCCTGAAATTCACTTAGCCAACCTCACAAAGTTGACCTTCTTTCTTGCTTCTGGAAACCAAATGGCGTTCAAAGCTAATCCAGATTGGGTTCCTTCCAGGCTACTTCAAATTCTGAACTTGGAGTCCTGGTATGTTGGACCTGGATTTCCTCATTGGCTCAAAGGTCTGCAGTATCTGAAGTCTCTTGATCTGGCTAACTCAGGAATTTCAGAACCAATCCCTGACTGGTTCTGGAGTATGTCATCTCAATTCTATTATATGAATTTCTCGCACAACAAAATCTCTGGGAGGCTTGCAAATATTATCTCTGTTGTTGGCACTGACTCATTGTTTGATTTCAGCAACAATCACTTGGAAGGGCCGCTGCCCACGATTTCGTCCAATCTCACTTTGTTAGACCTATCCTACAATCTGTTATCCGGAAATTTGGTCAAGTTCTTGTGTTTCCGTCCTTCTGAAATGCGGACTACTCAGTATCTGAATCTTCGTGGTAATCTTTTGTCTGGTGAGATACCTGGGTGCTGGAAAAATTGGCAGAGTTTGGAGGTCCTGAGACTTGGTAGCAACAAGTTCATAGGAAGAATTCCGAACTCCATCGGCACTTTAATCTCACTTGTGTCTTTACACATTCAGAACAACAGCCTGACAGGTGAAATTCCTTTGTCCCTTGGTAACTGCTCGAAGTTGCTCACTATTGACTTGGGTTATAATGGATTGGAAGGAGAGATTCCAAGGTGGATGGGGATGTCGCTTTCCAGGTTGTCTATTCTGAATTTGCGTGCAAATAAATTTCATGGCAGCATGCCGGTGGAACTTTGCCATCTCCAGTTTCTACAAATTTTGGACCTTTCTCACAACTCACTTTCAGGGAGCCTCCCAGAATGTCTGTCTAATTTCAGTGCAATGGCAACCTCAGATAATACTGATGTTGCTGTAATTTATCTATTTTTTGGAGGGGGTGAAGTGTACAGCGAAAATCAAATTTTATTGACCAAAGGGAGCTTTGTGGATTACAGTACCATACTGAACTATGTAAGAAGTGTAGACCTTTCCTGCAACAACTTATCTGGAGTAATACCAGAGGAGATCACAGACCTAAAGGAACTCCAGTACCTGAACTTGTCGCATAATTTATTCTCATGTAGAATGCCAGAGGGTTTACAGACAATGGAATCACTGGAATCGATGGACTTATCTGTGAACCGGCTAACAGGAGTAATTCCTCCTGGAATTGCAAGTCTGACATTCCTGAGTTACTTGAACTTGTCCTACAACAACTTGAGTGGTGAAATTCCTTCAAGCACTCAACTGCAGAGTTTCGATTCTTGGAGCTTCATAGGAAACCAAGACCTCTGTGGCCCTCCATTGAACAAAGGTTGTAGTGCGAGCATAGCTGTGCCTAGTTCTGGAAATGAAGATGAAGAGGATGAATTTTTATGGTTCTCCATCAGCACGTCCATTGGCTTTGTGGCTGGTTTTGCTGTTACAGTCTGGTCTTTTTTCTTTGGATTATCAAATAATATACCCTGGAGTTCCTGAATCACCCGGGGCACAGATTCTGCAGCTGTATGTATTATCATCCTCTTTTCCTTCCAGTTATCTAGTGGTGGCATCAGTTTGAAACTCTGCTCAGGAGGTACTTCTCCTGAAACTTAATTAATTACAATGTCACATATCTTTCTTTTGTGGCTCATGCTTCAACTTCCTAATATCACTTTTCTCTGTTTGCTAATGGGTTGAAGGAGCTTGATGTGGACAATTATAATGACGACGATGATGAAGGTTAGTAGGACTTTTCCAAGTAAAGTCTTTTTGCTCACTATTTCAATGGTTTTGTAACTTGTTCGTTATTGCTGGTATATTATTTGAAATATACAGAGAGCGAGCTTTTCAGCTCTGGGAGTGGAGACGTTTATTATCCTAGTAATGACCAGGATCCGTATCTCAAGAGTGTAGATGTTAGTCTTACTACTCTCATGCTTTCTTTTGTGGTGTGAACTTGCTTGCATTTGCCTGTGACTGCGTGTCTTAGGATGAATTGTGTTGCGTATGAGCATTCCTACGGGACTGGTGAAGAAAAGAATCTGATTATTCAGCCAAAAGAGTTCCCTGAGTTTATCTTGCTTCATCTGGTTTATCTTGCTGTGTTTTCAGGCCTCAATTCTATACTAAGTAGGAAGTCACACTGACTATGTACTCGGACTCGGTTGGAACAAGCAGTTTTAGGTTTGTCAAATATATTCTGTCTTGGCTTTTATCCTCTCTTCCTTTAAAATTTATCTAACAAGGTCTACAAAAAAATCTACAAGAATATCCTTGTGAGTGCCAGTGCTGACAAGCAATTTAACATCTGGGATGTTGCTACTCAACAATGTAATATCACATGGGCGAATCATAAAAACAAGGCAAGAATGTCCCTTAGCTGATAATTATACTGCCATGCATTAAGATTACATTGTATTTATTGGTATAAACCTGCTGCAAGTTCCTCCTGATTTAACAGTTGTGCTTGTGTGGGTTGTGGACTACAACCTTTCTGTCTCTACAGGTCCAGTTAGTTGCATGGAATCACCATGAGCCACAAGTTCTTCTTAGTTGAGCTTTTGATCGCTCAGTTGTCGTGGTAAATGAATACCCTGTGCAATTTAAGCTTTTTGTTACTAGTGATGCATAAACTACGGTCTATGTCTTGAAGCCAAGGCTCTAGCAATGAGCAACATAATGAGATACTTGTATGGCTTTTGCATACTGCAGAATTATGCTAGGATACATACACGCTCAGGTTTAGCTGGTCAGTTGCAGCTGATGTAGAAAGCTTGGCATGGGATCCACACAATAGTCACTTTATATTCTTCTCTATATGAGAAACGGAACCATCTTACCATGTTCGTTGGGCACTAAAGCGAGAGTTAAAAGAAAATTCCATTTTAGGTGAGTCTTGGAGATGGTATTATTCTCCCTTGTCTTGTCAGAGGGTAGCCCATTTCTCCTGGCTATTGGAGGTTCAAAGGGAACCCTGGAAGTAAGTATATTTCCTACATACCTCTCATCATTCTGTGCGCGATGTCAATGTGAATGAAATGCTGTGTTGTGTTGTGCAAGTTAGTTTGCAAAATCATGATTGAACGTGTATGCTGCTCGAAATTTTGCAGGTATGAAACAGAGTCGGATTTCGAACCGATTCAGGGACTATAATCATAGCAAGCTCTCGACCTCATCTTGAGACGAGATTTGATGGAGTTGTGGTGAAGCAGTGCCATTGCAAGCCGCACCGTAGCGATGTTATGAATCTTCAAAGGTTTGTGAAATGTTAGAATGGTAGTGTTTGCTGGTTTATCATGTGCGGAAGCGGAACAATTTAGTGCAGAAAACCTCTGTTACCATCAGTACATTTCCAGTTGAAGTTTTGTGTAAAGTTTTGGTCTTTTTGGTATTGAAAACTTGCTGGAGAAGACGAAAAAGGTTTAGCGGCAAGCAAGAGCTACGGATTGGCTACATTGCTTGCTTCTACGACCACTAGCTTACGATCTATTTCTTCCAAGTCTTCAATGGTTTCTTTATTGTAGTACATGGTAGATAGCTCCATTAATTTTCTTCCAGAAGAATCAAGCGTCGAAGTCAAAACTAAAGAAACCTAAAATATTCTTCGACTTTTGTAAAGAGAAATTTGCTGCGAGGAAGTGGGTTGTGAAAAATATGTTGGTTGCCGTGGGAGTTGGCATCAACCAACCTACGCAGTTACTATATGGACATAAATGGATATTGGGAAGTAAAAATTCTCCGTGCATTCTCCTCCAACTTATGTTATTTTGAATGCCATTGTTCTTCTACTATATTACAACGTGGGATCTTGGTACATACATTTAAGATTACCTTGGTTTTTATGAATATCCGACAAGTATATAGGGAGAGCAATTTGAGCTTATAACCCTTCAGTGGCCACCAAAAGATATTTCCCAGAATGATAAGCTGGGAGAATCTAACACAAGATCATCATGCTATCAAGATTGTTTTCCTTAAAATGGTAGGCTGTAAAAACTGAACCCTTATAATATAAGAAGAAGTTTCTACAAACATTATAAACAATGACGTTTTCCCCCAACTGAATTAAAAAAGTACATATTTAGCTTCTATGTAGTTAAAATCGCGTTTTAAAATTTAAAACTTATGATTTTACGTTTCTAGGTCACTAAAATGCTTCCACACAAGATCTCAGTTTTTATAACTTATATAGTTAAAAACTCCGCTTTAAAACTTAAAAACTTACGATTTTACGCTTCTAGATCACCAAAACGTTTCTACCTAGAAATTCGCTTTTGACTACATAGCTCTTATTATAATTAGATTGGTTTAACTATACATCGTTTAAAACAAAATCATGCATCTATTTATAACATTCACAGATTCACTCGTATATACAACTTTTTCATTGTATATCAATATTATTAAGCTTTCATCATCGATCATAATATACACATTTTTTTATAATCGCTTTTGTAAGTCATGCTCGCAAGAATTAATATAATATAAATTATTATTTTATCTATGAGATTGAACTCGTCTTTTAGTAGAACTCAAAACATAAAAATTTCTCACATCCAATTAAATTTACAGGGATTTTTAGTGTCAAATTTACTCCACCAAATTCTTAGACAAATATTGCAAAGTGTAACACCTTTCAAAAGGGAAATAAGCAAATAAAAAATCCAAATATTTTGGAATTACATGCTCTCAGCTCTTATAAGAGATTGCAAATTTTACATTTTCTACAATCATGGTCATGGAGCACAATCTTTCTTCATGTGTAATGTGTATATATATATTCGGGATCAGTAAAGCCAGCCAACAAAGCCCACTCTCCAACCTTTGTCGCTGTCCCACTTTCCGGTTTCCAACACCCAATCCGCCCAACAACCACCGCCAACCTCCCTCCGATATGGCAATCTCCGCCGTCTGCTCCCTCAAATCCCTCCTCATCCTCCTCCTAATCTCCGCCGTCCCCGCCGCCTACCTCATCTCCCTCGAGCTCTCCCCGCCCTCCACCCACGTCTTCCAGTACCGCAGCACCGGCGGCTTCCTCCGCGAGTGCGCCAAGTGGGACCCACACGCCGGCCGGTTCATCGTCTCCTTCTTCGAAGGCGGCGTCGGCGAGGTCCGCGTCCCCGAAGACTACTCCCCAGGCGACGTCCTCCGCGAGGTCCAGCTGGCCAAGGACGCCGACGTGGCCGGCAACGCGTCGCTCGGGCTGGTCGTCGACCGTCCGAGGAACCGGGTGGTGGTGGCCGTCGCCGATGCTCTGCGGAACAAGTACAGCGCGCTGGCGGCGTATGATTTGTCCACGTGGAAGCGTCTGTTCCTGACTCAGCTGAGCGGCCCGGGTTAGTATTACCGGCTTTCTCCTCTTCTGCTGTGCTGTCCCTTTCGCTTGGCTTAGTTCTTTTCGCCCGTAAAAGGTTCCCTTTCTTTCTGTTCTTTGGAGCAACGGCCGGCACCGATTAAGACCTGGACCTTCATTAATTAGTAAACAAAACAAAAAGGAATCTTATTAAGAAATTAAATTTTATAAAATTTTAGATCTTTTAATAATCGTTTCCTTCTTAAATTTTGGTGAAATAATCCTTTCCTTCTTAATGGAGTTAACGGCTTTTGCGTTTTGTGCTTTTTCTGATGGGATTTGAAAGTTTGATGTACCAATCTTAATAATAAAAGTGTAAAGGGATTAATCTTTGTATAAGTTCGCAACTGGTTAGTAACTTAATTCGTAATACGGACAATCCAATGACATTAACACTTAATTAATATATTTCATGTATCATAACAATAAGCCATGGTTAACATTAGCTGTTTGTTCATGTGTTTGGGGACGAAAAATGCAACCTGACTTGCTGGGTCAGAGTGACAGGATTGTTCAGAAGAACAAAATGATCGGGATAGAGTAAAAGAGATGGATTCTTGAGTAGTTGACATGGTCTGCCCCACTAACAAAGAAAGAGGTAATACTTTGATAGTGACAAATCTGAGTTAGAATCCTCTATATATATAGTGCAGTGTAATATTTTACAGCGTAATGTCTACTTTTTATTCAAATTTTTCAAATTCATTTATATTATCCAAACCTATCGAAATATTAATATCCAAAGGTTGACTTTTCATTAACAATTTTGTTAGTAATATTGGCTTGGCAACATGATACCGACTTGGAAGATACACATGAAGTTCAATATTCCAAAATTTTAGTATTTTAACTAAGAAAAAGGTTATAAAATTATTAACGATGACGTAAAAAGACTAATATTTTGATACAATACGAAAGATTTGGCCAATTAATAGCATTTTAATAGGTTTGGATAATATAATTCAGAAAAAGATTTGGATAAAAAATAGACATTATCCCGAGGTTAACTTATGTTTAGTGATCTACCAAGTTGCATATTTAATTTGGGACCTCCTACAGTAACTTGGATATATTTCAAGTTAGGTAACTTGCATGGATCTAAATCGTTAAAATCGATCAAACTTATTATAAATCTTTGATTAAAGAAATAAAAATAAAAAATATGTAAAAAAAAATGGCAACAGACGGTTGCCGGTAGGGATGGCAATGGGTCGGGTTGGGGGCGGATAGTGCATATCCGTTACCCTACCCAATGTAGTTCGGGTTTTACCCATACCCGTACCCACATGAGAAACGGGTAGAAAATCAAAACCATGCCCATACCCGTTCGGGTTTCGGGTATCCACGGGTAATAATTTCTCCTTATAATTCCAACCAATATGTTAACATTCACACGTATATTCACATTACGTAAGAGGAAAAGTACGACAATAATTCACTAGAATGACGAAAATTAATTAAAACAATATAATTTCATGAAAATATTATATTTATATGCTAAATATAAAATATTCTAGAGAAAAATAATGATAATTTCTAGACAAAATACATATGCATGTGTATAATCGGGCGGGTTCGGGTTGGATAGTGAGATAACCATGTCCACCCATTACCCGCAATATTCGGGTTCGGGTTTTACCCGTACCCACGAAAAATGCTTCGGGTTCGGATTTTACCCTACCCGATTAGGTCAGATTCGGGTGGATATCCACGGTTACGGATATTTTTGTCATCCCTAGTTGCCGGTCACCAACAAAGCAATTTACCTTTCTTAACTTTTTTTCTTTCCTTTTCGCATTTAATGGTTTTCCTTATTTAATCATTTCCTTTTTTTTTAATTCTGATTGAATTAGAAGCATTACATAAGACTTTCGTAATTACTTAACACTTTACGTAACATAGAGATTACTACTCATTACGTAAAAGGACCTTCCATTATGTAAGGCTTTCGTAATGAACTTTTACAACTGTTACGTAAAATACAAATCCATTACGTAAAGATTACGAAACAATAGTTATTTCTTACGTAACAGTGAAATCAGAAGCGTTATGTAAAGCTTTCGCAATGACTTAGCTATTTACGTAACACGACGTTAATACTCATTACGTAAAGAGATATTCTATTACGTAAGGCTTTCGTAATGACATTTTCCAACTGTTAAGTAAAATACACATTCATTACGTAAAGGTTACGGAATGATAGTTATTTCTTATGTAACAGTTAAATCGGAAGCGTTACGTAAGGCTTCCATAATGACTTAACACTTTACGCAACATGAGGTTAATATTCATTACGTAAAAAGACCTTCCATTATGTAAAGGTTATGAAACGATAGTTATTTCTTAGGTAACAGTTAAATCAATAGCGTTACGTAAAAGTTACGTAATGACTTAGCATTATACGTAATTTGAGGTTAATACTCATTACGTAAAAACACATCCTATTACGTAAAGCTTCTGTAATGATCTTTTACAATTGTTACATAAGATTACAATATGTTAGGTAACTATTACGTAATTTCTATTGTATTTTACATAGTGCAATCTATGAAACTTGCCGTAACAAGTTAAAAATTCAAGTTATCTTATTTCAATTTACCGCAGGAGATCCCTAGGAAATTCCTATTTAATTTACTGTGAGCTGGGACTTGGTACTATACTAGCCGGCCGGCCCATAATTTGAACAGCCTAACTTTTCTTTTATTTAGTTTGGGCATGTGCTACATGATAGGCCTCTTATATTAAACCTCCACATTTGCAGTCCTGCACCAGTTTCATTGATCAGACCATCAAGTCGATGGTTGGCTCAAAAAAAGCTAGTTTAAAATTCATTTGAAATAAATTTTGTTCAGGTAACATATACGAATCAATTCACGAGTTGAGCTCGTTTATTTTGAACTAATGAATTGATTCGATAATATGACTAGCGAGTTAGGCAGCCAGCTTGAATAGCGTCTTGTTAGGGAAACTAACTATAACTCATGACTTGAAATGGGCTTTGTGTGGATGCAGAGGACGGGAAAGCCTTTGCGGACGACGTGGCAGTGGACGCAGAAGGCAACGCGTACGTGACCGACGTTGCGGGCAACAAAATCTGGAAGGTCGGTCCCGACGGCCAACTCCTTTCCACAATCACCCACCCTCTCTTCACTCCAAAACAATGGTACAAATCCCTGGTCGGCCTCAACGGCATCGTTTACCACCCCGACGGCTACTTGCTCGTCATCCACACCTTCACCGGCAACCTGTTCAAGGTCCGGCTTCCAGACGTCAGCGTCGGATTGGTCCACGTCGAAGGGTCGCTGGCGTTCGGAGACGGGATGGAGCTGCTGTCCCCGACTCGGCTCGTGGTCGCCGGTTCGAGCCCGTCGGCCAGGCTGGTGGAGAGCTCCGACGGTTGGGAGACGGCTAAAGTGGTGGGCAGCTTCAAGGGGCCTTCTCATCGGCTGTCGACGGCGGCGACGGTGAAAGACGGGAAGGTGTATTTGAGTCACATGTTTGGGATTGGGTACCCGGAGAAGAAGCATGCGATCGTTGAGGCTGTTTTCTCTGCTTAAATGAATGAATGAATGAAACCCTTTCTGTTTAACTTTAATGGTTTTATATTCATGTTTGTTGTAGTAGGAAACTTGCATTGTTTTGGGTGTGGAGTCTTTTGTTGTATTGAAGTTCAGCAAGGCCGGAGTAGCTAGCTCCCGGTCGTCACACAGCTCTAATTCCCGATGATTTATTAAGTCGCCAAAATTTAACAAATGATAGTAAAAAAATTGTTACATTGAACAAATTAAGTGACTGAACTATCATGATTATAATTTGTCAATCGTAAAAAAACATGACTTTCGGTGACCATTTCATTGTGGTCGCTCGAAAAATGGTCGCTGAATACTAACTTTCTTGTAGTGCAACAAGTTTATAACCAACAAGTTCAGCAATCCTCTAAATGATAGGAGAGATGCTATCGGATGACAAGGTTCGAAAGTACATGTTATATGTTCTTATAAGCTTAGGTATGCAAGGTTTGTTGGATGGATTTTAATCTTTGAGCTCAAAATCATTGACCCCACAACTTATTGAGTAATGGGAAACATTTACTCGCACACATCTGAATATGCAAGGAAGACGGATTGGACTCAAATTATGTTATTTTAAGTAATTTTGGATTTTTTGGTTGAGATCGTGAGATAGAAACATAAGGGGACGAGGGAAGAGTGAGAGAATGTCACGATCGTGATTTTTCAGTTTAGACCGTGAACTACAAACACAAATTTCTAAACTCATGACTATTCTCACTACTGTAAGAATCATAATCGACATTCACATTCCTAATGATATCGGAACAATGCTTACATCTTTTAACATATTATAATTTTGTAGAAGATTTTTGAACTATACTAATTTTTGCCAACAACGTATAACATGCACAAAAATATAAGATGAGATGTTATAATAGTTCATATGGCACCATAAATTAGACAAGAGTACAAATATCATTATTCAGTTACTCATTCCCAATTTGCCACAACACTAGTCCACAATCTTATAGAGCGAAAATTCACCATGCTACTTACAACACTAGCTACAACAATTCTTTTACACCGCTATTAAGTTAGCCAACAAGTCAAACTAGAAATCCGATACAAGTTCTCGAAAAGTCAAAGGTAGGGGTCGTTTGGAAGTTGTGGTTGTTAAATAGATGTATTGTTGAGAATGCATGTATACATGTATTGTCGAAATTGATGCAGTGTAGAATACAACGTTTGGTATGTGTGATTGTGTATGTCGCATCAGCTAAAAGCTGAGACAAAACAATCTCAACTCAACTATCTCAACAATCACAACTAAAAGTTGAGATATAACAATCACTCAAAATGAGTGATATTTCTGTCACATCATAGAAACAATCCATGTATTGTTTCTCCTAAAAAAAAAACAATGCATTGTAAACAATACATGCATAATGACAATCTCAACAAAACAATCGCAACTTCCAAACGACCCCTTAATGTACTGCCCAAAATCGCTGGAAGAAATAACGAGAACGACCGCGATCAGTCAAAATCAAAATCGCCCTGCGGTTCGACGATTTCTTATACTAGGTTGAACCATTCCTGTTAGTAGGGGTGGAAGTTTGGTTTGCGGATTGCGGGTAACCCACAAACCGCACCAAACCACACACTTTGTGGATACCCATACCCACAATTTGTGGATAGTGGGTTGGGTGTGGGTAGCAAAATATTAATTTTTGTGGTTAGTGGTTAACCACTACCCACAGCGGTTTACCCACAAAACCCACATTAACTACATTAGTTATATTAGTTTGTGAAACTTGGAAAACTAAGAATTAAGGTAGCTACTAAAATCAAATACATATTTATTCTATAAAACAAAACCAAGTCAATACGCAATGTTCGTGTGAGATACTTTTATCAAATAAGCATTGTTAGTGTGGTATATGTTTATTTTATAACAAAACCAAGTCCATAGATATAGTCAGAAAAATTAATCAATTCGTTAGAAGAGGTGAATAATCGATAAAGGTTAGTTCGATACCCAAACTCGTCTCCATTTCTCCACAAACTCACGAACAACACAACATGCAACTAGCTACCAACAATACAAGACTATAATCGAGAGTGGAGACTAATCGATTTATTAAAAGAGGGTGACTCCACTTATCGAGCCACTTTTGTGTTTTGTTGTTGTTGCCACCGGAGGAGCCGTAACATGCAACGATGTTTGTTTGGTAACAAGTCACTCCGCCTCTCCGTTATCTTCAAATCTCTTTCCAAATCCATCGCTTCTGAATTTACACTAACTAACCTCTTGTATGCGAGATATATAATTTATCTAACACTTTATTAATGTGAGAAGAAACACATCTCCACTATTTAATTACCATTTTATTTTATTTAATGATGAAATTTTTGTGGATATCCACAACCAACTCACGCTAACCCGCAACGGATAGTGGTTAACCATTACCCAACACGGGACGGGTTGTATGTAGCATAATTCTATATTTGCAGGTGGGGTTACCAGCATAATATGGGGCGGGTAACCACACCCACCCCAATTTCTACCCCTACCTATTGGGAAAATTCTGAACCAAACCCCAGTCAAGCCAACGCCCCCCAAACGGCCAAAACCCCTGGCTCGCGCCCTCCTCGACCTCATTCCCTCTCTCACTTCATCGCGCGCTCGAACTCTCCCAACGATTGTACCCTAGTATCTTCGCTTTCCGTTCCCGCCGTGTTTGCCTTAGTCCGCCATTACTGTTTGTTTGCTCGTAGCCCTTTGCCGCCAATCCATTACCTCATACCCACCGCAACCCCTCTGCCCTTGCCTCTTCGACTTTCTTCCTCTCTTCCAGTCGAATCGCCTTCGCAGTAATTTGGTCTCCCGAAACACCAGATACTGTCTCCTTCCTTCAGCGTTTGGTTCCGACTTCACAGGAATAAGGGTATCCGTTCAACTAGTCCAGCAAAAGGGTTTCTTTCCCCTTTCTAAAAAGGGTCTTTCTTCTTCTTCTTCTCAATGGGTACGGAGAGGAAGAGAAAGGTCAGCTTGTTTGATGTGGTGGACGAAACAGCTGCTGCTAAGCTCACCAAGGCTAACGGTGGAGTGGCTACTGCGGGAGTAAACGGAATCAGCTATAGCGGCTCTGTAAATCCATGGAATGGGAAGCCCTTTTCACAGAGGTACTATGATATATTAGAGAAGAGGAAAACTCTGCCTGTTTGGCACCAAAAAGAGGAGTTCTTGGACGCGTTGAGGAAGAACCAAGTCCTCGTCCTTGTTGGTGAGACTGGAAGTGGCAAGACAACTCAGGTTTGTCTTTTGTTTTCCCTTGTGTTTCTTTCTTGTTTGGTGATATAGAGTTGGGCTGGGTTTGTTTATTTTTACGAGAGTATAGCTAGACTTAGGCAGAGCTTTAGACTTGATGTATTTTAGTGTGGTGGGGGTTTAGCAAATTTCAGAAAGGGGAATTCTAGTTAATGCTGAATCGCTCATGCAGATTCCTCAATTTGTTCTGGAAGCTGTGGGGTTAGAAACTGCAGATAAGAGGCGCAAAATGATGGTTGGGTGTACTCAGCCTCGTAGAGTGGCTGCAATGTCTGTTTCTCAACGTGTTGCTGAAGAGATGGACGTTAGTATTGGCGAAGAAGTTGGTTATAGTATCCGGTTTGAGGACCGTAGCAGCACGAGAACAGTGTTGAAGTGAGTGCTTCTGAAACAATGCTTGTTTTTGTTCCTGAATTATTGTTATGTCCCTCAAGTGCACAACTGATCTTTTTATTTGTCTACCCGCTGACAGGTATTTAACTGATGGTATGCTTTTAAGAGAAGCAATGACCGATCCACTTCTGGAACGCTACAAAGTAATAATCCTTGATGAAGCTCATGAAAGAACTTTGGCAACAGATGTACTTTTTGGGCTTCTCAAAGAAGTGTTGAAGAATAGACCAGACTTGAAGCTAGTTGTGATGAGTGCTACACTTGAAGCTGAGAAGTTTCAGGGCTATTTCAATGGTGCTCCTCTTATGAAAGTTCCCGGTAGGCTTCATCCTGTGGAAATATTCTACACTCAGGAGCCTGAAAGGGATTACCTGGAGGCAGCTATTCGTACTGTTGTTCAGATACACATGCATGAAGGACGTGGTGACATACTAGTTTTCTTAACCGGTGAGGAGGAGATCGAGGATGCCTGCCGGAAAATTTCGAAAGAGATAGGTAATTTGGGTGACCAAGTGGGACCTGTGAAAACGGTGCCCCTGTATTCGACTCTTCCACCAGCCATGCAACAGAAGATATTTGATCCTGCTCCATCTTCTTTGAAAGAGGATGGTCCTCCTGGTAGGAAAATTGTGGTTTCAACAAATATTGCGGAAACTTCGCTCACCATTGATGGCATTGTTTATGTCATTGATCCTGGTTTTGCCAAGCAAAAAGTATATAATCCACGTGTTCGCGTTGAGTCCTTGTTGGTGTCCCCGATTTCAAAGGCGAGTGCACACCAGAGAGCTGGTCGTGCTGGTAGAACACAGCCAGGAAAATGTTTTAGGCTCTATACTGAGAGAAGTTTCAATCAGGATCTGCAGCCACAGACATATCCTGAGATATTGAGGTCGAATCTTGCGAACACAGTTCTCACACTGAAGAAGCTAGGGATTGATGATTTGGTGCATTTTGATTTTATGGACCCACCTGCTCCTGAGACATTGATGCGAGCTTTGGAAGTGTTGAACTATTTGGGAGCTTTGGATGATGATGGCAACTTGACTAAGCTGGGGGAAATCATGAGTGAGTTCCCATTAGATCCTCAGCTGTCAAAGATGCTAGTCATCAGTTCCGAGTTCAATTGTTCAAATGAGATCCTCTCGGTTTCAGCTATGTTATCAGGTTTGTAGTCTTTATCATTCGGTATGTTATTTTCTTGTAGTTGTTCTGAGTCATGTATAGTGGTAGTGCCATTTAAATTGCATACATTATGAAGTTATTTTCAACTGCATTCACAAACATGTTGTTCAAAAGAGTCTATTCAGGTTTTGTCAGAAACTGTCTTGTATTGGTCCATATCCTTACCCTTTGTTCGCATGCACCATAGGGTTCTAAATGAGTGTTGATGCATATAGTTGCAGTTTCTCAGTATTATCTCATCAAGCAAAATGGTGTCGTCTCTCGCCTGTATGAACTCTGCTGACCTACCATGGGGCTCTTCCGTGGTAACCAAATTCTTTCTTTAGTACCCAATTGCTTTGTCCGACCTAGGGAGGCTCAAAAGGTAGCTGATGAAGCAAAAGCTCAGTTCGGGCACAGTGATGGCGATCACCTCACACTGTTGAACGTGTACCATGCATTCAAGCAAAATAGTGAGTATTTATGCTTTCTTCCGCGTCTAATTAGCTAATGTCATCATTTCTCTGACTCATTGCCCTTTATTCCAAACTATTACAGATGAAGATCCGTCTTGGTGCTATGACAACTTTATCAATTACAGGGCACTGAAGAATGCTGATAATGTTAGAGAACAGCTTGCGCGTATCATGTTGAGATTTAACCTGAAGATGTGCAGCACAGACTTTGACAGCAGGGATTATTATGTCAATATTAGGAAAGCCATACTAGCAGGCTACTTTATGCAGGTTGCTCATCTGGAACGTACTGGACAATACTTAACTGTCAAAGATAACCAGGTATGAACTTGCCATCTATTTTCCCCTAAGTTCTTCTATTTTGTCAGTTCCAGATCAGCATGTTCTCTTGGATGACATTTGTCATTAATTGGGATCTCCTATGAATTGCAGGTTGTGAACTTACATCCATCTAATTGTCTGGATCGTAAGCCTGAGTGGGTTGTCTACAACGAGTATGTCTTAACAAGTAGGAATTACATTCGGACGGTGATAGATATCCGTGGTGAATGGTATGTCTTCTTTACATTTCTGCTTATAGTTTCCTTTAGACTTTGCTAGTGTAGTAGGACATGATATTTTTCACGTTTATGGCTTATGTGGTCACGCATTATATTGAGTGGGGGTTTCAAGAATGTGCTTGAGAATGTATTGAGTATTGACCAGTGACCAACATTCGTTCTTGCTGTCTGTCTCTCGTTGACGTGATTTGGAATGATATATAATGACTTTTGCATCCTTCTCTATAAAGATAGATTTATCATACTAATACTGGACAATGCTTGTTTCTGTCAAATGTACAGGCTTGTGGACTTAGCACCACATTACTATGATCTCGAGAACTTCCCACAGTGCGAGGCGAAGCGGGTTCTGGAGAAGCTCTACAGGAAGAGGGGATAGGGGATAGGAAAGCAAGAGCAGCAGGAGATAGGAGTACTGTCTTTCTATCTCCCCCCAATGGATCTTGCTAAAGATATAAAAATTGGCTTGCATTAGAACTGTTTGCAGTTTTAGCCACTCTGTATGTGTATGCAAGCTTGCCTGTTAAGTCCCCATGTTGATGAATTTCGCCAGTCAGTTTCTGCTTTTGGATCTGGAATAGAGAAGTCACCACTTGCCATGTAGTGAAAGAGAGAGAAGTGGCTCTGGGCTCTGGCTGGTTACTTATTTCGATCACCATGCTGCTACTTTGTTATTTATCTTGTCACTGCTGGACAGTGCATTAACCTGGGTATCTATACTTCCCACGGCCATTTTAGCTGCAATTTTATAACACCTTTCTGTTGGATTATGTCAAGCCATGTATTAACTTCCCTGCTGGTGTGTCATTTTATGCCTGAAACTAAAAATAGAGGCTCAATTTACTTTTTTATCGGTTCGTTTTGTGATGAAATTATAGAACAGAGTCTCGGGTGGCATTTGCTAATTACTAATTAGCCTCGGCTCCCTCGGTAATGTGGGCGGGAATTTTCAAGAAAGACTAAACATTTTTATGCTCGTAAAGTACAACACTACAACCCAATAGCCCATATCACCAAGTACCGTGAACGGGTCAGGATAGTCTCACCGATCTGCCGCCCTGTTTCGAAATTTGCCAAAGAAGACGGATTTGTAGCCGAAATTTGCCAAAGACGGATTTGTAGCCGAAATTTGCCAAAAACAGGGACCGCTCCTGTTACCGTCCGACGAACGAATCCAACAAAAACAGGGAGAGGCGAAAGCGGCAGCGCATGATGGCGGAACGGCCGTATTCCGCTGAGTCGCACTCGGCAGATTCTCCAACAAACCAGACATGGGACGACGGCAAATTGAAATGCGATTGGGATGTTCTCCTTTTTTATCAATACAAAGTGGCCACAGGATCTGCCGCAAAGACGGATAGCACACAACAGGAAGACGACAAACAAGATTTGGTGCAGTTGAAGGCTGCAGATTTCCACTGATATAAAGTGAAAAACGGGAGACAAACACGGGGTCTCCCATCAGAAACATGTTTAGTCTTGCCTGCAGTTTTGTGTTTGTGGACTAACTAATCACAATGAACTCATTGTTGACTACTATTCTTATTGTACTTTTAGTTTCAGCGATCTGGATGGGCGGTCTCTGGGATCTTGGTGCAGGCTGCAGTGCAGATGAAAGGGAAGCCCTTTTGAAGTTCAAGGCTGAACTTCATGACCCTCATAGCTGGCTATCAACTTGGGTTGGCCAAGGCGATTGTTGTACATGGTCTCGCGTCGTTTGTGACAACCACACTGGCCATGTTATCCGGCTTCATCTAGGGTTGCCACGACCTTCTTACTTGACCAATTCTGTGCTTAGTGGTAAGCTCAACCCTTCCTTGCTTGAGTTGAAGTATCTTGGTTATTTGGACCTGTCCTACAATGACTTTCGTGGTATTCCAATTCCAAGCTTTCTTGGTTTGATGCCTACTTTGAATACCCTTTACCTTGATGGAGCTGGGTTTGGAGGACTGATTCCTCATCAGTTGGGGAACCTCTCGAATCTGCAGCAACTTGGCCTCAAGGCTGCTGGCCATTATGTGTTGTATGCTGATAGTTTGTGGTGGCTTTCTGGTCTCTCTTCCCTAGAATTCCTTGATTTGAGTAATGTTGATCTTAGTAAGGCTTTCGACTGGTTGCAAATGATAAATACACTCCCATCCCTTTCAAAATTGTATTTGTCAAACTGTCAAATCCTTCATATCCCATCCCTCGCCAATGTTAATATGTCTTCTTCGTTGTCTGTTCTAAATTTGCGTCACAATCAGTTTAGCCAGGCTTCTGTTCCAAGTTGGGTTTTTCAACTTAAGAGCCTTACTTACTTGAATCTAGCTTACAACACTTTTGCTGGCCCGATTCCTGCACAACTTCAAAACCTTACATCGCTCACCACACTTAAACTGGCTTCCAATGATTTCAATCATTCCTTACCAAACTGGCTATACAGTTTACATCATCTGGAGTACCTTGATCTATATGGTAATAAATTGGGTGGCAGAGTCTCAACAACTGGGATTGGAAACTTTTCCTCTCTTGTTCACCTTGACATGTCAGCCAATTATGGCCTCGAATTGGAAAGGGGGATTCCTGAATCATTCAAAAGCTTATGCCGCTTGAGGTCACTTGCTCTGCTACATGTAAAACTGAATCAAAATGTATCAGAGTTGCTTGAAATTCTTGGAGAATGTGCTTCTTATACTTTGCAGGAGTTGTCTCTGGGTAGTTGCCAACTGCATGGTCAGTTGACCGATCGGATTGGCTTGTTCAAGAGACTTAACCATCTCTCTCTCCATAACAATTCTATTTCTGGTCCACTTCCGGTTTCATTTGGAGAAATGACATCTTTGAATTATTTAGACCTTTCCAGAAACAAGATAAATGGGAGCTTTCCAACAAGTTTTGGGGCATTGACAGGGTTGGGCTATGTGGATATCTCTCAGAATGCAATGCATGGTCTTGTACTCCCTGAAATTCACTTAGCCAACCTTACAAAGCTGACCTTTTTTCTTGCTTCTGGAAACCAAATGGTGTTCAAAGCTAAACCAGATTGGGTTCCTCCCAGGCGAATTCAAAGATTGATGTTAGAGTCTTGGAATGTTGGACCTGGATTTCCCCATTGGCTCAAAGGTCTGCAGGATCTGAAGTCTCTTGATCTGTCTATCTCTGGAATTTCAGAACAATTTCCTGACTGGTTCTGGAGCATGTCGTCTCAATTCCATTATATGAATTTCTCGCACAACCAAATCCCTGGGCGGCTTCCAGATGCTATCTTTGTTGTTTACAATGACTCATTGTTTGATTTCAGCTCCAATTGCTTGGAAGGTGCACTGCCCACTGTTTCGTCTAATCTTACTTTGTTGGACCTGTCCAACAACTTGTTTTCCGGAAACTTGGTCAAGTTCTTGTGTTTCAATCCTACCGAGATGAGGACTACTCAGTATCTGAATCTTCGAGGTAATCTTTTGTCTGGTGAGATACCTGGTTGCTGGAAAAATTGGCGTAGTTTGGAGGTCCTAAGACTTGGTAGCAACAAGTTCATAGGAAGCATTCCAAACTCCATCGGAACTTTGACTTCACTTGTGTCCTTACACATTCAGAACAACAGCCTGACTGGTGAAATTCCATTGTCCCTGGGTAACTGCTCTAATTTGCGCACTATTGACTTGGGTTATAATAGATTGGAAGGAGAGATTCCAAGGTGGATGGGGAAAAGGCTTTCCAGACTGTCTATTCTTAATCTCCGTGCTAATAACTTTCATGGCAGCATGCCGGTGGAGCTTTGTCATCTGCAGTTGCTACAAATCTTGGACCTTTCTCACAATTCACTTTCAGGGAGCCTGCCAGAATGTTTCGCTAATTTCAGTGCCATGGCTACCTCAGATAATACCGATGTTGTTGCGGTAATTTATATTTTTTTTGGAGGAGGTGAAGTGTATAGAGAAAATCAAAATTTATTGACTAAAGGGAGCTTTGTGGATTACAGTACCATACTGAACTATGTAAGAAGTGTAGACCTTTCCTGCAACAACTTATCTGGACTGATACCCGGGGAGATCAGAGACCTGAAGGAACTGCATTACCTTAACTTGTCACATAATTTATTCTCAGGCAGAATGCCAGAGGGTTTACAGACAATGGAATCGCTGGAATCCATGGACTTATCCGTGAACCGGCTATCAGGAGTAATCCCTCATGGTCTTGCAAGTCTGACATTCCTGAGTTTCTTGAACTTGTCCTACAATAACTTGAGAGGGAAAATTCCTTCAAGCACTCAGCTGCAGAGCTTTGATTCTTGGAGCTTCATAGGGAACCGATACCTCTGTGGTCCTCCATTGAACAATGGTTGTAGTGTGCGCAAAGCTATGCCTGGTTCTGGAAATGGAGATGAAGAAGATGAATTTCTATGGTTCTCTGTCATCACGTCACTTGGCTTTGTGGCTGGTTTTGCTGTTGCTGTCTGGTCTTTTTTCTTTGGATTATCAACTGAGAAGAAACACATTTCGGAATTCCTGAATCACCTGGGCTACATAATTTTGCAATGGTATTATGTGTGGAAGGACTAGTTTAAAGTCGGGTGGGTCGAGGTGGAAGGTCACAAAGCTTGGAATTTGAGGTTTATCTTGGTGTGACACCAGCTATTGGAACAATATTCAATAGGATGGTAACAAAAACCAAATGTTGAATGCAACCAACAAGTTTTCAGTCTTATTTCCCCTCATTGGCTGCCTTTTGAACTATTGGAAAATGTAAATTTGATGATCCTCTTTGTTTCATTTTGAACTCTTGGTGTGTTGAAATGTTCGTTTCTTGGGTGTGGATTAAAAAATTCGTTTTGTGATGATGTATAAATAATATGATGGAAGGTTACGAAGGCTGCTCTAAATTCCAGAGGTTATTGTGGCATAACTTTCTTTAATATAGCTGAAGTTTATGGCTCTAAGGCGAGACCAGGCTTCTGGTTCTGCTTTTGTTTCTTTCTGGGGATGAACATTGCGAGTTACTGATGACTTTTGCCTATCATCCCCTTTCTCTTCCAGTTATCATTTGATGCCATCAGTTCTGAAACTCTGCTCAGGAGGTACTTGTCCTGAAACATAACTAATTACAATGTGGCATGCTTTTATTTTGGGGTGTATGCTTCAACTTCCAAAAATCAATTATCTTTGTTTGTATGTAGATTCAATTTTCTTTCCTGGCTTATGCTTCAACTTCCAAAGTTCAATTTTCTACAGATTCATCAGTGAAAGGAAAATATCAAAACCAGAAGTGGAAGTGGCATTGCCACCGAGTTTGCCGCGTTGCCATGGAGGATGGGATGTCATAGTGTCCTATGTGCACTCAAGGATTTCCGAAGCTGTCTTGGACTGTCCTTGGTTGAACTGTATCAGCTCCTCTGGTGTGCAGTTTCCTTCAAGTTTATGTCTGGTTAGAGGTTCCTATTGGCGATCGCTTCTCCAATGCAGTTTCTTCTGTCAGTATCGTTCAAGGCCTGGAGAGTGGGGAAATGAAGGTATTGAGATTGCTGATCCACTAAAAAGAAGAAAAATAAAAGGCGAAGAGTAACGGCAACAAGTGATTGAGTTCAGTAGTTCCTCATAGAAAATTATTGACTCTCGCATCACTCCGTCCTCGAGCCCGAGCTTTTAGTTTTTTTTACAGTACTATCCTCATTGACTTCGGCTTTAGTAATAACTAAATCGTCTTTCTTAAAATCCTGGAAAATAAGGGTGTAGAAGAAGCTCAGTTCATTTCAGGTTGAATTTCAGGATATATAGATGCTCTCGGAGATGCAGTTGAACATGGCCTAGTCAAAGCTGTTGCTATTTCATACTACAGAGGTAATTCTCCAAGATCAAATATTCTACAGTGGTATTCCAGACTACCAAAATTTATGTAGATGGTTTTAATTTTTAAAGGGGCTTCTCAAATGGGTGCGGAGGAAGATAAAGGTCAGCTTGTTTGACGTGGGGGACGACACATCTGCTGCTAAACTCACATGGAATAAGCTATAGTGGCTCTACAAAGCCATGGAATGGGAAGGCATTTTCACAGAGATACCAAGAAGCTCTGCCTATTTGGCACCAAAAAATATGAGTTCTTGGACGTGTTAAGGATGTATTAGGTTCTCATCCTTGTTGGTGAGAACGGAAATGGACAAACTACTCAGGTTGGTCTTCTTTTTTCCTTGTATTTCTAGTTCACTAATATGTGGTTGAACTGGGTTTTGTTTATTTTCATGAGAATACAACTACATTTAGGTAGAGCTTTAGACTTGATGATGCATTTCTCTGTGGTGGGAATTTAACACATTTTAGAAAGGAGACTCTAGCTAATACAGGATTGCTTGTACAGATTCCACAATTTGTTTCGGAAGCTGTATGGCGTTAGAAACTTTGAATAAGAGGCGCAAAATGATGGTTGACTATACTCAGCCTCGTAGAGTGGCCTACAATATCTTAACTCGTATGTTAGTACTGGCGAAGAAGTCGGGTTATAGTATCTGGCTTGAAGACTGTAGCAGTGCAAGAACAGTTTTGAAGTGAGTGTTTCTGAAACAATGTTCCCTTCCCCATAAAGGTAGACTGATGATACAACACCAGATGATGCTTGAAATCTTTCATCTTACAGCCTTGTGGACATGGCACTACATTATTATTGAGCTTGAGAACTTCCCCCCAGTGTGACGCCAAACGAGTTCTGCAGAAGCTCTACAAGAAGCAGGAGAGTGGAGAGGAAAGCAAGAGCAGTAGAAGATAGGAGCCCAGTTGATTTTGGATCTGGAATGCAATAGAGAAGTTACCATGTAGTGAAATAGAGAGAAGTGGCTCTGGCTGGTTTAGTCATTTCGATGACCATGCTGCTATTTTGTTAGTTTTTGAACTTCGGGTTGTTATACTTCAATTTATACAATCTTTCTGTTGTGGATTATGTCTAATCATTGCATCAACAATCCTTTATTTTCCCAATTCTAGGATTTGACACAAACTTTATCCAAATCGCCCGAGTGACGTGGGCCGGATATTTCAGATTTGGCCCTTGTGGTCTTGTGTTTGGGCTATCTTGCTCTGATGATGCACTTCTTATACATCTCCTTTGCGTGATACCAAATGAAATGAGGAGAAAACAAGAAGACGTTGGAATAAGTCGGCGGATTCTCCAAGAACAGAACAGAGGGCGGCATATTGAAGAGTTTTTATGCGACCGGGAAACCTTCTCTTTTTTGTTCAATACAATGACCACAGGATCTGCCGGAAAGATGGATGGCGCACAAGTCGGACGATAAACCAGATCCAGTGCAGTTGAAGCCTGCACATTTCCGATGATATGAAGAGAAAATGTGAGACAAAAGTTGTATATTCCCTAAAAGTACTAATGTGTGCATTTTCTGTTAGCTGACTAACCAATCATCATGAACTCATTGTGGACTGTAGTTACGGTACTTTTAGTTTCAGTGATCTGGATGGGTGGTCACTGGGATGGAACTCTTGGTGCAGGCTGCAGTGCAGATGAAAGGGAAGCCCTTTTGAAGTTCAAGGCTGATCTTGAAGACCCTCGTAGCTGGCTATCATCTTGGGTTGGCCAAGGGGATTGTTGTACATGGTCTCGCGTCGTCTGTGACAATCACACTGGCCATGTTACCCAACTCCATCTAGGGTTGCCGCGACCTTCTTACTGGCTTAATTCTGTGCTTAGTGGTAAGCTCAACCCTTCCTTGCTTGAATTGAAGTATCTGGGTTATTTGGATCTGTCCTACAACGACTTTCATGGTATTCCAATTCCAAGCTTTCTTGGTTTGATGACTAGTTTAAATACCCTTTACCTTGATGGAGCTGGGTTTGGAGGACTGATTCCTCATCAGTTGGGGAACCTCTCGAATCTGCAGCAACTTGGCCTCAAGGCTGCCGGCCATTATGTGCTGTATTCTGATAGTTTGTCGTGGCTTTCTGGTCTCTCTTCACTAGAATACCTTGATTTTAGTAAAGTTGATCTTAGTAATGCTTCTGACTGGCTGGACATGATAATCACTTTGCCATCCCTTTCAGAATTGTATTTATCACACTGTCAAATTCTTCATATCCCGCCCCTCGCCAATGTTAACCTGTCTTCTTCGTTGTCTGCTCTAAGTTTGTATCACAATCAATTTGGTCAGACTTTTGTTCCAAGTTGGGTTTTTCATCTTAAGAACCTTACTTACTTGAATCTAGCTTACAACACATTCGCTGGCCCGATTCCTGCACAACTTCAAAACCTTACATCACTAAGGACCCTTGACTTGTCTTTCAATTATTTCAATCATTCGGTGCCAAACTGGCTTTACGGTTTGCATCATCTGGAGAAGCTCGATCTATACAGTAATAAATTGGATGGCAGAGTCTCAACTGAGATTGGAAACCTGTCTTCTCTTATTTACCTTGATATGTCAGTCAATTATGGCCTTGAATTTGAAAGGGGGATTCCTGATTCATTCAAAAGCTTATGCCAGTTGAGGTCACTTTCTCTGCAATATGTAAAACTAAATCAAAATGTATCTGAGTTACTTGAAATCCTTGGAGTATGTGCTTCTGGTACTTTGCAGGAGTTGTCTCTGCCTAGTTGCCAACTGCATGGTCAGTTGACTGATCGAATCGGCATGTTCAAGAATCTTAACCTTCTCAAGCTCCAGAACAATTCTATTTCTGGTCCACTCCCGATTTCATTTGGAGAAATGAAATCTTTGTACCATGTAGACCTTTCAAGAAACAAGATAAATGGAAGGTTTCCAACGAGTTTTGGGGCACTGGCAGGTTTGAGTTATGTGGATATCTCTCAGAATGCAATGCATGGTGTTGTTCTCCCTGAAATTCACTTTGCCAACCTCTCAAAGTTGGCTTACTTTTTTGCGTCGGGAAATCATATGGTGTTCAAAGCTAAACCAGATTGGGTTCCTTCCAGGCATATTCAAATGCTGAACTTGGAGTCCTGGTATGTTGGACCTGGATTTCCTCATTGGCTCAACGGTCTGCAATATCTGAGTTCTCTTGATCTGTCTAACTCTGGAATTTCAGAACCAATTCCTGACTGGTTCTGGAGCATGTCGTCTCGATTCTATTATCTGAATTTCTCGCACAACCAAATCCTTGGGCAGCTTCCAGATGCCATCTTTATTGACGGCTACGAATCATTTTTTGATTTCAGCTCCAATTGCTTGGAAGGTCCACTGCCCACTGTTTCGTCCAATCTTACTTTCTTGGACCTATCCAACAATTTTTTTTTTTTTTTTCCAAGAAATGTCAAAAGAGAGAACTATACAAACTACCCGAACACCTCCCAACCTATTACATCAATGAAGCCACCCAACAAAATCGAAAGAACATAACTCAAGAGGAGAAAGAAGCAGGGCTCTCTGCGCCACTCTATGGGCAGCCCTGTTAGCAGTCCGAGGCACTGCTCTAAACTCTAAGGAGACAGAAGCAGAAGCAAGGAGAAGGAAGCAATCCCGAAGCACTGGTCCTCCTAAGGAATCAGAAGAATCACCCTGACGAAGCTATCCAACAATTTGTTGTCCGGAAACTTGGTCAAGTTCTTGTGTTTCAATCCTGCTGAGACAAGGACTACTCAGTATCTGAATCTTCAAGGTAATCTCTTTTCAGGTGAGATACCTGACTGCTGGAAAAATTGGCAGAGTTTGGAGGCTCTTAAACTTAGTAGCAACAAGTTTATAGGAAGAATTCCAAACTCCATCGGAACTTTAACCTCACTTTTGTCTTTACACATACAGAACAATAGTCTGACTGGTGACATTCCCTTGTCTCTTGGTAACTGCTCTAAGTTGCTCGCTGTTGACCTGGGCTATAATGAATTGGTAGGAGAGATTCCAAGGTGGATGGGGAAGCGGCTTTCCAAATTGTCTATTCTTAATTTGCGTGCAAATAAGTTTCATGGCAGCATGCCGGTGGAGCTTTGCCATCTGCAGTTTGTACAAATCTTGGACCTTTCTCACAACTCACTTTCAGGGAGCCTGCCAGCATGTTTGGGTAATTTTAGTGCCATGGCTAACTCAGATAATAGTGATGATGCTGCTGTAATTTATATTTTTATTGGAGGAGGCGAAGTGTATAGGGAAAATCAAATTTTATCGACTAAAGGGAGCTTTGTGGATTACAGTACCATACTAAATTACGTAAGAAGTGTAGACCTTTCTTGCAACAACTTTTCTGGAGTAATACCAGGGGAGATCACAGACCTGAAGGGACTTCACTACCTGAACTTGTCACATAATTTATTCTCAGGTAGAATGCCAGAGGCGTTACATAAAATGGAATCACTGGAATCTTTGGACTTATCTGTGAACCAGCTATCCGGAGTAGTCCCTCCTGGACTGGCAAGTCTGACTTTCCTGTGTTACTTGAACTTGTCCTACAACAACTTGAGTGGTAAAATTCCTTCAAGCACTCAACTGCAGAGCTTTGATTCTTGGAGCTTCATAGGGAACCGATACCTCTGTGGCCCTCCATTGAACAATGGTTGTAGTGTGCGCAAAGCTGTGCCTGGTTCTGGAAATGGAGATGAAGACGATGAATTTCTATGGTTCTCCGTCATCACGGCACTTGGCTTTGTGGCTGGTTTTGCTGTTACTGTTTGGTCTTTTTTCTTTGGATTATCAAACAACGTACTCTGGATTTCCTAAATCACACCGAGCACAGATTCTGCAGCTGTATTATGTGAGGAGGGAAAGTTAAAGTTAGGAGAGTCGGAGCTGAACAACTTTCAATGGGATGGTGGAGCACTAACCAGAGCTCAACAGCATCACCCAAGACCATATATGTATCCTGAAGATCAACCTTGGCATGAACTCAGCTTCTTCATTACCAGAAACACACCAAATCAGAACCAGTAACCAGGTCCCTCCTTAGAACCATGAACTTCAGCTGTATTAATTAAGTTTATACCACAATTAACACTGCATATTTGAAACAACCTTAAAAATCCTTCATGTACAGCTGCTGTGTTAGTAAAGAAGCGAAATGCAGAGGAAAATGATGTCAAGGCGGCATTTTTAATGAACTAGGAGTCACTTTGATCCCCTAGAGTCCAATTGCTCAAGGTGGTCTGTTTGTTGGTTTCTTCTTTGTTCAAGCTCGTCGGTAGAAACTGGTGGTCCTTTAAGAAATAGAATGATCTCTCAACTTGTGCGACAAAAAGCTTGAAAAAAACAGAGGAAAAAGGCAGGATGCCAAAAAACAAGCAGGGATCAATTAACTAAGCATTCCTTATACCTCTTGGCAGCTTTTTAATGGTACACAAACATTAAACAATCGTGTAGCAGCCGGCTGCTGTAGCTTTGCAGCACATTGATATGATGATCTTCTCTTCTCTCAATCAACTTGGCGCCCCATATTTCCACCAACCCCCTCTTGTCCTATATTCAAATGATTTTAACACTAAACTAGTTTCATTCATTCCACTTGGTTGCCATTATTAATACATCTCCCCCAAGCTCCTTACCTTCTCATCCCACCAGTCTCTGCTCTTCTCTTCCACCATGGCGCCAAACCAGACCACATCTCTTCTCTCGAACGACGAATCGAACCACGACACCCGCCGCAATGCCAGAACCCACCCGGGCACCAACCCATTCATCTTCACAGCACTCATAGCCCTCAGCTGCGTCGGCCTTTCCGCCGCCTCTGCTTTTGGCTTCCTCTACTTCTCTACTTCTTCTTCAACTACTCACTCGGCCCAGAAACTGTCTTCGATCGAACGAACCAGCCGGCCCAGCTCGAAACTCCCCCGCCCGGTCGTGATCATGATCTCCGCGGACGGGTTCCGGTTCGGTTACCAGTTCAAGACCGCGACCCCGAACATCGACCGGCTCATGGCCGAGGGAACGTCGGCCGACCGGGGTTTGATCCCGGTCTACCCGACCCTCACTTTCCCCAACCATTACTCCATCGTCACGGGGCTCTACCCTGCTTACCACGGCATCATAAACAACTACTTCGTCGACCCGGCCACCGGCGACGAGTTCACTCTGGCCAGCCACGACCCCAAGTTCTGGCTCGGAGAGCCGCTGTGGGAGACGGTGGCCAACCACGGCCTGCCCGCTGCTGCTTATTACTGGGCTGGAGCTGAAGTGGTGAAAGGGAGCTGGACTTGTCCTCCCCAATTCTGCCCCAAGTACAACAGCTCGGTGCCATTGGAGGAGCGAATTGATACTTTGCTTAGCAACTTCGATTTGCCGCTCGAGGAAATCCCTATTCTCATGAATCTCTACATTGAATCTCCTGACGCACAGGGTCACCAGGTAACACACATTACAATCATTTTGTTAATTTCTTGTGCACGTACTTGTGTAGTCTGTAGACGAAGAACGGAGGAAAAATGGTTCTTTTGCTTGAGGGCAGAGGAGAAACAGAGTGTTTTGGACAAGGGTCAAAGTTGGAAAAAGGAATAAAAAGTTATTTAAAACTAAAGAATAAAAAGAAAGTAGATTAGTGTAGTGATAGGTGATGACATGAGTCATAATCCATGAACAATGCACATTTTGTCGTATTTAAAATAATTAATTAGTTATTTGGCTCCAAATTTTGTTCAAAATTTTTTAAATAGATGATATTGTAAGGGTAATATTCATCCAATTTTTTAATAGATCGGTAATTATAATGGTAAATCATTTTCATCGTGAAATATTCATTTTTCAAATATCAAAACCAACAAAAAAAACATAACTTTTTATAAAAATTTACGGATTCAGTGAATTCATCATGTTCTCTAAATGACCTCTGATGGTTATTTTAGCTCCATTATTTTTCAAAGATAAAAATAATTAAAATTTCAAAATAATGAATAGTATCGGTCCAATGTCTAAAGTGATGGTCAATTTTAATAATCAACAATTTTCATCTTGAGTAACCCATTTCCCAAACCATTGCTAGTTTTCCAAATCATATTACAAATGATTTTGGATGGTTTGGAATATGAGAGTCTGGAAACTCTGAAAGATTAAGAGTGTAACGGTAAGGAATTAAAAGAAAATGTTATTGGATTTATTATAGCAATCAACATCAAGAAATGGAATTATAAGTCAAGGATAACTATAGCTTTCATAATCATACGATTTATTATAGCAAAAATAATTTATTTTATATCGTAGAGAAATAAATTGAAAAGAAGACTTTTTGGCTTGATATTTTATGAATGCTAACGGAAAATCCTGTTTCAGGTTGGGCCCGACGATCCACAAATAACCGCAGCCGTGGGCCGAGTGGACTCGCTACTGGGCAGGCTAATCACCGGGCTGGAGCAAAGGGCCCTATTGGACGAAGTGACAGTGATCTTCGTAGGCGACCACGGCATGGTCGGCACGTGCGACAAGAAATACATCTACATCGAGGATTTCGCGGAATGGATCGACATCCCGGAAGAATGGATCATGTACCACACTCCGGTCCTCTCCATCCGCCCTCCGGCCGGCGTCGACGCCGCCGAGGTAGTCTCCAAGATGACGGAAGCGCTGGAGTCGGGGAAACTGAACAACGGCGGCAGCCTGAAGGTTTACCTGAAGGAGAACCTGCCAGCGAGGCTGCACTACTCCGACAGCGACAGGATCACGCCCATCATTGGGATCGTGGCGGAGGGTTACACGGTGGAGCAGCGGCGGGTGGCCGGCGAGGAGATGTGTTGGGGTTCCCATGGGTATGATAACGCGGCGTTTTCAATGAGGACGATTTTCGTCGGGAGGGGGCCGAAGTTCGGGAAGGGAGTGGTGGTGCCGTCGTTTGAGAACGTGGAGCTTTATAATGTGGTTACTTCGATTCTGGGGATTTCCGGGGCTCCGAATAATGGGACTTCGGGTTTTGTCAACACCGTTCTGCGGAGAAGATGATGAGTGGGTTTCTCCTTAAGCAAATGAGTTTGAGACTTTGAGCTACTGTGTGGAGCAAGAACTAAATAAAAAAGAGTGTGCAGATGGTGATGATCAGTGTCAGCAGTTTATGAAATTTCATGAGGAAAAATGTATGAATTGCTTGTAATTTTAGACAATATTATCATATGAAATAAACATCGATGATAAATATATGAAAAATGATAATTAAAGTCTAATTATAATTAGGCTGCACATGATCTAACAACATCAACTTTGTGCATACCCCAATCAACCACAGAACCAAACCCCTCTAATTGCAAAGAATTGGAATCTTATATCCACCTTCTGGCCGGATTTCCAAGGGTGGATCGTTTGATTTTTCATTTCTATTGATAAGTACACTTTGTCACCTTTGACTTTTCAGAAAAGCTCACCCTTAATCACTCTTTTATGAAGGTCCATATGGTAAGTTTTGAAATCTACGTGTATAGTTTAAAGGGGCCTAATAGCTCTCCAAAGCGGTCAATTTGATAAGAGTGTTGTGGTATATGATTCACGATTGAACCTCTCTCAACAATTCGAGTTATTGGGACCAACTGATTTATGATAAAGAGCACGATTGAAATTCCAATCAAATGCATTGTGTTAGTTAGATGAATGGTCCGACCCAGAAAACATACTTGTTCTGGAAGGAAAAAACTTATGCTCATCAAATTTGTAGCTAATTGGGCAAATATTTCTTGGACCTTAACGTTTATCATTTATCCATTAAAAAAATTGTATTTACCGTGGTCCAGGTAATTTCTGGTTATTATTATCGGTGGATTGTGAAAATGATAGTTAAAAGTGACAGTATTAATCTGACTTACCAATCCAATCTAATTTATCACATTAAATATGTAAACTTATGTAACTGATCATATTGGTACGGCTACATTATGTTAGTGATATATGTGGGATTTATATGTCATCATAAGTTAATAGTATGCTCTATGCTCAAATGTTTGGTATCGATTATGGATTAATATTAAACATTAATAATTAATTAAGAAAATATAAATATAATTAATCATCAATTGCGTTCGTGAAATTATGTACATGTTATATGCTTTACATATATTTTTTTTTTGATAAATGAGGAAATTTTATTGAGACGAACAAAAAGAAAATAAGAAAAAAATTCAACCAACAGTTGAAAAGAGCAAGGAAAGAAACAAAACTGACAACAACAACGAAAAAACACTAAGAAAAACCCCAAAGATGAGACGAAAACTTAAACCAAGAACGACACAAAAAGAGAAGACTAAAAAAACAAAGAAGAACGCTCCTCAACTGATACTACATTACAACAAAAACCTTTGAAAAACATGATAAGTCCACATGATTAGTACGTACTATACAAGTATTAAATAGCACGAGAAGAAACAGTCGTACATCATCTCAAATATCTCACGGAATGAGCTTGTCTTCCCTCATGGAGTCGATCCAAAACGACACTGACTCAGCCATTTCTCGCCTCGTCGTGAAACCCAGCCGGTCGGACTTCTCCCGGCTCCCTAGCAGCTTGATCGGCATTCGGAACAACTGATCCAAAAACTCCCAGCTCGCCAGCTCCCCAATCTCCGTCGCCACCAGCCCTTCCTCCGCCACAATCCCATCCCAAACCCCCTCCATCCCGCCCATCGCCGCCGCATACCTAAACTCCTCCGGCGCCAGAGCCTCCTCCGGCACCGCCACCCCCATCTTCTCCCCGATAACCGGCCACACCTCCCTCCACGCGAAACCCGACCCGTTGACCGAGTTCAACGCCTGCCCGCCCGTCGTGGATCGCACCCTCTCATCCGTCGCCGCCCAGATGTGCTGATCAGCAACCAACCGGGCATCCGACCCGTCAATGCACTCCTCCTCCCAGCATTCCCTCGTCCCTCCGAACACAAACGGCAGGTCCAACCTCCGGCAAATGGTCCCGTACACGGCCAACCCACCAATCACGTTGTAGATAGACTTACTCGAATTCCCGACCACCAACCCTGGCCGCAGAACCGACCAAGCCACCGATCTACCTCCCAACGACATTAATTTCTCCTTCAACAGATCCTCCAGAGAGTAGTAGAAAAGAAACCCTTCCGTGTCTCTGGGGCTGTCCTCGTCGTACGGGCGGCCGCGAAGAATGCCTTTCGCCGTACGGTAATGATCGAGCCCGGTCTGAAGCGAGACGTGCTTGAGCGAGTTGGAGCGGAGGAGGATGGGTTCGAGAGCGTTGGAGAGCATGGCTCGGTTCTGGTCGCAGCACTGTTTTGTGCGGTGAGGGTGCTGGCTGGCCCAGGTTACCCAAAACAAGTGGGTCGCGTTGGGGATCGCGGACAGCTTGGCTCGGGTTTCGACCGGGTTTAGAAGGTCGCAGGGTATGAAGTGGTAGTCATCATCGGCAGTACTACTGGACCGGAGCGGGACCCGGTCCGGTCTTCGGGCGACGCCGTAGACTTTCCAGTCGGGGTTGGAGATCAGCTTCTTGGCTATCTCCCTTCCGACCATTCCCGTTACTCCGAAGATAACGGCCACGTTGTGGGAAGCAGACGCTTCTTGGTTTTGTGGTGATATGATGTTGGATGCCATTGGGACAACGAGAAAAATGGGAAGCAGAGCGGGGTTATGGTGGAGATACCCAAGTTTGGAGCTTTCTACCTTTCATTATAACAATTATCAAGTGCTTGCTTGTTAGTTGTTACAAACAAAAATTATCGAAAATATTTGAGTTGACTATCGATGAATGATGTCATGACATCAAGGGAGCCGGCCGCCCGGCCGGCCTATATGGTTATATAATAGAAGCTAGTGACACATATAAATGCAGAATGGCATAAACTATGCATCATATAATACTAAACCAATAGCTATTGTGCTGTGTATACGCACCAGTTCCATATAACTATAAATGCAGGCACCAGTTGACTTGGAGATTTAAAACCTAATAATTAAAGGAGTTGACTTTTGAATATACTAACTGTGATTTCATGAAAAAATAGCCACTAGAAATAAAATTATATAATATTTTTATATAGCTTGATTTAATGATGCTCCTGTACTATACAAATGAATGTACGGTTGTTGAAGCATTGTTGATGCAAGGAGGATCCTTCTGGGTAGCATGGATATGCAGAAACTAGCTGATCGAAGAGGCGTACGACCTGGGAAATGATTGACTGACAATCTGGTTATTGGCTATGGAGGAAGCTGTTAAAGATGATGACATGGTTTCAATTCCGAATGCAACAAGAAGATAATGGTTCAGTAAGCTGAGAAGGGCAAGAAATTGCAAAAAGCCAGAAACTTGCTATTAAAACGATCTGGGAAACTATCAGACCTAAGCAGCCAAATGTGGAATGGGACAAGGCGATCTGGGGGAAAGTTTGTTGTTCCTAAGTACAGAGTCATAATTAACCTGTTTTGTACTTTTGAACATAATCAAAAGACTATTTGTTCCCAATAAAAAGAATGGGGCTATGTTGATTGTGACCTCTGCGGCCTTTTTGCCAGCAAGCCTCGGAGACTAGAGAACACCTTTTTTGTCAGTGCTTATTTACGCGTGTAATTCTGAAGAAAATTATCTTGACTACGATGTGGCCTAATCAATGGGATGAAATGGTAGACACTCTCTGCAGATTAAACAAGAATAGCAGCATGATTGGAGTTCTGTGGAGTTGATACATAGCAGTGGCGTGGAAGGAAAGATCGATGTAAATTGTAAAGGGATTTTCCAGAAGACAAGCAGGGTAGGTAGCATAGGAGGTCTTCTGCCAAATCAAGCAAGAACTGCAGCTTAAGTGTATGTGCAACTCTGAGTTTCAGGAATCTCTAGTTAGCTATTTTTAGTTTTTTTAGAGTTTTTATTTTGTACGAAGTGTTTGAGAGTGGTGCCTTGGTAACTCTGTATAGTTTGTATGATTGTACTGCTGTAGTTAGGGGTGGGCAACGGGTGGGTTGGGTGGGTTTTGATCTCAAATTGACCCACCCGTTTACTAGTGGGTTGGAATAATTGTGACCCGCAATCCACCCACATACTTCTGCGGGTTGGGTTGGGTGGGTGGCGGATGGGTGCGGTTGGGTTGCGAGTCGACCCGCAAAAGCAATTCTCCAACTAGCAATTAAGAAAGTTGACTAACATTTATAATAAGTTCATAGCAAATTAGTAAGACTGTATCAATAATTTATGATTTTGATACAATTAATAATGTATAGTTTTTATCCTAATATTTAATGGTTATTAACAATAATCTGCATACTAATATCTAATATTGCACAACACAATGACCAATAATAGTAGTCAAAACTATTATTGATTCTCCACTTTTTGAAGTATATGGTCAGACTGTAGTGCAGTTCGAAAATATGATGAAAATATGATACTATAAGAAACGACATTTTTTCATGTAAAAATAGGATGTGGGTCATATGGGTGACCCGCAATCCACCCACCACCCACCCACATAAGTGCGGGTGAGAGATTTACCAATTCGCAATCCACCCACATCAATCACCCACTCCGTGCGGGTCGGGTTATTTGCGGGTGGATCGATATCAATCCGCGGATTAACCACCCACGTGCCCACCCCTAGCTGTAGTAGCTGCTTATGTAGTTTGTCTTTTCGAGGATCTTGGCTTTTTTTTTTTTGTCAAGGATGAGCTAATACGAGACAAAAATTATCGAAAAATATTTAGATCCAACCTTGATTGGACGCAAAAAACTTTGTTTGGACGCAGAAGCTCCAACCAGCCACGTGTCAGTTTTATATTTGTGATTTCATCATTTTTTAATATTTTAATTCTTGATTTACTTAGCATAATTAAATATCAAGAAAAAAGGAAGGTGAATCATCCAATAACAAACTGACACCTTGGATGATTGGAGCTTTTGCGTCCAACCAAGATTGGAGCTAAGAATTTTCCACAATTATCGGGGGATGAATGTACGTCGTGAAAATTTGGATATAGTTGTAATTGGGAATCTAACAATATAAAAATATCATTATGGGAAACACCATTAAAACAACTAAATTTGCTTCAACTGCATTTTTAAAAAAAAAGGGTGATATAATCTTAACGCGGCGTTTTCGATGAGGACGATTTTTGTCGGGAGAGGGCCGAAGTTCGGGAAGGGAGTGGTGGTGCCTTTGTTTGAGAATGTGGAGCTGTATAATGTGGTTATTTCGATCCTCGGGATTTCCGGGGCTCCGAATAATGGGACTTCGGGTTTTGTCAACACTGTTCTGCGGAGAAGATGATGAGTGGATTTCTCCTGAAGCAGATGAGCATGAGCTTGAGCTACTGTGTGGAGCAAGAACTAAATAAAAAAGAGTGTGTGCAGATGAGTGTAAGCAATAACTAAATAATTTGTGAAATTTTTATGAATGAAAATGTATGGTATACCTATAATTGTAGACTATATTATCATATTAAATAAATATCGATAATTAAAGTTTAAAATATATATATATATATAGTCTAATTTAATTAGGTCGCGCCTTGATCAAACAATACCAACTTTGTGCATACACACCCCAATCCAACCCTTGAACCGAAAACATCTATATGCGTAAGAATTAAAATTTTCTAAGTATACTCGTCGTCTTGGTTTTGCAGATCGAGAAGCTCATCTCTAATCTATCTTCCATGATGGTCCACGTGGTAAGCCTTAATTTGACTATATTTTAAACGGTGGACGTATGATTTGTATGATCCTTGTCCAAGTTGACGATATAAACACATATATTGTTTCGAAGTTTTCTTTTTAATTTTTTGGGGCTAATAATCATTGTTATCTTACAAAAATTAACACGAACACTATTAACATAAACAAAGTTATATGTCTGAATGGTATAAAACTAGGAGGATTCTTCATTGCGAAGGCGAAGAAGAAGACAAACTGAGGATGAAGATAGAGATATCTATCTATCTGTACTATATATTATGACAATTCAAAAGCAATCTTCTGCCACATAAGTACATGGAGGATCTATAATTTGTCAAGTTGGACAACTTTTTGACAAACAAAAAAATTAGTTATTAATGTATTTATGGAGCTACCTCTCTCTTCTTTAATATTCCATTTCTTTTATCCATTTTTTTTCTTTAATAATAAGTTACATGTTGATAAACTTAACCAAACACACATAAATAATAATTTTTTTGTCCAGTAAAAAAAATAATAAATCAGAAACAGAAAGTAACATATACCACATTTGTTTAAATAAAAAAATATCTAATTAAACCTTACGAAGTAAAAACTTTTACTCATTGTTACTAAAATGGAATGATAAGTTACATTTTGATGAAAAAATTAAACAAACATACACATAAACAATAACGTTTTTTCGATTAAACAGAATTTATATGAAAAGAGAGAAAATAAACATTTGACATTCAATTACCTATGAAAAATAAACTATATTACAGTATATTTTGTTGCAATGAAACACTCTCTTATTCGTAAATTATATGTCTATAAAATAAAAAAATTATTATTTAGCAAAATGTCAGAGTATAATCTTGATCGAGTAGTTATAGTTATTTATTTCAAAAAGACTTCTTATTGCTCAGATCATTTTCTACCTTAAACTCCTCAAATGAAGAGAAATTGCATGTGCAATAATTTATAATGTGTTCTAAGTTCACATTAATAATATTTATTCTATATCATGTTGATTGAGCAAGCTCTATTAAGGTCCTAAGTCGTATGCTTAGAATTTTTTTTAGACTTGGAGTTATCGTCAACGATTATAAATCAAAATTTTCAAAATGACTTAATTATGATTGTTGACAAACTTTGATTTCATACCCTATGATGAGACACAAGATTTCTTGAAAAATAACATAAAGGAAGGTTAGAGAATCTTTGTTAAGAATCTACGAAAAACATCGCGTTTCATCAACTACTAACCTAGACATTTACCAAATAAAGGTTGTCAATTTTTAGTAAGATAGTCAATTGGGATAAACATATTTATCCAGCAATCAAGTATCTTTATCCAATAATCTCAACTCTCAAAATTGGTTGTCAGTTCGTCAAAACTCGAGAAACACGAATTGATATATGTTGTATAGATAATAAGTTAATGCAAATAATCAAATGAAATCCAACGATATTGTTCAAATGATAAGACTTTTTAAATGCACTTGAAATATGTGTGTATTGTAGACACTCTTTATCAAATATGAATATATAAGTGATAAAATATTTGAAAATTACACATTCAACGACCATGTTAAGACCAAAATCCTCGATAGTGTGTGCGAATGTCTTAGATTGAGATTTTAAGCCAACATATAAACAATGACCATGGGTTGAAGTTTCATCTAAACTTCAAAAATTAACAATTGATACATATTGTATAATATACTAAATTTAAGTGTCTTGAAAAAAAAACTAACATCCAAAATGGAAATGAGTCGAGATTATAGAATTTAATTATCACGAGGGCTACGGTGTGTGTCAAGTTTCAATATGGATGAATAAATTGATCCAATAATGAAGTATCTTTACTAAGAATTTCTCACTAAAAAGTCCTAATCTATACAACATTGGTCGAGAGTTCGTCCAAACTTGAGGATCATGAATGTGTATCGGATTTCCAAAAGACCTAAAATCTCAATCCCTTTCGGGGGCTAAATACCTCTGATCACAACCATAGGTGCCAAAAAAGAATGAAAAGAAGCCACAAAAAATCAAAAAAGAACATAACCTCTGAGGCCATGTACCAAAAAGTTGCCACCCAATATAATGTACCAACGCCTGAATTTGACGGACGCGATACGATGAATAGAATAAAACCATATCGAGTTATGATCCTGTCATCCCTACCATTTTATTCTCCATAAAGAGGGCGGCGGGAGAGGATAAAAAATATTTAGCAGGATCTTAGGATTTGCCTCTTTATATATTACATATCAAACGATAGACAACCCCAATGGTTGTCTGACGTTATGGGGGTAAAAACGGGATCTCTATCCCGAGGGTGGGGATATGCAAGTAGCACTTTTAATATGAGTATTAGACGAGATAAGATAGGTCTCACGAAGTATCCAGATAATTTTGAGTTTACTATATATATATATATACACACACACATGCAGTGGCGGAGCCACTTAGGGCTAAGGTAGGTCATTTGCACCACCTTGGCTCAAAACTATAGTAATTTTTTTATGTAATTGTGGGTTGGATAGATAATCTTCTTATCATTGTAATAATTTTATGAAAAAGTAATATTTTGTGATCTCTATTTAACTTCTGATTAATATATTTTACAGCTGACTTTTTTAATATAAACAAAAACTCAAAACTTATTGGTGTTTGTTGCTATTGGTTGCCATCAAAGTAGTCAAAAGCGCGTTTCTACGTAGAAGCGTTTTGGTGATTTAGATGCGCAAAACCGTAAGCTTTTAAGATTTAAAGTGCAGTTTTCAACTAAATTAGTTATCATAACTGTGATTATGCGTAGAAGTGTTTTGGTGACCTAAAAGCATAAAAAACTTAAGTTTTTAAGCTTTAAACCGCAATTTTGACTATATTAGTTGTCATTGCAAGTATTGAAAGAATTCTTACAACAATGAATAACATAAAAAACACTTTTAGAATTAGATGAGTGATGATATCATGAATCATTTTTCGCAAAATAACTTAAGAATGACATCCATCATAATTTGCATGTAATTTTTAAAAAAATTCAATATACGAAAATGCATCCTAAAATTTTATTTTTTTCTCATATTTGACCTACCTTAAGTGAATTCCTGGCTACGCTACTGCACACATGTATACATATATATAATATCAAGGTATACTATCTTTTGATTTTACTCAAGATACGATAGAAGATAGGTATGACAAAGTATTTGCATAAATTAGAGGTTAGGGTATAGTATCATGCCCCCCAAAGATCTGGAGTCTAAATAGTAAAACTCAATGGTCGTATGGTAGTGTGAACGCAAGAGTATAGCGTACTCCTGGCGCACGCTAGCTTGAACTATATATATGCATATGTGTGTGTGGTTCAGGTAGGCGTACGCTAAATATTAGTGCTTTGGTTGAAAATTTTTGACATAAGTTCTAAATGGGAGGTGACAACGACATAATTTATGATTAGAAAACCAAAGTATCAGAAGTGAGTGTGCTAAATATTGGAAATTTCCAATATAGACATACTACAAACTCTTTTATGAATATAGAAGATCCAAAATGATTTAAACATATAAATAAGTTAATTAATATAAATTATGAAATAAATCTCTCCGGCCAATTGACCGGGTAAAAAGCCAGTACCAATGAGTATATAATGGGTCCTGATATTCCTCCATTCCCTTCAACATTTATGCGGCAGCCTGCCATTCCCACAAAGGTCAAGTGCTTTGTATTGTTGCTACGTGTGAGGATCACAAATTCACAATCGTCTACAACTTACAAGTAAGGGGAATGACAACTCCAAATAGATCATGTGCATTGTGCAAACAAACTGCATAATTGAATAATCACATCTTTTTGAACTGCAAATTTCATTCATGAGGTTTGGATATTCTTTTGCTCTCCATTCCCAATTTTATTGGACCTATATCCAATGAAATTTTCAATACAGTGATTTCGAAATCTTTAATATAGAGGTTCCAGACTTCCAGAATACTTTAAATAGAAAATAATAAAAAAAAACCATCTGTCATCGTTAAAAACATCTACTGGATGTTGCCAAAACACTTGGTCCATTAATTATTTTTTCTCCACTTCTCGTCCCAATCATAATCACAGAACTGAAACTCTTTAATTTGGACGTAATTAACAATTGCACCTAATAACTCGAGTTGTTAGGAGAGGTTCAATCGTGAATCATATACCATTCACTAACAGTCAAATCATATCTTGGAAAGCTATAGCCATGTAGCCAAGCAGGATGAAGTCGTCCTTCACCTTCTTCAGCCACCTCAGCGGTGGGTAAGAATTGAAAGAAGATGAAGAAGATAAGGCAGCTGCTAGGTTAAGCAGCTGCAGAAGAACGAATTGTGGGGAATCGTTAGGTGAGCTGTTTGCTCATCCTTTTCTATTTATACTCTGCAATTCCAGGTCTACAGTAAAAACAGAAATGAAAAACTGTAAATTAAATAGACTATAAATAAGCCGACACGTGGCTGTTCTTCACCGAGTAAAAGACTAACGACTATTTCCTCAAACGCTGCCGTTTCCTTCCTTCCTCTGTTTCTTCTTCTTTGCATCAGCAGCAGCTCCAGCTTCTTCTTCTTCTTCTTCTTCTTCTCTGCTGCTGCTAGTCTCATCTGTTACTCCCAATGTAGTCAAAATCGAGTTTCTACGTAGAAACGGTTTGGTGATCTAGAAGCGTAAAATCGTAAGTTTTTAAGTTTTAAAGCGGAGTTTTTAACTACATAAGTTATAAAAACTGAGATTTTGTGTAGAAGCGTTGTAGTGACCTAGTAACGTAAAATCGTAAGATTTTACGTTTTAAAGCGCGATTTTGACTACATTGGTTACTCCCCCACAAGTTGGCGAGTGCATATCAATCACTCCCAACTTGTTCAGCAAGAATTTCAATCTATATCTTGTCATCCCTTTTGTAAACATGTCTGCCAATTGATCTTCAGTTCGAACATGATTCAATTTAATCATACCTGACTTCAGCCTTTCTCTCGTGATGTGGCAATCTATTTCAATATGTTTAGTCCTCTTATGGAAGACTGGATTCTCAGCAATGTGCATTGCTGATCGATTGTCACAATAAACCTGAATAGGTAGCTCCACTTTAACATCCATCTTTGCTAACAGGTTCCTTAACCACTTCAATTCACAAACTAGATGAGCCAGTGCTCTATATTCTGCTTCTGATGATGACCTGGAAACTGTTGTCTGTTTCTTCGATTTCCCGGTTATCAAATTCTCCCCCAGCAGTGTGCAGTACCCTGTAACAGATCTCCTTGTGTCTAGACAACTTGCCCTAAAAAACCAGATAGCTTCAAGTTTGAATCTGCCTTGAACAGCAACCCTTGCCATGGAGCATGCTTCAAGTATCTCAAGACTCTATAAGCAGCTGATAAATGCTCACTGTATGGATCTTTTTGGAATTGACATAACTGTTGTACAGAAAATGTAAGGTCAGGTCTAGTTATAATTAGATAATGTAGCCTACCCACAAGTCTCTTGTACACTTCTGGATTTTCCAAAGGTTCCCCTTGTTTAGCAGTCAACTTCATCTTGTAATCAACAGGTGCCAAGCAGTCTTTAGCTTCCAAGTAACCTGTGTCTGCTAACAATTCCATACAGTATTTCCTTTGATTGACTTGAATGCCTTTGTGGTCTCTATAAATCTCCAGTCCAAGGAAGTATATTAACACACCAAGATCTTTGATCTTAAATTCCTTTCCAAGAAACTTTTTCAACTGCTCTATATCTCCCAATGAGCTTCCTGCAATGAGAATATCATCTACATATACCAGAACAACAAGAATTCTTCCTTGTATTCTCTTCACAAACATAGAATAATCTGAGGCTGCTTGTGAAAAATCATTTCTGAGCAGTGATCCGGCTAGCTTGGCAAACCATTGCCTGCTGGCTTGTTTCAAACCATACAAAGACTTTTTCAGTCTCAAAACCATCCTCTTGGTAGTTCCATGCCTGGAGGTGGTTTCATGTATACTTATTCATGCAAATCTCCATGGAGAAATGCATTTGATACATCCATTTGATGTATAAGCCAGTCATTAGCAGCTACCACTGCTAAAAGTGCCTTGACTGAGTTAATCTTTGCCACCGGGGAAAATGTGTCTAAAAAGTCTATGCCATAAATCTGGGTGAATCCCTTAGCAATAACTCTGGCCTTGTGCCTTTCAATATTCCCATCAGCCCTTAACTTGATTTTATACACCCATTTACTTCCAATTGCTCTCTTGCCTGGAGGTAGGAAGGCTGGTTCCCAGGTTTGATTTGCTTCAAGAGCATTCTGCTCATCTTTCATAACCTCTCTCCAGCACAACTCAAGACAAGCCTCTGCATAGCTTTTAGGTTCCACTGCTGCCATGACACTCAACACATATGTCCTGTGTGCAGGTGGTAAGTTATCATATGACACATAATTCTCCATGGCATACTTCTGAACAGAACCTACCTTATAATCCTTATGCCAAACAGGTACAGTTTTGACCCTATCTGACCTTCTCAATACATGTTCAACTTCTCCTTCATCAACATCTGCTTGCTCTATCAACTCATCTGTCTCCCCCCCGGATGTGGATCAGAGACCTCAAAATTCTCATGAAACTGCTCAGGCAGTGTGCTAGGACAAGGAAAAGTAGTGGAAGTAGGTGTGGAAGAAGAAGGAGAAGATGATGGGGAAGGTGAGATAGTAGAGGGAAATGTATCCACATACTGAGTAGGATAAGATGATGACGAAGGAAAGTTTGAGGTGGGGAAATTGAAGATGGGAACATTAGTTTGTGGAAGAGAAGAAGAAGGATCAGATGGGGAGCTAGAAGAAGGAAAGTAGAATGGCAGGATATGTTCATAGAAAATGACATGTCGAGAAACAAAGAATTGATGGCTATTGAGATCAAAAAGCTTATAGCCTTTGATCCCAGAAGGAAAGCCAAGGAAAACACACTGCCTGGCTCGAGGGGTAAACTTAGTTCTGTCTCTAACTAAGGTAGATGCATAACACAGACAACCAAATACCATCAATTGAGACAGGTCAGGTGCTTGTTTGTATAGAATTTCATAGGGAGAAAGATTGTCTGTAACAGGTGAGGGTAGCCTGTTAATCAAGTGAACTGCCTGCAAGATGCAGTCACTCCAAAATTGTAATGGTAAACCTGATTGAAACCTCAATGCCCTAGCAACATTAAGTATGTGCTGGTGCTTCCTT